AGACACCAAGAGAGCTGCTAATCTTCTCATCAGTCCAACCAGCATAGTGCTTAAGGGTATACGCAATATCACGCTCGCGAACAGAGAGCCGTGTTCCTGGCTGTCGAAGGACGGGATAACAAAGCAGAGGAGGGGGATGGTGGCCACGGTTCCGGCGTACAAGATTCGGCATTTTTAGGATACAAGATACAAGGATCTCTTGTTGTTTTATATGATGATCTAGCTATTCTGGTTGATTCTACATATTTGTAATACGAACAGCTATGCTTCATACGGCTAAAGCAGCCCCAGCGCTAGCAGGGAGCGCTGCTGGCCCGCTCATGTTACCCCCTTGTAAGGAGCCCGCTAGTTCGCTTCAGTCCGCTCATTAAACTCATCTCGTGGTACAACGGCCGCATTATGGACAAGTACATCTCCTCTGTACTCGACGACCGCTGGGTTGAGTGGCGTGCCGGCAAACTTTCTTCGGAAACCAGTCGGTCCGCCATTGACCTCGCGTTCGGTGACTACATGCGCTCGTGTAAAGACAAGGCCACGGCAACGATCCGTCCCAGTGCCAGGAAGTACTTCATTATGCAGCTCCGCATGATGTTCTTCGTCGCCCACGACTCGACCTCCGCTACCATCAGCTATGCAATCTACCTCCTCTCTAAGCACCCTCTTGTTCTAGAGCGACTACGCGAGGAGCACGACAGGACTTTTGGCACCGACCTGTCCGTTCTTCCAGATGCGCTCCGCAAAGATCCCCACCTCCTCAACCAGTTGGACTACACCGTGGCCGTCATCAAAGAGGTCCTCCGCCTCTTCCCTCCAGCTTCAGGCTTTCGCATCGGCCGCCCAGATGTGCATCTCCACGACGACACCGGAAACGAGTACCCTACCGATGGTTGCCGTGTCTGGATCTTGCACTGAGTGCTTCACCGCAACCCCAGGTTTTGGCCACAGCCCGACGAGTTCCTGCCCGAGCGCTTTCTTGTCCCCAAAGACCACCCTCTGCATCCTGTCCGCGGTGCCTGGCGGCCGTTCGAGTTTGGGCCACGCAATTGTCTCGGCCAGACGCTATCGATGCTCGATCTCAGGATCACGCTGTTGATGGTAGTGCGCCGCTTTGATTTCAGGGATGCGTATCAAGAGTGGGACAGGCTGCATCCGACAATTCGGCCGCTCGTGTTTCGTGGGGAGCACGCCTATCAGACAGGCAATGGGGGTGCGCATCCGGCGGATGGTATGCCCGTCCGGGTTTCGGTACGGGTGTAGTGGCAGCCAGTAACACGTTTCTATTCACTCCTCTCAGCTCGCTCGAACTCAGCTAAATGCTCAGCTTGCCTGTTGTTTGCCACCGTTGCCACCTGCAAACCTCTCTTCTCTCTTCACTATATAGCTACTCGTTAGCACCTTAATACAATTCATCACAGGTCAAGCTGCTATCTATAACCAAGATCATCCTGTCATTAGACCCGACTAGAAATTGTGGATCAACCAGATTAAAACCCACGCTGAAAGCCTACGACGAACTGTAAAAAATGCAGTTAACAGAGAAAACAAGGGCAGCAGCACAGCTAGCACGCCTAGCACGCCTAGCACGCCTAGCACGCCTAGCACGCCTAGCACGCCTAGCACGCCTAGCACGCCTAGCACGCCTAGCACGCCTAGCACGTCTAGCACGCCTAGCACGTCTAGCACGCCTAGTAGGCCTGGCACGCCTAGCACAGCCACAGCTCAGGCTGGAGCATGAGCAGCTCAGTCTGAACGGGAAAGGTAATTGCTTGGGTGCACATTGGGATATCGTACTACCTGTTATAGGTGATATCTGCATGATTTCATAGTGTTGCCGGATGCTGCGAGTAAAGTGTACACATCGTGGTACTAAGATTCATATCAAAATCAATGAATAACGGCGAAAATATCCATCAGAGATACCTCGACCGAAGCTGGCTGAGCGTACTCATGCGCCCATGCTGCATATTGCTCAACAGCGCCTCCTCAAGCGCCGACTGCGTTATGCTAGCGTCTAGAGAGAGAGAGTCAGCGAATCACTCATCTTCAAGCTCACACTCACACGTATTATCGACAATGGCAGGAACGGGGGGCTCGAGATTTCACATACCATCTAAATCACTGAAACTACTGCCCATACTCGGCGTCCCATCACTGCCCTCCCTCTTCCCACCCCCCGTTCCGCTCGCACTCCTCCGCGGGCTCAACCGCGCTAACTCCGCTCGGTGTCGCGGGCTTAAAGCGTGCGGACTCATAGCTGACGGCCGGTGTGGCGCGTCGCTGGCGGAGCTGGTCGCCGACGAGCTGATGGGATGCATAGGCGCTTTGCCCTTCCCCTTGGAGCTTCCGCCGCGCAAGTTGCTGTGGGTGGCAGAGACGGGCGCCTTGTTGATGTCCTCGGAGAGGTACTTTGGGTTTGGGACACGTTCGGGCAGGGGCGACGTATCTCGCAGCGTTGCACTCGGATCGTCCTTCCTGGGCGCTTCTGAGGTGCGTTCGGTTTGGGCAAATGGGAGAAAGGCGCCCGAGTCGTCTTCGTCGTCGCCCTCGTGGTCTTCGTCCTCAAGAGTAGCGAGGCCACGCGGTTTCTGAGCCCGGAAGCGTGGCGGGCGCTTGAAAAGCTGGCTGCGGTGGAGCGGGTTTGCCGTATCATCTTCGGAGGACTCGGAAGAGCTCGAGGATGAGAGGGCACTAATGGTTGGGGATGCCGGTTCTGAAGTGTTTGTAGCGGGCTCAGGCGGCGGAGAGAGGACCGGAGGTGTGGATTTGAGAGGCGGAGGGAAGGAAGAGCGGAACGAGCGCTGGAGATGAGAACGGGGGGCTGTAGTTGTAGCTGCAGCTGGGATATGCGCCCGGGATTGCGTTACTGTATTTGTGGATGGGTTACGGGATAATGGCGGTGCTATGGGAGGTTAGAAGGCATGCAGAAGGAGCAGGATATCCGATCAAAACGTACCCATTGTCCGTGGCGTTCCTGGTGTGCTAGTATCTCCTCTAGGTATGGGACTATCCCGGAGGCGAATAGATAATGCAGAAGGTGTTCTCGAAGCTGGTAGATGTAAGTCCATGGCTACCGTGACATTTGGAACACACCAACCTGCGGAACCTCCACTTTCAGGCCTTTTCATCGGTATCCCGCCGACGACTGTATGCGAGCTACCGCCAGATCCCGTCGCAGTAGTGTTTGAGCCTCCAACCTTCTTCATTTGCGCGCGGACGTGTGTCAGGTGTCGTTCATATAGCCATGCTGCCTGTTGAAGCATGAAGGCTTGGGAGACTTGGAATTTTAGGGCCCTGAAGCTTGAAATTAGCATTCGTTGGCCACTCTGTGTCCTTGGAAAGCATACAAGTCCTCCCCTGAAGTATATTAGCTTCGTTCTTGGATTAGGTTTGGTGGATCAGAGAGGAGCATACAGTCAAGGTCGGCCGTTTTCGGGGACCGGGAGATGATCTTCCATAGAGCTCGATCTTTGGTCGCGTTCCAATCAACCTATACTGTTAGCCTTGACCGTCCTCTCGAACCCTACAAGGAAGCTGTACCTGCGGAGGATCTACAAAGTCGCCGCGCGCAAATGGCAGCCTGATGAAGGCCGTGTAGTGTATTTCTGGCTTCGAAAGAACTGAGCCTCTTCGCTGTGCCCTCGGGTCTTGTGGCGCAGAGGCATTCGACATATTCCGAGTATGAATGCCTTTGGTGCCTGCCATACTCTGAGAGCTTGGTCTAGACATTGCTACTGGAGGCTACAGAGGAGCTAGGAGTCTGCAGGGTGACAGATTTCTGCGGATAGAGGGTATTACTGAAGCGGCGAGTGTAGTGACACTGTTTTACCGTTGCGAGGCCATGGTCGTGTTTATGGTGCTGATGGATTGTTGCCCGCTGGTGGGGATGCGGAGGTTGCCATAGCCTCGGTGCACGTGTTCTACCTTTGTAAGACCTCCGATACTTCACACTTGCTAGCACCGCTTGAGGTACCCTGGTATGTTAATAAGAATTCGAGAACGAGAGTTTTGACAAGCCTAATAGCTCTCTTGAGCACCTCAAATGGGGTCAAAATAGACTGCCACTTTGTGTTCATCGAAGCCTACACCTTTGCATTGCTATACTGAACACTTTGCTCCAGGTGAGCATCAACCGAAACGCTCATTACGCCAATTGGTCGAAAGATTCCATTTTAGGGTAACAAGTTATTATTTACTATTTACAGACTGATTTGATTTCCTTCGGCGCTCAGGTGTCATGACAACAATACTCCACAGAGGTAGCATTTCCCCAAAACTTCCACATCCAACGCCTCATTGATTGCTGGAGGCTCAAATATCTTCTCACGCATTGAACACCGAAGACGTGTAGTAAACCAAGCAACGAGTACGAACAACTAAGCAACGCCATCTCTCGTACGCCAAAGATACTTGAATCAACTCAACCTCAAAGAAGACCAATCTCCTTCAAAGTCGGAGAAGTTACTGAGTGGAGTCCGATTTGCCTTCTTTATCCAAGTGCCTTTCCAAGCTACCAAAGAGATCTGGTTCACCGTCCGAAAAGTGGACATCCTCAGAGGCAGTTGCAGCAGGAGCACTGGGCGAATCCAATGTAAGAATCTGGTTCATTGAGTTTTGCCGGCTGTGAGCAATGACTAATGGAAGATCTGGTGAGCTGGAAGGATCTTTGCTAGGTCGGGCTTTCGGTTCTGCTTTAGCAGGAGACTTTGGGGACGTTATGGTGTCTGGTGCGGATGGAGGAGTCGATTCTGGGACTGGATCTGTCGAAAGTTCGGTTTTCTTCGTGGGAGATGAGATTTGCGCCGGTGTTTGTGGAAGCTCGCCCTCCTCTCGATCATCATCATCCGATCCCTCTTCATCTTCACCGTCATCGCCTTCTTCGTCCTCCCCGTCCTGGGCGTCCGCCATCGAAGTATCACCATCAGAAGGTCCAGTCGATCCGCGTTCCGTGTTATGGCCTGGGGCCCTTAAGGTGCTAGAGCCGTCCGCTGCTACAACACCTTCGTTAGCACTTCCAGTTTCGAATGCGACCTTCTTCCTCCCTCTTCCAGGACCCCTCTTGTTCTTCTTCTTTGAGATGGGAGGTCTCCTACGAGGTGGGGTTTGTTGCATGAGGTCGTTTGAGACCACCACTCCCTCTGGATTCACAACCCCAACACCTTCGACCACTGTACCGGGAACAGCAGCCACGGGGGCGGCATCGGGTAAAGTTTCGTTTTCTTGCACTTCACCCTCCAACGTTTGGCCTTCAGGAACAAGCACTTCGTAAATGCTCACGTTTCCCTCGCTATCGACCTTCTTGACTTTGGTCTTTCGGAACGATCCAGTCTGTGCTAGCGGGCCAACTGCGCCACTGTAAACGGAGTATTGAGAAGGCAGACCTTTGCGTCTCTTGGCCAAGTACTCCGGTTCTGGCTCTTCTGCACTTCGAGGAACTTTGACGTATTTCTTGACGGTGAAGGTTCGCTGGGTCTGCTGGGTCTGCTTGTTGTCCTCTTCTTCGTCGGGATTCTCCTTCTCCTCGTCTACCGGCAGTGGCAGCCTGAACAACCGGCCAGCGCGAGCAGCACGGAGTATTCGCTGCGAGTGCTCTGGGAGGAGATGTGAATCTCGAGGCATGCGAAGCTCAGGCCAAGCATCTTTGTCTGTCGACGGCTTTTCCTCGAGGTTTTGACCGATGGTAACTTCTACCTCGCGATATTGATTGATTGGTAAGCCTTCGAGTACATTGTGCTCTACTTGACCACGTCCCGAGCGGTTGGTCCGGTCTCGAGCGCGAAACTATGGCAGGCGTCAGCATGAGATTCAGCAATGTGATGATAGGACTATCCCACGCCGGCATAGCCGTGGTCGTGGAATGCTTTGCCTTGGAACGCTTCCTTGGGCATGATGTATGGACTCAATAGAACATACACATAATTGGAGTTCCGACTCGATACAAGTGATAACAAGCTGGACGGTAGCGAAGGCGAAATCGATCCCATGTGACAAGAGAAAGGGGATATCGTACCGGAGCCATGACGACGAACCGAACTGACGGTGCTAATTGGCAACTAAGTGAAAAGCGCCTTCCCAAAAGTGCTGAGTAGCGATGAGGTAGTGACCATTGAGATTGAGGCGCGGTGGAGGAAGTCGCGTCGCGCGTGAACCTCAGAGCCGCGGCAGACATGGCACACTGGGAAATGGAACACTCGCTTACTAAACTTGCCGATTACAACGTAAATTTTCCTGCATCACAACTTTATCCAATAATTCTGTAAACCAGAAGGCATGTACAGAGGAGCTGAATTCGTTTCCGATAAAATTTCCAGCTCGTGCATCCTGTGTTGAGGTGTGGAAAAGTATGCAAAGTGGTACGCTCGCACCCAATTTTGAGTGTTCTATTTCCCGGTATACTATGCCTGGCGGCCTGACGAAAATTAACCGGCTTTGGCCCTATCTCACAGCGCAGAAAATGAAACTGATATGTCCCTATATAGCTGTGAGAAGAGAGTCTTTAAGTATGCTCCCATGCCAATCAGGCGGAACAAACGTACGAAGTGACTAGACAGCAAAACATATGTCAAATGCCATCAAACAGGGAAGGTAGAGGGCCGTAAATTGTTAGTGGCTAGACTTACTGCCGAAGTGGCGCGGTTTGAACATTGAATCCTTCACCATGGATGAATTCTCACCAGTTGGTAAGCTCTAGATGGCATTGACATGGTGGTTGCTGCTGTAGCTGTGAGGAGTTCAAGCCATCGGGAAGTGAGTTCCACACGAGGTCTTCGTAGCTTGCGACTACCAACAGAGCCTGGACTACCGATCGGTGAACATGAGGCGAATCGAGAGTTCAAGCCATCGGGAAGTGAGTTCCACACGAGGTCTTTATAGCTTGCGACTACCAACAGAGCCTGGAATACCGATCGGTGAACATGAGGCGTATCGATACCTATAGAAGGATTTCAGAGCCGAAGCAGCGTCGGGTGTTCCCTTGTTCGTGGTGTTTAGGTGCAGCGCGCGCTTGAGCCAGGTCAAGATTGGACGCTGTGCTGCAGGAGTGCATTTTTTTGATATATGCATCTTCATAATATGCAGTGTACCCATCAAGATCTCGCCAACATACTTACGTGCGCGCGTTGAATGATGCTTGCGATGAATGCGCTGGCAGTGGAATTGGTGGTGGGCGCGATGTTGGAGAGAGGCGAAGCTGTTCGCTCCAAGACTCAAGACTGGCAATAGTTACCTGCCGAAGAGAATCTCTACACGCGATATCATGCTTGACCTTTCAAAGGCGTCCAAAAAACAAATTTGGCTGGTTTATCACGAATTGATTGAGCAAGCTGAGATTTATAGTAAAGTGAAGACTATTCCATAGACGATACTGTAGCTGACATACTCCTACAGGCTCCGAGTTCATATTTCACATTCTCCAAACCTCTATCTATGATACAGTCCAGCTCATGGTCTGGTATTGCCGATCTTATGAAAGAGCTGGGCAATAACAGCTCAAAACGATACAACATCGTCAGTGAGGAAGTAACTAGGAATGACGGGGATCAATTGCAACACGAAAACAGACCTAGTCCCATCTGCTGAATGTTAGATACCTCTGTGAGAAAAAATGGAGTTAGAGCAGCATACCCAGTGTCCTTCTGCCGCACTATGCCACCATGATCCCCCTTCTGCTTTCCCGTCTTCCCACCTTCAACCACTAATCGATCGAGCTGATAGAATTGGCTTATGACTGTTTGCCTCTGTGGAATCCGAAAGTTAGCATGCGCGCCATCTCACACTTCCTCAGCCGCCAAGAACCCAATCTTGACGCTTTGCTAACCTACCTTCAACATCTGCAGCTCTTTCAGGCCCTTCTGCATAAACTCCTGTATTTGTCTTTCCTCAGTATCCCCTTTGTGTTCCCGAAACGCATCGCGCGTCCGCCGCTTTGCATATTCTCGAAAGTTGTACGCCGCGAACTGTTGACTTTGTCGGAGTAATGACCGGTACTGATATCTATCCGTCAGTTACTTCTCTTGAAGGGCTCTTCTCGGTATCGACTTGTGAGATTGACTGCTGGGAGGGATGCGTACGCTCGGGAGAAGGCGCGGAAGTGGCGGAGATATCAGAGAATACTCACAAGAGATCGCACTTGGTACGGCATGTCGCCTTTCGCGGCCTGTGTGAGTGACATCTGGATACAGGCAAATGACTTTTGCAAAACTGATTTTGAGGGAGTAGTAGGCAGGGTGGGAGGTTGAATATATCTAGCGCGTCAGTCTTTTGGCGGCGGAGGAGACGACGATCTCCGAGAAGCGGTCTTTGCACGCTAGGCATGAAACAAGTGGCACACTCAAGCATTTCAACACCGTCTGAGGTGGCCCGGCGAGCTATTAGAAATGCTAGAATTGGTATTCTACGAATAATAATAATATACCAGAGGACCTCAAGCGGTGCTAAACAAGCGCACACAGGCACAGCAATAGTATGTATACAGTTTACGGGTTTGTGGACTACCAACTTCTGTATTGACACTCATCAACCACGCTGTCGCATAGGTGCACCTGTTTACCACTGCTCGAAGTGCCTCAACAAGTTTCCACATAGCGCAGAGTGAAGAGCTTCTATCCTGTTTAGATTTCTGAAAATGTTTTAAAGCACCCCAAGCAGTGGCAGGCAGGTGTACCCACGAGACAGTTTGTCCTAGAATTAGTGTGCCCCGTTATCTATGCCCCGCGTACTCCAACAGCCCCCTCATCGCCCTTCGTTGCGGGTGCTACCGCCCTGACCAAGGTATTGTACATTTCAAACCATCCAACGCCTTCCATGCCATTCAGGGGAATACCACACCGAACAAGAGAAACCGGTTTAATCTCAGCTGGAATCCTGGTTCACGAGGTGAACTTTTGCTTGATCTGCTTGAGTTGCTCCTCAATGTTCAAGCTGTGCATCTGCGCAATACGAGCGGCATCCTTGCTTTCTGGCTGGCCATCATAGCTCGTTGCAGCCTTCTTCCTCCGTGCGGCCTCTTCCTCAGATATAGGTAGACCTGTGACCCCGTCGAATACGTCGCTTCTCTGGCTTGCAAGACGCTTGAGGTTGTTTGCGACATCTGCGGTAGATAGGTTCGTCGTGGAGTAACGGGCATCAGCACGGGCCTTCTGCTCCTTCCAGCGTGGATCGAGGAGTTCGACTGTAATGACGGTTAGCTTCTGTACAGAAACAGATAAAACTTATTTTCGCATCCTGTGTATAAAGTGTAGGGTTTCTTATAGTCAGCAACGCCCATATAGGCCAATCAAACCAGTCGGAAAATTTCCAGCACTGTATTTGATCCTTGCAGCTATCTGCCCGCTGACCGCAGGATGCGAGAAGAGGTCATAGGAATAGATAAACTTACTTCGCATATGCTCTTCGAGCTCGGTGAAAGGCACTTGCTGTTTGCAATTGGGGCATAAAGCCAGCCCGACGTTCTGCTTTCGAATTTGCGCGCGAGGAGTGTAGTCGTTCCTGATACGCATAGGTCCACCGACACCTTTCGCAGCTGCTTGCGCCTGCGCTGCCTTCTCCCGCTCCTCTTGGCGTTCGCGAATCCGGCGCTCATCTTCATCCTCTTGAGCTTGTTGAGCCTGCGACTTGTACTCCATGGGTTCTGGTTCTGATCGCTGAGATTGCCAATTTGGTTGTGGGGGAGGCATCTGGGCCGCTGGCGCATGTGGCGCATGTGGCACGTAGTACGTCTCTTCGCCTGGCATGGCTTCTTCGATGCGCATATTCGATTGGTTGAGCGACATCATGGCCTTCTGTTCGAGCGAAGCGGACTGTAGGTCGCTTTTCGAAGTTGGCGGCGGGAGGTCCGCCTGTTCGTCGGCTTCCGTAAACTCGACAGTTTCCACAACGACGAAATCGTGCCAATCAATCTGGGCAAACTCCATCTTGTCCTTCTCAGCTTGTTCCTCCTCCTGCTGCTTCTGCAGTGCTTGGTACCTGACATACTCGGCTCTCTGCTTGGCTTGTTCGAGAATTTGGTAGGGATCTCGGACGTTGTGCTCCAGCCGCGCATCACGCGCTTTCTCAATCCGGCCGTCGTCCTGGCTTCCAGCGTTCATCAGATCGGCGTATTGAGCCGTGAGGCGTGTAAAGAATTGGTGCAGGCTGTGCTGCGGGCGGAGGAAGTCGAATTGAGGGTTTCCGTTCTCACGCTGCGACAGCGCCGTTACCCATGCGCGGCCCCTCCCGGCGGCGTGTCTGGCCGTCAACTTCACGATATCGAGATCCTTCGCGTTCATGTTGGGCATGCGGGCCGAGAACTCGAAGTCGGGCGGCTGTACAGGGCCCTTTGACTTTTCCGCCTCCTTGGACGCTTCTCCGACTCGTCCTGCTGAAACATCAGTACCTCTGCCGTTCCCGATCTCTCGAAGCCGCCATTGGTAGTAGGGGAAGTATGCGTCGCCTTGGAACAGGAAGGAGAACTTGGGGGATTTGTGCTCCTTATCGCGGAGACGGGATTCGAATACGACGCCATTGCGATCAATGTAGCCAGCGGTTGTTTCGATGACCTCGCGGATTCCTGCAGGCGGGAGAATTATGTCACTCGGCATCTTGCTCACCGCGGCGTCGAGCGGCGTCATGTTGAGGTCGGCGGGGGCCATGGTGAGGTCAGGCCTTGCGCAGGGCACGCTTGCTGTAGAGAGAGAGGGTGCAAGTCTGAGGTCGCCCGCGAGTCGCGATTTGCCATGGCGAGAACTATCGATCGGAGAGGGAATAACGTGGGGCCGTATCACGTGCCATGGCATGCAGCCCTGGGAGCTCCGAGCTCCGCAGCCAGTGGTTGGAGGCGGTCAGTCGAGGGACTAGGAGGTAAGGACACCTATTTCGAGCCGCGGCGTGAAGGCTGGGTGCAGGCTTGTCCCTAAACGACCCCCTGGGCTGAACTCGAATGTGTCGACACATCTCCTCGCCGAGCAATTCCTCGAGCCTTTCTTCTTACTCTCGTTGACCCCCCAGTTGGTCCCTTTCATCTGTTCTTCACCTTTTGTTCCGCTATCCTCGCAGCGACCTTGGCACCGAGAGCTGCAACCGGCTGAGGCTCCGTCCGCACAAAAGTTGGAGGCCCAGCTCCTCGATCTTCGCTTTCTTTCACCGTCCGCGACCATGGCGAACCGGACGGCACATAATCCATATCTTCAGGAGAAGAATGCCCGGCGAGCGGGCAGATCTCCTGCGCGATCTCCTGCACGATCGCCAGGCCCGAATGGAAAAAAGGCACAGAAGCAGAAGCCCGCACCTATAGGCTACACATCAGAGGGCGTGACGGATCATGACATTTTCAACCTCCCGTCGTCCGATTGGACCTTGCTGGTAGTCCTGACCCTGACTGCTGCTGTGGTGCGCCTGTTCAGGATATACCAGCCAACCAGTGTCGTCTTCGATGAAGTCCAGTAGGTCCAACCTTGCATACTGTCTAGACATTGGGGCTTTTGTGCTAACGTTGTCTTCAGCTTCGGTGGCTTTGCTTCCAAGTACATCAAGGGCCGCTTCTTCATGGACGTCCACCCTCCTCTGGCGAAATTACTTATCACACTGGCTGGATGGCTGGCTGGCTTTGACGGAGAGTTCGACTTCAAAGACATTGGGAAAGATTATCTAGAGCCGCGTGTTCCCTATGTGGCCATGCGTTTGTTGCCCGCCCTGTGCGGTGTTGCGACTATCCCTACCATGTTCTTGACACTCAAGGCTGCTGGATGCCGGACCACTACGGCTGCGCTTGGGGCTGGCCTTGTTCTATTCGGTATGCAAGACTGCCCTTCAACCCAGAGACATGACTAACTATGTTGTAGACAATGCCCTCCTTACCCAGTCTCGCCTCATTCTGCTAGATTCTCCCCTGGTTATATTTACTGCCATCACTGCTCTAGCCTGGACAAGCTTCATGAACCAGCACGAGCAGGGCCCCTCAAAGGCATTTCAGCCCTCCTGGTGGTTCTGGCTTGCCGCGACAGGTGTAGGGCTTGGAGCTACGGTCAGCGTGAAGTGGGTTGGTCTTTTCACGATTGCTTGGGTTGGAAGCTTGACACTCCTCCAGCTCTGGGTTCTACTTGGTGATTCAAAGAATGTCACTCCGGTAAGGCTCCTGATGGCTTAGCCTGACTTTTGATTCTAATCCGCAATTACAGAGACTCTGGTTCAAACACTTCTTCGCCCGTACGTTCTGCTTAATTGTCATCCCAGTGACATTCTACATGGTCATGTTTGGAGTCCATTTCCTTTGCTTGGTCAACCCAGGTGATGGCGACGGTTTCATGTCCTCGGAGTTCCAGGCCACCCTCAACTCGAAGGGCATGCAAGACGTGGCCGCGGACATAGCTTTTGGAAGCCGTGTCTCCATCCGTCATCACAACACCCAAGGCGGTTATCTCCATTCGCACAGCCACATGTACCCCACCGGAAGCAAGCAGCAACAGATTACGCTATACCCACACAAGGACGAGAACAACATTTTTGTCCTCGAGAATCAAACTCTCCCCGAGATGCCTGATGGCTCCAAGGTAGAAGGGCCGAAGGCTTGGGATAACTTCGGACCTCAGTTCATCGAGGATGGCGCTGTCCTCAAACTCTATCATGTTACCACCGACCGACGTCTTCATTCTCACGACGTTCGCGCACCCGTCACCGAAGCTGATTGGCAAAACGAGGTCTCCGCCTACGGATACGAAGGGTTTGAAGGCGACGCCAATGATCTTTTCCGTGTCGAGATCATCAAGTCCATGTCGGACGGAGCAGAAGCTAAAAAGCGACTAAGGACCATCCAAACCAAGTTCAAGCTTGTTCATATCATGACTGGCTGCGTACTCTTCTCCCACAAGACCAAGCTCCCTGACTGGGCTTATGAACAGCAAGAAGTCACCTGTGCTCGCGGCGGAACGCTCCCTAACAGCGTTTGGTATATCGAGTCGAACGAACATCCTCTTCTAGGAGCCGAAGCTGAGAAGGTCAACTACCGAAACCCTGGCTTCTTTGGCAAATTCTGGGAACTGCAGAAGGTCATGTGGCGGACGAATGCTGGTCTCGTTGAATCTCATGCTTGGGACTCGAGGCCTCCGTCATGGCCAATTCTTCGCCGAGGCATCAACTTTTGGGGCAAGGACAATCGCCAGATCTACTTGATCGGCAACCCCGTTATCTGGTGGAGCTCTACCGCTATTATCGCTCTCTTTGTTGCCATCAAGGGTCTCGCTGTTCTTAGATGGCAGCGAGGGTTCAAGGACTATTCCCAGGTAACCTTCAAGCGCTTCGACTACGAGATCGGTGTATCGATCCTCGGCTGGGCTTTCCATTACTTCCCATTCTACTTGATGGCGCGTCAGCTCTTCCTCCACCACTATCTCCCTGCTCTATACTTTGCTATCATGGCTATGTGTCAGATGTACGACTTCGTCAGCTACCGCTTCACCGCACTGGGGCTGAAGCAGCGTCCAATTATTGGCCAAGCTGCCGCGATTGCGTTCCTTTCTTTCGCCATCTTTGTTTTTACTCTATATTCTCCGCTCGCGTATGGAAATTCTTGGACCAGAGATGCTTGCAACAAAGTCAAGCTTTTCGACACCTGGGACTGGGACTGCAACACGTTCCATACCTCCGTAAGTTAGTTGGTCTCTTCAAGACTTTCCCATCTGACAGATCCAAGTATGATCAATACACAACCCAGATCTATCCGTCCATCTCCGCCGTGCCTACCTCTCAAGCACCACCTGTCATCCCACCACCACAACAACCAATCCAACAGGAGGCTCAGAAGCCTGATGAGCCTGTCGACGACGCAAATGTGACGCCCCTCGCCGCCTTCAACGCCGCCAACCATCCTATCGTCTCCCGCGAGGAAAAGATCGAGTATCGCGACGAGAACGGCAACCTCCTCGATGAGGAGCAGGTCAAGGCGCTGGAAGGCAAGGTCAGTTTCAAGACGCGTTACGAGACCCGCACGAGGGTTATTGATGCCAACGGAAACGAGGTCTACGACGGCGAGTTCGAGGGCGCGCCAGACGGCCGGATCCCAGAGGGCCGCCCCCCTCCCCACCCAGATGCGGAGGCCCGCAACCCCGAGACTGGTGATGCCGGCGAAGCTGACGCCAGTGAGGCGCCGCCGACCATTGCAGTGGGTGATGACCAGGCGAAGGAGAACAGCATTGAGGATCAGGCGAAGGGATCGCCGAAACCCGCAAGCGAGGCTTCAGAGGCGACGAAGTAGAGGAGTGTTGGCAGTGTTCACTCTCCTATCTGGCGTCGGGGGAGGGGGGACTGGTAGAACTGGCAACAATGTTGTTATGCTCACTGGGAAAAATTCAAGAGGAGAGAAATCACTTTTCTTTTCCTTGTTGTACAATAGGGTAGGGTATAAGTGACTTTGGGTCTGTCGGGTGGAGGGCGTGGCGCCTGGTTGAGTTGGGGTTACGTATATTACTTTGCATAATTCACACGTGGTGATGAGGTCGTAATGTCGGATATTCTGCGTGAAGTACTACATGGTGTTGGATGAAGAATGAACGACGTTGAATTGATGTCTCGAGGCTGCTCAACTCCAGAACTCGATGTACGGTATCCCAAGTTTTCCCTCATAACATGCAGCTCAAAGTTACTGTTATGCGCAACGAAATAGGTTGAGATGAACATCAACTCGAGCTGTCCATCGCTGCAAATGCCAGACACATTCCCACCCATACATCTCACGACACCCCTCCTCTTCCAAGCATCACTACATCCTCAACACCACTCCCTACAAAAGTCATCACCTCTCAAAAACACAAAGCATGCAGTAAACAAACCTAATTAACCATCTATTTAAAGAGACAATAAGAACCCTCCACACCGCGCGCCCCTCACTCGCCCCGCACGCCGCAGAAAAAGCCGGTAACTAAATATACCCCAGCTCGCTCAACCCTCCATTGAATGCCGGCTGCAATCCCAGTGCCCCCCACATGCCCGCCGATGCCCCCAGCCCGTACCGACAAGAGAGAGAGAGAGAGAGAGAGAGAGAAAAGGAAAAGAGGGCCGGAAAGAAACGCTGTAGCATATGATGGGAACAAAGGCCCATGAAGAAGCGGGAGGCATCCTTCATATCTGCCTCGTTGAAGCAGGAAAAAACGCATAGCAGTACCCGCACTCGCACCCACCCGCAATGCCGTACGCAGAACCCCGAGGAATGGTCCTTAGGGAGAAAGAAAAAAGAAATAAAAACAGAAGCAAGGCCCACACATAGCCCTCGCTCGCTCGTAACAAGTGACCCTGCTGAAAGTGTAGTTGAAAACACTATTGAAGCAAGAGACTCGGGTTCCTCCTCATAAGCACGGTCTCCAACGACGCAGTACCGTACTAGGGAGCACCTTCGGCCCCTAATCGTCGCTCCCCATGATGACCCTGATCGTGCTGCCGCTTCCGCCTTCTCCCAATCCGCCCATCCCCTTAACACCTAGTCCCAGCCCCATCTTTGCCACGGCAGCCGCGCGTCGAGGTCCACGCACGCTCCTGACCACATTCTTCTTCACACTGACTGCTGCGCTGCGGACCGAGGTTGCGGTGGATGGGCGTTTGGACACACGGGAGGGGAGCTTCGCAAACTCTCGAACTGCGCCGTCGACCTCGTCATTATCGGACTCGGTTTCGCTTGATGAGTCAGCGCTTGCTTTTAGGTCGACTGCGGTGACACGTTTGAAGGGGAGGGTGGTCTGCCGGAGGGAGGAACCTGAGCCCTTTGAGTTCAAGGAGCTGGTGGATTTCAGTGTGGATGATGCTTCTACGGCCTTTGAGTTAGACCTGGCCCTCTTCGCCTGGAGATTCGCCTTCCTGGTGATCTTCGCCATTGGTCCCTCTTTCTTGGCTGTGATTTTCGTCTTGCGAGTAGAGGTAGCCGGGGTGTCGTCGTCTTCGTCTGAAGATGGAGGAAGCCGAGCTACTGGAATCCGACGAGGCGATGCTGCTTTAGGAGGCTCGTCGTCCTCGTCTGAAGATGGAGGAATCCGAGCTACCGGAATCCGACGACGTGATAATGCTTTACGCGGCGAAACTCGCTGGGAGAGAGCCTTCCGAGCAGCAGTCGTGGGACGTTTAATGAGAAAAGTCCTCGTTTTCCTGGAGGACGTTGAGGTGACGGTCCTCAGAGATGACGAAGGTTTGCGGAGCGTCATAGAGCGGCGAGACGTCAGTGTGACTGTTGAGGACGAGCGTCGAACCAGGCGCTCAGCGCGCGAGTCATTCTTAGCCTTTGCATCAGCGACCTCTTTCTCGATTCTCATAGCTCTGCTGCTCTCGGACTCCATGAGAGTATAATTCTTTGCCTTCGAGATGGCAGTTCGAGCAATTTCAGCCACCTTGCGCTTCTTCTTCGGGGAAGCTGAGCCTCGAGACTCTTTGTTACTGAAGACTTCCTGAATTTTCCGCTTCGCGCCTGCGACAAGTGACGTGGGAGTGAACTTCGGCTTGTCCTTTGGTCGAGGCCCCAGTACACCACGGCAGGACCTCGTTCCACATCGACATTCTTGAACGTTCTTTGATGAGAAAGGACTGTGAATATGTTTAGCTATGCTCAGGAATAACGAAAGACGGCGTGAAACTTACTCGAAATTGTAGTCGTAGGTCAGCTCTTCACCAGTCATGATTCCACGCTCGCCAGCAAACAGGGCCATGCGAGGTTCTCCGGCAACAGTCCACTTGATCATCCTACAGTTAGGCTCGCAAGAATGGTTCACAAACCGAGCAATCGAGCCGCGAGTAGCATCGATGATCATCTTGTTGTGGAAAGTCATCAGGTAGTAGCACTACAATCATGTCAGGAAAGAAGTTCTACTCACCCACTTCGTGGTATGTCAAAGGCCGACTTACTTCGTTGTTCCGGTACTCGTGCTTCATCCTTCGATCGCATTCGTCTTGGGTGATAATCTCACCAGCATACTCAACGATGATCTGATGGGCCTCAAAGGTTCGCATGGCACGCACGCCGAAGCCACGGTCCGCTGTCTCGAGAACCTCAACTCCATAATCGTACCGGTTACCCTTGGCACGGCGCTTCAACTCTGCAAAAGCACGATTGGTGCACAACTCAGGTCCGAGATGGCAATTCGTGCTGTCACACTCGTAGAACATGTAGCGGTTAGGGCAATCTTCGCCACATCCATCTTCTGGGCTGCACTCGCAGTACGAGTCAGATTGGACTTTGGCCTTCTTCCATAGCGTGCCCGCCTCGCCTACAAAAAGATCTAGAGTTCGTTAGCTAGAAGACACACTCGGCGCATTTTGGATAAGACTTACTTCTCGATGTCTTCTTCCAGTCCTCGGGCTTAGCCTTCCTAGGTAGCGGGGAGAAGGTATCAAACGGCAACTTGAAATCGCGTCCGTCCTTGTATGGTACCGATAGCAATCGTTCGCCTGCGAACATGGGCATCGGGAGAATCTTGTTCTCTTTCGTAGCGACAGACTTCCGCTTAGCCTTGTTTTGAGTTTCAGTAAGCCGAGCATCAAAGTGCCTGTGTTGCCCGATGTACAAGCCCTGGCCCAGCCACTTCTTCATCTTGGGCGTGAAGAATTTCTGCTCCTCTTCCGAATCCTCCTCCGAGTCCTCCTCCGAATCAACATCAAGATCCATTGCCGACGCGGTAGAAGGTCTCTTTCGCTTAGCCGCCTGCCGAAGGTTGCTGTCGGACTGGGTTCTACGTACGCCCCGAAGCGATTGAAGTTTGCCCTTGCCGCTCTCAATCATATCTCGGCTTCTCTTTCCGAGCGACGAGCTGGCCGAAGTCATTGCATTGTGAGTTGCCTCGAATAAAAGTTTCCGGGACTTCGGCAGCTTCGCGTATTTGATCCTATCCCGCAACTCCTGCACAAGCTGGTCGTTTGGAGAGTGTGGGGAGTGATTAGGGTCCAATTTCCTAGAGCTCGTATCCTTTGATTCATCATCGCCTGCCGCAAGTGTGCTGCCGCTGATTTCACGGTCCCTAATGACATTCTGCGTGTGTTTCTCTAGATATTTTGTTGGAATGTGCACGTGGGAGCCGGCAAGCATCGTGAGGTTGTAGGTTGGTATGCTGGTTCGCGATCGCCGTGAAAGGCGGCGGCCAGGCTGCTTGCCTTCCCCATCCTCGGTGTCCTTCTCCTGCGTCGGGGGCTCCGGCTCCGCAGTGACTTCTCGCGGGTGTTGCTCAGCCTCCAGCTGCTCTTGAGCCTGATCGTCGTGTATGACATCGTCGATGTGTTTCTGCAAGTATTTGATCGGAGTGTGAAGCGTGGTCCCGGCAAGAATCTTGACATTGTACGTGGGCACGCTCTTACGCGACCTCCGGGACGGCCGACGAGACATGCCCTCCTCCTCGTTCTCCCGCTCCGGCGTTTGTTCCGGCTGATGATTCTCTGTGTACGCGTCGGTCTTGATCGCGTCGGAGCGAATGCTGGCCGAATCGCCAGAGCTGGTCGGAGGTGTCGAGTTGGACGACGCGCGAACGGAGCTACACGCAGCGCTGTCAACGGGCGTCACGACGTTGATGCATGACAGCGTCGAGGACGTCGAGTCGGGCGACGTAGCTCGGCCAGCCATGTTGAGGTGGCGGTTGGGCGAGGTTGTGGTGGGTAGGAAGGAGGTGGTAGGTGGTAAGGCTCAGGCTGAGGCGCGAGAGAAGGTGCTCCGGAGGTCAAGCAAACGCGGGGGAACTTCAAAAGTTTGGAAGCAACAGCGAAAAGCTCGAGCAGAGAATGGGCGGGCAAGCTGCGCAAGGGCGAGAAGGTGCACACGACAATTGAAGATGGTCCCCCGGAGGTGGAGGGGTGTTGATTGTAGAGTTCGAGGGGGAGGGATTTCCAAAAGGATACCCATAACATTGGAGCCGCTGTCCAATTAGGGCCTAGACCCCATCATTGCGTTCCACCGGCCTCGCATTCCACCACTGCCAGTGAATCACTTCAGGGCAATTTGCATGAGCTCGGGGGCGCGCGTGAAGGGTGATTAATTAGTTGTATAGTATGCGGCGTCGCCTCGCAGCAACCTAGTCTTGATATATACCGCTCAACCACCTCCGCCAGCTCGCTCGCTACAGCGCCAGCCCGTCACTTATACTACACGAAGATGGTGCCGCCTGCTCTCGGGCTGGCAGCTTTACAGACAAAGGAAAAACGCTTGCGTGGAGGGTATAACAGAGCTTCGTGAAGAAAAGTTGGATAGACACTCCGCATCAGCCCTCGGCCAGGACAGTACTCCGTGGCGTTCTGTTCATGGGAGACATCGCACCGGGACCTTGGAAACTGGGCACTGTGCTGCTCACGTCCTGCATCTCCACGCCCCCTCCCTGCTGCTCTTGAGCCAACGGAGCTGTCCTCTTACTTCTCCGTGGCCCGAACCTCTGGTCGCCCTCTTCGTACTCTTTCTTGAAGTGCAAGTAGGTCGGAGGTCGAGGCCGGAGCAGCACAACAAGCCAGTTCTTCCAGAAGTTCCCTTGCGTGAATGGCCTGTGTCGGTCCTTCTTCAAGAACTTGTGAGAATTAAGATACTCCCGGGTAGTCTCTCCTCGTGCCATCAGAAACAGGTGGTAACCCCACAAGCTCAGCGGATACGGCGTGACGATAATGGCATATATAAACATCGCAAAAGGAACGCGCCACTTGTCTATAGCTTCCCCGAAAGTCTTGCCTTCTTGGGATTTCCAGACAAGTAGGTGAGCCAAAGTAGCCCCGAAGAGGAAGATGCCGATCAAAGCGCCAGAACAGACGAAGACGAAGAAATAGCGGTAGTTGCGACGTCCAACACAGTTGTTGAGCCAAACACAGTGATGGTCCTGCGTCTCGACACAGTTGTCACACACACGGCAATGATGAGCGCGCGGCGGGCGCCAAATGTTGCAGCTCTTGCAGTACTTCGTTGGTACCTCCATCGCAGCATTGGGTGATGTTGCGGACACGACCATTATCCACTCAGTGGTGGACGGGCCAAGATTCAAAGGATCGTCATTAGGATTAGGTGGTGGAAATGGATGCAAATGCCTCGGGAGAATCTGGAGGATTAGCGTCATACTAGAGGTGATGGCTGTAGAACTCACTCCGGGATCAGTGAGTGATGCATGAAGAAATGACGACATGCATATCAAGAAAATGTAAGCAAAAACAATGGGTATCGCTGGTGAAACGTGATGCCAAAGCCACGGCGCCCTGCAATTCCAACTGTCAGCTGTAGTCGGCAAAGCGACGTTGTCACAACTCACGAAAAGGCGAAAAATAATGCTGCTGGAATCACAACCATGAGTCCGGTCGCAATGTTCACGGGCCGATCCCGTGTGTTCTGGAACCTACCCCCCCAACAGAAGACTGTGTTCCCGGAAAAGTACTGGTAGTTTTTTCCCAATTCCTTCCTGACTACATCTTTAGTGGTCTCCTTTCGCTCCAATCTGGGTGATGACTCCACAGACGCCAGCTTCTCGTGCCCTTGACGTATCTGGGTAGACCCGCCGCCGCGACTTGGTAGCATGAAGCTTGAGCGGAATGACCGCGGTGACTTCGTCGGAGTTGGTAGCTTGCCGGAGCCATTCTTGTGAGCGTTTGACAGGTCTAGGTGCGTCGGTCGGGTCGGTCGTTGTAATGGTGTGATGCTTTCTCCGCGACTTCTCACAGTTTCCGCGCCGGTTGGTGTGGTGTTTGCAGTAGTTCTGTCTGGAATATCGGTGAAGTCAGTGCCCCGGGAAGGTGGCGGTGGCCCGTCAAGATCGTGGTGTAGTCCTAGTGGTGCTGCTCCTTTGATAGTCGGATTTGAACCTGCGCTCTGTCGATACGGACTGCTACCAGCGTCGCTAGTTCCCTCGGTGTACGCAGACGTAGGGCCCAGGATAGAGGCTGGCCTCTGTCCACGTTGCGCTTGCAGCCGCTGAGAGCTCATCGGGCGGAAGAACGCGTGGGACTGAATAGAGGGGACATGAGTCCTGCTCGCCGCCGTGGTAGGACGACTAACACCGCCAACACTCCCCATGCTTCCTTGTCCCGGTCCCTGTGTGCCTGCTCCACGGCGCGAAGGTGGTGCTTGCGACCATCTTCTCTGATTTCCGGACTGGGCGGTCGCGATTGATGAGGGTCGGGACGGTGGGAGCCCAGGCTCTCCTACGGGGCCCGTGGTCGTCTGCACTCGGCCGGTGGAGTTGCGGTTTTCAGGGTTTGGTCGCGGGCTGCGAGTGCTGGGGCCCTCGTCGTCCTCTGCGATGTTGTCCGTCATTCGCGGGTTGGTGTCCTGGAGGAGCGTAGATGTCGGGAAAGAAGGGCTGGCTGGTGATGTCGCAGCCGGGGATGTCAGTGCGATGGCAGCGCAATCGAAGACTCGACGGTTTCAGTCGTGTTTCCAGCCAGATTCATGGCCTCGAGTTCGAAAGTGAGGCTTGATTTGAAAATGAGGCCAGGCGCAGATGGCGGGAAAAGCAAGCTGCAACGAAACACAGTAGAGGGAGCGGCAGGGTGTGTTGGAGCAATCAGAAAGACGTGGAAGCGGGTATGTATAAGGCGGCACTTGTCAGTTGCCAGGACCTGGCGCGCGACAGAAAGGGGTGCGCTGCGATGATGCTGCGCTGCAAGGGCCCGCTCTCCTGAACGCTGAGCCTGAACCGGGCCGTCTGCGTCAGCGATCTTCATTTGCCCGGAGGTTTTGGGCAAGATCACGTGCACGGCCTTGGCAGCCCTCTCGACTGGACCTCACACCACTCAACCGGGCCATCAAAGCTCTCCACCACGACAGCTCCAGCAACTCTCCACTCCACCCCTCCGAATCGACGCTGCCGCCATTGCCCACGCGAAACCACCATGTCCTCCTTCATCGGCCGATCTGCCTTTAGGGCCTCAGGCCGCCTTCTCCAGTCCTCCGAGGCGGCTATCAATGCCGGCGAAAGGCAAAAGGGCAAGGACGCCCTCAAGGCGGGTGCTAAGCGGGACCCAGAGCTTCTCGTACGCCTCCATCATCCACACGGCGCAGAGTCTGTGGCTTTATATTGCAATTGGAGCTAATTGGAGCCCCGTTGACAGATTCTACTCGGCATCATGTCCGGAGCCGCTGGACTCATCGGATGGCATTTCTGTGAGCATGACCATGTTTCGACCTTGAACCCTACACTATGCGGATGCGCCCGCTGGTAGTGCCTTCGACACAAATGCGCCTTCTATAGTTGTCGATGACCCAGACAATTGCTGACACTCGACTTCAGCCCGCTCGCCCACCTCTGCAACCTCGGAGGCCAATGTCGCCAAGGTAGAGCACAGCGAGCCTTGGAAGGAGTCTGGCGGGGCTACAGCGTACCAGTACCACCCCGGAGGCGACAGGAACGCCCCCAAGAAGGACGCCCCATCGCCGCTAAACAGCGTCATCATCCCTAACGTGAACCTTCCCAAGGTACTTATACCCGAGGACATGCCACAGCAGCTTGCTTCACAAGAATACTTCTGACAAGTAACTCCAGGAACTACACGACCGATTCAACAAGTGGGGCAAGGATGATTACTAGAGTTTTACAACAAAGGAGTAGACAATTTGAGATTCGAGGCATTGTCGATTTCACATGGGGGCCCTATGAAATTTGTAGATAGGCTGGGTCCCGGAGCTGTACGAATTAGAGCAACTGGAATTTCCCTGTCTAACTGACATGCAATAGTAAAGGTCTCCAGCGTGTCTTGCCCAGGCATAAAGTCTGTTTCAAACTTAATTACGCTAATTCAAGCCCTAAAGATTCTCTCGCTCACTTCATCATGCCGGTTACCGACACTTCAGGCGTTACAATATCTCTACAGTACTTAAACCTGCTGCAATTCTATCCCAAACATACCACTCTTATTCTCCTATACAATCTGCCAATAGTCGTGGTTTTGAAGCTATTCACTTACGGCTTTAATGCTCTCTCAATATACCATAACGTCACTAGAATATATCTCGAAGTAAGGCAGACGCACTCTGCCCTGACTAGCGGATCTCACGAACCAGCTTGTCCCATTATTTGGATCATGCGCGACTCCTTGCTTATAAGCATCGTTGTGCCATTGCACGAACCAGGGCGGAGAAGTACAAAAGCGAGCAAGGGCTGATAAAACACCGGAGCTCTCTTCGCTGTCCACTTTTCTGGAGCCCAATATGGAGTTCACGCAACCAAGAGGTCTACAGATACGGGATGTACAAGGTGTTAAATGGGCTCCCAATAGTGGTACTGTGGAACAGCATTCGCTCGTCGCGTGATTCGGAGGCGAATGGAGAAAACCCCTCAGATTTCGGAGTCGGTCTGAGCGACGAGAATAGCCATGGATATCCATACTGTGAGGTTTGATTGAAAATTACTGCTCGATGACGGCAATGGATCCAGATGGTAATGTGTACTAGTATTTCTTGCGCTTGGAGTGCTGCATATTCCAGCCTTTGCTTTCGTTCAACAGGGATGGGTAGCTAGCTTGTCAGTGATGGAATCTCCAATCTTGCTCGGATTGCAACGACAATGGGCGTTTTAACATATTGCTCCCGACCAGGCCTTTTTGTATGGACTCATGCTGCTGTACGTCTTCTTGATCCTCTTTGGTGTCCGTGTCGAGTCAGATTGTCCATACCAACGTCAGACAAAACCGCTGTGAAGGTTACATTTGCTGGCCCAAATATCTGGTAAGTAGCCACATTCAAGCAGTGGCGACCGCCGTCTTCTGAAAATCCAAAATCCCACCGTCTCCGGGCTCCCTCCCCATTCTATTCAAGACTACCCGGAGTTACGCTGCACGCCTCTCGTCCGGCCCGCACAGACCACGTTCGGCTCAGTGACTTCAAAGCCCTTCCAACATAGTCGGGACGCGGGACAACACTGCGAGTCCCCCCTTCTGCGCAGCGAAAATGTGTCTTTACTCAGATACTGAAATTCGATGCGCCGCTGGAGGTAGGAAAACAGGATATAGGTAGTCGCGATCCCAAATGTAAAAAAAATCACTTAATTCGATCACCTCTGCTTTTCCAACTTGAAATCCTCTCAGAAATACTACTTTTTGGACACTTAAAATTTGTTTCTCGTATTCTGTATACTCACTTGTCTATTCATCATGAGTATACTCAGCCAATGCTTCCCTCCGAGTCCGTCGTTCACGGAGAAAGAGCTTCCAGACCAGACTGGCAAGGTACCTAAGACCATCCCTTTCCCCCCCTTCCTCTGTCTCTTTCCGATTGTTCCTCCTATTCCAATAATAACGGATACGTCTTCCCTAGGTCGCACTAGTAACTGGCTCCGCTTCCGGTGTAGGCCTCGAGCTCGCAAAGATACTCTACAGCCGCAACGCAACCGTCTACATCGGTGCCCGATCCTCCTCGCGGGTGCAAACAGGGTTCCAGGCCATCCAAGCCGCGCACCCTTCATCGAAAGGCCGGCTCGAGGCGTTCGTGGTCGACCTCGCGGACTTAGAGTCGGTGAAACGGGCTGTCGACAACTTCCTAAAGCGGGAGGAAAAGCTACATGTACTCGTGCACAATGCCGGAGTGATGATGCCGCCGGAAGGCAGTAAGACGACGCAAGTAAGTCGAAGAAATGTCATGAGTGTTTCGGTATTTGACGGCGCTGATGTTTGTCAAGGGCTATGATCTTATGATGGGGACAAACTGTCTTGCGCCGTTTCTACTGACTAAACTCCTCGAGCCGATTCTTCGACGAACCGCTATTGCAGAGGGTGCCGCAAAGAAGCCTTTCAAGGCGGTTCGGGTTGTGTTCGTCGGCTCCCTACTCACGAGCTTTGGGAAACCGAGAGGAGGCGTAACATTGACGGAAGATGGGGTGCCCTCTGACGAATACAAGGGCATGGATCGATACATGCAGACCAAGTTTGGAGACGTCTTTCTGGGTGCCGGATTTGCGAAGGCCTTGGGCGATGATGGCATACTCAGTGTAGTAAGAGTGCCAGCCCATATGTGCGAAGCTGGGGCTAATTCGTACAGAGTCTCCATCCCGGCTTGATGAAAACCGAACTGCAACGCAACATGCCCGCGGTTGCGAGTATGGCCATAGTAAGTCTCGGGCAAACAACCTCTTGTTTGCTTAATAAATCTGACCGTTTCGTAGGGCGTGGTCTTCAAATCTGCCAAGTACGGCGCATACACCGAGCTATACGCAGGCTTCTCGCCTAAACTCACGGGGGCTGATAATGGGGAGTTTTTCATTCCCTGGGGTCGCAAAGGCGTTATTCCTGGACATGCACGAACAAGCCTGAAATCGAAAACTGAGGGAGGGACTGAGGTAGCCGATCGATTTTTTGCATGGTGCCAACAAGAAACTCGAAAATACTTGTGAGTCTTACAAAATTAGTGTACAGTGCACTCTGGAGTTCTGGTAGTCGGCGCATCACCCCTCTATGTAGTTATATCAAACCTAAATCGATAGGTCAAAGTCTTGGTCGCCAAATTCCATGGTTGTCTCCCCGTTTTGAAGTGGAACCTCATTCTGAAGTGGATCAAAGCCGAAATCGAACGGCCAAGTTGCATTGGGGACAGGTTCTGGATGAACATCTTTGAGTGCGTTGTCCCATATGTTCTATTCGAATATTAGTGAGCATTCTTATTTACTTGTTCATATGACTGACCCAATCAATATCTCCGGGGACGTCAGGCATTTCAAGATTGGATAGATCGAGATCCGGAAAAAACGAGGCCGTGAAAAAAGGCTTCCTTTTGAAGGTTCCAGTATTCCCGTCAGCGTCCGGCACACTAATACTCTCCCGCAGGAGGTTATGCGGTTGTTGAGGAACATGACCTAATTCTTGCTGTAAGTACAAAAAGAGAACAGGAGCTGCATAGTATGAGTAACATACTTTGGCTGCTTTCGTTGTGGACATTATGGTTCGTCAAAATGTCGTGACCACCAATTTTCGTCAACATTTCTCGGAGTATACCGCACGCTCTCCCAGACTCTGCAATGCGGTTTGGGTGCCATGCCCAGATTCCGTAAGTCTTCTCGAGCAGGCCAACCATCTCTGCCGTCATTGTGGACGCAGGTCCGTTGTGCATGGGCGAGGCTTCAGTAGTCCGAATGTGGTTGAGTTCTAAAACAACGATCATTGCAGCTAGCAGAAAATCGTATGTTGTAAGAGAAGCCATGTACCACCAAACCTTGTGCAGCTGACCACCAGGCAGACACGCATTGAAGATTACAGAATGGTGCCGAAGGGTGGCCATTGCAGCCTCGACACAAATTTTACGAGATTTAGCCAGCCGCGGTTCAAATCTTCCGGCCGTTATATACTTTCTGTGAAGTACCGTACGAGTCTTCAGGTAAAGTAATTCGAGGTTGAATCTGCTCATGATCAAGACGGATGTGTCTGCAATTGATTCTCCCATCGACCGCACACGTAAGCCTTCGGGTATGGCTTCGTAAGCTACTAGAAGGCGAGCATCAACAGCCATGATATCCGAGTGGCTAGGGGGAATAATGGACTGCCAAAGCTCCGCAGCTTCCGCGAACACGGCGCAGAGTCTACTTTTCGTGATGAAGTAAGAGCCCGGGGTAAGCTCTGATGGCGGTCTTTCCTCTGGAAGCTCATCACAGTCCGCTGTGAAGTCAGTGTCGTACAGATTATGGGGCGCTCTTGTATCAGCCTCAATGCGGCGTAACATTGACGGAAGCCCGAGAGCAAAGGAAACAAGTATGTCCATTTGGTAAAGAATATGCCAGATACGTCTACGCATCTCCACTTGGAATGGTGGCATATTCTTGAAATGGCTAGCCTAAAGTCTAGTTAGAGGAATTATCTAAATAACGCCTCTCCTTCTAATAGGGCTAGGCGACCCTGGAAAGTCATGGAAGCAGGATCACTTACGTCTCGATGATAACCCATTCGTAGGGCGATACGAATGATGAGGCCAATCGAGAACCATACTCTCACATGATGGTCCGTTCTTCTAAGGAACTCACATTCTATGTGGATCATTGCTGCCTCTACAATGTATGGCTGCGGCCTCGCAATGTCCGCCAATGCTATGGCCGAAGCTGCTAGGTTCTGATATTTATCAACAAGCTCGCGAGTTGGAAGACCGTCAAAGGGCACTGCAATGGGTTGAAAAGCCGTGCTGGCCCCTTTATCGTATTGCGCCGAGTAATAGGCCTCAAACTCGGAGTTCCGTGGTCCTAGAATGATAGCGAGAGCCAAAGACCCGTACAGCAAAGCTATCCACATCGTGGGAGTGTTGAAAGGATCTTTCCAGAACTGCGCATATTCCGATCGGAAGTTTGGCGCGTGAATCATGTACAGAAGAGGATCTGAAGAATTGAACCAAAAGGGAAGCAATCTATCAACCTCCTCCTTCGGGGGTAGCTGAGCTATAAGGGAAGCCTTCGACACGGGCTTCGGCGCTCCGAGGGTTATGGTCGATCTCTGATAAACAGTATCCCAATCCTCCTCTACGGTTTGTTCTAGCTCGTCAGTTTCGTCCAAGTAGTTCTTGACTTCGGCGATTTCGTTGAGAATGGCCGTCCAATGGGCTGCTCCAACATAGCAAGCTCCTCCGACCGCGTCGGCATGGGTAATCCTAAGTTGTCCAAACGAGGCTGGATTTGGGTCACCTGGATCGATATCTTGGTGAGGGGAGCTGTTGGTGTCTCCGGATGGAGAGGGCTGAGATAGGCCATCGCCCGTAGCTGGTGCACGAGCGATGTGCTCTGTTGCAGTCCCCGGAACAGCGTCCTGCGTATCCTTGCTGTTCATCAAAGTGACCACTAGACTCTCTAGGTTCTTGATCCGCCCTTTCATGTTCTGGGTCTGTTTTTGCCGAGTGGGTGGCGGCAGGTAGGAGCACGACGCTTCCCTAGACCGCTTTTGGCACTGATCACAGATGGGGTGAAGACGGTTGCATTTGAGCTTGCCTTGGCGACATGGTATGCAGCTCAACTGTGGTCTAGCTCTTTTGATTACAGGGCGAGTAGTAAGTTCCTCCAAAGAAGCAGTAATGGAGGCATTCGTCGAGGGTAGTGTGTCCGTGTTGGAGCTCTCTGGACTTGTATCCGTCATACCTGTATATCTATCCTAGGGGAAGTAGGAGAGATACAATATGGCTTGGTGATATCGTCTTCAGATGGGAGACAAGGCACGTAGAAGTTTGGGATGTTAGAATACAAAGAGGCTATAGCTGGCGTGGATTGAATTTATGATAGAACCAGGCAGCCCCACTCTCCGACCGACTCTCGTCCGCCAAAGTCCCCCTCGCCTCAGAGCTCTCCCACAGTGTCAATGTCAGGACCGTTTCCCATTGCCAGCTTGCTTCGGCTTGCAAAAGATCCTAGGCGGCTATCATTGTCGCTCCGGCCGCCTCCACGATGCAGCAGCATTTACCGTTCTCCGCGCCGTTCCCTCCAGACCCTTTCCAGACCCCCACAGGTTCCAGACTTTGCTTTCGCGTTTGAGTGGGCAAGCCGTCCTCTCTGGTTACGCTGCTCCAGCTAATTCGATATAGCATTGATGGCGTCCTTGTTCGCAGCTCCGATGCTCTTCCTCACGCACATAAAACCTTGTCCTATCTCCAATCGCAGCGCATACCTTTCATCCTCCTCACAAATGGCGGCGGGAAGCACGAGTCCGAACGGGTAGAAGAGCTCAGCAAGAAGCTCGAGGTCCCCTTGGACACGAGCATGTTCGTGCAGAGCCATACCCCGTTCGCCGATATGGACGAGTACAAGGATAAGGCCGTGCTCGTCATGGGCGGGGACCAGGACAATTGCAGACGGGTGGCAGAAAAGTATGCCACGCACTCTCCCATCTTCCAACCGCACATCTAACTGTCGCCCAGATACGGCTTCAAAGCCGTCGTCACCCCCGGCGACATCCTCACCGCCCACCCCGAAATCTGGCCCTTCTCCAACCAATTCCTCCCCATCTACGCCCCCTTCTCGCGCCCGCTGCCCCACTCTGTCCACCCCACCGACCCCTCAAAGTCCCTCCAAATCCACGCCATCTTCGTCTACAACGACCCCCGCGACTGGGGTCTCGACATCACAATCCTGAAAGACCTGCTTCTCAGCCACTCCGGCATCTACGGCACCATCTCTCCCAAGAACAACGACCCGAAACTCCCGAACCACGGATACCAGCAGGATGGCCAACCGCCCGTCTTCTTCTCCAATCCGGACCTCGTATGGGCCGCCAAGTACCACCTCCCGCGGCTAGGCCAGGGCGGGTTCCGCGAGGCTTTTGAGGGCGTGTGGGCGGCGCTGACGGGCGGGCCGAGAGCGGGCGTGGAGTTTCAGAAGACCGTGATTGGAAAGCCGTTTCGGCCGACGTATGAGTTTGCTGAGAAGAGGCTTGTAGCGCATCGAAAAGACTTGGTTGGTGGGGAGGATGTGGGTGCATTGAGGAAGGTGTATATGGTTGGGGACAACCCGGAAAGCGATATCAGGGGCGCAAACTCGTATAAGAGCCCCATGGGTACGGATTGGGCGAGCATTTTGGTCAGGACGGGTGTGCATGTTGAAGGCCAGAGGCCGGCGTGGAAGCCGACTAAGGAGGTGGGCGACGTGCGGGATGCGGTTAAATGGGCTGTTGAGGATTCGAAGTGGGATGGAGGGGTGAAGGAATAGTAGGTCTAGATTGTACGTGGGTTATGGACAGTATTGCAGCATGGCGTTTGGAGCGACTAGATACATTGGAAGGCGTCATCTGACAAGACGTCTAGCATAGCAATGATTGCAGGAATAGAACAATAATCTTAACTTTCTTCACTAATCCAAGAATCATTACACTGATTCCAGAGTTGGTCATGATATATACAATTGAAGGAACTACATGTGTCAGCTGCAAGAGTGGGTAGCACATCGTCCGCTATCAAATTCAGCAGACCTAAGCCATGGTGAGCTTTCAAGCGCATCACTGATCCCAGATCACGTTCGTGATTGCCCCACCACCCGCTAGATTCGCGACAATATCTCCCAGCTTACCTGTCTTCACATCTCTCTTGATGATGGCCACGTTCTCGCTCAGCTGCAATCCAACACTCACGATGTCACCAGCCGCGTTGAAGCTAAAGTAGCGTGGGCCGGTTCCACCAGCTAGCGCGAGTTGGACAAACTCTAGAATTCCGATAGCATTCGGCTTCCATACAGCAATAGAGTTGGACAAACTCTAGAATTCCGATAGCATTCGGCTTCCATACAGCAATAGAGTTGGACGCGATCTCGGTGCTGTTGGTGGGATCGGGGCTCGCGGTGATGAAGGAGTAATCCATGCGGTTAGAGTTGAGAATGAATTTGTTATCAGGCTTGCACCTAGTCAGCAATGCTATTGTCTTGATTGGTATGAGAATTAGTAGACATACGGAGACAACAATCCCAGCCGCTGCGGCAGTGCTTGGTACGGGCTTGCCGCCGAACGTGGTGACTTTCTGCACCTCTGTGAATGCCAGGCCGCCGGACTTGGGATACGTGACCGAGTAGCTCGTGATGGCGTTTGAGAGCTCGGCGATCAGGAAGAAAAAGAGGGGTATACCCTGCGTGTAGGGCGTCTCGGGGGACCAGAAGACGGCGTGGCGTAGGCTTGAGCCCAATGCGGCCTTTAGGGGGTCATGGGCTGAGAGGAGCGAGGTTGAGAGGTTGAAGGAGAAGACGCGGACGAGGTCGGCGCCGAGGTCAGGGAAGAGTAGGAAGTGGCTTATTGGGTCGAGGATGGCTTCGTGCTCGTGGGGAGCCGCTTGACGGTCGGGGTTGAGGCCAGATGTAGCTGGGGTGAAGGTGATGTTTTGGATTGGAGCAATGGTGCCGCTGGGAGACTTAGACCATGTAGAGATGGACGATCCATCACTCTTCTTGTCAGTGTCTATTTTGGAGACTTGAATATTGAGAGTGGGTTGGATCGTATCTAGAAAGGAGCGACTGGTCTTGCTGAGAGCCGGCGGCTCATCAGAAGCATATGCACATGCTGTCATACTTTCCCAAGACACGTATATCTTGTCGAGAGGCCTTATGTCACCCTCACTATGTGGCATTGTGCATCACTCAACACGTATTACAGGCGGACGTCCTTGAATACTAATAGGGAGGATGCTAGTTTCAAACTTACTAGTGAGCAAGCGCAATGGCCACGTTGTCGTTGAAGAAGATACTGCTAACAGGCCCCTTTATAGTGGCCTTTTGGTCGATGAAGGACAAGGCCCCATCCACAGACGTCTTAAATGAGTTGATCAAGCGATCCTCACCAAGACAGTATAGTACTTTGTTCGTTTTGTCCAGTTTGAGCCATGTTGGGGCATGATTTGAAGCTGATCCGCAGTGGGTGTTGACGGATTTACTGACGAGTGCGTTGCCACTCAAAGAGAGCGTAGATACTGTACCACCATATGAGGCGACGTAGAGAGTTGACGCGCTAGCCCTAGAGAAAGCCAGTACCAGATCAGCAATTACGAGCGCGCCCAGACCCATTGTAGCTTGATTTGGCGTGATTTGGAAGGCGAAACGAGGCCTTGCAGTATTGTTCGACACTTGGAAAAGACGAAATGTGAGAATGTGAACAAAAGGGAAGGGTTCTGGGGCTGAAGTGGAAGACGTGAATAGTAGGTACGAAAGTTAGGAATAATTAGATCCTGCCGAGTGGCTAGGTGGGCCATGGTTCCGAGGGATGATCGGCTGGGTGAATGTAGATACTACGCAGAAAAGGTCTTACTTAGGGCTAAAGGAGCTGAGAAGGGTAGATGCCAAAGTCCCCGGGTACCAGGGCGACGTTTCTATTCGAAGGAAATTCACGGCGGGGGATCTGCTCTAGGGATTAGTATATGCGTGCCTGAAGGCGGATATTCATGTTATATTACCAGGTAGTAACCAAGCGTCACGTCACATAGCGTTGGGTAGGGCCTTGAAACGAACGTGGTTGTGTCCGGGCGATGAAGGCGTCGGCCAGTTCACGGCGAGATGTGTCGTGAAACGACGAGGAAACGAGATCGGCCTTCTGCCTACCACATCCTCTTTTCAATCTCCAACCACTTGCCATTCATCACCTAGCGTGACCTTCCTCCCCAGCTGAAGCGCCTCCGCATTCTCGTATTGTCGATGCTACTCCATGGTTATCTGGGAATTGAAGAGCGTTGGTCAAGTCGCCTCCGCTTATGAGACATCCCTGACCGTGTTCCGCTAGTTATAGAGTAGCCCGAGGTATCATCCAGCATGCATTCTGCATATTTCATTCAGACCGAATGTTCTAGCGCCGTACTCCAGGTAGCCATTGATTGGAGAGTTCGTTGATGACAGCTTGTGGCTTCGCAGTCCTAAAATGACTACCTACCTAAGTACTGTATTCAACCGCATGCAGAGCCGTGACGCGCACTACAACGCCCGGTCAGAAGTATGCACACTGTCTTGGCGGACTTTCAAAGTTCAGAACGAGATGATTTTTGGCTGTTCAGAACGGCCTGTACATTTGGTGAGGCACCTCAGACGGCCGCGACCCAGAATAGCCTATACCGATTTCTGGAACGTCTCGGATACACGATCAGCAGTAGTAGAAGAGTGCACACGCTTATGACGCAGGATTGTACTCTTCAGCACGACAGTTGAAATATCGACGCCGTAGAAGTTCCTGAGTGGTCAAGTCTAAGATCATTGATCGACGCTTCAAGTCGCAATATCATCCCTGCTATGCTTTGCTAATTCGATCTCTCGGGAGTCTAATTCTAATGCTGTGACTTGTGCTCTCACGATACACACTTCATTGACAGCTTCGGGACTAAGGTTTCCAGAAGAGTAGTATGGTAGGCTTCACTATTGTCACCGCTAGCCACGCTGGCAGGCTCCCTTGAATCAAAAGTGGCGGTTCACAAACCTGTGATTCTATTCCAGAAGCCTAGAACTTGATAGTCATATGATGTAGCTACATACTCACTCTAGGCTTGTGTACATACAATTGCCTGGCGCTACTTGAGGTCTAGTACGTTATCAAAAAATGTAAATCGACAGTTCTGAGAAGGCTGATAGCTCTCCGGGCCACCTCGGACAGTATTGAACCGCCACAGCATGATCAACGGGGCCTGGCTAGGCCAACTTGGGAGAGGAAACGGAAGTCAAGCTGGGGGGGCATTTCATGTATTAGGCATGCTTTTCGTGGTGGCGAAGAAGTGAAAGGCTATATTTTCAGCCTCTTTCAACCTTCATCGTCTGTTACAACTTCATCTTCCTGGATCCTCAAGTCTACACTTGTCCAACCCACTCGTTGGGCTGGTTGACAACTCATGCAGCCTCAGCTCTTCGATTAAGAGCGACTCATACCTCCTCCACTTGGCGACACAAGACTGTCGGCTATCTCCAAGTAACTTACTTACCCCCTCAGGTTGAAGACTCTCACTTGCATACCGGATCTCTCTCATCTTATTCCTGCTCCGAATCCCGGCTCCTGCTTTCTTGGGGCAAATATCCATCCTCTCACCTCGCTCACTCGCAGCTCCGATACGCGACTATTCCTGAACCGACGCTTCGTTTGGCAAATCAAAACCTCCGCTTCCTCAAAATGCGTCCGTCTAGCAACCTCAATCGAGCATGAAGTCTTCCACTTGCTTAGCACTGCTTGAGATCCTCTAGCATATTTCAAAGATTCGCAAAGCGACTGTCTCCTTGAAGAGCTATAATACCATGAGAGACTCACCTCACTGGCCAAATCGAAGCCAATACCCTCGATTTGACGATGAGGAAAAAGAAGTACAGAGCGAGAGGCTACTAAAGCGCAAGATCGAGAAAAGAAGATATTTGTCTGACGATGAGGGAGAGAAAGCCCAGGACAGGAGGCTACCAAAGAGAAGGAGAGCAGATCTTCATTGGTCAGACGAATCGGATGATGGTGGAGAAGGGGCGTCGAGGAAGAGACTTGGTGGAACTCTCGATAGAGCTATCAGAAGGAGCGGATTAGAGCGAAACTCTCACTCGCCCGCGAAGGTACCTCCAATCGGAGCCTATGCTGCTCCAGAGTCATCGCAAGAAGTTGCAGCGCCTAGCACTTCAAACCCTCTAGGCAGATTGAAACGGTGGGATCCGAAAGCAGAGCGACCCAGTCCGAAAGTGAAACCTGAGGATCTAAAGCGAAGGCAAAGGCACTTCCTCTTCAAAGCATCGAAAGCTGAGCTTGAGAAAGTCGAACTTCATGTGTCTACCCTGCGCCGGAAAGTACATACAACGAACAAAGACGCATGCTGGCTACTACCACATTACGCTATTTCCCGTTCGGCAAACGGCTCAATCAGCTGGCGGACACAGTTCCAGGACAGCCAATGCACAAAGCAAAGAGTCACATTCTCTTACGGTATTTTCGCTAAGTTGGTTGAGGGCTCACTCACACCGCATGACAAAGAGATGATAATCGAGAAAAGCTGGGAGTTATCTCATCGTTGCCACAACTGGACATGTCTAAACACGCGCCACTTCGCCATTGAATCTCACGCGGCCAACATGCGACGGAGAAAGTGCTTTCATCTTTTTTATTGCTCGTGCAAACCAAAATGCTTGAGCGATTTGAAGAAACCGAATAAGTCGTTGAGTCCTCCTTCACCGGGAACCAAAGCGCTGGCAAATTCTATATCCGCTCATACGAAACAGTCGCACGTGCAGCCCCCGGCGCCTGCTACCACTGATTGTCAGATTGTCCCTGTCTCCCGACAAGCTCAGGCAGTTCCCGGCGAGCCCTGAACTGACGCGAAAGGACTCAACATCGCGAAAGCCCTCCTCCACGTCGACCGCCGCAACTTGAGCGAATTGTCATACGACTCATTACTACGATAGCCGCGCCCAATCGAGACGTCAAAACCGCTATCGAAATCACATTTCGGGTCTCATCCACGAGCAGCTTCCTAGAAATGGTGATACGAAGACACCTCGAGTCAAGCCTAACTACCTATGCGAAAGCAAGAGCAAGCGGACCCCATATTCTACTCCCTGGTTGCTTCTTATTCGGGCAGGATAATTCTAGCAAGGAACCCCGCCACCCCCTCGGAACTTGACACTCATGCAATTACATTTTCTTTTTTACGTCCAGTTTGCTGCACATCATAAAAATTTATCCTTTCTTCCTTTCTTCAGGTTCACGAAGATATTCAAAAGCGACACACATATACACGGGAGACGAGAATGGAGTTGTACTGTCGGTGGTGGCCCCGGTCCATACATGCTGGCAATTATCAGGGGAAGAGGAACGGAAGTTTCGGGCTCATGAAGGACACAGCTCTTCCAAGGTTGCGTCTTTACTCATCAAAAAGTTAGACCTATTTACGGACCACATTCAATCAAGTTAGCTTGCAACATTCGGCCTACCAATGAGATGTGACAAATTGCTTGTACATATGTACATACCCTTGTACGTGCTTGGCGGCGTCTAGGGCTCTCCGACGAACGCCGACCTCATCTCTCCGCGACGTCTTCGTTGCGTCCCAAGTGTCTTATTTTGCACAGCAAGAACACTTCCTGCATAAGCACGATGAATATATTGGTAGAGTAACAAATGGGCCTACTGACTGATTCCAACAAGTTGCTTGAATTCTTCACTTTATTCTACTGCACTCGAGAAACCAAGCCAGCTTCAGCAGCTGGAACTATGACAGCTCGAAACTCGGCCCGCGCGTCTATAGGTAGGTTTCCGAAACATTGACGGTGCATTCAGCATTTTGACGCGATTAACGGGGATGCGAGCGGGCCGCTACAGGCGTTCTAGAGTTGCTTGAACGCCGAAGTTACACAGGTACCCGATACGCGGCCTTTAGGAGGTGGAGAGCTGGCACGGTGCATCCTGGAATGTTAATGATGATGTGAATGACACAGCTGTAAGTTGACATGGCGTTTGCCTCCTTCATCCCTCGATCATGTAGCCTGGGCTCCTACTGGAACACGGCTAACATATTGTAGTAGAAAGAATAAGGAATACACTCCTTCATCGATCGCAATCCTGATTTGCGACCACTATATCCCGCCACCCCAAGCCCATGCCCCGCGAAATCCCTCGTAGCCTCTGCCTCCAGTAATCCATTCACTTTCTACAATAAGATCCCTTTGTCAAGTGCGTGAAGCAAGTAAGAGTAGTTATAGTGAATTTGGCTACCAGATAGGGGTAACGGAGGGATACCTGTGCTCCTCTATGGGACGGAGTGGGAACATTTAGTCGAGTTGTGGATAGCGAGCCATTGATTCGTCGGCACACTGCGGCGACCATGAAGGCGAGAACCCCCGGTGCGGTCAAAAGAAGGGTAGTGGGTAGCTGCATTGAGGCTCTTGTAACCTGGTGAGACTGTGGTCATAGCATCAAGACAGCTTGAAGGGGTATTAAAGGCTGAATCTCAACGTCCTAAATAAGAGAACGGGGCTTTAGACCTTCAGACAGATGAATGGGAAGAAGAGACAGACAAGCCATGGTGCTTTGGAGAATAGGTTTGTGGTTGAGGCCCAGCAAGAAAGAAAGAAGTTGCGACCCTGCTAAAGCTATAACTTATCTCCACCTTGTCGCCTCTCGAAGTTTGGGCCCATCAGAATTTCCCAAGCACACACGACACTCGACTTTCGCGTGCTGTCCCACCCACTACCAAATCATATGCACTAGATGCTGCACCCTCCCGTCGTTCGATAGTCACAAAAACCCCGGCCTCCCGTGGCGCGCCCGACCGCCCCTCCAACATCTGCACTCCCGACGCATCTACCGCGCTCTAGCACAAAACAGTCCTTCCCAACGTTTGTGCGTACCACTTCGCGCTCCTGCTATCTGGAAAGTCACAGGCCTTTCTTTTGGCACCGTCCCCGCCGCTGCTCGTCCAATTCACCGTCTGGTCTTCTGCCGGCGCACCTCCCCAGCCGCAACGCCTACGTTCGGGTGCCCTTGCTATATCGTGCCTGCTGAAAAGACTGGACTTCGAGGGGAATTGTCTTGATATCTCAGTCTCTCAAGCCTCCTCGGGATATAGGGACAGCCGCCAAACTGGCATCCCGCTCCAGGCCCCGCTCGCGGCGGAGTGAGTAAACCCGAATTCCCAGTTCGAAGTGCTCGCATCTCTCTGCAAGCACACGTCTCTACGGGTATCTTTGTCTGACCTCCTATAGCTCGCCGCACCGCAGCACCTGCCGCCACTGTCAAGGGTCGCAATCCCATCGGCACGCCTGCCCTGCCGAATCCAAACACTCCCTTCTCGCATATCCAAATCGTTCAGCAAGAAGACGACGATCTGCCATATGATTACGAAGACGACACCCCTATCTTCCGCCAGAATTCCCTGCAATCGGTAGAGCAGCTTCTCCGCGCCCCTACGCCCATCGCCGAGACGTCAAAGGCTACAACTTTCGCAGACATGGCTCGAAAGGGACATAGCCGCGAGCTGTTTGATGGAGAAACACCGCCGACGTCTGGTCCAGTCCCGTTGACAGGCCTTTTGCGCTTGAAGACCAACCGCAACAAGGGAAATAAGGCGTGGCGACCGCTAGAGGCTAGCGATTTCGACGACGAGAAAGACGGCGACGAGCAAAGCGTGTCTTCCAGGCGCGACAGCGTTGAGCCTCTTGCACATGAGATGCCGATGGAGCAAGCTTCGGTCTTAGGACTAACACATCTGAAGACCGAGTTCGGTCAGGCGACTGTTGATACCCGTCTATCGCGTGCGCAGGATCCGGGCCGATCTGCGGAGCCACTTCCTACCACCAAAATCTTCGATAACACGCGGAGCACCGACATCAGTCCTACCAGTACACGCACTGGTGGCCTTGACGACGAATTCTTCCAAGTGTTTGGTCGCCGCCTGCCCGATCCTATTCACCTCCAGCAGGTCACTGGTCAGGAGGACGGTGAGGTCATCTTCATCAGCCACCCGAATCGTGACGTCTCGGCTCATCAGTGGTCTGCGAGCTTTTTCCAGTGGATCAACATCGGTCAATTCTCGCATAGTCGTCGCAAGGTCGAAGGCCTGCTGGCTTCCGATAGACTTCGCGGCCAAACAGTCGGCATGAGTATGCCCCAGAACAATCTCACTTACTTCAAAGCCATCGCCGACCAGCGGCACCTGCTTGCGAAAGACTCTGCGAAGCCCCGTAACGAACAGCCGACCGAAGGAGTCGGTGAGCCTGCTCCACCACGTGCTCGTGGTGAGGCTAGAGAACCGCCACATTACTTGCGTCGTCTCACCACCGAGTCCGATCGCTTTGGATCTCTCTCTGGCGCCTCGACACCTGCACCAGGTGATAGTGCTCATATGCTAAATAACTTCACAACCGCTCGTGGAGTTCGGATCGGGCAATCTCAGCCGCCGACGTCTACAATGCGCACCGTCATCAGTAACCTTCCTGAAGACGACCCATTCGTTACGACACCTACCATCCCGCAAAAGTCTACCAAGCCAACCTTGATAAACCCTGCGACACCGTTCAAGGCTACAAATGCTCGCGCATCAGGAATGGACTATAACTTCGAGTTTCCGCCGAAGACGGGAGCCTCTCGTGAAGCCGACTCGCTAGGATCAGCGATAGATAGTAGTGCGCGCAGAGACTACTTCAAGAAGCAAGAGCAAGCTCGAATCTTGCAGATGCAAGACATGTGGTGGCCAAACAATCAGCACCCAGCTCCTCTACGTGAAATACAGGTTGGGGAAGAAGCCGCTAGCACTGACTACATCCACCAACGGGAGAGACTGAAGAAAGGCTTGATGAATCTGGGCAAGCAGGCAGAGAGGAACCCGACGAGCGATTATGCTAGCACAATGGCCGGGCTCAACACCCTCCGTCTAGACATAGACACTGTCCGCCCACGTCGAGATGCCCATGTTCCTCAGGTGCCACCCGGGTTCGAGAAAACCTTTCCTACACCACCCACGCGTCCAGCCCAGCAGCGCGCTATGTCGACCCTGAATGCGAATGCACCGCCCTACCGCACCGCCTATTCTTCTCATGTCCCGCCGCGCGCCATGAACGACTCTCCTAGTGCACCCAGTGTCGCTACAGCCGCCAACCTTCGCGTCAGTGACCCGGACAATGTGCAGCTTGCGGTCCCCGAGATTGCCACGAGCGTCACGCAAAAGAAGCCAATCAAACAAGAGTTTTCTGGCCCTTTCTTCATGGATACTATGCCAACTTCTCACGCACCCACGACGCCATTGGCCCCCTGTCTGGCCGAAGAAGAGAAGCTCCAAGCATGGTGGACGGATGGCCAGCGTCCCGCACGACAACAGGAGTACTACAAGACTATCATGTCAACATCGACCACAATCCGGGCCCGCAACGCTACTCTCGCGCCTGGAGGACCGGTTTCGAGGGGCGGCAATCACAAGGTCGCTGATCGCCTCCTTATTCCGCTGATCGAAAATCTTCGAGAGTATGTGGACGAGATGAACAACAGCCAGAGCGGCGGACGGGACTACTTTACACGCTCGTTTGTCCCTCCACCGCAGTATGCAGTCGATAGGAGTGGCAGCGGAAGTCACACGTTTTTCGGCGAAGACTGCGGGGCAACGCCGCTGCGGATCGGACGAGACCCCAGATACACTGGATACAGCGGAGCTCGGCAGGCCGTTGGTGTCGGTGGGAGCGTGAGCATGAGGGGAGCAGGGAATGAGGGTTCGATGGCATTCCAGCGACTTGGCATTGAGGAGAGGTGGGAAAGACTTAAGTATGAACGAAAGTTTGGTAGAGCGGACAGACTGTGGAACTAATACACGGAGTGAGCGCGAGTGGTCATGGCGATTTCCTTTTTTCAACATCTTCATATTTGCAATGGCGAGGCGTTGGCGGCTCAGGGATGACGGATTAATGATAGGGGCACGCTGAGGGTGCCGGTGCATGAAAACAGGGGAGAAAATTTTTTCCTCTTTCTTTTCTTTTTTGCTCAACGACATCATCTGTGTGTCTACCTTCCGCTTTCCACCGCCTGAGGAGAGTGGATCCTTTACGAGGTTCCTCTCCGTGGTTGTAGCCGGTAGGGCTTCTCGAGGCTTGGGCGGAGCCCCGACACCGCGGGAGGGTGGCGGAGCAGGAGCAGGTGGAGCGTGCATAATCCGGGTGCATAGTATACCCCTTGAAGCGTTAAGAATGGCACAGTAGACTACCAGGAAAGACACTCCGGCTTCTCCCCGGACTGGATAGCCGGCGCTATCTGATGATCATCGTGAGATTTCACATTGCCGGTCGCCTTCATACGTAAACTATTAGCACCTGAATCCATACCTAGATGCGCGGTATACGACCGCCCCGGCTAAACTTGACGACGCTGACAGCAGCGGCCGAAACAAGCCTTGCGAAAAAGGCTTCGCCAAGGCTAAGTCTCTGGCGTGAGCCCTGGAGAGGAACGGCGGGTGATTGGCACCGGGGAAGCGCCGTCGCGCATCGCCGCATGGGTGCCGCATGCAACTGCGGGCAGGGCCTGCGGTTGCTGGCTATTTGGAGAAGATGAAACTCTTACGAGGGCGCGGCGAGGGCTGCGCCTCGAAGGAGCGCATTCCGCCTCGAGCGGAGCTCTCCATGACTTCACGACGGCGCGGTACCAGAGATCAGGAGTGACGCGTCCGCCGTTAGCCGTCTCGTCCTGCTCCTGGGCCCTCTCGGCGGCGGAGGAGCGAGGCAGACCCAGGCTGTCACGGATCGCCGCCAATAATAGCGCTGCGAAGAAGCTTGTCAGCCCTCCGACGAATGCAGCGCCAGGGTCCGACGGGCGCTACGGCGAGGGAGTGAATGGACGGGCCAGGTCGTGATACCGGCTCGCTCGATCCCACATGGCTGCAGTCCGCATGCGGCGCCCTTGTTTCGATTCTGATGCTTATGTCACGCATCTGGGTCGCTGGCCATGGGCTGTCGGATCGTATTGCAGTCAGCCACCGTGTTGCACATAACGACCCCCGTGTTCCACCACTCGAGCGTGTGCCTTCGGCCGTGCAGCGCGCGCCGCGGCTCGTGCCCGTGGAGAAGCGGAAAGGCGCGCTGGCCGACTGGTACAGAGTAGGCAGATCGCTTTTATTTTGGGCCTGTCGGTGCCCGTGGCCAGCGCTGCTGCGTGCCGGTTTCGTGAGGTCTGAATGGACCCTGCGAACAGCCGAGGGCGCCAGTCGGCGCTGCTTTCGGCCTGAGTTGGTGATTACCCTGACCCTCAGCTACATATGTAGTGACAGCTCTGGGCCGTCGGGGTGACATTGCATCCTGCAAACCTCCGTGTCGTGCGCCAATAGCTGCGAGTACAAGTACATGTATCTACATTCTCCAACCCTCACCCTTTACGCCCCTGCCGTTGGCCCCAGTCTGTGGCACAGCATCTCCTCCACCTCATATACATACCAAACCACCCGACCGCTTGCCCATTCGTTGCACACTGCATCTTTTCTCAGCCCTGTCCGGTAGGTCATCATAGTTTTCTGACATGCGTTAGCCTCTTCCGTCAACACCTCCCCGCAGGCCTTTATCTCTGACTAGTCCCCAGTTACCTCACGATCACATTCATACACCATGTTCACGCTCAAATTCTACGTCTCAATACTGCCCCTGCTGTCAACACTCCATTCTGCAACAGCAGTGCCCTCGCGAGCGTACTGTCGATGTGTGACTTTCAACGAAAATGAGCCATGGGCTTCATCTCCCGCGCTGCTGGATGCCTCCAGGCGAGATGACATCTGCTCTAAACTGGGCCCCGAGTTGGAGTTATGGCGGCACGGCGACCCAGCTGCGTATGCAGCCTATTTCGACGAGCTCGTGGAGGAGAATGTCTGGTACCCGCCTCCAGAAGACGAACTGAAACCCCTACCAACCGGCGTCCTTATGGAAATATCCATGCCTCGAAACACCTATCACTACGAAGGACCCCCTTCCAGCGCCCCGACCGTACCACCCCGGATCGTGTGCCGATCTGAGTCACCGCGGCAAGTGGCAGACCCTGATTCAGACTCGAGCCTGTTCTACATGGCCGTAATCCTTACGATGATCTTCCTGGCCTGTGTCGCAGAGTTTATCAACATACTCCTCGCTCGGTACGTTTGCTATCATCTTTACTTCCTTTACTTCTCCTTCTGCCAGTCAGGAGGCGGTCAAGCAGGCACTAATGTATCGTCAGACTATCTACCGAAAAAGCATCAGTACGACTTCCAGGCTCCGAGAAACGCCTCCGAGCGTGGTCATCACCGGACTGCGATGTCACTGATGGGTTAAATCGCGATGACCCCCTTTCGGATCCAATATTCATCGACGAGAAGGCGCAATGAATCATGAGACCTGCATCATGTATTTTTTTTTCTTTCTTTCCACACTGCAGCATTTAAGCGATTTTGACGGTGCCTAAAAAATTGCACCACTCTTGGGTCTTGGAGATGTCACGAACTGCATATTGAACGGAGTTGATTGGGTCAGAGCGTTGGTAGCGTGCATGTACAGATCTAGGCTTCAAATGCCAATATTGTGGCTAAAGCACGTGTATTATGACGTTTTTTGCCTTGATAAAGGCAAACTGATGTCGTGATGGGTGGCGTGCGGAGATTATCGCTTTGCTCCCGGCGTGCCCATCCGAAGGTGTAATTCTACCGAAAGGGAATAAATTAGAGAGATCCAGCAATAACGCCTCGCTTTGTGGCTACAAGTCTTAACAATTGACTCTGTATGACGAAGCTCTAGATCTAGCTATGCTCTAGGACGTTGGCAATTTGGACATTTTGATAGGCTCTAGTCAACGGTACTACGAAGTAGAGTAACAACTTGCACCCGAATATGTGGCATTAGAGCGTCGGCTTGGCGCCCGCCGGACTCCAAGAGCCCATATCCTAGGGTGGACCTCGGGCCGATATGCGGATCCTCCAATCATATCACATGCACTCGCCCTCCGTCGCTCCTCACTCCTCATTCAATCATCGCGCTATCGGCACTGGCGGTCTCCATCATGGACTTGGGAATGAGACCTTACAGGCATTACGGCTGGGCGTTGCTAAGCGTTCAAACTGCTGATTCCTCTGGAGCGAACCTTCATGACCCTGCTCAGGTATCTGGATCGACGTTGATCTGGGCAGTGTATTGATGACATTGCAGTACTTTACCGTAGCAAACACTTTCTTTGGAAAACAATGTAGATCGCAAAACTGGAAGTTGTGGAATCTTGTACCTCCAACGTTCCCCGGAATGTGCTTTACTCTGGAATGCTTCTAATGACTTTCTTATTACTTCCCCCCTTTTTTTACAGCGATGAATCACTTCCTGCTCGTAAATTTGCAACGCAAAACATGCTTCTCTTACCAAGCATCTACTTTCTACTCTGCTCCTCCTTAGTCACTCCGAGTGCCGCCGCTGCCGCCAGAAAACAAAACCATCGTTTTCGCCATGAACTCGGGTTGTAACAGCTACAACCTAGGATCAACAACTCATACGGTTCACGGTCACCTACGTACAGACTTGGAGTTGCTGGCATAGTAGCTGCCTACATGCCTAGCCAGTTACAACTTCTACAGAGAGGGGTTGGGGTACGGTGGCCTACCCTGCCTAATGCTGCCTACTGCTGCCTCCAATTAGTGCTTCTGCCTATGCATACAGTCACTTCCTACGTAGTATATAGTTTAGCCTTCGGGCCCCCGAAATAAGACAGAGTTCACATCAATTTTCAACCTGAGTCATGAAGCAGTCGAGGCTTTCCACAAACGCCTCATCGAGGAAAACCTGGTCACGCCAGCACCAATAGTAGTCAGGCCAACGCCAGCATCGAAAAAGGTCTACACCGTTATCACGCCTTCTCCTGGAGCCTCGGTAGTGGAGGTGACGAAGCAGAGCCAGGTGGTGAAAACGTTTGTCCCGGTCATGACCATGTGCGTTGGCCCACTAGTTGGGCTCGTCCCAATCACCACAGCGGCGCCTCCATATCAAAACTACTCTACCGCGTACGGTACGACTGTGGCAGGAAACAGCTCGTGTTCGACATACTACAGAGCAACGTCAACATCGGTCTGTGCAACAACACTCACAGGTATAGCCCGTCGCGTTACGATCTCGAAGTGCGACCAACAGGTCACTTTCTCCAGCGACTATGACTACAGCCTCGTGCTGCCTTTTTCTACAGCGAACGGAACCGCCGCCGTTGCGCCAGCGCCATCCGTTGTCACCAAAATCACCTACCATCTGGCTCCTTGGCAGGCGCTTCTCGTTGGAGACACACCAAATGAGGTCGGTAGCAAAGTCTGTACCGTGAAGAACAATGACACATTGGAGTGTATCCATTACGAAGAGGTCTGGGAAGTCCAACCAGCCACTATACAGACTACACGGACAAGCTATGTGGACTTGACGACGACCGTGACGGGGCCTGGAAGATTCATGATCGAGACACTGCAGTACGTAAGACCCATTACACATATCGTTTTCTCCAGATGTCAATCTTCCTTGGAGTGTCAGTTCAGTGGAACGCCTTTGGGGACTCGTTTTACAATGCCTCCTCGCTTTGAACCCCGCTCGAGTTCTTAGGCACCAATGATTCAGTTCGTTTGACCGAAGAGGATTCACCATATATCCAATTACGTATTCTTTGACCGCCTGGGCCCTGCTAATGCGTACTTTCATCTTTAGTATGGACATCACTCAGACTGAAACCATCGTGACTGTATCGACGAAGATGCTCCTGGCGTCGGACATGGAGGTCGAAACGATTATCAAAAGCACGAAAACTTCATCTACAAAGCTACCAGACACGACAATATACATTACCAAGTCGGTGAAGCATGCGCCAACAAAGTAAGACAAATGTTGAGCTATTACGTCAGACTTTCATTCACCAAACCTTAGGACCAATGCAACAACCACGGTTCACGAGACTCGAATAACAACGGTGGTTCTAACCACAACGTTAACGCGGCAATGCTCTCATTCACCGTCGTCCTAATAATTGGGTTTTCAGAGTGGCCAAAGTTCGTCTCTTAGTATATTAGCGGAGTAGACAAACACCGCAGTTTAGTATTGGCAAATCTCCTCTCATTTTCATAATTCCTTCCTCGTCGATTCCCAAGCTTCTGCCTTCACGTAGATAGTAAAAGATGAAGAGCGGCCACGAACGCTGCATCTCCCATGACCAGATTTACACGGTGCCGTCAGCATGCGTGAACTTCACACCACTGCATCACTTATTTGCCATGTAATTGCCAGCACGTCAAACACTTGACAACATCAGCTAGAGACGTGGCAGGGCTGTACCTGAAATTTGCTCATTATTATTCCTTAGCCACCTCATTGCCTTCCTACCCTGCGACTACTTTTGACTCCAAGTTTTGACCTCCTTCTTTTGGACCTTCCATATATTATCACTTCATTTTTTCAAATATTCTTTCTACACCCTAAGAATATGAGGCTTCTACAACCATGCCTTAGCCTCCTCCTCTTCGGCATTGCGGCAGCAGAGGAGGCTATCGCCAACTTCGCTACCCCAAGCGCCACGGCCACCACCGCTGACGCTTGGGCAAACATACAGAATCAAGTCGTAGCTCCAACTCCCCTGCCCTCATCGTCCGCCTCGCAGAATCTGCCTCTGTCAACCAATCCTCAACCCTCCGATTCCAACATTGTGGGCAAAGCTAGACTCCGCCCCACCGTTACCGTGACCGTCTATCAGACCTACACGAAGTCCATCGGCACCTGGTTCGTGCCTGCTGACGGCAGCGACGGCTCGAATGTGGAGCCAACAGTCCAACAGGCAGCCGCTGAGGAGAAGACGGTCACAGTTACAGAGACCGTGACAGTTTCGGTGCGATCTTGGTATGTCCCAGGGAGTGAGGATGGTCCTAGCTGTGGAGATGATGGGTCGACGAGCTTCTCGTCAAACTCGTCATTTTCGGGAGCTACAGTAATGCCAATTGGATTGCCGACGGATTTGAGTAGCGGGACCGGTGGAATGGGGAATACGGTCGGAGTGAGTTCTTCTGGGGCTGGTACACAGGTCACAGCCAGTGTGCCCTTACAGACTGCAATGACCGCCCCTGGAAACTTTTCTAGCACACAAGCATATCAGCCGTCATCGAGCTTGATCTCTTCTCTTCCAGGTATTCCCGCCACGTCTCCAACAGGTTCCCCGACTTCTATATCGGCCCCACTTAGTATCGATATGCCGGAAGGTTTACCCACCGTCTTTCCTGACTACACGTACTCAGATACACCACCAAAGACGGGCGGAATGGCACCTGCGTCAGCAAATGTTCCCCCGAGCGTAGCAACAGGCATGCTTTCGTCTGCACTGGGGTCTGGGATCTGGAATACGGCTTCAGCTACGTCTATACAACCTAGCTCTGGACAGCCACTCTCGAACCTGGCTCCATTGACAGTTATTCAGTCTGCCAGGACTACTCTCAGTGCTCAATCTGAGATGCCCTCGAATACTTCAGCTCCGTCGCCAGTCGGTGGCGTCTCTCCAAACGGCCTTTGCGGAGCGAGCAACAATGGCTGGACTTGTCAAGGCTCGGGTTTTGGCGACTGCTGTTCTCGATGGGGCTTCTGCGGTACCGGAGATGATTTCTGTGGGAACACTACGTCTATGCAGACTGGAGCTGGACAATCACTCTCAAACCTAGTTCCATCGACAGTTGTTCAGTCTACCGGGGCTACTCTCAGTGCTCAATCTGGATCACCTTCGAATACTTCTGCTCCGTCACCGATTGGTGGCGTCTCTCCAAATGGTCTTTGCGGAGCAAGCAACAATGGCTGGATCTGTCAAGGCTCAGGCTTCGGCGATTGCTGCTCTCGTTGGGGCTTCTGTGGCACTGGAAATGACTTCTGTGGGAATGAGCGGATTCCTGGCCCAAGTAACTCCTATGATGTCCAGGGGTATAGCGGGCTTCCTTCCAATACGGCAAAGAACATGCAACCTACTGGAAATATCGGTGCTGGAACCACCTCTGCTTCTTCGAGTCTCCTGGTTCAGTCGGCAGCTGAAACTCCTGGTGCCAATATTGGTCCTATTAGTATGCCAGAAGGGTTGCCGACAGTGTTCCCGGATTATACATATTCGGATACGCCGCCGAAGACTGGAATGCACTCGCCAGCGTCTGTGGTGGCTCAACCAAGTATGCAGAACATGGCGAGCTCGCCATCGAAGGCTGCAGGCTCTGGACCAGGTCAACCGGTTGCTTCTTCCACTCAAATAGCCGTACTGGAGCCAACTGTGGACGTGACCGGGATATATAGATCGATAACTCAGGTTTCTCGACCACCGAGCAAGTCCCCGCAAGGATCGCCAGCTCCGGTTGAGAGCCTATCCTCGAGCCTACCTCAGTCACCTTCTGAGAATCTTGGGCATCCGTCATGGGCGCAGGAGTCAGATATGTCGCAGTTTCAGGCATTTCCGCATTCGGCACTCCCTCCACCATCGAGCCCTGCTGGAACAGGAAAGCCTATGTTGCATTATTCAGATCTCTTGGGTCAATTACATGAATCCGTGAGCACACAGACGGTACGCCATCTGATCACAACCTTAATAACCGTGACTAAGACGATTCAGGCGCCTGATGTACCTCCGGTCCGTGCAAACGTAGGGCTTGAACACCTACCTAGGGCTCCCGTAGAGTCAGCCAGCCATTCGAGTCACAAGACGCAGCATAGCTCACACTCAGCCGTAGGTTGGAGTTGGCAACTAGGTCATCCACTGTCCGTATCGAATACTACTCTACGAAGTAGAACGATTGGCTATAACCACACTTCCACAGCACGGAGCTCCAAACTACATACACCTGCATATGTCTCCCCGATCTCCTACGTCTCGGCTACCAATACACCGACGTCGGAAACAACCAACCCAAACAAGCCAAGAAGTAGTTACGCATCACACTTATACTCGTGGGCCTCGATCGCGATGTCCTGGGACCTGCCGACGCAGACCCTCACATCGACATCCTCATCAACACCTCTATCTTGGGAGCTTTTCCATGGAATCTCATCCCCAGCTTCAACGACATCACTGAACCACACAACCTCCTTCGAGTCTCCGAAGCCGGCGCACACATCCACAGCGACCATCACAACGGTCGCACATCGTGCAGAGGTGCGCCAGGTGTCGCCGAGCCCTAATAGCGCGCGCTCGGGCTGGTTCGCTCGGTGGTGGATGACACCACGGGGGCGGAGGACCGTGAAAGCCGACGAGAAGAAGATGGAGCACACGGTCTCGGATATGGCGTACAAGACCGCAGTTGAAGCTCAAGCAACTAAGTACTCGGCCAAGAATGCGATAGGAAAGCGGGAACTAGAAGGGATAAGCATGTACTGGGGCCCCTTCTCCTCAGGAACTGCACCGACATCTCCAGCGACAACACCGGTCCTACGTCCAAGCAACTCCACTTCTTCTTCGACTCCTTTCCGGCCTTTGCCTGAAGCTGGAAACTTGAACGACGGGCCTGATGGGGTAGATCCAGCTACATCATCCTCTAGTTCTATCCCATTGCCATCATATTCCTGGCCCTCTACCCACGGGTCGCCAACGGCCTCATACCACTCGCCCGCTCCTCAAACTCATTCTTTTCAGCCATCAACCACTGGTGCCTCGATCGCACCTGTCGAGTCCTTTGACTCCTCTTGCGTCTTCACGACCACCACAAACATCCTCCCCCTCGACGGCGGCACCTCAGCGGTCGAAGTGACCCAGACATGGACGGGGTGCTGGGTTCCTATAGCCTCAGGCTACAGCTCCAACATTGTCTCTATCCCGGCCCATTCAACCCAGCACATCACATCTTTGCCAGCCTCTGCTGCCCCATCCTCGTCAACCTCCGCTGCAGCTTCTTCGCTCACCTTTGCAGCCATATCGCCAATCTCGGCAGCAATATCTTCGCCGACCTCGGCAGCAGCACCATCTTTACCAGCTTCGGCCTCCAAACCTTTGCCAACCTCCGCAGCACTGCCCCCATCAACCTCAGGAACGCATGTCGTCCCGGGCACCACAAACTCGCAGACCCCTCAACCTCTCCCCCACCACTCCCCAGCTTCTCCTTCTTCCCCTCCCTCTAATGGATCCGCTTCTCCTTCTTCTTCTTCCACCCCCTCCAACGCATCCGCCTCCCCCCCCTCAACCCCGTCTTCCTCCCCCCTAGCCCCCTCCATCCTCGCCACCCCCACGCCAACTCCAACCCACCAACCCACCCTCCCCGAATGGCTCCCCTTCACGCCCCCAACCCCCTTACCTTCCGACCTCGCAGCATCCAAGCCCGCACCCACCACCACCACCGCGACGACGACCTCCAACGCGCCCGAGAAGCGCTTCACGTGGATGACGTGGTTCTTCTGGAGCATTGCGATCCTCATGGGCGTCACGAACGTGCTGCAGCTGCGCGTCGACGTGGGCGGGCTACCCGGGCGGCTGAGGGGGCTGGGGGAGGTGTTGGTGTGATATCACATTGGACGTGGTGGACGGGGAGAGGGATAGATAGATAGGGGGAGGGGGGGAAGAGTGTGGCGAGTCATTAAGATCGGTATCGGTGTGGAGAGGAGGAGGTGCGGATATTTTTGCATACTTCTGGATTCCAGGCGTGTATGTCTGCCTACTTGGCGTTATTTTAGAGGCGGCACGATGGAATTACTGGGGGTAAGCCGGGTTTGGGTTTACTTACTTACTTACTTACTTGATCTTGAAATGTACTTTTCTGGCTTGAAATGAGATTTCTCGATCTTTTTGTGTGATGAGATAGATACACGGCTTCGAGATGATTGATGGGCCGAGAAGAGCGGTGATCTCATACCTGTGCTTCGAGAGCGTGTCTGGGTGAGGTCATGGTCATACTTCTGCCCGAGGTTTTGATCAGGATGTAGTATGAATGAAGTGTTAAGAGCGCCGAGAAGGCAGAATTGGAATCAAAGGGCTTTTCAAGCGAGAGAAGAAGTGATAGAAGGGATAGAAAGTGAGAGCATTGATGCCGGAATCTGTCACTATTGGTATACGACTGAAAGAGACTAAGTGAGAGCGGCAGATGGAACAAGGCATTTCGCTCGTATCCGACTACGCATCAACACGGCGACAGCAAGGTAGAATCAATCATTGAAATGTGAAATTTGTTGATATTCTCAGGGTATAGTCCGTTCCCGTAGCACTTGTCTACCATAATTACCATAGTACTTTTTTTGTCTTCCCCACATGACTCGTAGCTGAGCATATCATTAAGATAAGAAAACCACTGCAAACTCTTCTACGTCTAGATCTTCTCCTCGTGCTTCACACTGACCACACTCAGCCTCCGCTCCACGTCCTCGAGCTGGGCAGCTGTGCCAACGTGGCCGGTAGGAAGCATGTTCAAGTGGTCCTCCTCGCGGTCCAAGCTGCGGTACTGGAAGTAGAAAATGGTCCCAGCGAAGAATGAGATGACAGCCATGGAGCCGTAGTTCCATACGAGAAGGGGGTCGGTGGAGAGCGGGACGAAGGCCTCGCCGATAGCGGCAGAGATGGCAGACATGAACAGGGCGAAGGCCGCAACGAGCGATCGCATGTTCTTGGGTGCCTTGGAGAAACCGTATTCGAGCGTCGTGATGGAAGCAAAGATCTCAGAGAGGGCAATCAGAACGTAAGACGGGGTCTGGGCCCAGACGTTGATCGGGGAGGAGCAGTCATCACCGCCGGCGTAGGAACCGCAGGTGGAGGTTTTGTAGCTGATTTAATGTTAGTATAGTTTCAGCGCAAAGAGGAGATGAGGGACGTACATATAATGTTGGACAACGCAAGCGCAGATCATGGCCGCGGAACCCATCCAAAACCCGGCGGCAATCTTTTTGATGGGGGTGAAACGGAGACCGCGCTTCCTCAGGAATGGGTACAGGAAAAGATCGCAGATGGGGATGAAGATGATCAGTGCGAAAGGGTCCAGATTGGAGAGAACATCGTTGGGCACTCCATGAAGAGACATGGTTGCGGCTTGCGAGGTCAGATTGTTGTTGATCTGGTTGTAGGTAATCCAGTAGAGAGGGACCCAGAGGAAAACGCTGCACGCGGCCCAGCCTCGACCGACCTCGTCTACCCACGCGTCGTCGAAGGTCATCCAGGTGGGCTTGTTGGCGCCAAACTTGGATGGCTTGACGGTGTCCCAGAAGGTACCATCGTTCATGTGCTTCCAAGTTGCGACAGGGTTAATGTGCCAGCGACCCTTGGTAGCCCTAAGAAGGAGCTTGACGGCAGGGCCGAGCACGCTGCCCTCAGGAGCGCGTCGGGCGTACATGTTGCGGCAGAAGTAAAGGATAGGGAGGGTGCTGCAGAAGAAGAGGGTGGGAAGCATGAAGGACAGGTAGAATCCGACATAACGCTCGGCGTAGGCCATGGAGAGCTGGCCAATCAGAGCACCGACGTTGATGAATAGATAGAACCAGTTGTAGACTCTGGCGGTGGTGACGGCAGGGTCCACAATGACGCGCTCGCCGGTCTTGGGAAGAGTCTTGACGTGCATGGTCTCGCGGGGGATCTGCTCAGCAACGAGGGGAGAGATGTTGGGCTTGAAGCCGCCAGTGCCAATGCCCATAATAATCAAGCCGATGATGAAGGCAGCGAGAGCGCTGTGGGGCTTCTCGATGACAGCCGGGGCAGCAGAGGCAGTAAGGACCACATGGCCGATGATGGCAATGAGGACGGACCACACGATAGTCTTGTAGCGGCCGAGATAAGTGTCGGCAACATAGGCACCGAAGAGCGGGACCAGGTAGACCCAGAACTGGTTGAATGTGGTGAGGCCGGTAGAGGCTTGCTGGCCCATGCCAAGCGCACCAGGCTGGGCATCGGCAGCACCTGGGTTAACGGCTTTGCCCGTGGAGGTGCCAGGGTTCGGCGAGGAGATGAAGTTGACGAAGACTTGAGTGGTGCCGTAGTAGGAGAGACGCTCGGCCAATTCGATGTAGGCGATGGTGAAGGCCTTCAGGGGGATCTTGTCGGGCACGCGGCGGAGCGTGTGGAGCTCCTCTTCGGTGGGGAGGGTGGAGTGGGTGGAATCGGTCTCGAGGTAGTCGGCCTGGTGCATCTTCTCGCCGGCGAAGACTGGCGGCGGCTCGGTTACATGGTCAGTGAGCGACAACCTGCGATGGGGGTCGCCAGAGCCATCGGCCAGGGCAGGATCGTGCCTTGCACCCGCGTACTGAGGGAGTGTTAGTGGTGTTGCACAGCTCGATGCCACGCAGGATACGTACGACGTCAGTGATGTCGCCAGGCATAGTGGCGGCGGTGCTGTGGATTGATGGGGGAGATGTTGGTAGGAGATTGAGACGGGCTCGCGCTGGAGAGCAGATGCTGCCGGCGTCTGGAGGGTTAATATACTTCTGAAGCACTGGAGAGTGATAGGCCGCGGTCGCGTGCACCGTAGAGAGGGAGCTTATCAAGGGCAGCGTGCCGAACTGGGAAGGTCGCAGATGATCTGGAAGGCGCGACCATCACGACTCCAGCGGCAAACAGCGGGCCGCGCCCAATTGATGCCATGGCCGTCGTTGCGGATGGGCGCTGCGTTTGAGGACGTGGGGCGAGGGTTGGCCGGGCAGGAGGCCATGATGAATTGGCCCTGCTTTCGGAGTGGGGCCCGATCTGGATTCGCCACAGTCCCTTGCACGTAAAGTGGCAGTCTGTCATAGTACCGTCTGGGGCGGCCTCGTCTTATAATTTCTAATATGTCCTGGATGACCTCAAGCAGCGCCACGCAAGTGTCGACAAGCAAGCCTAGGGAGGGGCTGTGCCTTGCCCAGAGCCAGAGCTTCTAGAACAGAGCGCCGCACATGTTCGTGGACTGCTTGTGAACGAAATGCAGAGGTTCGACATGTCGTGCAATGCCACTTTTTGTTCAAGGGCGCGCCGCGTCAAGCGATGCCACGGTCGGCAGCCGAGACGCGTTCGAGATGGGTCTGTGAGAAGTGCTCTTCAATTGGCCGGGCCCTGGTGCTTGCACCTTCTGCTTGCGGGTAGACATATCTCCCAGCGGGGCCAGCGAAGTCAAGCTTCTAGCCCCTGGCGCATGTCTAACCCGAAGCTACGGCGCTTTTCAACGGCTGTACTTCGAGCAGGACTGAACTCCACGATGCCGTGCTCGTTGAGCATCACATTCGTCCTGCGCGTGGGAGGCGTGGCGTGAACAAACGGGAGTCGATGCCCTGATGTGTGACGCTGACAGAGGCTTGGCTGGCAGGAGGCGCAAAATATCGCAGCTTGTGTTCACGGCGGTTGCGACCAGATGGCGAGCAGCATCCCACCAGGCCACCCATGTCGAATTCTGGCGTCGAACGGCTGCGGGAAGGTCGTCGGCACGCACTCAAAATAGGCGGCTCCCGTGGTTGGTGCCCAGCTGCAAATGTCACCCCGAGCAGCTGTGACCTATCATCAGGCCTCCCAGAAGCCCTGGCCTTGGCACGGCCTCCAGCAGAGGCTCGCTGCTTGCGACTGCGAGAGCCACTGCGACCTCAGAGCGCCTCTTACGCCTCCATGCACCGTGGGCGGCACCTCCATCAGCGGCGGGGTCTGGTGAACGGCTATCCAAACCTTGATTGCGGTATGGTGTGCCCCGTCAGAGATAGGCGTCAGTGGCGACGGCGTGACGGGCGAGAGGTCGGTGCTCAGCTCCCAAGCTTCGAAATTTCTTCCACGTCGCTTCTCCCGTGAGCCACTCGCCACACCACCTGCACCCAGCGCCCACGGCTCCGGGTGCGACCCTGAACGGCAGGAGCGCGCGTGTGGCTCCCCGAGTTGCAAAACACCACGAAGACGCTGCGACGGACATGCCCGCTGTGCTCTTGGCGGATCGCTGCGAGTGATGGGCGTGCGGGTCAGGCCATGCATCGAAACAAGCATGCCAAGGCTGCGTCCAAGCAAGGTGTCGAATGAAGTCTCTTATCTCGGCTTGGCTGTCTGCTGTCTGATCGACCTCCGAGGTTGCTTGTTGGTATCGCAGCGGCGCGGCGAAGGGTGCTGGGCGGGGTTGGAGGTTGATCGGCTGCATGGTGCATCTTCTACGCGCGCTCGAGAAGACGCACGGCCCGCTGTATAGAGTGCTGACGCTGTGCATCTGCCCGAAACTTTTCGCTGACAGGCACGCTCTGGTTCCCCAATCATGCTCCCATTTTGCAGGCACCTCTCTCCACGGCTGTCTAGGCTCTCCCGAGCCCATCTTTCGGGTGGGGTTCTGATCTTGAAAACCAGATTGCCTTGTGGGTACTCTATTGGATCACGTGAGACCGACCTTCAAATGAAATACGGGGTCTATAGGTTCGTCATTCTCCTGCCAACTGACACGTTACTTTCTCTCGTAAAACCCGGAAGTTCCAGGCCAGACCCACGCTCCTAGCCCAGCGCTTCTTAGGTAAAACTCAATTCTTCGGAAGCCTCAACGACCTCATGCTCACGCCAGCCTCTGCGCCGGCGTTGAAGCCATGTCCCCTATCACTAGATCGCCGTTGTCGCTTCTGCTAGCAAACTGTGTTCTGCACCCTGCCGCACGCCTGGTCTGATCGAGCAGGTGGTCATCCCACCTCCCAGCCAATACATTTGCAACCGCCATCTAGGCCCTCGACCGTCTGATTGAGCACCTCGCCCCGCTTGTACGTGACACCGGCGACGTGCCCGTAGTGGTAAGATCGGCTGCTTGGGGAGAAGAGAGATTGGAGTTGCTGCATCGAGTTGTTACTGATTAGATGTACCGACAACGACTGTATTGCACACTCAGCGGAAAGCTCCCGCCCTCTTCACGATCCCTCACTACGAACACTCATCCCCCCCGTCCTCTCCACAAGCACATCATCAGCATCCTCCATAACCCCATCCCCCTCGGCCTCTTCCACCCCTTCTCCATCTCCCTTCACCCCCTCCCTCTCCCCCTCTTCCCTGCCCCACACCTTTCCCATGCTCCTCTCCCCCCTCTTCCCCACCGCCCCAAGAAACCGCTCCGTCTCCCTCGCCCACTCTTTAATCCCATCCACCACATCTACCCCGCCAGCCTCGCCTGGCACCGCAGTGTTTCGGCGCGCTGTAGCTCAGCTCGCGGCAGCTGCAACCCCCCGCGTGTGCTCCAATAGCTCGGCCAGCCGGTGCGGCACGGGCGCTGTGCCAGCACGTCCAGCGCGAGCGGTTTGTCGATAACCGCGCGGAGGACGGCGAGGATGCGCGTTGCGAGGGCGGCTTTGAGGGCGGGGAGCTGGGCGATGGGAAGCAAAGGTGCGGCGATTGCGCGTTCTACAGTGAGACGTATTGGTGGTGTGGTTGCATTCTGCCGTGGATCACGTCCCCATACGATGCGGCAATCAATAAAGGTAGGTACCCAAGTCTGTATGAAGAAGGGAGAATAGAGGTACCACGGGGAAGGACAGCGGATGCACGTGATTTAAGCGAGGATTGAGAGAAGGGAGAGGAGGGAGAGGCGGCACTTAAAGAAAATGTGAGGGGATGGAAGTAACTACGCGATTACACTAAAGAGTAAGCCGTAAGCGAGGGGACTGCCAGAGGGAAGAATCTTTTCACTCACCATTCCCGACTTGACGCAAATGAGAGACTTGAATAGTATAGCCCTCGTGCATAACCCAAATCCGTCACGACATGAAACTAATATAACAGCTTGAACGAGAGGGGTTGAAATTGGATTTTTACCACTTCACGATCTGTCAAGATCTGTCAAGATGCTACAAATAGCTCACACCGTTTTATTCCTCGTGAGTTTCATTTTAACGTCAGGAAGCCGGTTTTTTTTAGAAGGGATCCTAGTTGCCACCCAGCGGCCGCAAAATAACAGCTAGGAAAACAAATCCGTCTCTCCACCCTTCCTTCCCGGGCGAAATCGCAAAACGCAAAAAGCAAACCTATCAAGCTCCATGCCAACCCACTAATAGCACGCAAAGAAAAAGGGTATCCTCCATACCCAACCCTGCCCTGCCCACAGAGATCAAATTTACCGCTTCCTCCTCCTGCTATTGTCTTCTTCGTCCGAAAGACCAGCCTCCCTATCCTTCTTCTTCGCCTTCTTTTCCATCACATCCCAGTCCTCGCCTCCGCTCTCCTCATCATCGTCACTCGCCTCATCGCTCGCCTCGGCCGACGCGTTTTCGTCAAAGTCGCTGCCGTCCTCAGAGCTCTCGTCCGAGCCCTCGAGCTCGCTCTCCATCTCGAACGCGCTTTCCTCCTCGCTCTCCTCGCCAGCCTCATCGTCCGACTCGTCTCCGAGGAAACTCCATCCACCGTCGACGAAGAAAGTATGCGGATCCTGTACAACGGTCTTCATGATCTGCGCCCAGTTGAGGTTGAGCGGACCCTCGGAGAACGGGAGCTCGACGCTGTCGAGCCAGTCCTTGACGGCCTCGAGGTTCTCGACGGGGATGGTGTTGATGTGCGCAGGTGTGCGGTTGTAGTCTCTGAACACGAGCACCATGTCAAAGTTCCGGAGCCCAAACTGTACTCGCTCGAGATGTACAACTTCGAGTTCGCTGAGGGTAAGGCAAAGGAAGGGTGGCTCGGTGAGTTGGACTAAGCAGTCGGTTGTGGGTTGGATGAGCACCGAGGATCGCGAGGGAACACCGTTGAACCCGAGTTCGCGGAACGGCACGTCGACAGCGACGCCTTCGCCTCTGGCAGCATCTGAGATCTTCTCGGCGAAGCTCTTGAATTCTTTATCTAGCGCAGCGCGGCGCCTTCGCTCATCCTGCTCCTGCTCGAACTCTTCCTCATCGCCGAACTTGTGCCGTCGCTTGCGGTTTCCAGTCTCATCGAAGGCCATTTCTGTTGCTTCGCGGAAGAATTGGATATCTCGAGCCTTCTTCTTTCCAATCATAAGTGGGTTCTTGAGATGAATGTGGATGATGACGATTAGCTCGTGTTGACACGGTTGGAAGAAAAGATGCTTGATGTTCGAGAATAGAACATCGACAGTTTGGCCCATATTTCCGCCATGGACATAACGGAGACCATTCTGATGGATGGCGATGGTGCCAGGAACACGCTTGCCGTCGAGTGGAGGGCGTAGGAAGATCATGTCGAGATTGTAAGGTTTGCGATCTAGTCATTGTTAGTTTGGTGAACAGCGTGTACGCAAGCGTTAGCTTACTCTTCAGTGTTACCAGCTTGTCCTGCTCGACGACATCTTCCATCTGTTTCTTTTCCTGTTCACGTCGCACAACATCCTTCTTCAATTCAGTGATTGCCTTGGCGATATCCTCGATACGATCAAGATCTCGAGAACGGAAAGTTAGACTCCGGATGAAGTGAGCAGTAGGGTCTTCGAAGGGCTGATCATCTTTTCGCCCAACACCTTGTCCCGGAGATAGAAAGTTAATTCTCAACGCTATGAAGTCGCCTTCACTAGTCGTCGAAGCATTTTTTATGGTGTTGATGTGGAACGGGACCGGTCGACCCATGATTGGAAGAAGAATAGTAAAGTTTTTCCGATCCACATGAATGGCTAGATCCTTAACGCTGGTAGGAAGTTGACCGTCGCGTTTATATGACTCGAATCGTTTGAACTTTTTCTCTTCCGTGCCGTTTAAAGCACCAGCGCCCTTGCCATACAGAGCTAGGCCTTCCTTTTGCTTTTTCGCGTGAAGCTCCTTCTGATGCTCCCGACGCTGCTTCTCTTTTTCGGCATCTTGATTTGTTGAGCGCTCAGCACGAAGTCGCGTCTTCGTGACGTTCTTTTGAGCGACTGCCCCAATACGAGAATCCCGCTTAGGTTTGGGTTTCGCTTCGGGCTCTTCATCGTTGAAGAAGAACGACACGGATTCCAGGTCTGAAGGTGCATCCTTGGTGAAAACAGCTGCATCAGTGGCAGTGACCCGCACGGTATCCATGAGAACCAGAGAGTAAACGTTACTCTTCTTGTCTTGAGGATCCGGATTCTTGAGATCGTTGAAGCCGGTCGTGACGCAGAAAGTCATGCCGTCTTTCAGAGTTCTGGTGTTTTTACTAGAGAGGAGAAGAGTGTTGTCCTTGTTTTCGATTCCGATACCATAGCCCACATTCTTGAAGAAGTTTTTCTCTAGATCAGGCTTCTTCGACTTGAGGAGGTTCAGTGCCTTGTTGTAAATGTCCTTGGCAACGACTCCGTCCTTAATCGAGTGTAAGACCAGCTCGTGTATGGACAAAAGGAGCTTGTAGGAGTTTTCCTGCGCTTTGTTTGGGTCCACCATGTACGTTCGGCCTATCAAGGACATGTAGGACGAGTACCGTAGACCAAGAGCGGACACAATAACTCCAGTATGTAGATTGTGGTCATTTGGCTCTGATAAGAATTTCAAGTCGTAGTTTCCGCCACTTTGTACCACCGGCATGAGACCGAAATCCAAATTCATGGGATCGAAACTGCTGGAGACCTTGATTTTCTGGAAGAACTTGGAGTCGTCCAACTTTGCAGTAATCTTGTCCGAAAAAGCCTTGTGGGATATCTTCTTCTCTGAATCGAGAATTTCCGACATCTCCTCGACGAAGTAGTTGGCCATAAGGTGACTAGAGGCTCGTGAGGCATCGCGGATCGTTCGCTGCAAAATCATTAGCTATTTCTGGGCCTGATGATGGTAGCGTGATCATACCAGTTCTTTTTCGTCTTTGACAGCCAAGGCAGCATTCGAGAGGATGAGGCCCAGGTCCACCTGTTCAACATCTTTAGATATTCCTTCGAGCGCAGTTTTCCATTCTTCGGCAAATGGACCGGTTGCATTGTCCTTGGTCATGACGCCGACTTTCTTCTGGAGGATATTAGCAGAGGCTCACGAGTCTATTGATTGCGTTCTTAACATACACCAGAGGTTTTTATCAGCTCAAGGCAGTCTTGGAACTGCTTGGCGTTCGCGTCCGCATCTTTCCCTCGCACGTATATCTCCACAGCTGTCTTGCCGCCTTTGAGGGGTTCTAAGTAGGACGCTGTACCACGCCGTGTATTAGCCTTCCGATCTGACCTCCAGGCTTGATGTTATAATTACCCTTCTTCTTGGTCGTGACGATCCGAAGGATATCTGGGGTGAGGACAAACAGGGTCGTAGGGAATTCGTAGCCTAACAGCCATAACTACATATTCATCGTCAGCGCGGCTCTTTCGTAGCTGCTCGTCCACTGAGACATACCTGGAAAGCTGTTGGCTTGTGGTAGAATCCCGGCTCACCCGCCTTGCCAACCAAGACGACAATTGAGCCAACATCAGCAAAGGTCGCGTTGCCCGACCGCTTCTCCGCCTTCCATTTCGTGATGAAAGAACCCAGGCGGTCATGAAAAAGCTGGTTGTCGATGACGATTTCGTCAGCCATGATGAAGGTGCGCGTGCGCAGATGGCCCCGACAATCCGAACAGTGAGGAGTGGTGAGGCAGCAGAGCGAGGGCGGAGAGAAGTTGATGTAATGATAGCGGTGGGCGGAGGAGCGAGCGACGCGCTTTCACGCGGGCAAATCAACGTCGTCTTGGCGTGGACTGCATTTACAGGACACCAGGCAGCTACTCAACACCACGACTTCCCTTCTTCACCGGAACTGGCCTGATGTCTTTGCGATTTCTACTGTGTCGCGCACGATGACCACCGCTTCTGGCGGCCAGACCGGACCCCTCCCCGCTGTCAAACCCCAGCTAGATGCGCGAGGAGCATTCGTTGCGGCGAAGAAACTACAACAGGGCGACACGGCAGAAGAATTCGGTACCGCGAAGAAACCACCGCAAGCCAATGCTGCTACCAGCTTCACTGCGGCTGGCATGCGTGCCGTGACAGCCCGCGCAGTTGCATTCTACTTCCGGGCTCCCATTAAAGCCTTCTTTCCGGGACGGATCGACTATATGGGCTATGCGCGCGCAATAAACCCACGCGTTCAGGCCAACCTGGGCTGGTCCTGGAAGGTCTCTACGCCGGCGTTGCTTGCTCATGCGGTGAAGACTTATGGATGGCGATTTCTCCCCAACCAAGTCCTGCCACCGATGCTGGGCAATACACTGTATACAAACACTTTCCATCTCGTGGGAATTTGGGAGCTGATCAAACTCAGAATAGGAGCAATACTATATACAGCGTATCTGCAAGCACTCGGAAGCCTTCATGAACCCTCCTCGCGCTCGGCCAAGCGGATATTTCCGCCTCCGTCATTTAGACAAACTTTTTCAGCAGGTCTGATAGCCGGAGGGATCCAGTCACTTGTCGCCGCGCCACTGGACGCACTCCAGGTACGCTTCAGAACGGCCGATATGTTGGAGGGCAAATACAAAACCATGTGGCAGTATGCCACACATAAACTTCACGATATTGGCCTTCGGGGAATATTTGGCGGCTTCACGTTATCCCTGCTCAAAGACTCGCTCGGAGCTGCGCTCTTCTTCAGCACGTTCGAATGCGTGAAATCTCAGGCGTATTACTCGTTTGTAACGCATTATTACGGCGTCTATTCGCCCACCTCAATTTTCCTAAACGATAGACCGGTCATAAAGCCCCACTATACAGTCGAGCCGGCGTTCCTTCTACTAGCCGGTATGACCGCCTCAGTTGCGCAGCAAGCAATCCAGCATCCATTGAGCGAGCTCCAAAACGTGCACTATGGTCGTCTCGAATCGCTAGACTACCAAGCTCACGAAGAGATGAGGCCGAAGAAAACAATGAGCCGATATTATCACGCGTATGAGAAAACAATCGAGCAGTGCCAAATTCTCTCTCGTAGAGCCGGTGGGTGGCGGAGATACCTTTACAAGAACTTCTTCATGAATACGATTCGGCAGGTGCCGAGTACGTCTGCTGGGTTGATCATATTCGAGCTTGTGAGACGCAAATTTGCGTTTGAAAGCGAAGAGGTCCGGATCGAGAAAGACGGCTTTGATATACTTTTGACTTGAACGAATTATACCCCATCTCCAGCCATTTTGTATTAGTATATGTTTTCTGTACGACGATAGATGGGCCGTGAAGAACGTCGGCTCTTCTCATATATGTCAATACCAACAACCACCATTCACATATAAAGCTCAAAGCTCTTTCGAAACGCGCGCGTTACAGTCACTCAGCCTCTAATTGATCATGAAGTTCTTCCGTATTCTCGGCAAGCGGTAAGTTTCCGAGGCACCAGACAGTTCGAAGCAAAGCCTTCGGAATTAAATGAGAGATTGTAGGCGCTTTGGATGAGCCAAGACGGGTAGATTGATAGTTTTCCCCAATACGAGCATGCTCTCAGACCCACTATTGTTATCTTTTCGCGGCCAATGACCTTAAATAACGGTAACACTAGCGGGTCAAAAAATCTCAATTCGACGCTGAGTCGGACGAGGTGAGATACGGGGGGAAGGAGGAAACCGATGTAAGGTGATGGATGCATTGCTTAGAGCAAATTGGTTTGGTGCTTCTATTCGCAGACTGAAACCTTTTTCCATTTTCATCGGTCCCCACATATATCCTGTTCTGCAGCGAAAGATCGCATTTTGCTATCTTCGATGCCGCCTAGGGTCCTGTTGCATAGACGCTTGGACCTAAGGTGCAGTCAACCGCGAACCGAAAATAGCCCATCCGTCTATAAACATAACCAGAAGAAGCTCGCTCCGCTGAAACTCAGAATACAAGGAGCATCTATGCCTTGCCAGGTGCTTTCCAGGCACCTCTCACAGCCACCTTGCCTCCTACTTCTCTAGCAAAGAACGTACAGCTCAGATCTGCCGCAACATTGATCTGCAGCTCGACCTTAGCACCCTTGCTGAGTCCCTTGAGCGCGGCTTCCGCTAAGACGTTCTCAACCTTGTAGGTTTTTTCCCTCAACTCCTCCTCGTCGCTTTCGTCGCTGTCCTCATCGTCGTCTGAGTCGTTCTCTGCTTTGCCGTTGGCCTTAGCTTTTGGCTCCGGCTTCGTAACCTTGATCACTCTTATGCCCTCGCAAATCTTCACAAGTACGTCCCCGCCTTCTCGTGGAGTAGCAATGATGGCCGTTCTCCGTACCGGCACTGGGGTCTCAGCTTCGACTAGATGGCGGAAAACTCCAGTGGATTCATCGCTCGAGATGCAAAGAACACCAATCGCGCGTGCCAGATGAGGCGTGACCGTGACCATAGGGTGTGTGCTCTGCTCGATATCCTCAGTCTCAAACTCCTGGATAAGACTGGCCTGTATTGCGGCGCCGCGAGCAGCGAGCTCGCTGGGGTTGATGGCAGTGGGGGAGGTAGAGGGTGCAAGGACGGTGGTGGACCCTGGGAAGGCTGAAGCAAGCGAAGAAGCAATGCGCGGCGTGTGCGCCGTTCCACCGGCGAGGATGATTTCTGAGATATCGAGCGGGTCTAGCTGGGCCTTTTCGACAGCGTTTAGAACGAGGCGGGTGAAGGCCGCAAACACTTTCGCCGAGATGGTTTCGTAGCGCATGCGGTTGATGCTGCATGTGAAGTCGAAACCTTTCGACAAGCTTTCGACGGAAAAGTTCGCAGAAGAGCCGATGGACAGCGCCTTCTTGACCGCTTCCGACTCCAGCTTGAGCTTCGCAGACGCGCGATCGTCGCTCCGCGGGTCTCCACCATTCTTCCATTTCTTCAGGAACTCCTTGGCAAAGTAGTCCATGAGGACTTGGTCCAATTGCGCGCCACCAACGTCGTAGTCGTGTGCAGTGGCTAGGATGCTGTACATGCCGCCTCGGGATGCAATAACAGCGACATCAGAGCGAATGCCGCCTAGATCCGCGACGACAATGTTCTTGTCCGCGAGCTTGGCCTCTGGACGCGCATCGTAGGCGAGAACAGCAGCGACTGGCTCATTGATGAATTGGAGGACCTCGATGCCTGCGTCTTTGGCAGCTTTGCTAAGGGCTTCCTTTTGGGCATCCGAGAAGTTGGTAGGAACGGTGATGACGGCTGCGTTGACGTTCTTGCCCAGGTAATCCGAGGCAGAGTTCTTCAGTTTGCGAAGGTGGCGCGTTGTGATCTCAGAGACAGTGACAGTGCTCTCGGTATCGTCCTCCTTGTCTTTTATCTTAAAGGCTACCGTAGATTCGTGCTGGAGCGGGTGCGCAGAATTGTGGCATGGCGTCGGGTCTATTGATTTGAAACTATACTCGTGATCAGTCATGTCCTTCGAATGGCGTATAGCAACCAACATACTCTTGTCCTAGGAAGTCTCTGAAATAGGCGACTGTGTTTTTGGCATTTCGAACCAGCTGTGCTTTTGCTTGTGTACCTTGAAATTCCTCTCCAGTCACGTATGATAGTATAGAGGGAATTTGACGATCTATATTCCTGTCAGCCTCTAGACGTATTCTCAGTTTCCTCGAAACCCGAAATCCAGCTTGAATTAAAGTGTCCACAATTCTAGGACGCTGGAGGGGCCACATAATGCCTGACGCTTCCTCTTGTGGCCGTTACTGCAAACGTACTGCCTCTTGATATATTTGCGGCTTCAATCTTGGTGTAGGACTAGAATATTCACAACTAACCTCCTTCCTCGTTGGCGATGACCTCTGCTTTTCCTTCCTAGCAGTATTGTTTAGCGTTTTCCCGGTGCATCGTTGGCTACAAGGAGAAGACTTACCCCGGAAGTATACGCAATCGAACTATATGAATTTCCAAAGGAAATACCAATAGCTACCCGCTCAGCGGGGCTTTCTTCTTCGGACATTTTTCGTCGTGGGTGGATCGCGCGCTCCTGCAACTTGGTAGAGCCGTTCGCGATATAGTGGGGATGCTTGACGGGTTTCCTTGGAGTGCTCGGAGCTGTGTGCCGAGTATAAGACGGAAGTTGGTGAGAGGCTGAAGTCGAAATTCACGCCGACCAAAATTTACACTTCGACAAGCACCTGCCCGAAGTACTGCCGCGCCCAGTGGGGTTAGGCCTCGAACAACAAGTGGCATCTATGATTTCATCCTCCAAATTCAGCTTCCAGCAACACACTCACCTTAGACTCGGATACAACTGTCTGACACCGCTTGAGGCCCCCTGGTACGTTGGGAAGATTTGGAAATGGACCGTTTCAACGAGTCTGGTAGCTCTTTGGGCCACCTCAGACAGCGTTGAACTGCCACTTTATGTTCAGCGATGCCTGCCAGTGGGGTCGACTTCGAGAGTGCGGCTTGTCCAATCACACGAGGCCTAAGACTTTGTCTCAACAACAAATCTCCTTCACCTGTCTCACGAAGCATTGAACCCTTCAACGACATGCCTTCCGCGCAAGCCATCGTCCTGCCGGGCGACACCATCGCTCCCAGTGCGCTCCCGACCTCTGCGAACCCAAACAAGCCTCTAACACTCGGCCCTGGCCTCCGCCATATCCCACCGCAAACCATTACGACTACCATTGCTGGTGCCTTGTCAACCGATTCAAAGAAGAATGCAGCCTGGATAGAGTATAACAGTGGTCGGGTAGGCGCATTCGAGAACACAGCGGCGCAGCCTTGTACAATTCTAATGAATAGCCTAGTATACACCGTCTACCTCCGACCTAGTCATCGCTACAGTTACAAACTCAGTCTCCGAGGCATACACCTGCACCCTTACCCCATACACCCCTACAGTAACGCTGCCGCACTTGGCATTCGAATCTGCAACCCGCAAGACTCGTCCACAGCTAGCCAACCATGCCCTCGTCTACGCTCGCGTTGTGTCCGCATCCCAAGACACCGCCCCCGAAATCACTTGTATAGATCCTAGCACAGGAAAGTCTGAAGGCCTGGGGCCTCTGAAAGGTGGCATGTTGTTCCCCATTAGCATGGGTATGGCGAGGAGGCTGCTAAGTGGCAGGAAAGGCCGTGTCCAGATCCTAGAGGGCCTCAGTGAACGGCTGGCGTTCGAGGTTGCTGTCGGGAGAAATGGGATGCTGTGGGTTGATGGTGGGAACGTGCGAACAACGTTAGCGGTCGGTCGTGCTGTGCAAGAGGTGGATACGGAGGCTCTGGGAGAAAAGGGCCAGAGTAAAGTGGTGGAACGTGTGTTAAGAGGGCTATGAGAGAAATCACCGTCACTTTCAATGCTCGGCCAACAAAATGGAGTTCGGACATGGCGGTTTTGGGTGCATTGGGTGGAGTTCACGCCTGGAATTCGGCGGCAATATACCCCTTTCGCGAGATACGAAGGTAGTGGAATCACGATTCTCGTCTACATGCCACTGCCATTCGTCTCTGAATGTTCCCTAAACTCTCTCTTCCCTCTCGGCTCTAAGTCGGGGATGGATTCTAACTTTAACGACATTCGCGATCTTCGACAACCTTCTACCAGCTGCAAACCGGCGGAAGTAATCTCGCAGCCAACGTTTCAAAATCCAAAAAAAGGTCTCAGCTTCTATCTATAGCGATTTCTACTGCAAGGGGATCTTCAATGATACTGTATATCGAGTCTTTCCTGTTGCTGCCAAGTCAGGGCTAAGAGGGTAGTGTTGGTGACAATGTGACAGCATACTCGAGGACCTCCCGGCGGCCATGAGCTATGCGGGCATCAACAGTTCCAGGATGAGCTGTCTTGCAACTCGAATCGCTAACAATAACCATAGGCGTCATGTCTCTTGCCCGGAAATTTTACAGCCTTATCACGGCATAGTCTTGGATGCGGGGCGGGGTTGGTTTGCCCAATCGGCACTGGGATGAACGAAGTGTTGATAATTAAGTGGGGTGCTACGCCCTACACACCTCATGCTTCCGTGAGTCAACTCCAAAAATTCCGTTCAAACAATCTCCACCCTCTTTTCTCTCTATCCTACTATTTCGTACTTTGAATAGTCAAGGCTTCCTCGCGTGCCGTTTAGCAATGGCATCCATGGACGAATACCCGGTCACAAAGGGCTCCGAGGAAGAAATTCCGCTCGACAAATTCTCGTTTTCGAGTGACGATTCATCTGGGTCCGAAGAAGATCAGTTCTTACTAGATGAAGAAATAGCCACACAAAAGTTGCCACCAGTAGATAGGGGTGCCGGAGCGTGGAAGTTCCTTTTCGGGTGTTGGCTTATAGAGGCCGTGCTATGGGGTATGTACTGATTTCAGCTATTCAAGTGCTGGTTTCGATTCATTATGCACGTACTCATGATCTCTTAGGCTTTCCTCTTGCATTCGGGATATTCCAGTCCCATTATTCACAACACTCTCTGTTCAACACGTCAAAAAATATACCCACCATCGGCGCACTCGCTGTTGGAATTTCCTATCTCGGTGTCCCACTCACTAGCCCTATTACGCTCCGCTATCCGCAGTATCATATTCATATCCTTTTCTTTGGTTGGGCTCTCTGCATTTTAGGCCTTGTCTTCGCCAGTTTCGCGACCCAAACATGGCACCTCATACTTACTCAAGGCGCCATGTACGGAGTCGGATGGGTCGTATGCTACACGCCCTTCCTAATTATGTTGAACGACTGGTTCTACGACCGCCGCGGCTTGGCCTACGGTATCCTCTTCGGCGCCTCAGGAGTATCCGGCCTGATCCTCCCCTTCGCCCTCGAAGCCCTCCTCGCCCGCTACGACTTCCGCATCACCCTGCGCATGTTCGCCATCATCGCCATCCTCGTCTCCGGGCCCAGCTTCCTCCTCATCCGCCCCCGCATCCCCGTGCATCTCCAGCACAAAGCCCCGTCGCCATCTGGACCCCCAAGACCCTACAACTTCCTCCGCAACCCCCTCACCTACGTCTTCGGCTGCAGCATCGCCCTCCAAGGCCTCGCCTTCCCCTTACCACCCACCTTCCTCCCCTCCTATGCCACCGCGCTCACCCTCCCCGCCCCCTCCGGCGACTTCCTCCTCGCCCTCAACTCCCTCGCCCAAGTCACCGGCCAGATCCTCCTCGGGCACTTCTCCGACAACGTCAGCACCCACCTCCCGCACTCCGTCTCCTCCCTCATCACCGGCCTCGCCGTGCTCCTCCTCTGGGGCCCCGCGCGCGGCATCGGCAGCCTCGCGGCGTTTGCGGCGCTGTGGGGCGCGTTCGCGGGCAGCTACAGCGTCAGCTGGACGAAGATCGCGGCGCGGATGGCGGAGGGCGAGGATGAGGGGAGACGGGCTGCGGCGACGATGACGTTGTATGCGTGGTTTAGCTTTGAGCGCGGGGTCGCGGATATCTTGGCTGGGCCAATTAGTTCGGTGCTGCTGGGGAGCGATGTTAGGGTTGGGGAGTTTGGGGTGGGGAAGTGGAAGGGGGTGGTGGGGTTTTGTGGGGGGGTGTTGTTGCTGAGTTCGATGGGGGGGTTGGGGTGGTTTTGGGAGAGGAGGGGGAGGTGGGGGAGATGAGGTTAGCGTTGGCTTGAAGGATGTTGGATTGGGACACTGTAGATGGCGCTGATTCAGGACTAATGGTGATCCCTGCCCTCGTGATGGCAAAGCCCAGCGAAGAGCGCTGCGATAATTGAGTGAATTACTACCCTAGGAACTTAACAGATGGACAAAATAAAACCATTCAACAAAATCCTCTGCCGTCATGAATATAGGATTTCACGCGTGGCCGATATCCAATGCCTCCACTTCTTCTCTCCTTGACCAGGCCAGCCACAGTGAACCCACACATCAGCTGGAGTTTCGCTCTGCTCCTTCACATAGTCTTGTCGTTTATAGCATTAAAATTTGCCATTTGCCTACAACCACCTTTTGCTCTCCCTAGTTGCAACATTGCTTGCCGCAGGGGCCTGCGCGACAGGAACTGCGGCGGATCCATCACTTTCTTCAGCACCTAATGCATCACCCGCTAGATCACCTGCTGGTGCTGGTGCTAGTGCTTTAACTTGAACTGGGTTAGCTCTCTCGTTCGCTTGTTGAATGGCCTCGTCCCTCTGCTCTTTTGCCCAGTCTCTTGCATTTCTGTACGCAGTGGCTCCCTGCCGGAAGGTTTCTGGATCACCGGTTATGGACCATCCCTTAAGTTGATTCGTAAAATGCTCTGGACGGCCCTCGGCAGGGTGGCTGGTATACATCTCGAGGGTGCCGCTATAATAAATCGATGTAATGGTATAGGCATTGTTGTTGGAAACAGGCTTGTCCTTCCCGTATAACTGAAGACTGTGCATGCCTCTTACCCCCAATGTACCGTTGTAACAAGCCTGTCGTCCAGCCACCGCCAACAATTCATCCGGCCCCTTGGCTGCCAGGAAAAAGTTCGGTATAATAGGAAGGTCGTGCTGCGTTAAAGGAGTGATATGGCTGCTAAGATTATCGCGGACTTTTTAAGTGAGCTGTTCTGGGCGCGTGCTGTAGTAAACATCTAGGTTCCCAGGTTTAGGCGTGCCGTTAGTCAGGGGGTCAAGGTTAGTAAGGGGGTCGAGGTTAGTGAGCGGCATTCCTCCCGAGCGGCATTTAGCGTCCGCGATCTTGCCCTCGATGATGGGAATCACAGATTCTGAAACCTGCTTTTCTTTGGCGGCATCAGCATTAGCCTGCATAAAGTTTTCAAACTCTTCATTAGTAAATTTCGATGGCGAGAGAGAAGGCCGACGTTGCGCTAATCTTTGGTTAATCCCCCCCCTAATTATTTGGCTTTGTAGGCACACTGCCTTCTAGAGTGTGTGGACGAGCGAGTAGGAAGTGGACAATGGGCATTTTAGAAACGACGGAGGTATGCTACGACGGGCGTGGGACGTGGCGCGATCATTGCAGCATCATAGGGACAATGATATGTTTCTGGGCTTCTTTGATTCTCATCGCTCGCATCCCTTTTTTATTATGCCTACACAGCTTACAAGCTCTCCGCCAATCGAAGCGCAGCTGCTTGTCGCTCTCCACGAGTGTCTTTGAACACCGCAACCGCGAGTTGGGTCCTAATCTTGTCAAACCTCGTCAACTCCTTTTTCCTTCCTACCTTCACGCCGCATCGAACACCCCTCCCTGCCTATAATTGTAATGATTTCCGGTAATCTATCCGCCTCAACCCCGTCCCGACCCCACGGCTTTACTGTGTGTATGTGTGGGAGTAGTTGGAGGGCTGGGGAAGCGCTGAGGTTGTGAGATCCCCTTCTGCAAATCTACTGGATTGGATTTCTAGCCGTGATGGTATGATAGAAGGTGAAGCATTCTTGATGAGGGTTGTAGCTTGAGACTTCGATGAGCGTGATGAAATTAGTGGTAGTGGGTTTAGATAGGTGTAGTGGTCTCGAGATCCGCTTAACCTGTATAGCTGAGATTGCTATGTACCAGTGTATACTTTCGAGGAATGGCGAGTGACGAAGGTTAATTCTTGGACAGCGTTAGGACGAAAGTCTGTGTACTCCTGCTTACTGTGTACTCCTGCTTACTACTGTTTGAGTTTCTTCGTTGCGTTATCTGGAATTCAGGTGCGAGGAAAATGTCAAGGCAACACGTATTAGGCCACAAACGCATCGAATCGGCCTGTTTCTCTGTTTCCTTCTGTTTGGCGCAACGTCTTATTAGAAGTCTGGAAGCAGGGCTACAACAAACTGCAAAGAGAGTGTAAAGCCTTACGTCGCCGTACTGTAAACCAGAGGTGAACAGGAGAGAGGAGTAGGAGTTGACTGCGTTCAAATATAGCATTCACCATTGAACAGCTAGTTCGACGAGCTGCCGTGCTCCAGTAGGTTAAGCCCTACTACGAAGGAGCTCGTTTTTTGACTCCTACCCTGCTACCTGGTACCTATGTATAGAGAAGTGCTCAGTGGCGAAATCATATCTTCTAAGCCTAGTTTGAGCAACAAGGAGGAGATGGTGAGTTGATTCAAGACGGTGTAGGATAAAAAGACGGCCATGCTATTGAAGTAAGTTGATGGGTATGTGATTCAGGGAGCAGGTGGAGTCGGCATATTGGTGACGGGGAACCGGCTTTTTGAAGAAAAATGTCAGGATAAATGCTGGTGTCTGTACCGCTTCTTTTTTACCTTCTGCATTGGCAGCTTCGCTATCAGTTCTCGAACTGTCGTGATCGAGTGGCGATGTCCGAAGTGGGTTAGTATGCATTTCTTCGAATAGTTATTGTGTAATCTTGACTACTTCCCGCGCGCTTGGACCTTGAGACTAGGGAAGCTAGGGATGTCATGCTATACGCGGAGTATTTCTCGTGAGGGTCCATGACAGGAAATGGTCTGGGGACGGCAGGTGGTCAGCCAAAGGTGTGGAATAGCTCGTTGTTCGAACTGAGGGGATCTGTGGCGAGGTTGGCCATGCCAGCTTTGGCTCGAACCGCGAGGGGAAGTGAGTATGACGTCCATCTTCTTTCTGGAGTCTGCGGCTGCACGCTTTAGGAACAGATAAGAAAGGGCACACTGATATCGTGAGACTACAGCCGCTATCGTGTCGTTGAGGTTACCAGGCCCAATTAGGGCGGAGGTGATATTTGGAACAATCCCGGACTTCTCTGCGATGAAGGATCGAGATGAGCGGATGAGGATCTCGTATTCTTATGAGACCATCACGGTGACTGCATCGGTTGTCTCTGATACTGGGGGAAGTTTCCAGTGGCGCGCCTCGGTTACTCGGCACGTGATTCACTAAAGGGCCAACCGCGGCGAGATCCGAAAGCTTAAAATAGCTTCGCGCTCCCCGCGTTACCACTCACAGCCCGGACTTCACACAAGCAACGCTAGCACGGATAGCACATCTCCCCGAGACGCGCTGTGGTCGAATCTGGCTGCTGATGGTACTCCGGAATAAGCTAGGCTAGAGGTGGGCAGCTAGGCTGGCCTGGCGCTGATGTATTTCTGCAAAGTTGATATCAGGCAGTTCCCCGTTTGAGTATGGGTGCTCCGAGGGGCCTCTCTCTGACCCGCTCTCCCATCGCCCAGGTTGTCAGAATTCCAGGAGCTCGGAAGCAACAGTGGAGATGCAAGGCTTAACAACACGAGGAGCTCACCTAGATGCTGGAACCCGCGAGTAACCGTGGTCAACGGTGCGGCCGTTCCCAGGGCGGCAGCTAGATGGTGGTGGACGGGCTGGGCCGGCGTCCAGCGCGCTTCGAGACGGGCAGTTGGTGGATGATAAGATAGAAGAAGTATCACGCTGGCGGGCGTTCTCGATCGGTTTCGGTCGAGGAAGGCGGTTGATGGGGTAAACCGTGGAGCTGCGTTGGAGGTAGGTCCCTTGGTCGCGCGACGGTCTCTCCAGGTGGTGCTGGGAGATATGGGAGGAGTAGTGCCGACCTGCCTGTTTCGTGCGCCGACCAATATGCCAAGCGACGATCACAAGAGATGTCGCGACTGGAGGGGTACGAAATGGCATTTAATTTGGCAGAAGGGCGGGCGCTGCATGGATGACGGCCAGCGCAGGCCTGAGGAACGACGGAGCCTGTGGAATGATTTGAATTGCGCTTATCGCGAAGCTCATGACGGCAGCGCGATGAAACGCTGCAGCAGGATGCACACGAGACGGGGCCCAGCGAGTCGAGGCCAGCAACAACCCTGAGGGTGACATGAGTTGGGCATGAAGAGATTGATAGCAGGATGCACAAGCTGGACGCACAAGCTGGCCGCACAAGTAAATGGCATCAGTTCCAGCTCAAAGTCCACACACCCGAGGAGACGGGCAGGAGCGAGCAAGGTGCGCAACGGGCAAGAGCGAGGTGCAAGCAAGGTTCGCGCCATCGCCACAGCCGTGCGCCTGAATCTGCCCTTCTCCAGGGCTTGGCGTGCTGTAACGTTGTCTCCAGTAAAAGGCCCGGCCAGCGAATCATCGCGACTGTGTTGTGCCGCTGAGGTCGCTGGCCAGGGCTGTGGCTTCACCAAGCTCGCTGCAGTGTCCGGCAGCTTGCCGCAAAACAGCAAGTCCTGCGCCGCGTCACGGGCCGACCGAGGGCGCTCTGCTCCCTATTCGCCGTCGCCAACCTCACCTCGCGCGCACGATGCGCGCCAGGGTCAGCGGCCGTCGGTGGCTGGAACTCTGCATCAGCATTCGATTCGCTGCATCGGGGGCGTTGCGCCGTCGTGGGTACGGTGCGTGAGGCCAGCGGTGCGACGCCCAGAGATTGTGCTGCTGATCTTGCCCGGCCGCCGACGAGCTTCCCCAGTCGTTGGACCCAGCCATACTAGGATTGGCAGGTTGCTGGCCTTCTAGAGACCTTCCATGCCGTTGGACGTCCGTCCCGCTGCCGGCTGAGTGGCTGCCGCCAGACTATCACACAGGGCACTGACCGGGGCCGTGATAGAGGCAAGCAGCCGATAGCCAACCCGTAGCCAACCCGTTGCCAACCGTGCGCCGAGCACGATATGCCAATCTGAGCGCCTACCCTTGAGCAACACCTATATTACCTTGCCCAGCTGCCCCTCTTCCACCGGCCATCGTGGTCTCACTTCACGCACCCGCACACGACACCATGGCTGTCAACGAGGTCCTGGACCACAACACTGAGGGCCTGGGGCAGATCAACCCCAAGGTGTAAGTGCCCTGACCATCGCGTGAAACCTCACCGCCCGCGTATTGACCGTCGCAGCGCCCCATTGACTGAAACCGAAAACACCTTCAACACCCCCAACGACGGCCAGGACTTTGGGGATGAGAAGGAGTACGACCTCACCCACACCAAGGAGCTCGACGAGGAGGGCAACGCCGCCTTCCTCAGCGACCCCTTCTCCCCCTTCGACGACCTACCAGCGGAGCCCAAGCGAATTATTACCATCCGCGCTGTCTTCGTCGGCCTCTGCTGCGGTGCCCTCGTCAACGCTTCCAACGTCTATCTCGGTCTCAAGACGGGCTGGACGTTCAGCGCCAATCTCTTCGGCGTGAGTAGCTCCACGCACGTGCTCCACCAAGTCCGTATCTAACAGAATCCAGGCCATTGCTGGTTTCGCCGTCGTCAAGTTCTTCGCCAGGACCTTCGGCGAGCTCCCCATTCTCGGTGGGAGCTTCGGCCCCCGTGAGAACAACATCGTCCAGACCGCCGCCATGGCGTCTGGTGGTCTTTCCAGCGTCTTCGTGTCAGCTTTCCCCGCCCTCTACCAACTGAACCTCCTGGACACCCCCAAGGCCGACTTCTGGAAGATCGTCTCCCTGACCGCTGTCTCGGGCTACTTTGGCTTCTTCTTTGCCACGCCCCGTAAGTGATTCGAAAACTCGGCTTCGACCTTGACTAATGCTCGCCAGTGCGTAAATTCTTCATCATCTATGTGGCCCGCGAGCTCCGTCTCATCTTCCCCACCCCCTCGGCCACTGCCATGACTATCCGTAGCATGCATCAAGCCGTGACTGGAGAAGCTATGGCCAAGATGAAGATGAAGGCCCTGTCTGGTGCATTTGCTGGCGCCCTGATCCTCCGTGTCGTCTCCCAATACGCCATTGGCATTCTCTGGGACTGGCATATCTTCACCTGGTTCTTCATCTGGGGAAACTACAACAGTAAGCTTTCCTCTCTCCCCAAATCATCCACCCGCTGATCTGGTCAGACGCCGCCATCAACGTTGAGAACTGGGGCTGGCTCATCGAGTTCACGCCCGCCTTCATTGGCTCTGGCATGCTCGTCGGTCTTAACGTGTCTATCTCTTTCTTCATGGGCAGCGTTCTTGCCTGGGGTATCATCGGCCCCGCCCTCGTCCACAATGGCATTTGCTGGGGATCGCCCTTGGTGCCCGACGACCCCAAATGGGACGGAGCCATCCAATTCTTCTCTTTGAGCTTGAAGTTCTCCAACAAGGACAACCCCAGCCCTCGCTACTGGATGCTGTGGCCTGGTGTCCTTCTCATGATTGCTGTTTCCTTCACTGGTAAGCAGTCCCTGCAGAACTCACAGTCCACCCGCTAATTGCTTCGTAGAACTCCTAATGCAATGGAAGATCATCTGGTATGCCTTCCGCGCCGTGTACCGCGGCCTCTGCAACGGCATCTATGCCATCGGCAAGGCCGCGAAGAAGGATCTCGCGTGGTTTAACAAGGGCGATCAGCACGAAGACGATATGGTTGAGGACTCTGCTGCGCCTGAAGACCTTGTAAAGATGTGGATGTGGATGCCCGGTCTTATTCTCTCCATCATCTGCATCTGCGTCGTTCTCGGCGTTGAATTCCACATGCCCGTCGGCATGTCGCTGCTCTCCGTCTTCCTGGCCTTCTTCTTCTCCTTCTTGGCCATCCAGTGCACTGGTGTGACTGACGTCACTCCGCTCACCGCCGCTTCCAAGGCCTCTCAGATCATCCTCGGTGGTGCGACAAAGGGCGAGCACTGGAACCAGACGCACGCGCAGCGTCTGAACCTCCTCGGTGGTGCCATTGCCTCCATGGGCGCTAACCAGTCTACCGACTTGGTCTGCGATTTCCGAACTGGTTTCCTCCTCCGAACACCGCCGAACCAGCAGTGGCTTGCCCAGGGAGTCGGCACCATCGTCGCCATCTTCCTGGCGCCAGCCATGTTCCAGCTCTTCACCACCGCGTACCCCTGCATCATCGACATCAATGCCGAGACCTGCCCCTTCTCCGCTCCCTCGGTTTCCGCCTGGCGTGCCGTCGCCGTTGCTGTGACGGACCCGACCTTCCCCATTCCCAAGACTTCTGGCATCTTCTCGATTGTCTTTGCCGTTTTCGGCTGCGTCATGGTACTCATCCGCCATTACGTCTGGGTCGGCAAGCTCGAGTGGGTCAAGACCTACCACCCCAACATGATGTGCATTGGTCTTGCGTTTGTGCTTCCCCAGACCGTTTACGGTACCGCCATGGTGATGGGTAGCACATGGGCGTACATCTGGGCCAAGAGGAACCCAAGCGGATTCGATGTCTACGGATACGCGGTTGCGGCTGGTCTGATCGCTGGTGAGGGTATTGGTGGCGTCATCAACGCCATTTTCCAGGTGGCGGGTATCTCGGGTGACAAGTACGGTACCCAGATTGCGTGCCCTGGCGACTCATGCTAGACGTTCTTTTCTCCTTGAAAGGATGGTCGGAGAGTAGAGGTGGCGGATGTTTGATACCACGGACATTAATTATGCTGAGATGAGGTCAGATATACCATTTGATGAATCAATCGACTCCAATTTACGATTATCGTTGTTTGCTCTCTGCTTTTGTGATATTTTGACTGCCTTTGTTCTAGCTCTTACTGAAGTGAAAATGACTTAACGGTGGAATCTTTTGGTCTAGACTTGTTCACGGCAACGCTTCCCACCTCGAACATTCTTTGAGACCGACACGACATCAGCCTCATCCCAGCGGCGCTGAATTCGTCTCCAGCGCTTTCCTCTGCTCCACAGCTTTCTCATACTCGTCCAAATTGAGCGAACCGGCCGACCACAGCACTATCGCTTGGACATGGCTCTGCCGCGGTGCATCTCCAGCTTTCCGAGACGAGCGTGCTGGTGGTTCGCCTTCGCCAGCAGTGACGTACCCAATAACATTAACCCACGCCCCCACTTGCAGCACCTCGGTGCTCTTGAGCGTCTCCAGCACGTGGTCGATGTTCACGCGCGCGGTTGGGATGGCTGAGGATGAAGGGTAGTGGTGCTGGAGCACGAGCGTGCCGGTCGAGACTTGGTATTCTTCGACGCTGGGGGATGGTGAGACTAGGGAAGGAGAGTGTGGAGGAAGGAGAGGGAAAGGAAGGACGTACCAGCCTAGGAATCTTACCTTTTCGCCTGGTGCAAGTAGTGCGAGATCTGAGAGGAAGAGTAGACGGGAGGGCGGGGGGCTGGCCATGGGTGCGAGAGAGAGTAGATTTTTGGGTTGCAATGAGCTCTTGAAAGCTTTCAAAGCTTCGGGGATGGTTTAGCCCGTGGGATTCATGATGCAACCGAGTGATTCGATGTTATATGGATGGTGAGTGTGGATGAGAGGAACAGATCCTTGTGGCTATGCACGGAGCTTGTCACGTGTTCGAGTTTCTATAGGCTTTGAGCACTATGAACTGTGAAAGTGCTGTCTGCTCGTGATGGTACATACAAGTATCCGAATGGTGGTGTTGACTGAGGACGGAAGGCCGAACCAGGGAAGGCGTCGCGAGCGTGCTTGATGCACGTGCCGTCACCGTTAGAGTATAATAGCGCGGGCGACCGTCATGGGCCGCGATACCAACCATAGACGGGACTCAACTCTCTGCCAGGCTTCCAACAACAACTCACCACCGCCACACTCTTCTGCACACTTCGACTGTTGACTGCCCACTTAACTCCTGTCTACGCCGCTTCTATACACCTGCTTTCCTCCCACCATACAACTCCCGCCCATCACACCTCGCTGCCGCTCCAAAAGCGCCCCTCCATCCTCGACACCTCCGATAGCACTCGCCGCGCCCGGAGGCTCCCCCATCGCCTTTTCGCACACATTCTTCCCCTAGGGCTTCTCCGGCCCATACACCGTTCTCACCTCTGCCACCATGTCTGGCTGGGGCCTGGGCTGGTTAGGCGGCGGCACCGCTAAGCAAAAGGATGCGCCCAAGAAGGCGATACTGCAGCTGCGGGGGCAGCTCGAGATGCTGTCCAAGCGCGAGAAGCACCTGCAAAACCAGATGGCCGAGCAGCAGGCCATCGCCGCTAAGAATGTGACCTCGAATAAGAACTGTATGTGCACTCTTTCGTCATCTTTGGGCTATAGAGGGGAGGGGGGGCCTCGGTGGCAGCTGGGATAGCGCCGCGGGAACCTCAGCGTGGGATAATAGCGAGAGTCGTAGTTCTGGATTTGGATTGACGCATGCCTGGCTAACCTGTGGATGTGTGAACATAGTGGCCAAAGCTGCCTTGCGCCGCAAGAAGCAGTTCGAGCACTCCCACGAGCAAACCCAATCCCAGATCATGTCGCTTGAGCGCGAAATCTACTCCATCGAGGCCTCAAATATCAACAAGGAAACGCTGGATGCCATGAGGAATGCTGGCAAGGCTATGCAGCAGATCCACGCCGGCCTGACTATCGACAAGGTGGACCAGACCATGTACGTTTTCCCTTTACTCGATTCTCACCCTGCTGGGGTTGTTTCCGGCCTTTGGAGTGTGAGGTTTGCAGGCTTCTTGTTTGCTAACGCTTTTGTTTCTGCCTGCTACAGGGAAGACCTCCGCGAACAGCACGCCATCAGCGAGGAAATCAGCGAAGCAATCACCCAGTCCGTCGGCAACACGGGCATCGACGAGGACGAGCTGGACGAGGAGCTCGCCGAGCTGCAGCAGGAGGAGCTGGACACCAAGATGCTGGACACGGGCAACGTGCCGGTCGGCGACCAGGTGCACCGGTTACCGGCCGCTGCACAGGGAGAGCGTAAGTCCACTTTGCCGTTTTCAACCTGCCCCTCAGCATTGTCCGTCGAGAATATTGCTAACACGCGGATCTTGACAGTCAAGGGCAAAGCCCCCGCACAAGCAGAGGAGGAAGACGAGGAGGAGGAGCTACGGAAACTGCAGGCCGAAATGGCCATGTGATCGCCCTTTCTCTCTACCATCGCACCATTTACTCCTTTTACAAGGAGGGGGAACCCCCTCTAGCTCAGACCAATCACGTCCCATTCCCACTCCCCCGCCCTCTTCACGTCATGCTCGTCTTCGGTCCCAGGTGTCTAGGTAAACGGCGGCGTTCTGCTTTTTCAGAGAGACCATGTTTGTTGTGTTAAACCTTTTATTTTTTGGTGGCTGGTGTCGGCGGCCCTTAGGTAGTTAAGAAAGCAAGTAAGCTGCTCTGGAAAGCCGACGATTGACGATTGTGCCTCCACCTCGCTGTACCTCGTGCGATGGATAGAAGATGTATGTAGTCCGATTTCCAGGTGATAGATTGAGTGGGTGGGTTAGCGTAAGCGTGCATGATCAATTAACTAGGCCTACGGACATACCCTCCGCTATACACGAAACCCTCCATTCGTTAGTTCTAGACGTAGAAATCTACTTTTTCTGCCACCGTTTGAAGCGTTTTCGTACAGTTTCAGCAACCCCGTTCACTCCTGCTCTATGAAGAACTTACCCGCCATCACCTAACATAACCCAGCAGTTCTCCTGATCGCCCAGAATGTCCGATCCCCCATCTCGTCTATAACTTCCAACCCGGTATCGTGGAGCTGTCAATCCCCCGTAACCTCTTGGAACGAACGATCCAAAACAATATATCAGATAGACAAGCGTGTTTGAGAACAATAAGAAGTAAAAATCTATCTGTAGGCCTGTATTAGATGAATCGGACCCTCTCGTCCTGGGAGAGGCTATGGGGGGGTTTCTGTGTCTCAATATAATCAAGAGTACATATATATGTCTAAGGCATGCCAGTGTGCATACATACCTAGAAGGTCGACGAGCAAAGGAATAGGATAAGAACGCAGATCGCACAGCCAACGACGTCCTAGTAGGGTTCTTTCAACGCGGTAATCACGACATTTCACGGCTATGACGTCTTCGATGCTAGCAGTAAAGACCCCCGCTAAGATGCTAGCTAGAGTTTGAGCCACCTTTTGCAAACTGACCTCAAAATCCGTGGTATGGGGATCTGAGCGGTGGAAAGGGTGTAGCTTATACCATCTATCACGCACATGCCAGCTTACCTCAGTCCGTAGGGTTGGAGAAATGGGTATTGCATCTGCATCTATCTACTACAATCTATGCCCCTCCGTCCCCCACGAGCCATTCTCATCCTTTCTACCTCCAAAACACCGTAAACCACGTACCACCGGCAGTTCAAAATGCCACATACATGTTCAGAGAAGAAAAGAAAAAAACAGACACCCGCGCCTCTCATGTTGATTCCAGCTACACTTTTAGATTAGGTCGCTCGACCATGCTTCTCAGACGGAAAAGTGAAGAAGCAATACACACGATTGAGGTGTGCAATAAGAAAATGAAGCAAAAAATGCGATGAGCGAAGTTCATTGAGGTCGTGGCAACACGTGACGCTAAAACGCCGCCCGTGGAAACATGACCCTGAAAACCCGGAACCCGCAAACTTGGAACTTTTACTCCATACTCCGTAATAGAGGCGGAAACCCAATGATGTATCTGCTTCAGAAGGAAAAAAGTGTAAAGGAAGAAATGAACTTTTTAACGTGGGGGTATCGATAGCATGAATGAACCCCGATACTCCTCCTATGCCCCCCATGTACGCCCAATGCCCTGTACCCATACCCATAACCCAATCATGTCATAACTTTTGTTGCAAGCGTATCCGCACATACTCGCTCGTTCAGTCCACCCATCGTCTAATATTATATATACACTGCCTGCCATGCGCTAAAGGCACTTCCTAAACGCGCGTGTCTAAGCAAGAAACGTCGCGGTAACAAGTGCTGGATAGAGCATGTCTTAATCAGCCTGCTTCGCTCGCTTACTCGCACTCGGACTCCCCTCCTTTGCCAGCACATCCCCAGCCGATGCATTCTCGTCTTCCGACACTTCGCAAAAGGCGCGCTTGGCGCCGGCGGACGAAGATGGCCGTTGATTCACGACCATTGGACTACCCGGCACGGGAGTGAGAGGCTCGACGGTCGGCCGGCGCGTCTTCGCGTTGGACGAATCGTGGCCGCCCGCATCGGGAAGAGTAGAGAGAGCGGGCGCCTTGTTGGCCGGAGGAGGCGTCTTTGGATTTGCCTTGGAATCGTCTGAGCGGTTTGAGCCAGGGGGCGTGCTCAGCTGTGGAGCCGCTAGCGTAGATCCTGAGACTGAGGTTGATTCGGGGACGGCAGGTTTAGCGTCAGCAGCCACCGCACTCACTGCATCTGACGCTGCCATTGTAGCTGCATTGGTGGCAAGCTCAGACAGCGTACGACCTGATGGGGGTTTCGGTCCTGCTTCTTTCTGCTCATTTTGGCTTGCAACAGCTCCTAGCGGTTGGCTAGCTTGTGGCGGGGCTTGCGATGCACTATTACTAAGTAAAGGCGTAATTATCTTAACAAGATTGAGCTCCGGTTCAGTGAGTGCTGAGGTGACACTCGCCGGCGACACGATCTGTCTGATGGCATTATCAACTTTACGCTCTGCAAAGGCCTTATCTTCTGCCGACTTGTCAATGAAGGTGCTGCGGAATGCATCGAGTGTGTCAGCGTCGCTCCTGGAGATGTGTCGTGGGTACCGCGATTGGAGTCGCGGTTCCGGTGGCTGAGTTCTGGGAAGAGCGGCTGCTTGGGGCGGTCCTGCGGTGACATGTGGCGGGTAGGGATGCTGTGCGCCGCTATATGCCTGGGATTGCGATGTTGCAGGATACGGTTGCTGGTATGGCGACGGGGCAGCGTGGGCTTGTGAGTTTGAAGTATTGGGGAAAAGCATGCCATATGTGCCGCCTTGTGTGCTAGGAGGAAGAGGCGGACGAGGAGGGCCATACGGTGAGTATCCGTGACCAGCTTGAGTAGTAGGAGGATAGGGATCACTACCTTGGGTGGCTGAGGTGTGAGATGGCCTCGATGCGTTCTCCGTTCCTGCTCCCCACGGTGAAGCGTAGGTTGAAGCACCCTGGGTTGTTGCTACGTTCGCTGGCGCATTGCTTCTAGCCAAGCTTGGAGGTAGACGAGGACCAGAAGGCTGGACGTCTTTGGAGCCAGGTGTCCCGACCCTAGCCGCGGCATCTGCATGCACCCCATGAGGCTGTGGATAAGGGGAATATCCCGGGTAGTATGGCTGCGGCACTCCCTGTGAATTCATCGTAGGATACTGTTGAGGGTTGCTGTAGTATGGATTTTGTGGCCGTGCCTGCGGAGGTGGAGTAGCTCGTTTTCGCCGATCTTTCTCAATAGAAACGCTTGGGTTTATCACCCAGTTATAGCCTTTACCCTCTTTCTCGCCTTTCTTAAAGGCGTCATGCTGGCCTAAATTGTGCCGCACACTGCTCTGCCATCCGTTGGTCGCCACTCGGAACTTGTAATATGGGTGTTTTCTCTCGATGGCGCTGTAGATTTGCTGCAGGTTGAGAGACCCGGTCTTAGAGGCGGATATTGCCTCATGAATCATGACAACATAATTTGCTGGTGGGCGTGCAAGCTCTTCTTCCGTGTAGTCTGTCTCTTTCATAACAGGCGAAGGCGAGCGTGGGGGCTTCGAGCTCTTAGCTGGCTTTTTCTCGTTGCTTTGATCGGAGGCTCCGGTTTTCGCATGTCCTTCGACCGAGTTTTTCACATCTTCGTTCTCAGCCCCATTTCCCTCTTTCTGTGCACGACCAAGTTTAGGGTTAGGACCTTCTTTGATAGCTGATCCCTCCTTAGGGTCTATCCCTAATTTCCTGAGCTTTTCATCATCTTTAGCTTTCCTTGCCAATGCGGCCTTCTCACGCTTGGACATGAAGCCGTCTTTCGGTGGCCGTCCTGGACCTTTGCGTGGTTTGTACTCCTGGCCAATCATGGACTCGTGTAATGAGTACCTCTCACATATCTCGCGGGTGATGATTGTCCCGGCAGAAAGCGAATCATTCGACTGCGTTGCAGCCTCTGGCTTGGCTTGGGGTTCATTGTCTGCGGGTTTTACAACCTCGCCATTCTTCTCTTTGGGCTTGTCCACCTCGTTAGTGGGCGGTTTGCTTTTGTCCTTGGCTACTTCTTTTGCGGCTTCCTTTTGCTTCCCTTTCTGCACCTTTTTGATAACAGTCTTTGGCGGCGGCGGAGGCGGAGGGGTAGGTGATGGAAGGCGCCGAGGTTTGCTCTTCTTCTTACTCTGCTTGGCAACAGGTATATGGGAAGCTTTCTGGCCCTTCTGACTCATTTTGAGTTTCAGGGTCTGCATTTTGGGCTTCTTTTGCATACGCTTTCTTAGAGGTTCGTCGTCAACACTTTCAGCGTCTTCGTCGCTGTCGTCCTCGTCCTCCTCTTCGACTTCGTCTTCATCACTATCGTCCGGGCGATAGCCTTTTACTCGATAGAGTATTGCTCGAGGATCGATACTTTCACGCTCTTCCTCGCCCTCGCTCGACACATCCTCATCTTCGTACTGTCCTTGCCCATTCTCAAATGCGAAACTCAAGCCACGGCTGCTTCTCCCTCCGATAGATTGTGAAGACGCTTCATCCTCGGTTTGATCACTTTCCGGTAATTGGAAGGAGAACTTGACTTGGCCGATTTGAATCACATCGTCGTGCTGGAGAGGAATCGGCGGCTCATCAGGTGTGTAAAATTCATCATTGTGGAAAACGCCGTTTGATCCGAGGACGTGAAACCGCCAGTAGCCAAGAGGGAAGTAGTATTCTATCCTTCCATGCTTCCGAGAGGTTCCTTTGTTGCGTCCATTCCTAGAATGAATTGGGAGGAAAGGACACGCTCTCGGATCTGGAACGTGATCTTGAAGGTCTCGCGGGACTTCTGGAAGAGCGTCGATCATGACAGAAGACGGTGCGTACGTATCACCTTCCTCGTTCGGAATGCAAAGTGAGTGGTCTTGTGAGTGATGGTGAGACGAAGAGCTGATTGATTGAGATGCCTCGCTTGCTCTACGGTGCTGATACTCGGCAGAGACGTCGTGTGCCGGAACGCGGACAATACCTCCGGTTTCGCTGATGACGCTACGAGGGCCGTGGCTCAGGGTGTCTTCCCTCTTCCGCTTGTGTTGAGTCCTGACCAGGCCATTTCGATCGTCGTCCACGGCTTGATCCCTCTTTCGTTTGCGATTAGTTGGCCGCTTCTCGTGCCTCTTTCGTTTCAGCTCGCGGCGGAACTGAGCCGAGTCACGGCCAAGCTCTAGGGAGTAGGTGTGCATGTAATATAAGCCATCGTCGAACTTGAGTCTCGCAAAAGCGCTCATCCGCTGCGAGTCGCTGTTCCGGACAAGTTGCGCAGGAAGCGCAGTCTCGTGGGTTGATACGGGCTGTGCGTATTTTGCCTCTTTGAGTCGGTGCTCTGCTTCGATTGCCTCTCTGAGTTGGTACTCTGCTTCGGCCCTATTGTAGGCTACAATGGAAGCGTCAGTCGCTATGGGGACGTGTTTGTCGTCCCATGCGCCTATGTAGGGTTGTTGGGGAAATTCCGAATCGAGCTCGGGAGTCGCAGACACAGGAGGGAGGGGTTCCGAATAGTCTTGTCTAGAAAAGACTTCGAGGTCCCAGGCCTTGGTCTTGTCGAAAGGAGGTACTGCATGGCCGTCGAAGGCTGGTTCGAGAGTTGGCGGGAAGGACTCAGAGAGCGGAAGGGGGGAATCAGAATGGTCCTGTTCAGGAACGACTGCAGAAGGATTGGCCGGTTCAGGAACGAAGGGCGACTCGTTTACAGTTTCACGGACCGGCTCTGGGCTTGTCTGCGGGGGAGAGTGTATGGTGTCGGGAGCTGCACGCATAGTAGCGGGTTGAGGACTGTCGGGAGCGTCCCGGAAGGCCGTCTGCTCTGGCTCCGCAAAGAAGAGGGCAGGCGCATCACGGCCGGTATCCTCGGGCGGCGGCTGCACGGCGGCATCGTCTCTGGCGACATGGCCACGCGCCGTAGGGCTGGTCGCGGGATGGGTGGCCAGCATGTCGGGGGTGCCTCACGGGGGACGGCACTCGTAGGGGGCGGGCAGAGGAGATGTCGGCATCAGTCTGCAGCGCGACAGACGGAGGCGGCGACGCGGACGGGCTCGGCGGGGTGGCAGCGCAGTCGACGCGTGCGGGGGGCTCTGAGGCTCTGGGGCGCAACGGGAGGTGAAGCCGGGGACGAGACGGGACGGATGGGAATGCGATGGGGTTGCTTTTGCACGTGCCTGGGCCTTGCAGAACTCAGGCCATGGAGCGACGCAAGCGCTGTTTATGCGAAAAGTCGCTTGATCCCGAATCATCCGGCCCACCGCACACGCACACCGCCGGCAAACAAAAATAAAAATCGCTGCACTCAACCACGGGCGAGTGGAGACAGACACTCCCAGCCACAGTCTGCCGCGAATCCGTGCAGTCTGGTCCGGTGCTGCGTTGGTAGCCTCGCCTCCAACGCCGGTCCGTCCAGCATCTCGCGTCGAGGGACTCCAGCTGCTCCCAGTGCCAGCTGCTCCACAGTGACAGCACGCCAGCGTCCAGGTCTTCACGGCCAGCGGGTTGCATCGACGCAATGCCGCCCAAGCACAAGCGAGTCCCTGTGGCACCTGTGGCCGTGCCTCCGCCCAATTGGCCACCCCTCACTCCCCTGCGGCTCGAGTCCGACCTGGCCCTGCACCAAGTGTGGCCGGACCAGATTATCACCGTGCCGAGCCTTTGGACGTCGGCGCTGTGCAAGACATACGTCGCTTTTCTCAAGTCTCTACCATTGACGACCACGCCCGGGAAACCAAGGAAAGGCGACGCTGTCCGCGTGAATGACCGCTTCCAGATCGACGACCCGGCATTCGCCGAGCATCTCTGGAGCGGAACCGCCCTGAAGAACCTCGTGCTTGGCATCAATGAAGAGGGCCGTCTTGGGTTGACTCCCGATGCCCAGAATAAGTTATGGGGCGGCGAAGTGGTAATGCCCCAAACCCTCCAGGCGTGGCTAGACGTGCTCACCAGTGGGTAAAGGTGGGCCTGAATCCCAATATCAGAATCTACCGCTACACGAAAGGACAGTTTTTCGATCAGCATTGTAAGTTATACACTTAGAACCGTTTTCTATGGACCATCCGAGCGGCGATTTGATCATTTCAGACGATGACTTCAACAATGTCACCATCCCTGGCCCGCCACCAGTTCCTGCCAAAACCACCTGGACTCTCCTTCTGTACCTCACCTCATCGGCAACGGGATGCGAGGGAGGCGAGACGGTATTCTACCCCGAGCCTGAACTGCCGAAAAGGGGCAAAGCCAAGAAAGAAGCTCCCCCGCCAATTGTGGTCGATCTCGAAGTCGGCATGGCACTTCTCCATCGACACGGCGCGGACTGCATGCTCCATGAGGGCCGTGAAGTTCTGGGAGGAGAAAAATGGGTCATCCGGAGCGACTTGTGTGTACGGAAATGAAGCTTTCTGCATTAGGAATCTACCAACTTTACGTATCTTCTTGTATGCCACTGCCTTTTTCAGCTCGCTGTCGTCCTCACGCGATTTTCTCCCTCAGGCTGTCTCCAATTTTAAGTCATCTGAGTTATATATTCAAGCGTAATGTACTTTCTCTCGGCAAACAGCGCCTTTGTACAATTTCCGAATGTAGTCTTCGTCAAAAAAGCTCTGCTGGCTTGTCTGCATGTTTGGATCGACGTTGAAGTCACCTCAGATCTTCGACATCCGATTCCTCTTTGAGTTGCAGTTGCTTGCGACACTACCAAAGTGCTTGCTTCAGCCCTGTATCTGCGTTGATAGCGTCAGAGTATGAGGAGGATGAGGATGTTTGACTGAAGGTATAGGACGGCACGTGTTGCATTTAAGCCGCATGGCAAAGCAAACGGAGAAAAGGATGGTTGTTTGAGGAGTGAGAGGGGACCTATATTAGGTGCCAGGTAAGTGGAATTTAAGTCCTTGATCTCGTGTTATATCTTCAATATGTTCAAGCCTAAGGAAAACCCGTGGGCCTACGTCCCTTCTCATATCAACCTTCTTGAAATTCAAAGGAATATCGTGGGTATTCTGTATCCACTCCGTTTATACACTCACACGATTTCTCACTAAGCTCCCTCTACGCCATCGACGCCAACCTCAGCATCTATTCATCACTCCAACCAGCGACCGCTTCTTAAGTCTCTTTGACCTGGCGTTAGTTGCCTTGTTATCGCTTATAGTACTTCGAATCTTAATCCTTGCACTGTAGACGCTACAGTATGATATTTATTCCGCCCGATACAGTTTCAATGACGAAGTATATTCGACAGAGAAGCCACGGAGGTCAATGAGCACCCTAGTTTGGTAGCTCATTCACTGCCTGATCTCGCACTGAAAATGCAATTCACTAAGTATTCCGTTTATAAAAGCGTAAGTACCAGAACTCTCAAATGCTCTATCAATCCTTCGTTACTCCGCTCACACCACCCCTTGTGCTGCATACACACACAGCAACAAACTATTTTCTTCTCCTTCCTCAGAGCATCCCGAGGGGCCTTCCCCACCCACAATGAGCCCCCGCAAGAAACTCAGCCCACCCCCCCAAAAGCCCGTCTCCCAGCAAAAGGAAAAGACGCAACCGGACCCCCCATCCCGGAAAGAACCCCACTACCACTACCGCTCCCGAACCCCCTCAGGCGGCAGCACCCTCATCCCCATCTCAAACCCCCTAGAAACAGCCACCACCCCCCTCATCCACCCCATCCAACAACTCCACACCTCCTACTCCCCCACTAGCCCCTTCTGGGCCTCCACCTCCACCACCACCACCACCCAACCCCCGAACCTCTCCGCCCGCGGCGACGAATTCTGCGTCGGCAAGCACTGCACCCACCCCGCGCCCACTCCCCCCCTCTGCCGCTGCAGCCTCCCCGCCTTCCGCGCCGACGAAGCCTACTGGCGGTCGCGCTTCTCCCTCCGCCCCACCAACCCGGCCATCGGCCTCTTCGCCAAAGCCGCCCTGGCCGCCAACACGCTCATCGGCGAGTACACGGGCGAGCTGCGGCCCTTCGACAGCGTCGCGCCGGCGTACCGGGACCACTACAGCATCGATTTCCCCGTGGGGCCGGTGGGGGGCCAGGGCGGCGGGAGGGTGGTGATTGACGCGTGGGCGCGGGGCGGGTTCACGCGGTTTATCAACCATTCGTGTGCGCCGAATGCGGAGTTTGCGGCGGCGAGGGTGGGCAGGGGCAGGGTTTGTGTGGTGGTGACGCGAAGGGGGATTGCGAGGGGCGAGCAGGTGACGGTGGGGTATGGGGAGCGGTTTGGGATGGTGTGTGCTTGTGAGGTTTGTGCGGCTGGAGAGGAGGAGGAGGACCGTAGTGAGGGGGGAGAAGAGCATGAGGAAGGTGGAGAGGAGGGGGAAGAGGATGAGGCGATGGAATCTGAGATTAACGAACTCGGTAAGCCGGTTCTGGCATTCGAGGAAACTGATGGCGTTGTGAGGGCTGCGGATGGAATAGGGCATACGAATAATGCTTCGACGCCCTCTACTCGACCGACTCTCATAGTAAAGCTGAGAAGGTCGGTCATTCCGGCGCCTAGGCACGAGAACGAAGTCGGCAAAGCTTCCAAAAAGGGGGGACCCAAGGACAATAGCAAAAAGCATCGTCAAGCTTCCTCGTTGTGGGAAACTAAGCCAGAAGGGAGCTCTGCCCATTCTATCAAGAGACAGAAAACTGGCTGAGTCGCGATTGTCGGGCGGTAGGTAGACCAACGCACTCTTGCCGCGCAAGGCGACTTCTTGGCCATTGGTGTTCTAGCGATCCTAATCGGTTCTCCTTGTTTCGTTGAGAATCAGTAACACTGAATAGTCTAAGAAGCATCCGTATCACCTTTCAAATATCAACTCTTTTTGGAATAGATAGAGATTTGAGAAAATTTATTTACGCTGTGTTTTTCTAGCCATGCTCCTGTGCTTGTTAATGTGTCGCTGGGGTAAATCCACGAAATCCCTCGAGTTTGCATTTTCAGGCGCTCAGCCTTACCTAGGGCTGATCGTACCTAGGTACTAGAATTTGGGCATTCGCACATAGAAAGCTTCCGCAATCTCGCCTAGACCTCAACTGCATGCTGCCATACTTCCCGAGCGTCCAAGAGATCCCGCTGCCCGTACCGCTCCCCTACAATCGTGATGATCATGTCGAGGGTCGCAAGCGTGTTCATGTTTGGCACCTCCTCCTCTACCTCTTTACACTGTTCCTTCTCCACTTCTCCGTCGTCGACCTCAGGTTCCATTACCACATCCATTGCATCATCTCCACCTTTTACGACATGTACGTCATGCTCCTTAGCTCCATCAACCTGCGGAATCGCACCATTGTTTTGAATGAGGCGGCTGCGTTCGGCTTCCGCACGGGAAGGAAAAGTTTGCTTGTCCGGTGTGCTAGTGCGACGAAGACGGCGATACGGGCCCGGTGACAACTCGGGGGATGACGTGTTCCTCCTCGTGCGTGAGGGATCAGGCGACGGCTCTGGCGAAGACGTGTTGCGCGTTTGCTGTCTGCCTCGGGTTGCGTCGTTGCTATTCATGTGAGTATTAGAAACCGAGCGTCGGGTCCCCAACTGCGGGTTTGATGACACGAAGCGGTCGGGGTCGTATGAGGAGCGATTGGAGCCGTGTGGGCCCGTCGAAGGGTGCTTGGTGCCAATAGAAGCTTGTTCAGCCCTTTCAGCCTTTTTCCTTTCCCGTCTAGCTCTATTGTTCTTTTTCACTATAGCCTTGCGAGTGTTTCTGGGAAGCCTCGGTGTGATGTTCGGGCCTCTCTCGCGCTTCGGAGCGGCGTCTACTTGTGGAGATGTTTCTGGATTTGGCGATTCAACTGTGAGAGTGGATGGAATATTGCCTTTGGCTGTTTCGATAGAACTGACAACCGTGGAGGGGTCATCGTCAGCTATTTCGCCATCTTCAGATCCGCTTTCACATTTGAGTAGGGATGGGTTGGCCTGAGGGTGATGGTCTAGAGGTTTGACAGAAATAGTACTCTGGCCCTTGGTTTCCGTTCCAGCACTTGCGTCTTGGTCTTCAGCTTTCAGTGATGTGCTGCTCTCTTCATCAGGCTCGCTGTTGTGCTCGTCGTGCTCAGAGTCCTGGCCTTCAGCAGGCTCATATCCGTCTTCACCTAGCTCATCGCTTTCATCCAAGTCCAAAGACGGCCGATGGACGTCATAACCAAGATGGGATAACCGTATTGCTACAGCTGCCTTACCGAGCTCTCGCACAGTATAGTCGTCATCAGCCTGTAATGTTCCCCTTTCACCAATGCGTCCAAATAAACCCCAGATCCAGCAGCTCAGCTGAGGTGTGATGTTGCGATTTGGCTTCAAGCACTCGGCCAACGCCGCAATAAGATGCATAGTTGTCCGATGGCTCATCTGAGAGATTTGCGTAGGTGTAGGGTAAGTATGCCTCAGGATTGGATTCCACCGAGTCATGGAAGCGTGATTCAGTCTATTGAATGTAGTCAGAGTCTTGCTGGCCGCCCTCAACCGGTCCAGTGCCTCGAGTGGAGGTGTCCCGCTGAATGAGTCCCGCAAGCCTCCTAGCTCTTTAAGTAGCATAGCACGGTATGCTTCTTGAGGACTGATATCAGGAACTGCTAGACCGCGGCATTCATCGGAGGTTTCGGTGGGTGTTAAAGAGCTGTCGCTTCGTGCAGCCATGCATACGCCATCCCTAAAGATTGCTCGCATATCTCCGACGCCGTCGTTGTATATCGCTTCATCTGATTCGCCTTCAAGGATCTCAGGCGCCGGGGCGGTGACGAGGACGGGAATGGCGTCTGCCTCTTGCCTGAGCAAACCCGAATGTTAGCAAGTCTTCCACAGAGTTATACTTTACAGCATTCGGAACGGAGAAGTCTTATTGGGGGGATTGGCTATATATATCGATGTTGAGCATGTAGGTTTGGGAATAGCATGCAATCGGGGAGCTTGCTCACCTTACGCTGCGGAGATATTGCATGGCCTCGTTCGTCGAGCTATCGGTGGCGTCTCCATCGTCCCATTCATCGAGTCCTGGGCCGATGCCCTGAGCCTGGCCGTACTTCTCGTTCCTGGCGCCTAGCTTGGGCTTGATGCTCTTGCGCGTGTTGATGATGGCTTCACGCTGTTGGGTGGATGCTACTGCCAGATGGTATTCTTCCTGTGGCGGCAGCTCAGAGGGGCGCGCACGTTTGCTGTGAGGCTCCTCATCGGTGTCTGCGTTCGCGGGGTTGAGCTCGTCGAGCTTGCGTTTTGCGGAGTCCATCGGGGGTGCTGCGGAGGTGGCTTTGGGGATCAGGTCGGATAGGTCGTCGGGGCGCGTAAGCTTGTTGTATTTCGCGCCATCCTTGGTGACGGCCAGATTCCGGCCCTTGGAGGATGCCTCCATGGTGTGGTGTTCGAAGGTGAGGTCGGTGGAGAAAGTTGAGCTGCAGAAGCCTGGCTGATGTGGATAGCGAGCTTGGCGTGGTGAAAATTGGTCAGGGGTCTTCGAGCACTGCAAAGCTTCAGCAACTCCACGTATCAACACGCTACCACTCTCGATGCCATCTAAACGCCTGTCATACTCCACTAGTCTTTACAAGTCCATCCCTCTTGAAGCGTGTGGCTGTATAGACCTGGAATTCATGCATGCCTGCTCGCTTTGTGTCCGCCGTTGCCCTAGTAGAGAAATGGCCAGCTCCTCGTGTACAAGATTCATCATCAGGACCTCAACGAGTGTCTTGCACTTTCTACCTGAATAGCTAGCAACGAAATGAGTTCTGGCCGTGAAGTCCCGTTATCTGTGCCTTTAAAATGGATGGCACATCTAATTTGCAGTATAAATGCTGGTGACTTCCTCTGCTAGCTAACCGCCACACACCCTAGTGAATCTCGAAGCTCGCATTGCTGGGGAGTAGTCTAGGTTAAAGTGAAGCTGCTCTGGTATAGACCGAGGCTTCCAGGTGTTTCTTCTTTACCAACTTTACTCTCTCCTTTCTAAGTATCCAAAATCAATACAATTTCAAGCTTCAGACTTCATCTCCTTCAGTATGGTCATCCTCCACTTTCGCCCTCACGAAAGCCCATATATGCCAGAGTTCGGAGATTGGTCTTCCCTTTCACTATTCAGTCTACTGTCTCCGTCTGGCAAGTGAAGGCTCGAAGCTCCACCTACTCCATCATTACTACCTGCTACGTTTGCTAGCACGCCAAAGTAGTGCTTCTCCGGGCTTCAATACTCATCGCCTCCTTCGTGTCTACGCTCTGCTTTCGGATGGAATGGTAGGAGAGCTGTATGTGCTTCAGACTACCATATACGTTTTTGCGGAAGTTCACGCTAATTATCAAGCTAGTCTCAAAAGGGTAACTTTCGACCTCGTCCTTTCGTCCCATCTTTTGGAACACCTACGCCCGCGGCTCTGCCGCATCACGCGCTGGCCAGTGAATTAAAATGGTGAAAAGCATAAAGTCGCTTCCTCGCAGGCCAAACCTTCTTTGCCACTAATAACGCTGTCAAGGGTGCTTTTATGTTTTTCTTGCGTAGCAACTCGCTCAGCATCCGCACCTCGATTTGTACTGTCGAGGACGGTGGCCAAAATCAAACACGCGACTGTTATTAGACAGATCTATCGGAAATCAATAAGTTTTCTGTGCAACCTCCGAAGAATTCGACTCTCGGGTCCCGAATCCTACGTGTCGACGGCGGGCCACTGCGGCCCGCGCATCTCTTGGAGCAAGTCGGCGGCCCGATCTCGCAATGCTGGCATCCTGGGCACACGGCAAGCCTTCGTGACCTACGCACATCATGTGTCGTCTCTGGACCTGGCAGTGCGGCGGCCACGCCAACAGATCTATCAATGGCTCTTGCGCAACAACATCGCATTTCCATATCAGCGCATGCCATTGATGGCTGTCCGCCAGTACGCGCAATTGGACTATCAGCATCGATGCCCTTCTCTCGGCCAGAGCAGTGAGGCCTGGCTGCGCGCTGGCAAACGGAAAAGTGGCCCGGCGATGACCGCGAACCAACTTGCGGCACGTGCGTTCACCAGCAGCTTCTCACTTTCGTATTGTTCATGCCCGTCAATAGGACTGGCCTATTCATGCTATTGTGCGCTATTGTGTTGTCAGTCCTATTGTTCCTGTCCTGCCCTGCGTTTAAATAATCTTCATGTCCACCTTCCCTTGAACTTTCTTCTCTTTTCCTTCAACTTCACAACCCTTCTTACGACCGTCACGCATCTCATTGCTTCACTTCTTTTCCAAGGCCTGGTGCCCTTCACTCATTATCAGCTTCGTCGTTCCAATCTCGACATATCAGCTGGCCTGTCATGTCTTTCCATTCAGACTCCGAGCCGGACCTCGACAGTTTCTTCGACTACGGCTCATATGCAGCAGATTCCAACTCTCCTTCCGACGTCAATGATTCTCAGTTCGACTACATATTCGAGGATGACACCTTGGACGATCCAGTTCCGGCTGTTGACCAGACGCGCAATCCTCGAGTGCTTTCTCCGACTCTCAAGAGTGCTATCGATTCCAACTCTCCTTCCGACGTCAATAATTCTCTCCACGACGACCGTTTCGCTAACCCCTTGGACGTCCCGGTTACAGCTGCTGAGCAGATGCGCAATCCTCAATTGCTTTCTCCAACTCCCAAGCGCGTCACCAAAGTCGACTGGATCAAGGATGTCTTGCCCCCAGCTGCCCAGCCCACTGAAGTCGCGCCGACTACAGGTCCTAAGCTGGCCACCGAAGCCTCAGAAGTAGTTCCTCCGACTCTATACCACGCCACAGAACTCGACTTCATGACCCAGCTTCTCTCCGCAACCAATCCGCCCACTGAAGGCGCTCCGACTACATCCCCTGAGCTGGCCGTCCAAGCCTCAACCCCAGAGGTGCTTCCTTCGACTGCAGACCGCACTACCGGGCTCGACCTCTTGAACCACTCTTTCTCTTTAGCGGGCGCTGAAATATGGGGCCAAGATGTCCACTATCCGGATCTAGATCCGGACATCGCTGCCCAATGCGCCGAGATTGATGAGTTCCTTGCCTTGGATCCTGTCCTGTACCCTCAAGGCGTGTTCAATATCTCCCCTACGCAAACCGGTCAACTCGCAACTCAAGAATTCCTCTCTACGACTCCTTCTCAGGGCGACTACAGCTGGAATCCTTTTTACGGCCACAACATTTCTCAGTCTACTGAAGTCGAACTGAGTACCTCCTTTGGGCCAGCCGCTCGTACCTCAACTCCAGGGCTATCAGTTCAGACTTCCCAGACTGCTTCTTCAAATGCGAGTCCGACCACCGAGGCCTCCCCAGGTCCCTACATCACTACTACTCAGACTGCGACTCCCTCCGTCCAAGCCACCCCGGGTCCTGTCAACCCTGCCCCCCTTCCAACCGTGTTTCCAGTCCAGAACCCGAACTTCGCTCCCTTCTCTGGACGATTCGCCAACGGCGCTGCAGCCGCAGCTTACCGCGCCATGTCTCGAGTCGGACCTTATCAACCCGACACCAAGTTCCCTGGGGTCAAGGCCAATGCACAATTCTGGGTGCGGCAACTCCACGTAGCCATGCTTAACACCGTCAACATCGAAGACGGCCCCAACTCGCAAGGCTACCGCCGCTTCGTCAGGAACCCCGCTGGCAGAGCCAACGCGCCCTACGACGATGATGACCTCGAAGCGCAGTGCTGGGAGCTCTTCGAGACGGTCTGCGCCCTCTACGAAACCGGCCTGAACCTTCCCCGTCGCTACAACCGTATCAGCTCTAAGCACACTCAGCCTGCAACCTGCTTGCAGCGTCTCTCCTTGATCTGCAAGACGCTGTCGAAGTGGAAGTGCGCCTGTGTCAATGTCATGGAGGGCGGTTGGGTATTGCAGAAGTTTGTGCTCAGTCCGCAGGACTTTGAGGAGGTCAAGGCGAGCAACAAGCGATCTAACAGCGACCGCAAGGAGCAGATCAAGCTGGGTCAGGAGGCGCAGAAGGCGAAGAGGCAGAAGACCGAGTAGGGAGGATTTGAATTTGAGTTAGTGGATAGGTTGTGATGAAGCTACGGATATGTTACGGACTCTTTCCTTTTTGTCTCTTTGCTCTTTTTCCTTGTCTTTCTTTCCTTGATATTCTCTGGTTGGCTGGTTGGATCTGGGCGGTTGGAATCAGCACATTGATTCTGCATATTGATCCTGCATTGGTATACTCGAGCAACCTCGAGTTGATCTTTTCTCTCTCTCTCTGCGATGCATGTATATATATTATCTTCCAAGGCCAATCTGTAGCCTGCTTGCCCTAGGCTTGCGAATTGAATGCAATCTTGAAACTCAAAATCCTTTCACGTCTTGACCAAAGAATAATTATGACTACTTGCCACTACCTGAGTTGTGCACACAGGCTTTCAGAAATCTGAAGGTCGCCGTCTTGAAGTAGTCAGTAGGCCAGCCGGGGGAGCTCTAAAAGTGGCTGATAACGTAGTCAACAAGCGAGTGGCCATTACAAGCAAGTGGCCACCCCAATTGTTGGTTGCAATTTGCTGTTTTAGCACCCCAGCAATCTCCACAACCACAAAATATTCTAGGCTGTAACTTAGAATAATAATATGCGTAGTTATTTTAATATCATCTATTAATTATTCAAATCTTTCGATAGCCCTGTTTAGCCGTAGTAAAGTTTTAGCCAGTTTTGGCCCCCCAAATTAATAAATACCTATTATACAATAGAATTATGCCTCCATACTGCTCCAAACTTCTTTCTTAGCTATTAGAGAGAGCTAGATAGTGTATCCAACCTCAAAACTATACTTTGTATCTCGTGGTTGTTGGGATTGCTAGCGTGCTAAAGCATGCAAATTGCACCAATAATTGGGGGTGGCCACTTGCTTGTAATGGCCACTAGCTTGTTGACTATGTTATTCAATTTTGAGGCCGGTCCAGCGGTCTCACTCGGGCGGATGTGGGGTCAGCCCAGTTTCGGTTCTGCACGCAGGGAATTCTGCGCCGCCCAGGAGAAGTTGGACTGGGGCAGCCGCAGGCAGGGCAGCCACATGTCTGGCAGCCACCGGCTAAGCAAAGAAGAGGATTGATGGTGGTGCTATGGTGAAGGAATTCTGTCGCACCATGAAGGTGCACTCTGCGGAAATCAGGCGACAAGACGGCTATGCTAATGTAATTTTGACGTAGGAGGGGTCTTAAATGTTGAGTAGTGGCAAAAGAGCACATTTTATATAGAACTATGAAAATATCAACGTGTGTGCAGATTCTGGATCGCTCAAAACTTAAAGTCCCTCGGATTTGGCCCGGCACGCAGGGGTGCCCGACACACAGGGGGAGAGGTTACACCCGTTGCTGACTCTCTGCTTCTTCTTTGGTAGCCCCAAAGCTATACTTGACTACGGCATCATCTGATATTCTGATCACCGACTTCCCACCTTCCATTTCATGGAGGACGATTCGGTTTGATTGGAGCGGAAGCAATAGTTGATCAAATCATCTTCGGTTGGGGTTTCATGGTGGAGGGTTATGGCCGAAAGTTAGAAGGTCATAGTTACGTATGGGCGTTCTCTATTTTCTTGTGCGAGAAGCGCTCATTTTTCTGCAGTAGCAACCACAACAATAACCATATCTAGTTTCTTTGCACTTCTCAATCTGCTTTTGAGAGAGTAGGAAGACCACGACAAGTCCAATGTCCCCCAGGTAGATAGGTAAACAACTCCACACACGGCTAGGTGAACACCGAGGTTACAGATGACAGACGGTGTATTTGTTAGAGCAACTAGAGGCATCTTGAAAACCCGAAATTGACGCAGCTGCAGACGAACAAAATGCACTGCCCAGGCATGGTGCCTTACAATATCATACAGCTCCAGCTTTGAATTCTGATTTACATACTTCTACAATACAGCTCGTGCCATACACCGCATGTGATCGCGACTACGCCGCACTCGTGTCCCACCACTTCTTCTCCTTGTTTACTAGCGGGCCCCGCCAGTCTTGGATGTGCTTGATAGCGACGTTTGCGGCTTCTTCGGCGGTGAAGTTGCGGCCGAGGGCTTCGACGAAGTCGTTTTCGGGATCTGCGGTGGAGGGGTTGGTTGGTTAGTGACGTCAAGAGGTAGATGTGATGCGTTAACCGAGAAGTAGATCGCAGGGACGGGCGGTTCGAGAAACATGGAGGCGAGGATCGAAAAACCAGGGAGTTGAGCGATACGAAGGATTGACATGCGAATGCTGTCATGGAGGAAATATGCGATATGATGTGATGAGATAGATAGAGCGTGTGCGAATGTGGGGCGATGTAACGAGCCGAAACGGGAAAAGGGTAGATAGAAGGAAAAAGAGAGCAACCCGACTCAACTCACCCATCAGGTAGAAGTAGATGCTATGATCCACCAGATAATCCTGGCCGGGCTGCAGCTTCGGCGGAGTCGAGAAGTACACCCGGTAGTACTTGCAGCAGCTCTTGATGTTCTCATACTCGCCCGTCAGGCCGATGATGTCCGGGTGGAACTCCTCCAGATACTCTTTGATCACGGCGGGCGAGTCGCGCGCTGGGTCCGCGGTGATGAAGACGGGTGTGATGACGTCGCCGCACTTCTTCTTGATCAGGTCGATCATGACGGCCATCTTGTCAAGTTCTTCTGGGCAGATGTCTGGGCAGTGGGTGAAGCCGAAGTAGACCTGGAATCAGTCAGATGAGCTTCCCATTACCATCATGTTGAGCCCAAAATGTATCCGATGAGTCGGCGGTAGAGAGACTGATGGAACAGGACATGCACAATACGCACCAAAGCATATTTCCCCATCAAATCCTCGTGTGTGAAGCGCCTCCCCTCCGTGTCCACCAGATCAAACGGCCCGCCAACCTTCGGCTTGCCATATCCCTTTGTGTGCTCCGCGATGCGCTTTCGCGCCAGTCGCTCCTTCTCATATCGGAAGTATACTGTGAGGCCGATGCCGGTAGCGAGGAAGAGGAAGCCTGCGGTCACTGAAAACGGCTAACAAGTTCACGTTAGCTGATGTTTCTTGTAGTAGTTCGGGCGGCGACGAAGACAATGGGGGGGAAGTCGGGCACATGGGAGATACTGGGAGACGTGCTTGACGCGAGTCTGCCTACCCCGGAGAAGTATCGGGACCTGATTTCCTGGATCGTCCTGCGACCTTTTGGAGCGGAGCGGAGTGTTGTGGTTGAGAAGGTGCGGGATGAGGCGGCTATGGAGGGAGTGCTGCGTGTAGCGAAGGTCGAGACATCTCTAATTGTGCTCGACGGAGAGCTTCGGTGCGGTCGCTGGGATGCATTGGGGTAGTTGAGGCATCTCGTTGTGAGAGCGCGTTTCGAGGGTTGAGCGAGTAGACGGGTGGTGTGAAGCTCCGACCGTGGTATTGAGGAGGGTCTGATGACTCTTAGAGCCCTAGATATGGAGGAGCATGATCGAGACATATTAAAGGCGAGCGTCGGCGATGTGAGACACGAATTGGAGATGGGTTCGGTGATGGTGAGGCAACGAAAAGTTGAAGTCCATACGCACGGGCCATATCGATAGTCAGTCGATGATGAGACGACAGCCATCGCCCTCCACGTCCCCAACTTTGTGTCACGAGCTCTTTGAAGGCCATCTCAGGTTCTTATATTCGGTTTATTATACTATCTGTCTACCTCGTTGATGTATTTACGATGATCCTAGTAGACTAGAATCGTCCTCAAACAAAATGCTTCCAGACCAGATGCCTGCCCACCAAAGATATTTTGTACGCCGTCGCAATGCACAATACCCCAGAAATGCACAAATAACACCCAAAAGAACTCAGCCGCCACCAGCTGCAAACTGTGACTTTGCTCGAAGTAGCGCACCATACTTCCACATCAAAAAGGGAGCTGGAACTCCCAATCCCAATGCAACAAAGCCGAGCACACTGTTCCCCCATCCATAGTCAAGAGCAGCGTACATTGACGGCGCAAAGAGCGGGAACCCGAAGCCAGCCAAAGATCGTAGAACCGTTGCGGCAGCGATGGCTGAGGCGGCATACCGAGAGTAGGAGTCTACGAGATATCTGTGTTTCGCGTTAGCGTGTCGTCAGTCACTCCGTTCAAAACTCTCTTACGTTTGAATACACTGGAATCCAATAATGATGCCGGCCGAGAAGGTTGCGGCACCAATGTTTGGCATGATCCAGTGGACTCCGGCTTGCGCGGACCATCCATACCAGAAAAGGCCAACAGGCGTCATTATCGCGCCGGGTAGTATCAGTGGGATGCGAAATTCAGGCTTGCCCACACCATTGTTCTTCTTCTTCAGCCTCCGATAGATACGATCGTTGATGGGTGCGCAGATCTGTGTTCCCAGGAAAAAGCCAAGTGCCAGGGAGATATAGTTCAACCCTCCAATTCCCACGGATTCATGGTACCTCTTTTCCCAAAGTGGAGGGAATGTCGAAAGAACGAGATACATCAAGCCGTACAAATAGGCCATGTAGACCGCGAGAACCTGGACGATAGGCTGGGTCCCTAGAAGCCTGAATGGTCTTATGATCGCCGTCCTCAGGATTTTGCCCAATGTTTTATCCGGGCTTTCGTATTCTGTGTGTAAAGCCGTATTTCCAGTCTCTTTGCGTAGCTTTTTGGCCTTTTGCTTCAGGATTTCTGGGGCGTATGTTTCTTGCAGAAAGACGATGCCGAATAACTGGACCACTCCGGTGAAGATCGAGGTTGCCCAGAACGCCCATCGCCACGTCGTGTTCTCGGTTATGAATCCGCCTGCAATGGGGCCAATGGCGGGACCAAGCAAAGGCGCAAGACTGTAGATGCTAATAGCCCTTCCTCTCTGTTCTGGGGGAAAGCAGTCGGAGAGCAGGCCACCGCCAATGGCTAGAGGAGCGCTTCCACCCAGCCCACTCAAGAACCGGAATGCGAGCATCTGACCGCTATTCTGGGCGAAACCGCAACCAATATTCCAGGCCAGGTAAAACAAATTCGCTAATTGTAGTACTCGCACTCGGCCATAAACCTCGGAAAGCGGGCCTAGGAAGAGTGGCCCCACAGCATATGCGAGGATGAAGATGGAGAGAATCAGCTGCGACTCCACCACATTTGTTATGCCGAACTCATGAGCCATGCTGCTGAGGGCTGGTGCTACCATTGAAGAGGAGATTGGCGAGACGATGGTGAAGGAGGAGACGATGAAGGTGGCAGCCCATTTCCGCTTCATGGACCAGTTCCTTGGGTTTGCTGGGTCGTCTGGCGAGTCCCAGGTTACCTGCAACATGTATCAGAATGAAACTTTTGTCTGCGTCATGTTCAGTGGGAGCTTACCAGATTTGGGTCCTTGATTGATCTCGTAGACTTCTTCTTCTCCAGGCCTGGCATGCCTTTTTCGACATCCCTCTCAGTCTTGACTCCAGCGTCCACTTCCACAGCCGGCTCTGTCTCATCCGGTTCATCCTTTTCTAGATCCTTGCTCGGTTTCTCTCCGTTGTCTGAAGCGCTATCACCATCTTCGGATGTGCTATCACTTTCACCCTCGAATACTTCAGTCTGCGTTGGGACCCGTTCCAGAGATGCGGTGCTTCCGGCTGCTGCGATGCTATGGCCTTCGTCATGGTGATACACTGACTGGTCGTCGAGGTGATGGGTCGAGTAAAGGCGGTGGAAGTTCGCGTCTGGGCTCCGTGCTTGCGACCTGGATGTTCGCGGTCTCGATCGGGACCTAGAGTGAGGTGTCGATGCGCCGCGTGACCTGGAGCGTTCATCGCGGTCTGCCATAGTCACAGACAATATTGCTCAATCGAAATGTAGAGAGGTCAATATAAAGGGATCTCTTGTACTAGCTCAACAGTAGGTGGAATCTCAGAAGGCAATGTGCGGTGAGTTTGGGGGAAGAGTGAATATTTATAAAAAGAGAGCGAAGGAGTGGGTCACAGTTGCGAGAGGAAAACAGCACACGACCTGGCAGCAGGTGTTCTTTTCAATCCTCGCCCGGCAGGCGCAAACCCGAGTGCCATCTGCGGGTTTAAGGTGACGTCGGGCACGAAATCTCCGCCTTTTTGAGGCGCTCGTACCGTCGCCTCTGCCCAAGAGCAGCTTTGGTTTATCTGCTGCGCGGGTTCGGCATCTCGGCACGCTCGGCGTAGTGGCCAATGGGAGCTCGGGCATATCCTTACAACACAATCCACTCCGTATGGGCAGATCCTAGCGAAACGCAGAACACATACAAAGGGTACTCCTGGCCTCGTTGCATTGCTCCTCTCTCCGACCCCGAGTGGTGATCTCGCGCATCGGATTTGCTGGTTGCCAGGTACAGGACGTGGAGTTAAGCCTGAGACCCAAAAGCGATTTCCGGATTTCCAAGGGCCCGAGTGCCCCGCTGACCATCGCAAACCACCTTCTTGGTAAAAGCTTATTCTCTACTGCGAAACTCGCACTTTGCAGTCAACGAACGTGGTCCTCCGTGCGAGAATGTGGTGTGAATCTCCTTTTTTCTTCACCTTGCTGTTAGATTTTCTTCGGGTCCGTGGAGTCTTTTACCATGATACGTGGCTCTCCTGTCGTCGTCGCTCGCGAGTGGTGCTCCGTTCCACCTATTCCGCCACTGCCATCAGGTGACGTCAACAAGAGGTAGCGACACAGCGAGGTCCAGCAAGAAGACGACAACTCAAAGTCATCATTTCTCCATTTTGCCACGTAACATTGCAACTGCGCATGCACAGCCACCTAGTTGCACTACCGCTCGCCCTGAGAAGATTGCGAGCTCCAGCCTCACGCAACTCCCCTAATTGCCGTCAATCCTCGTCCAGAATGTCATGGATGGACGCCTGGAGTCGTCCTGGAAAGCACGCCGCGGTGCCTCCGCCCTTGTATCTTACCGACGGGAATCATGTCCCATACTGTCAGACGTGTGGCCGTGTCATCAGTGAGCGAATCCTTCTCGAGCGTAGGGTGAGCGCGTAGTTCTAAACTCTGCAGGTGCGCGAAAGGCCCAGCAGAGCAAGGTCAGCGTGGTCAAGTATTGCTCAGACCGATGCCGGAACCGGAAGCCAGGAGCCATGGACAGGAGGATTGAGAGGGCGATTGTCGCGCTGCTGAACGAGGAGCCGGAGTCTGGGATTGAGAAGACCGCTGCCAAGGCTAAGGCTGCTAAGGGCGATCGAAGGGTGATTGTTACTATGGAAGAGATGTGAGTATAGACGAAGTGAGCTGGAACATTGCAAGACTCTGATAAAGCTTCCTGGACGCTGTTCGAGCCGGCGCGGTACTCGGTCTCGGGCTCTCGGTTTACCCACATCAAACCAAGGCACGAGTAGTGTTCAAGCTGACCAATTCAGAAAGGAGGTCTTCTTCGGCAACCGCCACGACCCTGCAAAGACGTTTGGTCGAAAAAAGAACCGCGCAGGCCGAGCTCTGGGCAAGGAAGACGAGGAACGGAAGAGCGTCGACATGGTCAGCGATGACGACACTTCGTCAGATCACGGCAAGAGACCCCTCGGATAATTACCGGGAGCTCTCCGCCCGATCGTACGCCCTCCTCAGGCAGCATCCGAAGTCAACGGTGGCATCGGCGGCGAGAAAGGCCGTGCGGAGCGGACAGAAGAGTTTGTCGAAAACCTCGAGAAGCGGCAAGAGGGCCAGCGCCGGGCGGAAGAGAGGGAGATGGTACGCAGGGCTGCGAGGAGAGGTATTGTGTTCGGATTCGTTGTTGATGAGGGCGTAGGAGCACGACTGGAACATCATGGAAAGACCCAGGGACGAAATGCGCAGTCGCGAAGAGCCGTCGATGCAGATCATGCGCCGCAGACGACTAGATGGAAGTGTGAAGCTTTGATGCAGGGTGCGGTCGTGGAACCTAGCTTCGCTAAAGGGGATTGGGCGATCAGATGGCGGGAAGGATCAGTAGCTTAGAGAATAAAGAAGTTTAATCTTGAGTCTAATCACACTTCCTCATCTTTGTATGTTCTTCTTCCCCGAGTTTCGATGCAGCACATAGCCGTGGGGTTCCAAAGTCCCCAGAGTAAGCTTGTATCATATGGTAAAAGGAGGAGTTGGTTGAGGTGGAAGTCTAAATCATTTTCTTGAATCAGCTACATCCACAAGGAATGTAGCTAGAGAATGAAGGTGGTTAAGTAGGAGTTCACTTAGTTCCTAAAGCAGTGACTACCTACGGAAAGAATAGAGGGAGACATCTTGCGCCTGGATGGAAACTGAAAAGCATGCAGTCATATTAAGCAAGAAGCTTGACTAAGAAAGTGAAGGTTTCGTGGACGAATAATGGGGAGCATGCGGTTTGAAGTGAGGAGGGGGAAAGGGAGAGAGAGATGGGAAAGGAGGGGGGTTCTATAGACCATAGATGCGGAATGGGAAGCACGTGATGGGACTAGTTAGTAAGCCGAAAGCGAAAGGGTCGATGGGATTCAACTCCTACTTGTTATTGCCAAGAGCACTGGAAGTAAACGCTTTTTGATTGTCTAGGTGTCTAAGTTCTTTTGATTTCTGTCAGCTCATATGTTGCACCTTTATAACTTGTGCTCCTGCAAAACAAGCGAGCCAACGAAAGCAAGCAATGAGCAACCCAAAGAAACCACTAAATCATATTAGCGAATCAACACCACCGGAGGTTTTCGAAGCATATTAGAGAGCGTTGCTTACCATGCGTATACTCGATCCCTTCTATATAAGCCCCGAGAACCGCTTCTCCCACAGCCCCAGTCGCATTCTGCACATACCCGATATCCGAAACCGCCTTATGGATGATCTTCCCCCTCTTAATATGCCCAAATCCGAGACTAAGCAACCTCCTATCTAGCCCCCTCCTCAGCGTTTCCTGCATCGTCGCGCTGACGCCCGCAAGACCCATGATCATGCCAATCGTACCAGTGAGATACAGTGCCGACGTTGCGACAGCAGTATGGGCGGGGTCGATAGCAGCCTGGAGGCTGATGAAGAGGGCGGACTGCGCGAGACCTTGGCCGAAGCCGCCGGGGATGATGTAAAGCGACTCCCACCAATTTGTGTGGCCGCGCCAGCGTACAATCAGCAGGGAGTAGCTGAGCGAGGAAAAGACGGCGGCGAGGACAACGATCGCTTTGTAACGGCCAAATCTGAGTAGTATCAGTATTTGTCATGAAGTTGTGTGAAAGTGTACTAACCGTCTTATTAGAAGACCTGATGCGATGCCGCCAAGAGCGTTACCGACAACGGCGGGGGCTAGATGCGCGCCGGCCATGGTGTTGGATGCTTTGGAAGTGATCTGAAAGTAAAGAGGGACTGAAAACATCATCTAGACCAGAAGTAGGGGAAATTAGTCAAAATGCCCAATCTTGTGTCGATCAATATGGTCCAGAAGATAACTTACGCCCAACTGTGCTGCAGTTTGAAACGCCATGATTAGGTACGATGCAACGGCGTCTCTCTGCCTCAAAAGCTGCAGAGGAAGGACAGGTTCTTTCGCCCACCACGCTTCGGTCATGACGAACAAGACCGCTAATACGATTCCTAGGCCGAATAAACCGGGGATCAGCGGGTGTTTCCATGGTACTTTGACTCCTCCTATCTCGATTGGCAGGAGAAAGGATAGAATCATGGCAGCCATTAAAGCTGCACCGAGAAAGTCGATTCGAGCGAAACGACTACCACCTTTTGCGGAGTTCAGAGGTTCTTTTGGGTCACGCTTCGGATTGTGGCTGGGAAGCACTACCCAGCAGAGTATCATTGCAAGCACTATTAGCGGAGCTTGGCCAAAGAAGGACCTGGCACACATCAGTTAGATTTCACAGCTCGCTAGAGGTTGTGAACAGAGTGGTTACCATCTCCAGCCAATCGTGTCTGCAAGCCAGCCACCGAGGGGGCCTCCGATACTGCGTCCAGTGGTCGCGACAACGTTTACGTAGGATCGCCAGGATGCGACTTGTCGGAGCGGCACTAGATCTAGGAAGTTTTAGCCCAAGTTAGATTTACTTCTAATTTGGCGAGGTTCAAGTAGAATTGAAAGCATTTGCAGATGACCCACCTGTGATAAGAATTGAAACCAGAACAGTCATCCCAGCTCCTCCGGCTCCCGATATGACACGGCCGAGGATTACCTGCCACATGCTGGTCCCGAGACCACTGTGATTATCAGCATCGAGAACACAGGTTGAATAGCTCTGGGGTAGAGACACGTACACAACAACACTGCATCGAGAGACCATATTAGCATGAGATCATAAAGGAGTAGAGCATACTAACAGGCCAAATGCAAACAGGCCATACGCAACCAAAACCAAGGCCTTCCGGCCATAAATGTCGCTTAGTTTTCCATACTTGCAAAAGTCAGTGAGGCCTGCTTGATCATGCATTCATCATGCCTTGCGTACAAGAGACTGTGTTGCGGCGCCAGCCAGGGCAAAGCTGGTAAACAGCCAACTCGAAGCGGAGAGGTCATTGAACTCGGATGCAATAAGTGGATGTGTAGCCAGCACTAGCGATCCATCTGCGTTGGATATGAAGACTCCTAGAGCAGCGTTAGCGTTTTCAATGTTCAGGTAGTTCGATAGCATAGATATCGAAGCGGAACATACCGATGAGTAAGACTACAATTATTCGAGCAACAGCCGCTGTGCTTGCTTGCTGGAGCTGGCTGTCAATAGTGCCATTGGCAGCACGCGACTCTTCATCTGTTGGGGGCTTTGAAAAGCTCCGAATGGATTTATTGTCGCCGGACTCGCTGCTCGACGTACTTGAGGCTGAAGCGCTTTGACTGGATTCAGGCGAAGAAAACTGCTGATGAACCAACAATGGACTTCGCTCGCTGGCTCCTCCGGCTATGCTATCACGCGGCATTATGAATCAAGTATTGAAATAACGACAGAAGTCAAGATTAGAATGGACGCCAGGGCTGGCAAGTACTAAAAGGAAAAGCCGGCCACGAGACCTGAGTCACGGCCGCGATAAGATGGGCAAACCTGCGAACAAATTTTCCAGACGGTGCCGGGTCCCGACGCCGTGGCAATCTGGCGGAGGTCTGCATCGATGTGCAGGGCGAAGGTTAAGCGCCCTGTTCTGGGCATCCGGTGCGAGCGAGCTAGGCCCTCCCATTCGGCTATGTTGCGAACTATGCAGCAATGGCGCCATTTCCTGAGGGGAACTTCAACGATATTTGCCCGAAACCAGCCTATAGATAACTTTTATTTCCCCGCAGCCCGTCTTCGTTCCAGCATCTGCCCGATATCAATCCCGACAGCTAAGTCAAGTCCCTCTTCGCTAACAAGATCCTGACTCGCGTTGCCACTCTAGGCTTGTGTCCCTTACCTAGTACCGCTTGGGGTTCTCTGGTACGTTGTCAAAAGTTGCAAAGCAGTAATATCGACTAGGCTAGCAGCCCGCGGGCCACCTCAAGACGTCGGGCTGCAGTAGCTCTAGACCCACTCGTGCCACTGCGTGCCGTGCCGATAGACGAAGCCATCGCGCTCGAACTGGGGTCCCTCGGCATCGACTATGTACCCAGCCTCACAGCGCGAATACTCGATTCGCCTTTGCTCCGTCTCGTAGAAATTGTCAAACCTTGGCGAGAGAGCGTCATGCAGGTTAGCCACGTTTCCTGCGGGATGCAATGCAAGCCACGGTCTGGTGCAGGTCTGGCCTTTGCATGACTTCAGCACAAACAGAAGAGAGTCCAGACGAGCCACCACCTTCGATAGAGGAAAGCCGAGGAGAGTTTCGGGGGCAGCCTCGCCCTCGTGGAGAAGATTGCGAAGCTGGCTGGGGTCGGTCTATGACGATTGTTCAGCATACGCTCGCATTAAGTATGTGATCATCATACCTTCAAGTCATACAACTCATGCTCATTAGTGCACCATACCGAGTAGTGAAAGTTGTAGTGTTCGCTGATGACCCGGAGAGCCTTGTAAGTGTTGTTGTAATGGAACCGGCCTTAATCTCCGTAAGCAAATGCCGAGATGGACAGACAGCTTCACTCACTCTGGTCGAATTCGCCCTCGCCCAGTGCAAAGCCCCAATACTCCACGTTGACATGCTCATGGCGGGTCTTGGCGGCAGAGCTGATTCCCGACTTGGTGAGCGGGATCGCTTCTCCGTCAAAATCAGCTCGGAGCGGAGCCCCTGCCAGCTGAAGAATGGTTGGAGCAAGATCGGTATGTGTGGTAACGATGTCAGTCGTCTCACCCTCTGGTACTCCGGGCCCTCGAATGATGAGAGGGATGTTGATGTCCTCCTCGAAGCTGCATTCTTTACCTGGTTGAAGCCGGTGTTGACCGATGTGATAGCCCTTTGAACTCAGTCAGCAGCTACCAAGATTATCTGTTCAATGTGCAGATACTGACATTATCGCTCGAGAAGATTACGTATGTATCGTCTAGAATACCGTGCTTCTCTAAGCGGGAGATGATTCCATCGACAATCTCGTCTGCAGACTGGATTGACCGGAGACGATTGCGGTAAAAGTGATCATTAGCATCGACATTTTCCTGGCTCTGTCTTTCTAGCGTCCGGATCCAGTTAACACCAGAAGGCTTCTCCGGATTGAAGTTCTCGGTACGGGGGACTTTGACATCCTTGAACAGATGTGCGTGCCGAGCAGCGGGGATAGGAGGAGTGAAGTTGGCCACAAAGTCTTCTACGGATCCCTCTAAATTGGTGATCTCGACGTTGCTGTGAGGTGCGACTGGAGCAATGGCAAGGAAAAACGGCTTATCGGCTTCTACCGCATCTTCCAAGAACCCATACGCTTTCTCAGCAAGGACGTCGACGCTATATTCTCCCTCGTGGCTCACAGGAGGATCTTTGTTACGCTGGTAGGAGCTGTTGAGATACTGGTAAGTAAATGGGTCCAGCAGGAAGTCCTAGTGCAGCCCATTAGCATTTGTATACTTGTTGAGGTTTGAGAATGCCTCGAAACTTGAGAGTGCGTCGAAGCTTGGGAATGCCTCGAAGCTCGAAATGCCTCAAGGCTTGAGAACTCCTCGAAGTTGAGACCACCTACAGATCCAGTGAAACCAGCAGCATGGGGAGTGTTGTAGTTTTCCACAGTATGCGCATTGAAGAGCTTTCCCGTGTAGTAGGTATTATAACCCGCGTTTTGAAGCCATACTGGAAGGTAGTTTTCGTTCAGACCCTGGCTCAGGAATTTGGGGTATCCACCTAGAGGACTGACATCAGCGATGCACCGATCCATTGCGATGATGCCAAGGCCATCTACCATAAGGGGGGTTCACATCGGTCACATTGGTGTTATGCGCTGCCTTGCCTGTCCACAAACTCACACGGGAAGGACAGCAAAGTGCGGTTGTGCAAAAGTGCTTTCTGTAGAGGGTGCCCCTCTCGACGAGATGCTTCTGGACGAAAGGAAGATAGTCTAGAGACTTCAATTGGTAGTCGAGATCGTCCAACAGGATGAAAACGATGGATGGAGGGCGCGTCTTGGACTTGTCGTGGAGAGGAGTCTGGTCTGAGCGTGCGAAAACGGCCCCCGCCGTCAAGGACAGAAGCAGGATAGCGCGGACTAACATGTTGAGTCGTCGATGACTCTTACAACGCTCTATAACGCTGGTCGAATGTGTTATATCTATCAGACAGACGGCTTCGCAACAGGAGTCTCCACATTGAAGCTCAAAGTTCGCTCGGCGCCCCCCCGAACTACTCGGGCCTTTCCAACCCCCTGCACAGCATTGCGAAGCGAATATGTGGAGTAAGCATCGCGTGCTCATTGGGATTTATCACAACAACCTCATGCTAAACACTCTCAGTTCGACGCCCGTCGGGTGGCACCAACGACTGCAGCCACGGCTACCGGGCCTGGTCTGACAGCTCTTGAGCACTAGACTTTTTGGAGAAATTCCTGCGATCGGTCCCCTCTCCCGAGACTGCTCCCCAGTTCTACCGTTTGGCGTGGGGTGTCATCCCAAGAACTTGACGTCCCAAATTGTGGATATCGAACCGGTCCCGATAGCAAGAGTCTTGGAATCAACTCATGTAGGTATTCGCGAGATTCTCTGGAGTCTGCATCATTCGCAGAGCACTGCTCCTTAGCCCTGCTATGGAGAGTATATGAGGAGCCTTTCAGAAGCGCAGTTCCCAATACAGGCATCCCCACGGAATCTGGGGATCTCATCGCTGTGTTTCCGTCCTGCATGCAAGACGGTGAGGCATCCAGGTCGCTGGTAGCCCACCACTATGGGTGGACAGCTCTATGAAGTAGCTGGAATCTCCAGCTTCAAGGAATGGCCATGAGATTCTGGGCCTGCCAAGCCTCGAAAGGCTGAGATCCTGCAGAAGATGGCGTCAAGCGAGACTCTCGTGGCTCCTGTTTGGAGCACGACATCACCTGCGAACTCGTCGAATTTCCAGGCCACCTCGCCACAGACGCGGAGTGACACCGCAACGGCGACAGTTCATTCGCCCATGTCTTTTCTTTCCATCAAGATCCGCAACTCCATTCCGCGGTTCTAGACAGAAACACGTTCTTCCCAGGCCTGATCAGCGCCAAGGGCACAGGGCCGACTGAAGTGCCCGGATGGCAGTACCCAAGCAATTCGTTGACAGTGCATGAAATTGCGCGATCATGACACCTCGTCTACCAAGAATCTGGACGATGTAATGTGGGATGGTTTTTTAGATAAATGAAGGCCCCGTGTCCCTGGGTTCTCGAAAATATCGGATATCGACTTTGTCTACTCCAGGACTCAATTCGCCCTTGCGATCATCAACCATGTCGCTCGCGATTGCTGTACAGAAGAAAGGCGCTGATGGGTCAGCTTCTCCAAGTTCCCTATCTTCCACCGAGATATCCAAAGGGCTCGCTGAAGTCAAGATCTCTGAGACCGATTCTACTCTCGGGGTTCCTGCCGACGAAAAGCGTTTCTGGTTCCAAAGGGCTATTAAATACGACCCCGACGCTATCGCTACCCAGGTGAGATAAACCGTCCTAGTTTATTATAAGACGCCAATTTTCTGACACGCTCTCAGCCCAGTGTCTACGATGATCCCGAGGTTGCCAAAAACTACCAACCTCGTCCAGACTGGTAAGCACTTCTGATAGACGGTGTTGTCATGGTCTAACATCAAGTAGGGAGAACCTGAAAAAGTTCGACCCATCGGCCAGATGGACTTGGGGCGAAGAGCACAGACTGATCCGCAAAATCGACTTTCGAATTATGATCTGGGCTTGCATCATGTTTATGTCTCTGGAGTTGGATCGTGCGAACATCCAGCAAGCCAATACGGATAACTTCCTGAAGGACCTCAAACTGACTACCAATGGTAAGTGGCTTCCAAAATCAAGTCTACTCAAACTGACTGCTGGATAGACTATAATCTTGGAAATACTGTGTTCAAGGCGGCTTTCCTGTGTGCCGAACTTCCCTCCCAGCTGGTTTCTAAATGGATCGGCCCCGATCGCTGGATTCCTGCTCAAATGATTCTCTGGTCATTTGTCGCCCTGTCGCAATTTTGGCTGTCCGGCAGGACGTCGTTCCTTACGTGTCGTGCTCTTCTGGGTATCCTCCAAGGCGGGTTCATTCCAGATGTGAGTTCAATGCTGCCTAGCCAAACCTTATGCTCAATCCTAACATGTTATCAGATCATCCTTTATCTGTCTTATTTCTACAAGCATCATGAGCTGTCCCTTCGTCTTGGATTTTTCTGGACAGCTATGAGCGGTGCCGATATCCTATCCGGTATATTTGCCTTTGGCATCCTGCATCTTAGAGGGACCCAGGGCAAGTCTGGATGGCGCTGGCTCTTTTTGCTCGAAGGCCTGATCACCCTTGTCCTTGGCATTTTCTCGTTCCTCCTAATGCCACCCGGCCCGACGCAGACGTCGAGTTGGTTCAGAGGAAAGAAGGGATGGTTTACGGAAAAGTGAGCTCTTCGATCATCCCAGCAAGCCACCTGCTAACGTCAACAGAGAGCAAACCATCATCGTCAATCGAGTCATCCGGGAGGACCCGAGCAAGGGTACGATGCATAACCGGCAACCCGTCACGCCTAAGCTACTCTGGAAGAGCATGAAAGACTTCGATCTCTGGTGAGTCGGCAGTCCACTGCTGGGTGTACGAAGTCTAACGATGTGAACAGGCCGCTCTATCTGGTCGGCTTCAGCTTCCAGATCCCTATGACGACACCACAGCAGTACTTGACCCTGTCGCTTCGAGGAATCGGGTTCAACACTTTCCAGACGAATCTTCTCTCCATTCCATACCAGGTTGGCCATAGTGAGTCGAGCTAGTTCACTAGGAGGACTAGTACTAACATTCGCCAGTCATAACGATGATGATAATCACTTACGGAGCAGAAATTACCGGCTCCTTAACTTGGTGGTCCATCGTAGGGCAAATTTGGGCATTGCCATTCCTCATCTTCCTCCGCGTCACCAACATCAATACGGTACCTAAGTGGACCGAGTTTGCTATTATGACGTTGCTTCTCAGCTATCCCCTTGGTAGGACAAATATTGCTCTTCCCCTCAATATCCCTCTACTAACTCACGATCGCAGCCCACGCAATTCAAGTCGGCTGGTGCTCTCGTAATGCGAACACTGTCCGGTCCCGCACCGTCAGCGCAGCTATGTACAACATGTTCGTCCAAGCGTAAGTGCACTCACCTTGCCTCTTGCTCGTCCGTGCCATTCACTAACGGAATATAAACAGTGGAGGTATTGTCGCTTCCAACATCTACCGCGACGACGACAAGCCCCGATACAAGCGCGGAAACACGGCTCTAGTTTCTATCACCGTGATGAACATCGCCCTTTATGTTTTCATGAAGGCCTACTACGTCTTCCGCAATAGGTCGCGTGAGAATAAGTGGAACTCTATGTCCGAGCAAGAACGCCTTCACTACCTAGAGACGACAAAAGAGGAGGGGAACAAGCGCCTGGACTTCAGGTTTGCGCACTGAGCGGGAGGAGTGGGTTACCATCGCAATTTATATATTTTAAGAGGACGACGGAGGCTGTCTATTGGGTGGGTGCTGGCTGCTGGATGTCATGAGGAATGCCTCTCTACTCAGCGCAGAATCAGAAGTGTTTTTATGTCATGTGCTCCTAATTACTACACTTTATCTCTGCAAATGCCCTTCTCTTGAGCCTAGCTCTTGATCACGATATTTATGCTCACGTGATTCTTTTGGACTCTCATCAATGAACATTGCCAAGTTTTGTCGATCAATGTAAATTTTCTTTAGTTTTTGGAGGGCACGCAGTACCGTGAAACATTTGATGGCGAGGTCATTTCGCAGCGGAATTGGACCAGAATCGCGATGGATTCGTGGTTGGACTGGCCCGCTCGATATACTTTGCTAGTCTTGTATCGTGCTCCAGAGAGAGGGCAGCATGGCGACTATTGCTCGCTGCGAGAGGCTCCAGAAGCGGCGTGTGTTGGACTGGCAGCCGGCGGATGTTGTTGGCTGAGGTGTGCTGCAGCCCTACCTATCACAAATGTCGGCTGGACGTGGGAGGTGAGGAGGTGCACGGCGCTGCAGGTGGGTGTGATGGCCGGCGCGGTGAGTGGGCGGTTCGGCGCCGTTTCAATTCAGTTTCATTCCTGTAGCGGCTACAGAGTGCACCCTCGCGGCCAACGACTAGGCATTCGGACCTCGAGCAGACTGTCGCTGGCCGCTGTGCAGACGACCAACGAAGCCTTCACGTTGAGATTGCCCAGCAGCCCAGCACCGGAGCGTGATAGTGACCCGCCGTCTCGCCTGCGCTAGACCCATCGCCAGAGCTTCGACTTCGGTAGTGTGGTAGTACCGCCTCACGCCGCCTTGCCTCACCGACGAGAGCAGCGCCCCCTTCCTCGACGTCGCAACGAAACCACCCGAGGGCACTTCAGACCGGACATCCATCGGTGCGTTGTCCTCTGTGCTCCCTCCTTACGCCCCTTACTGATGCTACTCGCCGCGCTGCAGACTAGAGACGCTCGAGTCGTATATATCTCCGCCGAGATACCTCCTCCCGCCTGCCAACAACACACTCAGCAGCTCCCACCCGGCGTCGCATAGCCATGGCTGCCGCTCCAGCAACCCAGTCCTTGAAGGTACGCCGCGTTGCAGCAATGACAGGGCTGCAGGATACTGACTGGCCTTCTAGTGCGTAGTGACAGGTGATGGCGCTGTTGGAAAGGTATATGGCATAGCGGCTCTAGCTACCTATCCCAACAGCTCTAGATGGACTAATTATGACCCAGACATGCCTTCTCATCTCTTACACCACAAATGCGTTCCCCGGCGAGTACATCCCCACCGTGTAAGGTCTCCAAAGTGAAGCTCCGCAGGCAGCAGCAGCTGACGACTTCCAGATTCGACAACTACTCGGCCAATGTCATGGTAGATGGCAAGCCCATTAGCCTAGGACTTTGGGATACCGCTGGTCAGGAAGATTACGACCGCCTGCGACCTCTCTCCTACCCCCAGACCGATGTATTCCTCATCTGCTTCTCCATCGTGAGCCCGCCATCGTTCGATAACGTCAAGGCCAAGGTAAGTCCTCACGTACTTTCCTTAAAGGCGCAAATTTTGACATGGTTATTAGTGGTACCCAGAAATCGATCATCACGCACCCGGCGTCCCCATTATACTTGTCGGCACGAAACTAGACTTGAGAGAGGATGAGGGGACCCGAGAAGGCCTCAGGCAGAAGAAGATGGCGCCGATACAATATGAGCAGGCGGCCATGGTCGCCAGGGAGATCAAGGCCCAAAAGTACTTGGAGTGCTCTGCCCTGACTCAGCGCAACTTGAAGAGCGTGTTCGACGAAGCTATCAGGTAGCACCATCCCCCCTGCTTCCTAGTCAGAGACAACCGAAAGCTAATTGTTCCTCCAGAGCCGTACTCAGCCCACGTCCCCCTCCAAAGGTGAAGAAGTCAAAGTGCGTCATCCTATGAGCACAGACCGGCGCGCAGGGGGCAACGAGTGGACGGGACGGGTTGGTGTAACGGGTGGGGACTTGAATACCATTGGTGTTGTGGACCAAGTTCTTACGGCGTTTTTTGAGCGGAAATTGGACACGACACAGCGTGGAGCATCACATCGCAGCCAAGGCTAGCTGAGCTAGAGCTGCCCTCAATTTTGGTAGGTAATTACACAGGCATATGGCGTAGGAGAGGCTCGAGGGAGTCAGCGCCCAACCAGCCACTATGCACCTTCACCTCTAGTCCTTCATATTTTGCACAGCCAAGACAGCAAGCATGTTGCTCGGATCCAAGGCGAGACGATGGACGATGGATGATCTGGAGTCCGGGATTCGGCAGCGGAGCGGCGTGGTGTCTGCGTATTCGTTTTTTGAGCACTATTTTCTTTCCTATATCCGTCATTACACTGTGGTTAGCGGTTGGACTAAGCATTTCTCCCCCCGAATCAACTGTAGATAGTGCGGAGCAATCATCCTGGGGCTTTGGCTGTGCTGCGAATGCCCGGACTAATTGCGATGCGGTCGATCCGTTACTTGATAGAGCTTTCACAATTTAGTTTGCGGTTTGCCTGTTGAGACTTCGGATCCGTGATGATTATTTTTCACGGGACTATAAACGGTGTTTGCCAAGCTCACATTACCCTGTAGAACTCAACGCTAGAATTCCACACCCCTAGAATTTGCGTCTGTCCTAACAGAACCTCTTGCGGTTCGTCTACATCGGCACGTGAAAGCTCAGGTCGGCGCATCGGCGAATTGCCCCACGGCAGGGATCTCCCGCATCCCTGCACCTTGCACACCACGCTTGGGACGAAAAAAGTGGCACACTCATCAAGTACTCAGCCCGTGTATATACCCGTCTGCCATTGCATGAAGGGCTTCAACAAGTTTCCACATAGACCAAAGTGAAGGGTTTTTATCTCGTTCCAATTCCTGAAAATTCTCTAAAGCACCCCAAGCAGTGGCGGACACACACGAGACAGCTTGTTCTAGAATTAGTGTGCCACCTTTTCCATGCCCCGCGTGCATAGCTCCACACGACGAGACGACATCTGTTCACTCCACTACCACAATTATCAACTTCACAATGTTCCACCAAGGGGACCTCCAGAGCGGCATCGCGCTCGCCATCCAGCAGTCGAAATCAGTCGCCTGTTTTGTGCGGGGTTCGTGTTTCAACTCCTATGAATCCATATTCTAGGTCAGTTCATAGGAATGCAGGCTGACCTCACTTTCAGACGACAACGAGGAAAGCGAGCTTTGGGAAGCGAACTGGCTCCAGGATGAGGACGTATGCGCCTGACCATCATTCTAGCAGAGCATAATATACTTACAATCATATCGGCAGGTATCATCTCTCCTCGCGCAGTCCACCGTTCTCCTCCGCATGCAAGCAGGGTCCACAGAAGCGGGCTTCCTGGCCGCATTCTGCCCACTAAAGAACATACCCACTCTAGTTGTTATACAGTATGCGCTCCATAAGCGTCTCTGGGACCATCGGATCTAACAAGAGGGTGTTGTAGTAATGGCCAACTCCGCGAACACCTAACCGGCGGCGACGAAATAACGAAGGAGGAATTCACAGCGCGGTTACGAGCTGTATTGAGCCCTCAAGTAGAACCCACCGCCACACAACCACAAGCCGAGCCTGCAACAGCTGTCTCCTCCGCGCCCTCCACCTCAAATCCAGCACCCCAAGCTCCCCAAACCACCCCCTCCACCCCCAGCACACCCGCCAACCCTCCCGCCGTCATCTCCCTCCTCGCCGACCGCGCTGCCCGCCTCGAGCAAGATAAACGCGCCAAAGAAGCCGCCGAAGCGACCGCCCGCGCCGCTGCGCGCACCGCAGCAAAGGGGAAAGCCAAAGCCCTCGACGCCGAGATCGCCGGCGCTGCCTCGTCCACGCGAGCCGCGCAGCTCAGCGCCGCAGCGCAAGCGCGGAAACGGAAGGAAGACGAGAAATCAGAGCTGCGGCGCATACAAGCCCTCATAGACAACGACAAAGCCGAGCGCAAAGCCCGCGGCGAAGAGCGGAAGAAGGCCGCCGTAGAACAGCGGCGGTTAGCCGCTGGCGGAGCCCCATCCGAGGATGTAGACCCCACAGAAGCATCACCATCACCGCGGGCTTCAGGAAAGGGCAAAGCGACTCGCCGCCTAACGGGTGCCGTGCACCTCAACATTCGCCTTTTCGACGGCGGCACGATCCGCCAGTCGTTCCCGCACGACGCAATGCTGCAGACGGTGCGCGAGTGGATCGACCAGGAGCTGCTGGCGACCGAGTCCAAACACCCGCCGTACACGTTCAAGCACCTCCTCCCGCCCGCCCCGAGCCGCGCGCTGTCGGCGTCGGACGAGGCGGCCGAGCTGGCGGATATCGACCTCGCGCCGTCGGCGACGCTGGTGCTGGTGCCCGTGACGGGGTATACGGAGGCGTACACGGGCGGCGCAGGCGGCGGCGTGTTGGGGTCGGTTGTTGGGAGCGCTAAAGGGGTCGTTGGGAGTGCGTTTGGCGTTGTGGGAGGCGTGTTGGGGTATGTGACTGGGTATGGGGCTCAAGCTCAAGCGCCTGCGTCGAGCTCGGCGCCTCAGGGTGACGGGGATGGAAGGGGAACGGGGGAGGCTCGTGGCGATGGGCGGGTGCGCACACTCGCGGATCAGCGGCAGGAGGGCGGAGCGGAGCGGAGGAGTGAGCGGGACCGGCAGTTCTATAATGGGAACCAGACGAACTTCGAGCCGAGGCGGGATGAGGGGAAGGATGATTAGGGGGGATCGGCTGAGAAGAATTAGGGTAGTGTAGGATTACGATGTCTTAACGCTTCACAGTATCTTCATGGGTCTTGGGTTGAGGCTCTCAAAAAGGAACAGAGGAATGAGAGATCGCTCTTGCTGATCATAAACGCCCCTAGTTTTATCACAATTAGCCCGCACGATCGTGTGAGGATGTTGTCATGATTCTCAACTCGATTGCGATGTCAGTAAGCTGAATCATCGATGTCGTAGAAAGCATATGTGGTAAAGAGATGGGCGAGGAATCCCGGGACACGTGCGATAGAGATAGTTGTCAAGTGGCACGTTTTGTGGAACGAAGAGTATGGTTGATGCAACATGATGTGTAATGTTCAAGATGGTGGTGAAGGCGAAACGATTTTATGGGCTGAGAATGCTTTTGCAGGCGAAATTGGGTTTTAGATACCTTTTGTATAGACGATGGCCTGACCGTCTCGGGGGCTCGAAAGGTTGCTATCCTACGTACCTGCTCGTTTGCAATGTGAACTACAGGTGAAGATTTAGGGGTGGTTCGCGGAGGCGCGGGGGTCTGCTCGCTGGGTGGGTGTTGTGGCGCGAGCATTTGCAAGCTATATTGCATATAGGAGGTGTGTGCATGAATGAGTGAGGTGGTGTTGGAATTGTAAGGCATTCTTATAAAAAGTAATGCTATAAGACGGCAACCTGAGGGAGCCACCGCATTTGAAGAGTTTGCTAGACAATGTACAGGCAGAGGACACGGCTGGTCATTTTCTAATATCCACATTCATGCTGAAAGGAGTTGAAGGGATCCGCTTTAGCGAGAACAGCACAAGCAGTAATGAGGAACGTAGATCAAAAATATATTTGGAGAGGGGAGAGAGCCTCCGTGCGAATCACATTCTTCGCTACTTTACAGGACGGCTCGCTGATAGCCAAACTGAACTCCTTTATCTATGCTTTATGCTGGGTTACTGGCCATGCCTGAGCGAAGTGTCTCTCGAGGTGCCGGTAGTGCGGATATCTAGTACTCCTTCGACGCCTGCTGGCACGCCTTCTGTATGTCCCCAAAAACGTCAGCAATCTATACAACAACATCTATGCCTCGAACCGGACTTGAGAGGCGTGGACGAGAACATAGAAATAGTCTCAAAGATAGCAGAGGATTACTAACTAGCTGGTCTAAATACCACCCGCAGATAGTCAAGCTGCCGTCGTTCTGATCCATGCACTTGCGGAACGTGCCAACCTCGCTGCTGCACACGCCGGACGACATGTTTGTGGTGTTGGCGAAGGTCTGCTCCGCGGGCGCGGTCTCCTGTGCGGCGGCGGGCGCTGCAGCTTCGGATGAGGATCCGCCGCCGCCGAAGAAGCCGCCTATGGCGTGGCCGATGCTAGAGCCGACGGCGACACCGCTGTGGTGGGTAGGTTAGCCTGTGGTTCCTTTCTAGAAGTTGGGATGATGTCGTAAAAGATGTCGTTTTTCCTGGTAGGATTTCATTGTTGGGACCCCAGATGGGCTGTAGGATTCCAGTTCTTCATCGAGGAAAACGGGGATTACGCACGCAGCGGTACTGGCCATCTGGCCAAAGAGTCCCGGGCCCTGACTAGCTGGTGCTTGTGCAGGAGGTGCCGGCTGAGCCGGTGGTGCTGGTGCCACAGTGCTTGCTTGACGTTGCTGAGGTTGAGTGGCAGGCCTGGGGGGAGCGGCAGCCGTCGGGCGGCGAGCAGCGGGAGCGCGCGCTCCTCCTCCAGATCTTCCTCCTCCTTGGCGGGGCATGTTGATGAAAATGGGTGGTGATGGAGTTGGGGGTCTCGGGGATGGGAGCAATTGGTTGTGATGGTTGTGAAATGAAGTTGGAGATCGATGGCAAAAGAAGTCGAGGTTCGAGAAGGATCGGAGCTTCGCTTCAGGGATTGCCGAGGATGGGCAATTATTCGGATGGCCCGAGCTCACGGCTTGCTCAAATGGCTGATGTCTGTATGGTCCAGATGGTTGGAAGCTAACTGCAGCACTTCAAGCAATGGCAGATCGTTGTTGACAGTGCTTCGGAAACTTCGATGCATGTATACTCATCGTTTCTCTTTCATCTATCGTATCTGCACCTCCCTCACTCTTCGCCGTTTTTATGCGGCTACCGCTTATTGCTACACCACAAGCCAGATATACTTATGCAAGCATCCCCAGCTCGTTGGAAAAGAAAAACCCCAACGCCATGCTGTCATGAACCATTCCATGCCATACCAAAACCATACCACACCATCACCATTAACATCAACCCAGCCCCCCCTTCCCGATTCTTCTCCAAACCACGAGACTAGCTCGCCAATGTAGAACGAGGATACCGCCGTTCCAAGTCTACCGTGCGCGAAAGAAAGAAAATAGAAGACGAGATGGTCAGTCCAGGTACCAGTTTCCAGAGAGCCGTCGACCGGATTTAAAAACATCAAGTACTTTCTTGTGCTAAGATGTCTGTGTGCGACTTTTCAACCATCCTTCTCGAAATAGGTGGATGATGGGTTAGTAAAGCGCATGCGTTTACATCCACCAGAAGAATCCGACAAGGACACCAACAAGGCCAATGCCCATTCCCTGGACCTCGCGACCAGGGCTGCCGCCACCAGTCTTGGTCGTGGTGGGAGCAGACGTCGTGGCAGTGCCAGCGGCCGCAGTCCCCTTGGTGATAGAGCTCTGGATGGCAGCATCGAAAGTCTGGCCAAGGGTTGGGAGTGCGACACCGCCATTCACGTCCCAGAAATCCGAGGTATACGCAGGGCATGGCGGAGGAGTGAGGCTGGGCGTGTAGGCGCTTGCCTTGACTCCTGAAGGAGTCAGGGTTTTCCATTGATCAGAGAGATTGTCGAAGTCAGGGGAGATGGGAGTAGGAGTGCCAGATCGCGGGTAGCCGTCCGGAGGAGCGCTTACGGCAGCTGGGTCGACCTAGTGATTATTAGATTAGATTCGTTAGTTATGAATGGAGAGGAAGATTTACCTTCTCGCCGTAGCTGACGAGGCCGTATTCGTTGGACTCCTCGATCCACTCATAGATGATAGCACCTGACCAATAGGGATTCATCTGGTCACCGAAAATGGCGGCCTGGTCCTCAAAAGTACGAGGACGAGGCTTAATGCAACCAGTCTCGGAGAAGAAGATGGGGATATTGTAATGGGTGACATTCGCGTTGAGCTGAGAGTAACCGGAGATTTGATAGTTGGAAGTCGGTCCGCACCATTCGTAGGCGTTCAGAGAGAAGAAATCGAGAGCTTCACTGCTGTTGTCGCCGCAGGCCATGTAGTTCTGGAGCATAGGACGGAGCTCAGAAATATCAGCTAGAGGAGGTCAGCACGAGTGGCGGTGCATGAGGATAGTCGGAACAGACCAGCTGAGTACCCGATCGGGATATCACGATACTTCTTAGAGTTGCGATACGCCTTGGCGTCACGAGCAGCAGCTTTGACGTATGGCGCTGCGACGGAGCCATTTCCTAGATTGTCGCGTCAGACTTGGCGTTGATTGGCCGCAAAGATAGACTGACCAGTCGTGAGAACTTCATTCCCCACAAAGAAACCAGCGGTGTTGTCAAACTGCTGGAACTCGTCGATGACCTTTTCGAAGGCTTGCAATTGAGTCGCGTTCCAGTGAGGCGAGTCCTGCAATAATCGCAATTAGCTTATCGGTGCAAACTCAGCGGGGAGGAGCCGAGCGCACCTGATTGATCTGGGTGGTGAAGGTGTCCAAGTCAACCCAGAGGTAGATTCCAGCATCCTCAAAGGTCGACATGCAGTCCTTGTGGTCACCGTCGGGGTCGACGTGGTAGACGCGTATCGAGTTGGCTCCGACCTCCTTCATGAGAGCGGCATCGAGCTTGCACTGGGTGCTGTCGACCAGAGGGTCTTCAGGAACAAGCTGGTAGGCAATTCCTATAGAATTGTCAGAACTGGTGATGTTGTATTCGCGGGAGGGTCGTACCTTTGAGGAAGAACTGGTCGCCATCACTCGTGAAGAACTTGGAGCCCTTGACCGAGATGGTAGCGATGGCATTGACGGTTGAGATAGCCCCGAGGAGGCAGGAAACGATGGTGGAACGCATGATGCGCGTGCTTTGCTGTGATCCGGGGATGGACGTGTGACGGACGTTGCGCAGCAAGATGCAGCGAGTCGCGAAAGGATGCTTGATTGATGCAGCGAGCGAGAGTGGAGTAGAGCGAGCGACGAGGACAAGCGCACAGCAGCGGCACCTGGCTCCTTCTGTACAGCAAACAAACAGTAGCGAGAGAGGCCCGAGGTCAGGTCGAGAGTCGTGGAGACGGTGGAAGGGGCACGGGAGGGAGCGTGGGCATATCAAGGTCGAAGCTGCAGCAGCAGCAGCTAGAGCCGATCGACAATGCACCAGGGCCGGATTCCAAGGAACCTCGCGGCGCGTTGCCGTATGGGCGCTGGGGCGGGCGGAAGACAGGCAAACTGAGATTGCCATTCACCCAAATCTGCCGCGATAACGATTTTGCTGGACCAACCGGCGCCACCGCTAACGTCACTGCGACACGCACCACCGCTCACTGGCCAATTCACCCAGCAAGCCTTCTCCGCTTTGACTGTGAAACGCTGAACGACAGGCCATGAACGACAGGCCATCGACGGCTTGAAACGTCGAGACGGCCGCTCACCACCAAGGACTCGTGGCCTTTTGCCATCACCATCGCCATTCACCTGAGCATCCCATCTCGAATTCTTAACCACCAGCAGCCTCACCACACGCCTCAATGCGGTTCCACGGTTGATTTCTGTCCGTTGGTCCTTAATCAACCAGCTATATTGGCCCAGGGTCGCCGCCCCGATTTGGATGCCAATTACCGCCCTCCCGGCGTCGACTGATAAGTCAACCTCGCCCTGCCCTGTCAGCGTTCTGAGTTTCAACCTTCTGCAACGTGTACCGATACGCTGTGCGACCTGTCACTGTTGTGCCTGAGATCCTGCACGTCGGTCGTCGTTTGAATGCCGCCAGCCGGACCCCAGAGTGTCCTCGGCCGTTCAAACACCATCGATCGAGATCGCACAACTTTGACTGAAGCACCATTCAGGAGACTGCAACATCAACCAGTAAAACTTGTGTTGCTATAGTCCAATGGGCACAGGTAGAACCGCCCTAGCAGTTCAAAACAGAAATCATGCGGACTCCGTAAAGTAGGAGACTGCAGCATACCGAGTTTTCCTCCATCGGCGCCTTCCTCGTAGAGAGAATCAAACTCGCAACTCGATTTGGCAGTGCGCGACCGAGCTCTGCTCAGGGCTTCTTGCTCAGCTGCCTCGACTCCTTCATGCTGATGCTAATAATACCGACACGAAGACAGCCAGGCGACGTCGACATTAAGAGCAGAGATTTCTTACATAATATGTGGCTTAAAAGCCTAGGAACCTTGGAATACATACCTCGACCCTCGTATCACGAGAAAAGTCTGCTCAGAATGGATGATGTCACGTGAGCCGTCACGTGCCTAGGTATTGCCAATGAAGTTCCGTGTGGTTCGAGCGGCTACAAGTACGGCCTTTTCCATTCCCGTAGTCGAGGACACGCGAGACGGTTTTCCTTATTAGCAATGGACTACGTCATCGTCGGCATTCACTCACTTAAGCAGACATCTCCCTGTGAAATCCTTCGGTCAATGTTTCTCAATAACTCCGTGCCTGATATGAACAGTCTCTGCGTTACTCAGCATCGTAATGGAAGGTTCACGAGGAGAGCCGTCGGTTCTTCGGCCTCTTGTCTTGTGCTCGTGTTGCAGGGTCGCATTTTGGAATCTCTCAGTGAAGTTGCCAGAAGAAAAAGCGCGTCAAACCATGGAGAGCTCTTACTTTTTATCGCGGCGGTCCTCAGGACGTATGACTTCGTCGAGACCGCGCGAACCTAACAGCAACTCCCGTTCCCGAAGGAAATACCGCTCTTGACTGCTTTCCTCCAATATCATATCAATCGAAAACCGGCTTCTCACTCCTTGGCGAAGAAATCACAAACGTTCTCCGATACGATCTCCAATCTTCAATATGCAATGTTCGCAGAAAGATATAAAGGTATCTATATTTTACTCTCACGCCACATTATTTCATACCAAATATGAGCTATAGCACTGTCATCATCACCCTCTCAACGGCCCTCCGTCCCAATGTCCAAGCTGTAGGGGACGGGGTGATCGAAAACTACGTCTGGCCCGTCAGCGACGTCGTCGCGTCCCGAGTTCCGAAATATTATACACCGTGGATCGTAGTACAATCCTAGCTCTAGTGACATCCTTCAGCGTTGCGCGTGATGCCCACTCAATTTTTACCCGGAAACCACAGAAAGTCTTCGCGCTCATACTCTAATCTAACACACCGTCGTCTAAGATCTCTCGAATGCGTCTGGTTCTTTGTTTGTGGGAAGCACACTAAGATCACCACGCTCGTTACGTGAAACCCCCCTTTCCATGCCCATCTAAGGGCTAAAGGTAGCGTCAGGTCTGTCTCTGTCCCCCACGACTTGACCTGACTACCAATCGGCGGCTGTTCACTCTGTCAGTTGATCGCCTGACAGTCCCCATCACTCAAGGCGAGATTATGAAGGTCTCTGGGTGTGTGGATTTGAGGACATGTCGATAACGTCTGAATTCGTCCGAATTCGTCAGAATCTTGGGGGCCTTTCGAGCCGACAGCTGTTTCACCCACGCGTGGAGCGGTAAGACGCAGAGGAGTTGCTTGATTGATTATCTCAATCAGAAGAGGGCAGTCTCTACCGACCGATCTACCTGTTGGATCTTCATGTTGTTTGGTTATCATGGAGGAAGTTGGAAAAAGAAAATAGGGAGCACTTTTCGCCTCGCATCATGCACGCGATTCAGGGCATGCCGGATGTCATAATTGTTAATCTTCCTTTTTGGATTGGCCTGCATGCGCCAAAGTATCCGAATTTCACAAAGCTTCGACCATTAGGTCAGATTGAAGCGCTTGTGATAGGCTTACCATGCACCACTCGCTATACAAGAACCGCGGACTCTCCTGGGGATTGGGCAAGGTCTGCAGTCCGTCGCAAAGTTTGCATTAGTAACGACGTGCCGTCCCACCCAAAGTGGCGCGCGCAGGCGACTTGGAGGCGTCTTCTAGAAGGCTTCTGGAAGAAAACTCGGGCGAGCTTATCTCAACCCACCCGCGAGGCGCGCTACATTGTGCGTGAATTGCCTCTCGGTGGCATGCCGGGTTTATGCAGAGGACCTGCCAAGCAACGTGGTGGACGAGGGATGATCGCGACTGGGTGCCCAGGTGGATGACAGCGGCACGTTGAGCGCCACCAGTCCCTCTGTCGCCGTCTCAAGACTCCCAACACCGACAAGAGACGCGACGTGGAGGTCTTGCGCCCTTACAGTTGGTCCGACATCGCCGCCATCCCACGAGGCCGCGCCAACGCCATGATGGCGCATCGCAGCATCCACCCGCCGGTGGTCACGGCCCTGGAGCAGTGCGTCACATCCCTCCATTCCAACAGCCCGTGCTACGACGTCCAGAAAAGACCGCAAGCTACGGCCCACAAGGCGGACAGCAGGCCATGCTCCCCAGGCCATGCTCCCCGCAGCGCCGTGACCACGGGAGACGGCCCCTCTGGAGTCGTTCCGCAGGGAAGCATTAGAAATGCAACGATGCAGCGTCGTTGGCTACCGACGACGACGAAGTATGCAAAGAAGCCTCGGCATCCCGACAGTTCCATACCATACGAGGAGTCCGGTCCGGTCCGCTACTGGGAGATGGCTTATTGGACTTGATAGCTGGCGGCCGAGCGTTCGCAGAGGCTCTATGCATATCATACACCTCGTGGCTAGACGGCGTCGTCGCTTTGGCACCGTGAGCACCCACCCACGGCTGGCTCCACTGAGGTCAACTGCCCGTTTGGTCGGTAGGGCCCGCTATGGAGGCGCAGAGGCTTTTGCGTGAGGGGCAGCGACCGCGGGATGGACGACTATCGTCCGGTCTGACGGCGGGCGTGTCTGGGGAAGCGCACCACCGACCGTACGACGTCTTCAAATTGGCCGAACGACGTGCGACACAGCTTTTGATATCACGTCTTAGCCGCCGTTTTCGGGGCCCTGGGACAGGACCCAGCAGCGAGGGCAGCGTGACGATTGGACGTGGTATTGCAGCGGCCAGTCAAGGAGCTCTTCGCGCAAGGGCGCTGCGGGAACGGCATTCGATGGCCCTTATCGACGCCGCCCTGCTCGCCTTCACGTGTGCATTCACTCCGGACAGGCCCCCCCGATGAGGACAAGGCACAGCACCTTCGCCGCCAGCCAGCAGCCGCCATCGCAACGTTGCCTGACCAAATCATGATCCAGCGCCCTCACTGGCTGCCACGTCGGCCTCTGCAAAACCCCACGAGACCCTTGGATGGCATCGCCGCCGTGCGTCTGGACGTCAATACAGTGCCATCCCGGCTGGCGATTGCCACTTGCCCTTGCGTCGTCTAATGTGGCACAATTTATTCTGGAGACTCCCAGCCCGCGCTGACATCTAAATCCGGCACTCCCCTCTTCACCTCACCTTCGTCTGTCTGTGCTCTGTTTCCCTCGTCTCACGAACCCTTCTCTCTTCTTAACATCTAGACATGAAACATACTTCCCGTCACATACCATTACCACTCATCGAGCCTCTCGTTCTCCAGAGTTAGGTCTGTGCGCATGCAGTCTGCCAATCGGGTAACCCCCACACCTCTTCGCCATCATGACTTCTCGGACATTGAACAACGTCGTGACTGAGCAAACGATTGCCTTCAATGCCCTCATTTACGGCTACGCTGGACACTCTCTGGTCACACCCCACTCCGTTCTCCAGCAAGTTTGGTGGACAGACGAGAAAATCGATACCACAGTCACCAAGGAATTCGTCACCTCCAGGCTACGGCCGAACGAAAGAGATAGACTCGAACAGCCCGTAGCTTTCGGCGAAGGCTTGACTGATGACACCTACCTGGAGTGGATACTGGAAAAGGCGAAGCGGCTGTTTCTGACCTTGGTGGAATCTGGTGTACCCGATCAGATATTCCCCGTCATCGATCACTCCTGGGAAGATGACGACCTGCCGCTTCCACTTGAAGAAGTGGAGAAGCTTGCGCTCTCGTATGAGCGCAACGACCAGCTGAATTACAAGTTCTATCACACACAGTTCACCTACCTGCTCCGCGAACTGACCGAAGGCGCCCATTTCGACTATGCGCCAAACGAGGTCCTGCCCCTGGAATACGTCCATAGCCTGCCCCCAGCGGTCGCATTACAGAATTGGTCCCGAGTCCACCTGCCGACGAAGCCGAATGAAGTATACGTGCGGAGGAAGTTCTCCTTAGGCGGCGCTGTATTAGACGAAGACCTTGAGATGGAATTTCACCACGACGTTGAAGCATCAAGACTCGTGGAGCATGATCATATTGCGCCCGTCTGGGCTTCATATGCCTGGAAAGGGAACGCTTACGTCCTTACTAACTTTGTCGGCCAGCACACTCTCAAGAGTTTCATCGACCATCGGAAGCCTGCTCAGTACCAGCGACTGCAAAAGAAGGACCGATACCAGCTGCTCTTGGGCTGGCTCCATTGCCTTGCAGATGCAATTACTTCGCTACACCAAAACGGCCTCTACCACGGAGCAATCCGGCCGTCCAACATACTGATTGACGAATCAAATACGGTTGCCTTCAGCGATATTGGCAGCCTAGGATCATTCCAAAAAGACAAGCGGCCAGACCCTCAAGAGGCATACAACTACGGTTCTCCAGAAGCACACAGTTCTGCCAGGCCATTGCTCACCGATCAGGCGTTGAAGAAGGTCGACAGCACTCAATCTCGCAAACAGTCGGTCTCCAGCCACGGGTCGTCGGAACAGTCTGTATCAAGCAGCTCATCTCGAGCTCACAGCAAGGCTAAGCTGACACGAACCGCGACCAACAACTCGCTATCCGGCTTCGACTTTGGCTTCACAAGGTCAAGGACGCCTAAAACCACCCCCACGCTTCTTCCAGCGACTGAGAAATCAGACGTTTTCGCCCTCGGGTGCGTCTATCTCGACATACTCACCTTCCTATTGAAGAAGAAAGCACACGACTTCACAAAGCATCGGTCATCCAAGAAGAAGGTCGGCGAGTCTGGACGAACAGTCAACTCACGAACCGACTCGTCCTTCCACGGCAACATTGACAAGGTCCGCGCGTGGATGAAGGTCTTGGAAGACACGGCGTTTGAGCACGATGACGACGCGTTCCGTAGCATTCCCCACATCCTGGATCTGGTGCGAGCAATGTTGAGTCAGAACCCTGGCCTGCGGCCAACTGCCCGGGACGTACGTGACCGCCTTTTCGGGATCCTCGTCAACTACTCTGGCATCGTGGACGTGCACTGCGGGGCGCACTCCCACGATATCCTTGTCCGAGCGTCAACTATCGACTCTGATGCCGCTTCCACTGTGGCGTCGCTGCGCACATCGAACTCCGGCCCGGACGGTGCGTCTAGTTCAGCTTCCGTGCGCACTTCCACCGCGACAACAGTGCGGGTATCGAGCATGATGAACTCAACCCTGCGCGACTCCTCCGTCACCGAGAGCTCGACCCTGTTTGACGACAGCGCCAGCATCCGCACCATCAGCGCCGAGCCGCTCAAGATTGCAATTTCCCCGTCCAAAACTCTCCCGCCACCTCCTACAGTCAAGGTCCCATCACCGACGCCCAGGAGATTCAACCCTTGGCATCGCGCTTCCTCGCGAGTGTCGTGAAACGCTCGGCCTCGTATAAAAACCTGGCATCATGCTCGCCCGCACTCGCGCAATCTCCAACCCGTCTTACGCTCATCTGGGCGGTGGGTGAGATGGGGGGAAAGTGGGTCGGGAGGCCCTACGTACTCGATGCATTATCAGCTCCGGCCCAAAATCTCGATGCAGGGAAACGAAACCGCCATCAGAGAGATTAGCCATTAGATCGAAAGGCTTCTATACCGCATTCCCCATCGGCCCGGGGACAATCACCAATGCATCAGTATCAATATCACCCGAAACGCCATCCCTTCCGGCTCGCGATTCTCGCCACTACCCTACGAGCTGGGCTTGCCCCGCGCATCTGCAAGCTCCACATCTGCGCCATTACCAAACCACACGTTGCTCGCTCGGATGCTGGGAACCCCTATGCCGACCTTCCTATTCCGCTCGCGCCAGTGTACCCGTGGTTAAGCGCACTACCGCCCGCTCTCGCATCGTGGTGGCTTGGGGCGGCGCTCGGGCCCGCCCGTGCAGACCTTCTAGAAGCGAAATTTGGAAAAGATTATGGAAATAAAAGAACGCGGGTGAGAATTTCTGGAGTGCACAGGCACAGGCGCAGGAACCGGCGCCGAGGTGGTGGCATGGGCATGGGTGGGGTAATGTGGGCGAGGGATAAGGCTGGGCTGGGCTGGGCTTGCTGGTGGCTTGGCCGGAAGGGGGTTAGAGCTCCGAAGCTTCCACTGCGGTATGGATGCTTGAGTGAGTTTCGGTGCATTTGTTGTGGAGTCTTGGGATTGAGGGCGTTGACCGGACTGGGACCGGTCGGGGTGGGGTTTTTGGATCCGATTTCTTGTTACGGGCGGGATCATTGAAAAGTGGTTTTGCTTCATGCTGTAGATACCCTTTCATCTTCGTTGAGCGATTAAAACACTTTAAAATTGATATGTTTCCACATCGACTCATTCAACTGTACAACGCAATTGGTATTGTCACATGCTTACGCTGTGCGAGCCTTCTGGCATGACGTCCGGCATACCAAAGCCTCCAGCTCTGGAACTACAAGTAACACACCCTTCGAATACCACCCAGATAGTGTACCTAGCCATCGGCATGGCCCTAGCCTACCTACGTCAGCAGCAACCGTTAGAAAATATATTATCTCGCTTCCAGCTCTTCTAGCTCAACGGCTACGCCCTTCTAGCGGTCGGCCTTGCACCAATTAGGCGCTTCTGGAATGGCAAATCCAACCTTCTCGAAAGCTTCTAGAGAGAAGAGGGGTGGGCTGGGGGCTTAGCTTAGCTTAGCTATTGTAGCAGTCGGTCCGGGGGACCCACTAACTTAAATATATTAACACAGCTCTCCGGAACGGCAAGCCGCGAATAATGCTGGCCAATGGCCTTATCGTTGCGTTGTCTCGAAATCCGCCCGCGTTTGCATTAATTCGGCGGCTCGTGTAGGGGATTCGGGTTGCGGTGGGGCGCGTATTTATAGATTTCCAGCTGCCTGGTCTGGTGGTGGAGACGGAAAGGAGGGGGACGGGCTGGAGCGGAAGGGGCATTGCTTATCTGAGATTCACTGAGGCACCTCGGAGGGTCGTCGGAGCGTGGGGATGGGATGGTTGATAATCGTTGGTGGGTGAAGGGGACGTGTTGGCCTCCAAGTGATCGTTAAGGCGACTCGGGGTGCATCCGGGGGGTACCTTTGTTTCATCTGTTCGTAATTCCGAGCTGGTTTTGGAGGGTTGATGAAGTAGTGAGAGGTTCCTTAGATATGTGTATCAGCGAGCAGCACGATCGGAATGGGAGTCTCATTTACAGGCAATTAGTACCTCATGTGAGCGTGGTGATTTGTGTTGGATTTGGCTGGCATTTTGAAGGCACATGCTCGACCTTTTGGCCCAGATGAACGTTTTGCGGGGTTCGCTCATGCGCTCAAGAGCTTTAATATACTAGTAGCAGCTTCTCGCACATGCTGCTGAGCTACTCATTCAACGAAGGGACTCACTGTATCACAAGCCGACGTTTCCTACGGTTATGACGGTGAAAGTATGGAGGTGTTTTGATATCATCTTTTGTCAATGAGCTTGACAAAGGGAAATGCGCAACTAACAGACAGACATTGTGGTATTGTACAGAAAACAGCCAAGTGGCTTTGAACTCATCATTCCAACTGGAATTAGTCTCAAACTGAATGAAGTGGTCATTGATGGTGAGACCACATGCTGAAGGCTGTATCAGCGCTTGAGTGTAGACGGCGCATACCTTCAAGAAGCTTCAGGCTTCCAGGACATGATGGTCTTTAGCCAGATGCAAGTGCTCCAGAAGACTCCCTGGACATCCTCATGTCTCAGTCATCATCATGTATTACGATTCCAATCTCCTCCGCATTCTTGACCTCCCCACCCTCATTCAACGCATCCCCATCCTTCTCATCCTCACCACCCCTCGCCTTCAACGCCGCCAAATTAGGACCCAGCCTCTTCCCCTTCTCCCCCTTCCCATCCTGCCCCTCCTCCACCTCACCCTCCCCAACTCCCCCCTTCGCCTTCTTCGCCTTCCTCTGCCGCGCCTTATCCCTCCTCGCCTTATTCTTCCCCGTCTTCTCCCGATCCCTCCGCTCCACCTCCTCCTTCTGCCTCTGGAACTCCGTCTCCGCCTCCTCCCTCTTCACCTCCTCATCCATCAACCGCAACCGCTCGTACTCCCGCCGCCGGCTCGCCTTGTACACGTGGAACTCGCCGCTCCCCGCGCCCGCGCTGCTGCCCTGCACATTCGCGACGATCTCGGGCGGCGCGGCCAGCCCGTTGAGATGCTTGGGGTGGGCGGAGGGGATCTTGATCTCGCGGTCTGGCTTGGCGAAGAGCGCTTCGATGTGGCTGGATTGCTGGGAGAGGGGTGTGAGGGCGCGTTTCTTGGTGGGGCGCTTGGAGCGCGGGTCGGCGGAGGTGGGGATTGATTCGGGGATGGGTTCGGACATGGTGGTGGTGGGAGATGGGGTGAGGCGCGAGGTGAGCAGGCGGGGGGTTTGAGGTGATGAAGTTGGCAGAGTGGTAGGTGGGGCGTGGGGATGTCTCGAGGGCAGCAGAGTCGCCTGGGTAGTGGCTTTGGATTGCTGAAGTTGTATGCAGACCGGCTGGTTTCGCGGGTGGTGAACGTCGAAGTGATGTGTCGATGTCAGGCTTGTCGCGGAGGTCCGCAAAAGATCGGGATTGAAGATCCTTGGCGCGATCGATAAACCTCAAGAAAATTCCAATTTCACTTCCATAACCATGACAACCTAACGTTCCTTGCAAAACACCCCTCAAAACGCGCACCTCGAAAGAGAGGAAGCCGCAGCCATGGAGTTCAACACCCTTGAACCGCTGCTAGACGTGCTCGAGGGCAATGTCGACGACCTCGAAGAAGCCCTCGCCCCGCTCCTCGATGCGCCCATTGCCGACACCGCAAGCAAGCTGCCTCTGCTCGACAAGGCGAAGCTCTATGTTATGACCACTTATGCGATCGAGTCTATCCTCTTTTGTGCGTTCATCTCACCACTTTATAACTATATTGCATCTCACTCATATTACTCTCTTTGTAGCATATCTCCAACTCAACGGCATCAAAGCCAAGGAACACCCTATCTTCATTGAACTCACCCGCCTGAAGCAATACTATGAGAAAATCAAGCTTGCGGAGACCGGGCCCGTGAAGCAGAATACGCGGCTTGATAAGGACGCCGCGGGCAGGTTTATTAAGGCTGGACTGGTAGGTTCATTTCACGTTTCACGTTTCACTTCACCTTCGAGAATAGCGTTTTCTACTGTCAGTTTGCTAAATTACGATTTGCGCGACCTAGTCTGGCAACGAGAAATACGACCAAGAGCGCGCAGAAAAACAAGCCAAAGAAACGGCGAACACGTACATCAAGTTCAACGAGCTGGCCGAGCAGCAGGAGCAAGTGCGGCTTTCGGTGAAGCGGAAGGCTGATGTGGCGGATGTAGCTCAAGAAGAAGAAGAAGAAGGGAGCTCTGATAAGAAAGAGAAGAAGAAGGGCAAATCTGGACGAAAGGCCAAGGGTAAGGGCAAAAGGAGTTCATGAGAACGCGAGGGGTCCAATGACATATTCATGTTTACAAAAGTAGCGAACTCGACGAGGCTCATGGCAGCGGTTGACACTGACGATACTGCCCACGGCTACTACGGTACATTGCTGAGAGGCGCGTTCCTATCACAGGACTATCTTGTGGCGTTTCATATGCCTACTTGCTTAAGCCAGGCAATATTGAACGCTATTTCCTTCAGATCATCCAAGTGTGTAGCATTGTTAAGGGCTTCGTGGGTGCTACGACAAGTTAACAGCGGCACCGATGAAAATTATTCCGAACACTTACAACGTGTGGGAGACATGAGCAAACCCATTGAGATTTGATGTCGTTGCAAACCATTCTTCGAGTGTATCAAGCTCAGCATATCCCAGAATCCAAACATAAGACGTGGGTGGATTTTGACCAGATATTCGTGCCAGTACCGAGAGGTTTTTGAAATTCGAGAGTAGTGTCGATCTGGTTGTGTCAGTTCGCTGGCGACGAAATAGCCTAGAACATTACCTGTACACAGCAGCTTGAGTCTCTATTGCCTATTAGGCAACCGCTGCCTGAATAGACAGTGTAGGTAGCAGAGACCTAGGTGGGGGTATACAATTACTCGAAAGGGGGTGTACGATGCCCCCCCCCCCCTAAAACTACGAAGACTAAGATAATAAAGCAGCATTTTGGGCTTAAAGAGTTCCAATACGTAACCACGCAGCCTTGTTTGCATTGTTCAACTACTTCCAGTTTCCCCAAAGAATACGAATAATGGCCATTTTCTTCGAGAAAGAGCGCGTCGACACTGAGGATAACCCAGCAAGTACTTGTTGGGAACTTGGCTCCGATAGGTCCTTGGGATGGTAATCGCTCGGTCACTAATTCAGCTACAGATTATGTGACGTGTATCCAGTGCATGCGTTTACCCCCTACCCTGAAAGGTTTGCTTTGTAACGGATGGTATTGTGAATATACAAGGTGTACTGCTCTCTTTCAAGCTACAGATTATGTGACGTGTATTCACTGTATGCGTTTACCCCCTACACTGAACAGTTTGCTTTGTAACGGATGGTATTGTGAATATACAAGGCGTACTGCTCCCTTTCACAATGGAGGTTTCCTGGGTATATAATCTCACTTTCCCCAATCCTTCAAATTATTCAACCCGCACAACCACACAACCACACCAACCATACCAACCATACCAACCATACCAACAGAACATCAAGCACATTGGCCCAGAACACATACGATCACACAATGAGCGGCATCCATGATCTCCCTCTTGATCTAGCGTCAAATGTCGTCGCAAGCTGTGTGCAATACGAGTTTACTCCCTTTGAGCGAATCCCAAAGCTCTCGGAGCAGTCAAAGAAGAGCATCTTCGCGTTTCGCGCACTTTCCAGGCCCTTCTGCTCCGAATCCAGGGAATCCTTCGCCAAGATCATCGAAGAGAAGGAGTTCTTCTTCACGCGCGACAGCCTTGAAGAGCTGGCCAACGTTTCCAAAGATCCAGAGCTTCAACCGTGGATCCGCGTCCTCTCCTTGAATGGCGCGCGCTTCAAGCAATGGAGCGACGAGACCAAGCTGGCAAAGCGTCAGAATTGGATGTGCAGCGACGCACGCTTTGAACACATTCGCGAGACAACTAGCCCCTTGCGGAAAGAGCTGATCAAGTGTCAAGAAGACCAGCAGCTCTTCTGGGACTCTGGCGACTTGGAGAAGACGCTAACAGAGATCTTTACGCGGCTGCCGAAGCTGCGGGAGATCCGCCTCAGCCCGTCGGCCGTGCACCGCCATATCCCTGGGTGGAACGGCAAGGAACACGCGCAGGCGCTGAAGCTGTTTGAGAGATACTGGGGAAGGCACTGGGTGGAGGAGGAGCAACTCTACGAGACGGCGCAGACGCTTGACAACGCGCCGTTACTGAACATCTTCTTCACGGCCGTGGTGCGAGCGGGCGTGCAGCTAGAAACACTCGTTATCCCGTTTAAGGAGCCACAAAGTGTGGAAGATACGCCGGATCTCACATACGTGCGCAACGGAATCACAGACCACGAGCTTGCCAACGTCAGCGACGACTTGGCGCGAGATGCGCTTCAGCACGTTAAGAAACTGCAGTTGACCGTCCTCCGCGAAAATCCTCAACCGTTGCAACCAGGCATTCCCTCGCAGCTCGACCGTGTCGTCGCGGCGGCTACCCGCCTCGAAGTCCTCGAAATCTTCTTTGCCGGCTACAACCGATTCTTCGGCGAGATATTTGACGAGCTGGTTAGCCTCGCCTCTATCGACCTCCCGCACCTACAAGATCTCCGTCTCGCTTCCAGTGGCGACAAGTCGTTCGCGCCGGAGGCTCTGATCAGTCTGTTGAGGCAGCACAAGGGCATTCGGAAGCTGGGGCTGGCGGGCTCGTTGGGTACATGGATTGAACTCTTTCAGTTCTTGGAGACGGAGCTTCAACTGGAGGAGCTGCGGCTTATCGCGGGGCCGACTTGGCCGATGTCTTTGGGTGAGTCGCAAGAGTTCCACGCTGCGGCGGAAAGGGTAAGGCTTGTATCTGACCCGCAGCCAGGGGACGCGGACTATAGGAATGGCACCGCGCGGCACTATACGTTTGCTGTCTTTGAGGGGCTGGACCAGTAGCTCTACGTTGCTTGCTTGGGCAGTTAGTGCTGCTTCCTGACGCTTCCTCGTTGCGGAAATGGGATTGCCGCTTTCTTTATCTCTCTCTCTTGCGCCCTGTTGATCTCTTTCGAGAGGGCATGCTAGGCATGACCTAACGACAGGAAGGAATGAAGTAGGAGTAGACAACAACAACGTGGCGAAGCTTACCCTCGACCACTTCTTCAAAACAAAAACTTGGTTCATAACTACTCCTTGTGTTCGAGTCACTGTCCCTACTATCTGTCGCTCTTCTGAACGACAAAGCATGCATGACAGAGCAACTAGCACGCTATCCCCCTCTTAGCATAATCTTCAAATTGAAACACTACCCTAATCTAATCATAATGTCACCCATTTCTTGTGATGTAATTTTGAAAGTCAATGATCCATTCCGTTGAGCAAGATGTGAACTACCGATATTCAGAAATCTAGTACGAGGGATTGTCCCAGCTTCTTCATTTCGACCGCGAGCTGTGGGATGCAGTCTAGACTTCTCCATCGAGTATGCTGCGGAGCAGCGGTACCCTGCTCATGGCTCAGCTTCCTACATTGGTGCCTAGTATATAGTCCGTAGTCGCTGCCCCCCTTTATCAATCAATTCAGTTCTCATCATCTCTCATGCCTCGTATATTACTACCTGCATAGAGTCGAATCGATGAGCAAGAATGGATACTGATTGACGAAAGGAAAAAGCATTGCCAAAGGGTAAAGAACATGCGAAGGGCGATATGATATTGTCAAACGCGAAAATAGCTGGAAATGCCGACATGTTCAACGACGGCGAGGAACGTGCCGTGTCAGCGATGTGATTGGCGGAATCACCAGGAGTTCGTCAGATTGATTGAAGTGAACATAAGTTTGTATTGTAGTGAATGTGCGAGCTTATATACGTAATTGAAAGGAGAGTAAGGTGACTAGGTGTAGCTACGTAGTGCGGAAGCTGATGCAGCAGCTACGTACTCATACGTACTGAAGCCGTATACATCTACGCTTACTGTGGATGTAGAGGCGGAGGTGTATGCCATAGATCTATAAGTCAAAGCTGAAGAGGAATTACCGCGGTCACGATGTGATGGACAGAGTCGAGGTTAACTGATGAGCTGACTACCTATTTTCTCAAATAGATACGCTACGAGAAAGAGGTGCTTAGGCTAGTTGGGGAGAAGGTCGGTACCTACTACCAACACATAAATATAGACATTACTTAGACATGGGGCTAATGCGCGTTCTAGAAGGCGGCCTTTTCGATATAGGCTGGAAATCAGACAAAGAGGGCACGTATGAATTAGACAAAGAGGGCATATGAATTAGACAAAGAGGGCATGTATGAAAATTGACTTATCAAAGTACTGGAGTGGACAAACAAAGAAACAGATTTCGTATATCTAATATGTTATCTTGTTCTGGAACCTAAAGTCTCTGTGTAAGCTATTGTAACCGCCCTCCTTGCAAGCATTTTTATCTCGCAGTTGTAGCAACCATGTGTCTTTTCATTATCTTTTCAAGGTCACCAGCGAGAACGCAGTCGCAATTGCGAGCACGGGCGGCTCGCATTAGACGATTCATATTCAACAGGGGTGAAAAGGATCCCGATTTACCACCCCCGTATTCAGCCACCAATAACTGGAGAGTGGGTGAATTCCGACCGCCACTTGATGAGTGCCACCATCCGTATCCTTCTATCAAGCACCGCAGGTATGAGGCTCACAGCTCCTCCACAACAGTGATAGTAAGACAAGCAGAAGAAACCGAACGGGAAGCGCATGAGGTACTCCACCAGGCAATAAATACATTTAGAGAGGCGCGGGATCAGGTGAAGATACTTGAGAACGTATTTGAACGGGCAAGATCCATGGCCGAAGAGGCGCGGAAGCATGAAGAAGTTGACGAATAAGGAGCAGTTATAGAGTTATACTCGGGTTGTAACAGCTACAACCTAGGATCAACAACTCATACGGTTCACGGTCACCTACGTACAGGCACTCCCCCCCTTTTCTCTCTCCTTGATTCTCGTTCTTTGATTGGTTGCTACTAGCGCGCACTCAGCGTGGCGAGGCCCTCTGTTCAGCTACACCAGGGTCCTCTCAGCTGTGTCCATTCCTTTCAGCTGGCCTCTATTCAGCTGAGCTGATAAGACCTAGGGGGTGGGCCATTTCCTATTAGTATATATTCGGCCCGTACGGCCACTACAATACAAGCAGAGTTCACATCAATTTCAACCTGAGTGTTATGCTATTTATTTAGGGCGAGCCTAAGTAACCTCCCCATCTGCATGCCGGGTACCCATACGTAACGGGCTAAATACGCGACCACTATGCTCAGACTCAGACGCGTACCGTCTGCTGTGCGAAAATTGACTTGAGTCTCCTGGTTTGGGCTAAACTCGTGCGATGCGCGAACGTTGAGGGGAATTCCTGACTGGAGATTTATTACACGAAGATGAACGTTGTGCAACATTAACGACGTCTCGGATGTAACGCCTACTGTCGTGCCCGGGGAAACTTTACAAACAAATGTTAATGACAATCTATAATGAGAGACATAGGGCAAGTTTACCGTATATTAAGTACAGTAAGTGTGACGAAAACATTGCTAGCTTTATGTTTAATTTGGTCCAGTGACCGATTTCTCTGGCGAGATCCTTGGTACAGCTCTGTCAGTCCATATTTGAACGACGCTATTACTGACTATAGTGGGATCTTTTTTTGAGAACAGGAACCAGGGACATATTGTCCGCTTTGAGAGTACCCAGAAAGATAGCAATGGAATGGAGAGACTGAAAACGCGTACGCTATTTAGCACTCTGCTGCATTTTCCATGACCATAAATGAATCGGATATGTGCCTACTGGCTAGGAGAAGTGAGCTTACTTATCGTGAACTAAGAATCCTGACAGTTGACCCTGAAATCTAAAGGCGTTTTAGGAATCGTCAGCGGCCGTTCCGCTGCGCATAATTTCTAAGCCGGTCTTCTCACCAATCTTATTTCGCATCCGATAGGTATAACTGTGGTTGTTGTGGACCAGTACGGTAATTTTGGTTAATTATCTTTTAAAGGAAAAGAGCTGCGGATGATGTGGCTGTCTTTTATGTCGGATTTGTACCTAACTCTCTTACGATTAACTGCTTTAACAATTAGTCGGAGCTCTTTAAGGGGGCAAGAATCTCTAAAAGGAGAAACCTCACGGTGAAAACCTTCTGCTACTATTTTGCCTTAATTGTTGTGGTAATAGTGCGCAATATATAGGATGGGGTTTTTGGAATCCTGACGGAAGTAAATCGCACACCGATGCTCCCCTTAATCCTTATCAACGACCCTGAAGAAGGCATATCTATTAATATTTATCAGTGAAAATGGCCAGTTAATACTGTCTTTCAAAATCCTACAAGCCGTTAAGTTTCGGCACACTTGGCGGACGTAGGACCCCTCCGCGATAGCAGCGCCATATGTCCGGTTTTAATTAAGGCTGCTCCTCGGCATTTGCTGCTTCACATATAAGGTCTTTGAGACTTAAAGCTACCTTTTAAGCTAAAGGTCTTTTATCCCTTTAACCTTTTAGCTTGAAAATGTTATCTAGAAGGTCGAAAAACTTATCGGTGTAAAAACGTTCTTGCCAAAGGGATAGCATTCCCCTATCCCCACCCTTGCTTTGCTCTACTAGCTCTTTGAATTCTGCACGAACCGCGCCCTTTAAATAGCCATTTTTATGAAAATTTTCAGAGCTATTAAAAGGGTCATCTTCAGATCTCCACTCAGTACGAAAACTTTGAAGCGCATCCCCCTTTTGTAGATCCGAGACGGCGACTTCTAAAAGCATAGCAGCGAGGGACCAAATATTGTACGCAGTGGATTCAATGCCGGACTCGAGCGGCGAATAGTCTCTAGGCCCCTGGACCCTTTTCAGAATTTAATGTATAAGCAGGAGAGGTCCAAAGTCGGCGAGCAAAAACCTGCCATCACGAACTAGTATGTTCGTTGGTTTGAGGTCAGAGTGAATGGTTGAGCCGTCTTCGCCGTGGAGGTATGCATCCATACCTGGAAACGTATCCATTAATGCCCTTTCAAGTGTACTCTCAGCCAATGGAAAAACGATGCAAAATCTCCCCCGGTGGGAGAAAGCAGTCAAGGCTTTCATAAACACGAATGGTCTTTCTGATTGACATGTGAAAGGTTGTTCCACTCCGTCCGTCCTAGGTCGAAATTCTCTCGGTCGAAGACTTTGGCAGCAAGAGGATCGAGCTGTGGATGAATTAGCAGATCTCCCTGCAGAGTATTCTGGTCAACATACCGTCGTCGCATTCGGGCTTGAGGAAAAGTGTGCCGGGAACGGAAGGGATATTTTATACATGGTTCCGAACCGTCCCTGACCGACGCGATCGCCCCATTGAATTGGCACTTTCTCGCTCGGGGCATATTCTATTGGTTGATTGGAGAAGGTCATTGGCCTGATCTGAAACCTCCACTGCTTACGCAGGATAAGATGCTGAACATGTTTGGCTTCCTCGATCGCACCCGACAAGAAGTTTAGATCTGGCTCAGTGAAAAAATATTCTCCGTCGAGCCTGACGCCTTCTGCGATAAAAATGCCGATTAATGCGGGTTTGTTGATTATTACGAGAAGGCAGTAGGTCGTGAGATAGTCTTCAAGAAGCCTGTGACGGTTTTCCTGGAGCTCTGTCTCGATCATTGTGCCAGTGTGTCGTGCGGAAATGACGGTCGCATCGATCCCAGTTGCAAGAAAACAGGCCCCTGAGATCAAGGTCCTGAACTGTTTTTAGGATGACGCTTTTGGGATAGTACTAGTCCTCTCCAATTAGTAGCGTGCAATTGCGGTACAGAGCATCACGTGCCCGCTCACAGGGCGGCGGCACCATGAGGCTCTGACCTTGTCTAGTGACTCAGCGTTGGACGCATACATCAGGGGCCAGCCTCGACGGCGAAGAATTTGGGGAGGGTTTGGGAAATCGGTGTCGCTTGGCAATTGTTTTTGGTAGTATGCTTGGGCAGATGTTCAGGGCGCGGTTTCGTCCGCAGGTAGAATAAGCGGACAGGGCCGTAGTTAGATGCCTGGCACGCCGGTGGGCGGTTTCGAGGTACTGCAAGCGCGCCTTGGTGTGAGGAACGTTGTTTCGAGGAGAGGAGGAAGCAGATTGATAGACATGATGTTTGCCTGCGACTTACTGAAATACTGCCTTGGAGGCACCATTTCCCTCCATCGCACCTAGGTGTTGCTGGCGATGTCTTCTATCAATTGCGTCCCGTCACCTGAGGCAAACACCATAGATCTTAGACGTGGTTCCTGTGGACTGAACTGTGGGAACCAGATACAATCACAAGGCAGTTTTAACCCTCATGTAAGCTTCGTTGCCGGCGAAAAGCGCTAAGCCACTTCTCTAGCCACCTACCTATCTGCTGTTAGAGATCGAGCTCCCAGGCTGGACTGCTGATGCAAGACATCGCAACTGTTTCCAGGGTCTCTCCTATTACTTCTGCAAAACATTATCTTGATAAGAAATCAGCCACTTGGTGTGCGAGTTTTGCGGTGTTGATGAGCCAGCTGGATGCCCCCATTTGGTATGTTCGCTTCAATCGGGACGTCCGGAGTTGTGGTAATGGCTGAGAAGTGAGAGTCTTGAAGTGGAATACTCTGGCCTTGATAGAAATCACATGCGTAGAGGTGGGTCGGGCAGCGTGCAGATTGGGGTGTTGAAACACCGTTGTCTTGCCCAAAGTCTGTCTACATTTACTCGCCGCTGCTTGGGGTGCCCTCAGGGCTTACGTACGAGCTGTTGAAACCGAAAGGAGTCTGGCAATTGAGCTTTTGTGGCCTTGACAGTGCATATGTGGCTTATTGAGTTCAAAGAAAAGGAAAAGTAAAATCTGAATGTTTATATCGAGAGCCTGGTGCTCTTATAGGATTCGTTTGTACGTAAATTAGAATCGGATCGGGCTATTGAAACGGTGTTTAGTAGACGTTTAGTAACTACGCTTGCTTTTGGAGTTTTACGTTTTGTACATATGATCACGATGCCTCCTCCAGTCTCATCTCCCCGACTACCACATATTCTACAAATGCCAACACAGCGCATCTCACAAGCTGATCTCGCCCTTCCAGGTCCCCTCTGTGAGCCCTAGCGTCTCGATGCAATGCTGCCATCGCGGGCCGCCCCTCTCCCTCCTCCTCAAATACTGCAGTAACTTCTGCCGCCTATGCACTAAGACCCTTAAATTCCGCTTATTATGCATATCTTTCTTTCCCCGCGTCTCTAAGAACTCCGCCAGCGTCCTTATCTTCGCCGTTAAAATCGCAATCTGCACCTCACTACTCCCGGTATCCGGGCCGGCGCGCCACTTCGCCGCTTCCTCGTTCGTCTCCGGCGTCGGGGGTACTACGCCCTCTGTCAACAGGGAAGCGGGCTTAGGCGGCAGGATATGGTCGGTGTTGTGGCGGCCGAACATGTCGATGCAGCGCTGGATATTCACGCGCAGCCGGTCCTTGGAGCTCCCATTCTCAAGCGCGGTGATCATGCTGACGGCCGCGGCGGCCTTCTCGTGCGCCGCGACGCGCTGTTTCTCCTGCTCCTCTGGGCTGATTTCATTGAGAATCTGGTACTTGTCTCCTTCAATATTCTTGGGTGGGCGAGGTGTGGAGATGCGTTCGGAGTACAGCACCGACTCTGAGACCTTCTCTGGCGTGAGGAAGAAGTTGAGATGGGCTTTCTCGGCTGGCTTGGGGAGCGCGGAGTCGGGTTCTAGGTAGTCGGGCAATGGCTCTGGGGCCGAGCCGGTGTCGAAGGATTTCACGAAGGGGGTGGTGACACCCTTCACTGGGTCGCCGAGGGCGGCGGAGCGCTCAGTGGACAGCACGGCACGACGGCTGAGGTTGGCAGCTTTGCGGGCGCGGGCTTGGGCGAGGGTGTACTGGTCTTGGTGTTTCCGTTTGGGACGCGGGATCTGAGGAATCGGGGTTGTTGAGAAGGGTCGGATGGGGAGAGAGGAAGGGAGGCTGGGGACGGGGGCTGTTGGATTGTCAGTGGCTTCGTTGGGTGAGACAATTCGCGAAATACGCACCCTTTGATGCCCGCAGGCAGGTTGCGATGGGTACTCGAGGCGGCATCGCTGCTGGACGTTGATGAGGTCCAACGCTCCTCCCAAATGTCTTTCCTGCAGTTTATCCGGGAGATGCACGCTAGTCTGCAACGGGGCAGTTAAACCGGCGTGATAGGCGAATAAATCCTTGGCGCACCGCAAAATTCCATCGCGAACTTTTGAGCACCAACCTCGAAACCTCATCTTGCCAGCCGTCTCACAGCTTCATCCTCGACAAACCGACAACATGGCACCTTCCAACCTCCCCGCGGCATTCAACCCCACGTCTCAGGACATTGAGCAACTCCTCGCGGCGCAATGTCATTTGGGCAGCAAGAACATGCAGGTGCATATGGAGCCGTGTATGTCTTGTCCTCTGCTTGATATTGGAACATCTGACTGACATTTACTTGTAGACCTCTGGAAGACTCGTCCGGATGGTATCAACGTCATTGTAAGTCTCTTGACTCCCCATCTCGAGTTTAAATTCTAACAGTCACAGAACATTGGCAAGACCGTATGTGATATCCTACCATTTTCCATATCGCCAACTGACCCCTCCAAAGTGGGAGAAGATTGTCCTGGCTGCGCGCATCATCGTCGCCATTGACAACCCAGCTGACATCTGTGTCATCTCCGCTCGTCCTTATGGTACTACCCGCCTCAAACACCTCAATGTTTCCCCTCTAACCACCCCCAGGCCAGCGTGCTGTTCTCAAATTCGCCGCCCACACTGGTGCCGTCGCCATCGCCGGTCGCTTCACCCCCGGTAACTTCACCAACTACATCACTCGCAGCTTCAAGGAGCCCCGCCTGATCATCGTCACCGACCCGCGCACCGACGCCCAAGCCATCAAGGAGGCGTCGTACGTCAACATCCCCGTCATTGGTCTCTGCGACGCCGACTCGCCCACCGAGTACGTCGACGTTGCCATCCCTACCAACAACAAGGGCCGCCACGCCATCGGTCTCGTCTGGTGGATGCTCGCCCGCGAGGTCCTCCGTCTCCGCGGCACCCTCGCCTCCCGCGACACCGAGTGGGACGTCATGACCGATCTGTACTTCTACCGCGACCCTGAGGCCGAGGAGAACAAGGACTCCGCCGGTGTGGAGGAGGCCAAGGTCCCGGGCGCTGACGAGGTTGGCCCCGGCGCCGTTGAGGCCGGCTTCTCGAACGAGTGGGAGGTCTCCGGAGCCACTGCTGGCGCGTTTGCTGCTGCGTCCAACACTGCTCCGGCTGCGGGTGCTAGCTGGGATGCTGATGCAGGTGGAGACTGGGCTGCGGCCAGCACTGCCAACGCTGAGGCGACTGAGGGCTGGGGAACTGCGGCCGCTGGCACCGAGCCTACTGCTCAGTGGTAGATGTCGTTCGATAGCGCGTCCTCGATTGTAGCCAAAACGGAGGTGTGAACTGCAGGGGGCAGCATATCGAAACAAAATGGGAGACAATTACAACACCATGAATCGACCGATCTTCAGGAGAGCGCGTTGGAGTCTTTAGAGGGAACACATCGTAATGCACTTATGAGGGAAAGATACTCGGCTGTGTTGGCTTTGTTTAGCGGCAGCGAGGGAAAGCCCTGTGTTGTCGATTTGGGTGGACTTGATCGTTGCCCATTCCTTCAATGAATCATATCGAGCTCTGTTCTTTTCTGAACCCGCTGGTCTTGGTCTAACGTGATTCAGATTCGTCGTTGCAGGTCGTCTAATAAGTATCCCCAGTGTCGTACGCAAGTCCAAACTCCAGATATTAACAAGACCAACAACGCCCCTTAATACAAATGTACAACATCCAAACCCATTATACCCATCCCTGACTTACAGACTCATCCCTACTCCTCTTCACTCTCGCTCTCGCTATCCCCACCCATACTAACCCCCAACCCCTTCGCAAGCGGCGGCGGCGGCCTCCCTTCATCATCTTGACTCAATAACCCCTGCATCATCTCCGCCTCAAGATCATTGCCCCAATCATCCTCCTCCGCCTCCTCCTCTTCCTGCACCAGCCCACTCACACTCATCCGCCTCCCCGCCGCCTTCAGCGGCTCCCGCACCGGCGGCCCCAGTTCCATCTCCTCCACATCCGCATCCGCATCCGCATCCACCAGATCCAGCCCGGACCCCTCCTCGTCATCCTCGACATACCCGTCGTCCTCCTCGTCGGAGCTGTGGCCCCCGCCCCCCGTGTCCCCGAAGTCAATCACATCGTCGTCGTCATCGTTATTCTGACGTCTAGCCTTATGCCGGAACGGCGACTCCTCCGGGCTGCCGCTCGCGCTGTTCGCGGCGCTGTGTAGGCTGATGGGGCCGTTGGAGGGGGACTTGAGGAAGCCGCGGGCGCCGGCGCCGCCTAGGCCGAGGGATTGGCCGAGCCCGAGGGAGGCGAGGGCGCGCGGGGGGTGGGAGGTGGCGGGGTCTTCGACTGTGAGGGCGGTGTTGTGCTCGTGGTCGGACGAGGAGTCGTCGGAGGAGTGGACGATTTCGGCGGACTTGGGGACGGGTTTCTTGGGTTTGGAGGCGGAGGTGGATTTCTGAGGCTGGGGGTCGGTGGGGCGGGTCGAGGCGCGGCGGTCGAGGCGGACGGTGGGGTTGGGGGGGTGTTTCTTGGTTGTGCTGGCTGGGGGTTTGCGGGTTGGGAGGGGTTGGGAGGTTGTGGAGGTACGGGGTTTTGGGGGCGCTTTGGATAGAGAGGATGAGGGTGGAGGTTTGTGGGCTGCGATGAGAGGGGTTCCGCGGCTGAAGTCGGAGCGTAGCGTGTTTAGGGAGCTGTGGATGTCTGGGGATGAGGCGCCCGAGTCGCGGGAGAGGAAGTGCCGCCAGTCGTAGGGGTTTTGGGCGTCGGGTTCCGAGTCGGAGGCGCCTACGCTTTTGCCATCGTCGAAGAGGTCGTCGTCTCGGGAGTCATTATTCTTAGGAGGTTGTATCTGTGGGTATCTTTGGGCGAGTTTGGAGGAGGAGGGTTCGGTTGGCGTTGATTTCAGGTTGAACGTGTAGGTTGCGGAGAGAGGTTCGAGGGTCGCGGTTTGCTTCGCTGGGTCGAAGATAAGGACGTAGGACTTCTTTGGCTGCGTCTTTTGACCCCTGAATACATAGTCGTTTGTGTCGTTCGTGTCCTTGTCTTTGTCGGACAGCGTGAGGGAGTATTGGGTGCCGGCTGACTGGCTGATGGTGGAGGTCCGGGACGACGCTGTCTGTGGAGGTTTGCGGTTGACTGAAATCGTGTATTAGCATGGCCTAGAGACAGTGGTTAAGGCGGTTCATACACTTGACGCTTGAGTACTCCCCAGCGGAGTTCTTTGGCTTCGTGATCCTGTCACTCAGCTGAATGTTGAAGTGCGCCTTCTTCTGGGGGTCCACGAGCCTTGGGGACGACGCGGCGAGACCCGGAGAAGCCATTGCAGCGGACGAGAACGGCAGCGTGCAGAGAAGCGGCGAGGATGCAAAGGAAAGGGTGCCGGCCCCTATGCGTTTGTCTTTGTCCAAGAGTAGGAGACCGTCGAGGTGGAATGTTGGACGAGATGCACCAGGCCAACGAGCCGAGCCGGCGCTAGTGCACGTTTCCCCGGGTTTAATCCAAACTTAGACAGCATGGTTTAGCAGTGAGGGTTTCTGGCTTCTAAATACGTAAAAGACATAATACTGATAGTCTAGACTACTCGTGACTGTGTTGTGTTTGCTGTTGGGGTTGCTGTATCAAGCTGAGTGAGACAGGTCGTGGCACAAATTATGAGGAGCTGTGGAACGCTTGAAGAATTCCTACATACGCTTCAACCTTCGAGTGCGATTCTTAAATCTTGTTTTGCAGGATTCCAGGTTGCCTGCAAAGCTTCCAAGACAAAAACGAAGGGAATAGAGTAGTTGGATCAATGCTTATGCCGTCTAGTCTAACCCTAAGTCGACTCATTTAATTTCTAGAACGACAACCGCATCAATGAGCTTAGCGGCATCTCATTGTTGAACACAGCGTTTCAGCTCCCGACCTCATACCTATGCTCTAACAGCTCTTTCTCCCATGTTCTTCTATGCTTAATCCTCAGTCTGTAGGTAATGTAGGTAATACGGGAATTGTAGGAAATTCGAGCTTTCCCTTGAAGTAACAATATACTTCCCACGCCGCTGCTGCCCTTGTTCCAGCGTCAAAAGCTCTACGACCTTCGCAGGCACATCCACCGAGTCGACACTCCACCTCCGCTACCAGTTCCTCGCACTGCTTGCCCATACCAAACCCGGAACATATTGATAAGGCACCGACCTCGAAGGTGTCATCGTCGACAAAGAGGGTGGTAACCAGAGCATTCGGGAGGCAGACTTGGCTGATGGCGGCGGGATGTGCGTTGTAGTGTCAATTCTTGAAGATGGAGTAGGAGAGCATTAGAGACGTTGAATTTCGGGCGTGACGGCGTGACGGATTTCGGAGATTTGATCCTAGCGTAGATTGCCTGATCGAGTCTTCCCCACCTTCAGCTGCCATGGAACCGCATCCCGCGCCGTGACAAACACCATCAATTCTCCCACATCCACCCACGCTCTTCACCCAACATCCACCGACTATGTTCCGCTCGGAGCACCTTCAACCTCCCCATTCGTACGACGTACCTGTCCTCCCCTCCACAGCCCCCGGACGCCTCTCCAGCTACCTGCCCGACGAGATCCTCCTAGAGATCCTTTCCCACCTCCCGCAAACCCCGACAGGACAGGCCGATATCAACAGCTTCTGCCTCGTGTCTCGCCAGTGGTATGATGTCGGCATCACCCGACTCTACGAGCGTCCTCACCTGATCGGGTCTGGGTACTTGTGCTTCGTGCGCACAATATGTCCCTCGATCCTGCCCCATATCCGGAAGAGCGAGCTTGCCAGCCTCGTCAAGACGTTGAACTTGCGTCACATCGTTCACCAGGGCTCCAAATCTATCACTGCCAGACTACTTGCCCGTACCAAGGCGAGCCTTGAAGAGTTTGTCGCGCCGCAAGCTTCCTTCGCCGTCAACTGCTGGGCGTCTCTCTCCAAATGCACCCAGCTCCGCTATCTCGACCTCTCCCTCGTCTCTGAAGCCATATCTTACCAGGCTCTGGCTCGGACCGTGCGGTCTTTGCATGAACTTACCGACCTGTTTCTACCCCGTTGCTCAGCCGATTATCAGGACGCTGCGCTTTCCATGACGTGGCCACCGAAACTTCGCCACCTGCAACTCTCCGGAGGCATCCACGGGAAGTTTATGCAGGACTTGAATAAGCAACCCGAAAATTTCCCGCCGACTTTGACCCAGCTCAATGTCTCGCACGCGCCTAAAGTCTGTGCTGCAGACTTATTGGAGCTTCTAGGAAATCTCTCCACGCCCCTTACCAAGCTCGAGATTGTGAATCTACCCCAGCTACGAGAGGGGTCGTTGAACGAAGTCTTGAACATTTGCCCCAACCTCGTTGAGCTTGTCTTTGCTATCGACTACATTGACTTCGGCTTCGCCGCTAATCTCCCCCAAAGCAAAGCCGCTGGCGGTCCAGATTTATGGATGAAATCCCACCCTCTCCAAAGACTAAAGATCCTTACGTCGGGCGGTCACCACCCCGAATCCGATTTCTACTTCACCCCGGCCGATCTCTGGGATTATGTTGACAAGCGATGGCTCGGCAGGCTGCGCTATGTTGTTGTGGCGGACAGCACGGCATGGAACGAAGGCGAATGGGCTCAGGAGATGCAGTCTTTATTCGATGCTTTGGTCAATCTGGACAAGGAGAACTTCATTCACAAGAGATGGCACTATGCTCCAGATATCGGCAAAGGCTTGTCTTATCTGAACTGGAGGAAAACTCAGAAAGGCGATGATATGGCGCCTTCCTTGAGTATGTTAAAGTGGATATAATGCGGTGACCCGGATCACAGGAACCTTATACCAAGGAAGCTTGTACAACATAACACCCCGGTTCTTAAGCGAGAGCTTCTCGAAACTTCCTACCGGGCGTCATCGGTGCCTTGTTGATGGCACTTCGTCCTTGAGTTTCTTTCGAGATCATCTTACTTGGGCTTTATCTCGGGTCATGCGGAGCTCGACTCGCAACCTAATGGACAAGACAGATTGACACTAGGTTCAAGCCTAGTTGGACTGGCTCTCTAATCCCGCTTCTTTGCTCACTCATAGGATACCTGAGTGGACATTTTAATTGCTAATGTTTATAGGAACGAGTCTCTTCTTTACTGAGATGGTAGCGACCTCGGGATGCTTGTGGGACGCAGCCTGAGATATACTTTAGCCGATTGGAGGTTTAACGAACGATACGACTTTCTTAGACCAATTTGCAAGCGTGAAGTTATGGAGTTATTTTCTTGGACAAAATACTGAATACGCTTTTCAATTTGACTCCGTCCCAATGCACGCTAAATCAGCCTTCCACACAACCCGCTACCTCAAATGTATTGAAATTTCCGCCTCAACTCCCCGATTTTCCTTCTACCAGGAAACATTTCTTTCTACCTACCATCTCACCTCCTAAAAGCATCATAACTCGTCTCAGGCGTCTCTCTCCCAAAGAAACTAGTCCCACTGCTCTCCACCGTCCTCACCCTCGCCATCGCTTCTTCCCCACCCAAAAGCCTCTCTGCCGTAAAACTTTCAGAATCCTCCTCATACGCCCTACCCAACCCAAGCCTCGAATCCGGAATAGTCACATCCACGGAAACAGCCCTTGGCCGCTGATAGCCATGTCCATACGACGTTCCAGGCTCGCCCGCCTCACTATCCCCCAAACGCGTAATACTAGAAACACGCGTCGACCTCCCACTAGGCGCCGGGCCACCGAAATCCGTCATCGTCGTCATAGTCGACGGCGTCCCAGGTCTTGAAATGAGGTCGTCCGGGCGGCCATAGAGCTCCCCATCGCCCCCATGCTCCTCGCGGAACTCAGCACGACGCTTAAAGTTCTCAAAATCAAGGTCCTCTTCCTTAACGAGTTCGACATCCGGCAGCGTAGCAGGTGCGTTACCAGTCTCAGCCCCGGGTTGCTCTGGATCCATCTCCGCCATATACACGTCGGAGTACCCGAGCCCGGTACCCACGCGCGACGTCGTGAACCTGTCCTCGTTCTCGACGCTGCGCGCGTACAGCTCCTTCAGCAAGTGCCGCGAGCGCGCGTGCACCATGGGCGTCATGAGGCGCCTGTAGAGGGCCGGGTGGCCGAAGCGCACACCAACCCTATCGCTCCGTTTCCGTTTCTTCTCGGCGCTGCTGTCACCAGGAGCCGCAGCGCCGTCCTCGACGTCCGCGCCCTCGAGCTCCGCGAACGAGTGGGTCGTGTAGAACTGCATCCGCACATCGAAGCATCTCTTGCAGTACCACTTGAACGCGGCGAGCAGGAACGGTAGGGGGATCATAGCATACAGCATCCCCCCGCCGCGCACGCTCTGCACACTCCCGATGCCCTGCGCGCCGACGACGAGGGCGATGACGGCGTTGGCGAGCAGCACGGCGACGAGGAGACGGTTGACCAGCATGCGCCAAAACGCGCCGCCGGACTCGGTCTTGGTGATCAGCACGTACTGCAGCAGGTACGTCTTGAACCAGCCGTCGGCGGCGAGGTAGAAGGCCGTGATGGGCAGGATCAGGGGCTGCAGCGCACCGAAGCACAGCCCGACGGTCGCGACGAAGAGGAAGTTGTTGTAGTAGTCGGCGTACTCGAACGGCTGCGGCGCGCTCAGCGCGATCAGCTCGCGCGGGGTGGGCGCGAGGAAGCGCCGGCGCAGGGAGCCGTACAGGAGGGGCCACGCTTGAATGAGGTCGGTGGCGGCGCCGAGGTTGCGCTGCATTTGCCAGGTTAGCCAGAAGGTGGACAGGTTGCACAGCGAGATCATGATATCGGAGAAGAGGTGGCCGTTGCGGATCGCGGACCAGGTGTCGATGTTTTTGGCGCCGATGACGGCGGCGACGAAGCGCGAGAATTAGCCGAAGAGAGAGAAGACGAGGAGGTTGTTGAAGACGAAGAAGGCGTAGAGGCGGGATGTTACGTGGCGCTCGCGGGAGGTTTTGGAGTAGTCGCCGGAGTGTGTATGGAGTCGCCGGAAGATGGTGGGGATGGCGAGGTAGAGCAGTGTCTGCACGAGGGGTGCTGCGATACCCTGCGCGATTCCCCAGCCGGTTGGATGTGCGGCGAGGTTGGACTGGAAGCCTTTCCAGAATAGCCCAAGGTGGGAGAAGTCGGAGAGGAAAACGGAGGTCAGAACGTTAGGCACGATGAAGACGAGGGTGAGAGCGATCATCCAGATGGAGTCCGTGAATTTGCGGGCACGGCGCGAAGCGGGCGTCATGGGGAGGTTCTGCCAGAGAAGGTCGTGCGGTTTGGGGGCGAGCCGGACGATGCTGCTTCCAGGTCCCTTCTTACGAGAGGCGTATGCGACGGCATGTGCATCCTCAATGTGCGTGTAGGAAGCGAAGCCATAGGGCATGGGATCACGCTTATCGATGGTTTCGCGGATCTCGGTGATGGCGGTCTCGAGGGAACTGATGCGGGTGGTCAGGTACTCAATGGCATCGACCTTATCCGTTCCATAGTTTTTGCGGTCCTTCTTCGCAGGCTTGCGCGTGGGACGTTGTAAAGGGAGTTGGTTAGGGTTCTTGAGGTATTTAGCAAGAACCACTTCGAGTTTCTGGACCGCGTGGTCGTGCTCCTCGATCAGTTTAGGGATGTCTTTAACATTGCGGGCTATGGCTGTTCGAGGGACGGAAGGAGTGGGCTTTGCGGATTCCACGAGGTTGGCTATGCCGGCGTCTGTTCGGGAGTCTTTTGGGATTTGGGTGAGCTATATCTGGTCAGCATCCTTTCGTCATCTACATGTAGAGCAACACTACGAGATCACTGAACCTACGAGTAAAGTTCTCGAGTGTAGACTGGCCCTATAGTCAAGACTGTTGAAGTATGCCCGTCTCAATTTCCACACTTTCCCGTAATTCCACCACACAAAGCCACACACCGTCCCCTGGAACAGATATGCAACCACCACAAACGCCCAGAATTTCCTTCCGAATATGTATTGAGGCGTGAACTTCATCAGGGTTGCTACGTTCCCATAATGCTTGTAGACATCGTGTCCGCCCAGCACGTTTACCGGGATCAGGATTCCACAACCGAATATTGTGAGCACGATGAATGTATTACGCAGCATCCGCACGAAGCGGAGGAAGACGACTGCATCTAGCCCAATCTTCTCAACGAGTTCATGCTCGGAGATTTTCGTTGTCGGTGAGAACCAGGCGAGAGGTGCGCGGGATATGGGCGGTGGTGCATGTTTCTCGTCGGCATGTCTGGCGCGGGGTGCATAGACAGTGGGAGAGCGTGGGCGGAGGTAGCAGAAGAGGAGGAAGAGAGCTCCAGAAACGGCAAAGGACCAGACGAGGGCAGCATATATTGAAGTTGCTTGGATCTGGACCTTGTGGTCAACTACTGATGTATGCAAGGGTCAAGAAAGCAGTCGGAGTGTACATCGGTCTGAAAGGGATCTGCAATCAGATTTAGGAATTCGTCTGTCCCGCTCTGTGTTTGGCGGGGGGCCAGTGGCATGTTGGGAGACGCAACCTTCTGCAAAGCGAGTGGTGCAGAAGGTGAGAACAACGGGATAGGATTAAGCGCAGCCTCAAATTAAGTCAAAATACAACTGAATGGAATGAAACTTAGATTAAAAGAAGGATAAACAGTCGGGATAAAGAAGAGAAGTAAAGAAGAAGCCTGCAAATGTGTAATACTGTGCAGAAGAAGCGCTGAGTGGAAAATATGAAGAAAAATGGGACCGACGATACTCAGACGTCATGGCTTCGATAAAGCAACGGAAATGGTAGGCCTGCGCGCGTCGTGGCCCTTGCAGATCGACGATAACGTGCCGTGTGGCTAACGATGAGAGGCGTAGCCTGCAGATCGAGTTTGCTCGCGTGTGCAACATGACGGCGATACCTTTGTACCAAGGAATGGATAATTCAGACCGTGTGGGGCTTGAATAATTACGGTGTCGACGCTTGTGTTAATGATTATGGAAGGAGAAGATAATGAAGAAAAGGTTGATGGAGATGGAGTTCTGCAATAAGGTTTTCCAGCTGTTCTATAAATATCTACTAGCGGATATCTTCCCACGGGTTTGCCAAGATAAAGGGTCCGAATTTCCATCGAACTGTCTTGCCATGGCTTCATCAACCTTTTCCGACACTGCATCACTACTCTCCTAAACCCTTCCCTAAAACGCCATGCTGCACATAACTTCCACTTCGGGCAATCCTAGTATGGCTTTGTCACTGATTCTATACTTTCAAGAGCTGATTTTGGCCAAAATTGCACGTCTTTAAAAACAGTGATAAACAGCTTCGAAGATGCTCTATACATGCAATGCCTCTCGCTCGAGCGAATTGAGTCATCGATAAAACGTGCGCATGTGCTCAATGCTCACCATGCATTTCTCTTCCAAGACCGTCCCGTCCGGATACGTGAAAGTCACGTCGGCATCGGCCAAGAATTGATTCACCACCAAGGTGCCTCCTCTTCGAATCCACGTATAGTAACTTCTGCCGTACGCATATATCTTCGCCTTTAAAGTGCCTTCTTTTGCCCGGATCCAAGTCCGCCACTGGTATGGAACCACGAGCCTACTCACAGGATCGATCCATTTCGCCGCCTCTTCACATCCTGAACTGCTGGGGCCATGCAATATAAGCTGCTTGTCTCCGATGTTGATCATACCCGATGACATCTACTCAAAACATTAGTCTTCATGGGAAAGGCTCACGAGGCTCAGGAAATTACTGGGGGAGTGCAAAGGTATGTGCAGACAGCTCAGAATTACGTACCCCCCCTTTCTAATGTCGCCTCGCATCAACCAGAAGCTCATGTTATCACTGAAGCCATGCCGCCACGTGAGTCCTCTTCCGGCCATATAGCCCGTACGATCCGGAACCACTCCAGCCTGCTGGATGCGCTCATGGACACCGTATCCTTTCCCAATTTTCAGGACCTTACTGTCCACTTCGAAAGTCACAGTGGCCGTGGCGTGGACAATATAGCCCGCATTTTTCCGCTTCTTCGCCTCTAGATCCTCAAACAGCCCACAATAGTAGAACGCTGGATTCTTCTGCTCAAACGAGAGGTCGATCTTGAGGCCGGTCCCTTCTTGCTCTCCGGTTACGCGCCAACTCGGAGGAGTACCATGATGCGTGATGCCGCCAAGCATCCACTTGACATGCTCAGCACCTTCCTCAATTTTTATCGTCCCGCGCTTGTAGTAGTCCTCAAGGTTCTGGCCCTTATTGACCGTCAACGCGTTGGAGTGCATGAACTGCTTCTCCTCGTCATTATACTTGCCAACGACGAGCAGTGTCTGAACTACGTCGCAGTCGATAATCACCTCCGGCCCTTTTTGCTCGTAGATAAAGCTCCAGAACTGGATGTCTTCGCTCGTCTCGGCTTTTGCGCGGACTACGAAGCCGTAGTCGTTGAAGAATCCCACGCCGTCATCGTTATGGCGGAGAGCTTTCTCGATGGCGAGAGGGATGGGGCTGGTCTCTGTACCATATATGGCGCTGTTTTCGGTCATGTTCAATGTTCCTTCGAGTTCCAGGTGGATGAAGATGCGGAGTGGCCACGAAATGCTTGGCACTCTCAAAAACAAGTACCAGGATTTATGTCTGTGTTGGCCTTAACATAGGATTCTCCCGGCATTTCTCATTCCCTCGTACAAAGCTCTCGGTACTTTCAAGCTCGTTTGGGGTTGACTTTGCCGATGCAGCAAATTCCGTGTTGCCGAAGCCCGCAGCTCGAGTTACCCCTCCCCCAGATTCCGGTGGTAGGTGATATTTCCAGCAGATACCCGCTACATATACGTACGCTCGCCCGAAATCGACTTCTGAACTGCGGGAAAGAGCGTTGATATCCTGCGCTGTTGGCTGAAATATATTCAATTGATACTACTTTTGTCGCAATCCCCGAATGTCATTGGTAGGACTTTCCCGAGCCCATCAACTCTCTTAAAAAGAGACTAGAGCTGTGTAAGATGTGGCAAAGGTACTTTTTTTCGACATACTTCCATTTTTACGCATTTATATCTTTAAATCTTTTCTTTCGTGCCTTTTGAGGTAGTCCCTCAAAAAGATAGCTGACTTTGACGATGTTCCAATCTACCTCCATCGTCGTGAAGATTTTAAATTATTATATAATCGACCTAGGCTTCGGTATGATCGCAAAACAGTATCTTTACGGTTGTATTTGCTAGGATGAACCACAGCCAAAATTCTTATAAAGCCTACACTAATAGACTAACACTCACGAAGCAACTCTATTCGGTTAAGCTCTACCGAAGCTTTTACTTGAATTGCTAGGGCCGCCTACAGTCAGCTGTGCGAACGTGTCCTTAGTCAACCTGGAGCCATGTCATCGACATGCTCAAATATTCTTTTATTGAGTACCTTGCTTATGCAGGAGACTGACGGAAAGGCATCATGGGGTCCAAGCACGCTTTGAAACCTCCTCTATGAACGCTCGAAGGCACTATTGCTTATGTGAGTCCGACTCGGTAGGTGCAGCGAATAACTCCAATTTCCCGGAAACCCCCCAGGATTTAAGGAGAGCCTGCAGTCTGGAATCGAAACATAACTACCACACACGAAACTCTTAAGGATAAGCTTGTCGTGTTCCCCAGCTTCATTATCTAGGGCATCTTCGTCATTTAGGTGAATTCGAGGTCCAATCCAAAAATCGACACGAAAAAGCAAACCAGTCGCTCCATCTTGATAGCCTGATGCATCCTTCACTTCTAATTTTTCTAGGCTTCTGTCTGGTTGCTCAAGGGGGCCGGCTAACCTTTGAAGTACCTGCGTATTACGATCGGACAGAAGTCGTCCGCGTAGATGAGAAAGCCATCGGGGCTCTTCCTTGGGCTTTTGATCGTGGGTCATTTTGTGAGTCCAACATCACGCAAACATATACTCCCGCTAACCACGTCCTCGAAGCTCAATTCTGGGGAACTACCACCTCTGACCCTGCAATTAAAGCTGAGTTTGCAAAGATTGGGTCCGCAAGCTTCATCGCCTTTGATGATCGTTTTTACAATATCATTGGACCCAATTCAAAGGTTGAGAAACTCGTTGATCTCCCGGAGGAGATGCACGAGGCGCCCAACTATCTACCCAAGCAGAACAAAGTCTTTATGTCAGCTTACAATGAGACGTATGACTATCTCATTGACCCATGCTCTGAGCCACCAACGATCGAACAAATCACTGCAGATCCGCCATTGGAATCAGTGAATGGAGGGATTTTGGTCGGCGGCCAACTTCTCGTTGGGACGGATGGCTATCGCAATTTTAGCCCGCCGGGAATCTATACGTTAGACCTAAACACGCTGAAATCCGGCGTATTGCTCAACAACTACCGTGGATTGAGATTCAATACCGTCGACGATCTTACAGTCGACCACTTTGGCAATATTTGGTTTGTTGATGCCCCGTAAGTTAATACCGATAAATGCCCACTTGCATAGCTTTTACTCACAGATCTCAAAGACTCGTGTGGTTTATAGAAGGCGAAAAACCTGGCCTCCACAAGGTGTTCGATAATGCCCCGACTTTGCCATCAGCCATCTACGTCTACAACATAACCTCCGGCACCATCGTGTGTGTGGACCAATCTATGGTCTGGCCCAACGGAATCGCTTTTTCTCCAGATAGGAAAACTCTTTACGTCTCAGACACCCCTTTCAACCTGCAAACCGAGTTCCGCGGCGTCTTCGCATTTGACGTCACCTATCCTTATACGCTGAGCAACAAGCGCATGGTGTATCTACCCGACACGAACATCGTAGACGGGCAGTTGGCTTCACACAACTAGCATCGTTAGGGTTAGGGTGAATTTGACCCCGTATCAACCAATGACAACGTAATGTTACCCTTGGCCCCGTATTGCAGGGCCCGCCGCCGTGATTATGTCGCGAAGGTGTGTTAGAACAATAGGGGACCAGGTGCTTCACGACTATGTGACTGTCGCCGCCAATGTCGAACCTCAACATTCTCATCTCCGGTTCCGGCTTCGCTAGCAGTGTCTTCGCGTTTTAGCTGCTTCGAGCCTATCCCAACGCCAACATCACTATAGTCGAGCGTGATCCTTCCCTCCGCTTGACCGGCGCCAGCGTCGACATACGCAGCTCAGCCGTGGACATCATCAAATGGATGAGCGCAGAACAGGAGATCTGCAATCACACCACAAAGGAAGAGGGCATACAATTCGTAAACGCAAATGGCAAGGCTGTGGCAACACTCAGAGCGACCGGCAGATCAGACATTCAGAGCGTCACATCCGAGTTCGAGATATTCCGCGGGATGCTTACGAAGATCTTCATCGATCTAATTATAACACGGGTGAAACTCATATTTGGCGAGTCCGTGGACCACTTTGAGCAGCGCAACGATGGAGTGGCCGTCACTTTCGCAAAGAGCAAGGAAGTGAAGATGTATGACCTTCTCGTAGCTGCAGACAGCCTTGGCTCGAAGATTCGAGGCATGATGCTAGACAGCAAGCCGCAGGAGCAACTCTACAACGAGGGCGTTCATGTAGCGTATTTCGCCATCAAGATCAATCTGCTGCAAGGCGGCCGCCTGGCGAAATGGTACAACGCCACGGGCGGATGCGTTGTCTTCCTGTGTCCCGACCCCGATCCTGTTGGCCGTACGAGAGGCAATCTCATGAATGTCACCACAAGAGGAGATATTGAAACGAAGTAGAGACTCAACAAAGCTCTTCGTGACGGTAACAAAAGCTGCATGAAGCTGATGGGAGAGATGTTCCGCGATGCAGGCTGGGTGGCGCCCGAGGTTCTGCAAGACATGCGCGAAAGCGATGACTTCTACTGCCCTCTGTTCGTGCAGATCCGATCACCTAAACTACACGATGGCTGCGTGGTCCTGCTTGGCGATGCCGGCTATACGACACCCGGCTTTGGCACCAGTCTTGCAATCATCGGCGGTTTATGTCCTTGCTGGAGAGCTGTTGAGTCATTCTAGCGATGTCGATATGGCCTTGAAGCGGTATGAAGAGATCATGCTACCGTTTGCCAAAAGCTCGCAGGGCGGGGATAACGCGATGCAGCTACTCAATCCGCAGACCGTATGGGGCATTAGAATCAGGGACGCCATTTTGGGTTTTGTAACATGGGCGAGGCTGGATAGGTTGACAATGGGTGTAGCCTCGGCGCTGGGCTTCACAGAGAAAAAGGCCCCAATGCCTGATTATCAATGGCCGGCTAGATGAAGATGACATCCGTGCTTACTCTAGACACATCCCGTGGCCAGCTTCGGAAGTGATAGCTGTGCTACAATGGCTTTTGATCCCTACGAAAGGCTGCTTTGAACCAATGAGCTCGGCTCGATATCGTGGAGCTCCCGTCCCGTATGTGTATAAAAAGCCACCTGCACACTAATCACACGATCGGTGAGTCTACAGCGAAGTCCAGCCGACTCGAGAGCCACTGGGGAACGCCACTAATGACAGGCTTTTGCCGCCTTGCAGTGTTGCTCCTACTGAAAGTCCCGCAAGTAAGTCCAAAGTCTTCTTTGTTTCATCAACTTGCGCTCATAGTCTCAGACTCTCACTCCACAAAATTAAAGATTTGAGCTTTCCAGATGGACGACAGCCGCCGATTTTTTCAGGCTCTAGCATCTGCAATCTTTACGCTGTTCTCATACCATCAACCATACTGGGAGTGGCACATGCAAGAGCAATCTCTTGGAGTGTACAGCAAGGGTCAAAACTCGAGAAGTTCGTGACGCAAGTGACGCGAGTGACGCTGCCCAATAGTTAATTGCGATCTACGGGTAGGCCGAGTATCACTCGAGGCGGCCTACCGAAGTCAATAGTTGGATGGTGAAGCCGCCATCATTTCAGTAATCAACGCGATGTGATTGCGGTTTGCTCCCATACGGCGTAGAACGCCCTGAGCTTGCGTACCCTGGATTGGGAATAGCTTGCACGTCTCAATGGAAGCTCGACAAGATATGAGGCTCCTCCGCCCCGTTTGTGTGAGTATGCACGTTTGCCTTGTTCCAACGCTTGTTCACCGCTTGTCCTGTCTTTTGACCCTGCAGAATGGCTGCAGCTTCGACTATCAGCCCCCTTCTCTTCGTTTTAGGTCTTGCAATAACCGTGCTCGTTTGGCCCATATGGTGGACTAACCTGTCTGGCAAGCAGAAGGTTCTCCATGCTGTTAGCCTGGTCATACTCTTCTTCGTGCCTTTTTCTTCTAATCCTCACTTTCTACTTTGACGTCCACCATCCTCCCAAGGGCTGGGCACCTGCTCGCAAAGCCTTGACTCAAGCCTCGCATCAAGGTCTATCTTCATTCGACGTAAGCTCGCTGTCAAATCCATTCGATCTTCATTACTGAATCATATCTGAAGTTCCTGAGAGAGATACTAACCTCTCAAGCCGCCGCCCGCCCCACCCGAGCTGTGCGGCATCCAGTAGTCTCAGTACTGGTAGCGTCATTGTGTTATGCGATGACGTTCACATTCCTAGCGTACGATCGTGGAAAGAGCTTTATGCGAGCGATATGGTAACCGATTTTTCAGCTTCAAATCTTTTAAACCCAGAAGTGGACTCCGAACCGGAACCACCATTATGTGGGCCGCTTTCGATCTTTCATTATTTATGAACCCGTGTAGACTCAGCACAGCCATGAAGGAGGCTGAGGACAGCACTGACAAAAGCAAAGATCGCAGCAAAGAGCGCCGCAAAGCCGTTCGGTGCCTGCTAGTCAATAATTGGGCACTAATTATTCTTTGTATGGCACAATTTCCCCTTTTGGTTGGAGCTGTGCGCTTCTGGTTCAACATCTTGTCAGAAAATACCGCGGATGGCATAGAAGATGTAAGTACCTGGCCACTCTTGTCTCTTTCGATCCACTAATATTCAAAAGGGCTTGCTGGGGATGCTCATACTTTGGTCGTTCCGATTCGTGCCTTGGACCGTGTGAAGGAAGGCATTCGCAGAACGTCTGTCTTCTGGTACTCCTCAATCAGTCATGCACACCGATTCCACATCAAACCTTGTGGGCACACGGGCTTGTGGAAGCAGCAACCATGATCCTATGGTACGAGCACCTCCAAAATACTGATGTCGTTTGCTAATCACGCGGCTGCTATCTAGCCAACCATACCCACCTCCTTTGAAAACCCATCCCGAGCCTCGACTGCTGTCAGTCTTGAAGAAATCATAGTCGCTTGAGGCGATGGACTGTCAATAAGACCAAGTCGGCTCACGAAGGAGAGTAGGGCTGGTTGTTGATATCTTCGCCCGTATACGCGGTTCCCGTATGCAGCATAGCCGTGTTATCGCTGATCAAGATGTCGCCCTGCTCCCACTCGAAACGCAGCGTCACGCGACGGTCATACAGCAGCGAGTTTACAACGTCGCAGATCTCCTGCGAATCGTTCTCGATGGTGGTTTGGAATGCCGAGAACTTGGTCTTGCTTGCAGGCCATGGCTCGTGCCAGCGCACGCATGGGGTGCCATTAACGGGATGGCGGACGACGAGGGGGAGGTTTGCGATCTTGCTGTCCCAGAAGCCGTCGGTGTCCATGCGCCAGCGGACGGCTTCGAGGCGTTCGACGGTGTAGGGGTGCGGGAGATACTTGAAGAAGAGGCGCGAGGAGGCGAAGAGGGTGTGTCCGGTGCCTTTCGGGGCCGTCGCGATGCAGGTGAAGAATTGGAATCTGAGACTCATGAATATCTAGTAACGATCAGGGGTCATAGACAAGTATAGGGGTAAAAGCAGAGAGCCAGTAATACTCACTTCGGTGGCTTCTGCAGTTTGATCTCGTTCCCATTGACATCAAGCATATCAACCCCATTCTCATCTTTCTGCGTCATGTACTTGAACACGCCATCATAGTGCATGGCCATGGCCTCGGAGCTAGTAACGTTATTCTCCAGCTTATCTTTGCGCCCACTGTCTTTAACCTGTTGCAGGGTCCCAAACGTCCACGGCTGTACTTCCCCAAGCTCGTGCGCACGGCTGATGAAGATCTCGCGATTCGTCGTCTCCGCAAAGCCACGCAGCACCACTAGAGACTGCAATTGTGCTAGTGCTCTCAATTTCCCGGCGTCAACATCGCGGAACGATGGCTTTACGCCAGCAGCATCTGGAATCCCGTGGATGATAAGCCCGCACGGGTAAAGGTACTCGAACTCAACTTTGAGTGTGGTCGCGCCGAGGTCGTACAGCGGCGACTTCTCGCGGTAGTAATAGGGACGCCCGTCTCGATACATCAGTTCGTGTGTGTCGCGGACTTCGTCGGCGTGCACAGTGCGAAAGGAGCCATCTACGCCGACAGCGATGCTGGAGTGCCACGGTGTCATAATGTAGCCGCCATTTGGGGGAGGGATGAGGGGGACCGTGAGCTTTGTTTCGCCAGTGGAGGCATGGATAGAAAGACGAACGTAGTTGGCGCACTTGAAGGCAATGGCAGCGGCGAAAGTCTAGCGTAGGTTTAGTCTTTTAGTGATCGAAGAGAAGAACGAAGGGGCAACGCTAGTATTTTGGGATGAAACGGGGACTCACCTTGCCACGAATAATCATCTTCAACGCTAACTGCTCAATTGCTTTCTTGAACCGCCTCTTCGAGATTTTTCCATCCATCATCGCCTTCGTCAGTCTGCTGTGCGCCAGATCCTTGGTCAGGAACTTGATGTACCCCTTGTAGGTCATACAAATATCCTTATCGTTCCTCACAGCCTCCCTGCTATCAAAATCCGCCGGCTCAAACTTCGCCATCAGCTCTCGACGATAGCATCCTGCATGCGCCAAATACTCCTCTCTTGTCAGATCCTTGCTAGTACTCTCATGTGTGCCGAGTATGTCAACGATTCGGAGAGTATTGATGTGCCTCAGATTCTTCGCCTTGATGATATCGCGCACCGCAGTCGAGTACTCCCAAACCTCGCTGTCTTCAATACCCATCAGATCATTGTATACCAGCCCGTCGGAAGTAATGGTTACAGTAGCACCATACTCATATATTTCCCGAATGCTTTCACAAAGCCCGTTCAGGTGCATTAGCGCTAGCTCTTCTCCTAGATCTGGCAGCGAGCCCAGGACCTTGTCGACCCGGTTCGGGCTCTTGAATGGGAACGCGGGCAGCACCATCCGCACCGGCTCATTGTTCTTGACGTACTTCTCAACGAGGGGGAGGAATTTTACTTTGCCCGCCCATGGAATATCCGATGAGCTGCTGTTTTGGCCATATCGCTGGATGATATCGATGATGCGGAGTGCGAGCTTGGTGGAAGGACTGTCAGGCTCGAAGGTAAAGCTATCTTCAGCGAGCGAGGGAGTGCCAGGTGTGCTGATGGAGGGTGTTGGGAGAGGACCCAGGCTTTCGAAGCCAGGCGCGGTCGGAACGTGACGGTTGGTGGCTTCGTGGGTGCTCATCAGAGTCTGGCTCTGGGAGGAGACGGCTGGCGACGGTGGGCCAGGAGAGGAGGTATGCGAGGAGCTTAGTTTCTAGAGATGAAGGGAGAGGGCATCGACGCGCTCTTCGAGGAGAGAAAAGCGAAGCTCCTCTGTCTGTTGGAGCTGGCTGGGAAGCATGGAGTTGGTGGATGGCGACTGCCATTGCTGCGCGTGCTAGCTTAAGGTAGTTCTCAAAGAGGAAAGGCTAGAAAATGCGAGAGCTGTGGTCAAATTCAAATCGCAATATATAGAGTATAATTGAGTGTACAAAAGGCTGCGACGAAGAGAGCCTTGCAGTTTTTGACATCAGGCAGCCAATGATATCGTAAAGCCGGTCTTTTTGAAGTCAAGGAAATACACTACGACTGCATCATGATCTTACCTCTACATGACTGCACATAACTCTATCCTTTGTGGTGAGCCTCCTTTTGCATCTCAGTTGGTTGATTACCTGACGTTACCTGACACCGCCTCTAGCCGGGACTTGATACTTATAGTGCAATAGCGCTTATATGTCCGTGTAGTAAGATGAATTTATCTCTGCTTTCTCTTCTGAGACTACTAGTCTCTTCCTCTCTTTATTTCACATTTCAGGCTAAGGCTTCCAAGGCAAAATCCCACACAGATCACATTAGCGACGTCTGCGAAACCCGAGGAAGGTTGAATCCCACTATCCCGCGTTCGTTTATGAGAGATTATTTCAACTAGACAGGTCGCATCAATACAGTGATAGAGCTAACATTCCGTTTTCTTGCTTGTCAAGCTTCGAATGAGTGAAGGTGACGTGGCCGGTGCACACGTGACAGGATCTAGACACCATGGCAACTCAGCGCAAGGCTTGTATGATCGTGGAGTGTAGCTGCTCGCTTCGTATTTCTTTTCTTACGGAATGAATGCTTCCGTTCCATTCATCAACGATGTGGAATATGATTGAGGACGTTATTGACATCGACTAGCAAGAAGAAAGCAGGGATGAGAGACGGCGGAATTCGAATACCACCGAAGCAAAGAATCATACTAACAATGCAATTTTAGTTGCTATCATACATACTCGAGAAGCGCTAAAGCAAGAATATGAACATCTGGAGATACACGTACAGTATGAGTCCCCTACATCATCTACCCGCCACGCAACCTCTTTTTTACACCACCTCGCACCACCTCGCCCCGCCAAATCTCAAGCTCAAATAACCATCATAACCCCAGCCCCTAACACCCCCGCCGCGCCCCACGCCCCTAATCTCGCCGCGGCACCAGTACCCGTTGCGGTAGCCGCAGCCGCGGTCCCCGTCGCTGTGCCCGTCGTCTTCGCCGTGCCTGTCGGCGCTGCTCCAGAGGCTGTAACCAGGCCAGCTGATATGCTAGACACTAGGCCGTCGATCGAGGACTTGATTTGGTCGATAGACTTGAAGGGGAAGGCTGGTACGGTGCCTATGTTGAAAGAGTGAGCTGACTGCCTAACAACATGGGGGAGGGGGGTGGGGCTCTTCTTGTATAAGTGTACGTACCTCCCAAGAGACTCTGGCTCGGATCCTTGCACACGGGCACGCTTTGCAGCGTCGTGCAGGTGTCGCCTTCGGAGCAGCACCAGCCGTTGTTGCAGTCGACGTAGTTGTCGCCGCAGAGAAGGGTGGGGTCGACGTTGATGCGGGGGAGGAGGGCGTTGGAGCGCTCGGGCGAGGGGTCGCGGCGGTATTGGCGGGCGGGGCGGTCGGCGAGGGCGGTGGTGGTAAGGGCGAGGAGGGCGAGGAAGGGGGTTGAGAAGTGCATCTTTTAGGGATTGCGCGTTACGAAGAAAATAGGGTTGCTAGGATGGCTTTTGGGAAGTGTTTGTTTATGCAAAGAGTGTAGATTCTTGAGTGAGTGTATGAATGAACCGAATGAATGAATGATTGAGGCAATGTAGAAACGGTTGATTATAGCCCGAAAGGCATGTGGAAGACGCGGGCCGTCGGTGTATGTATATGAGAAATGTATGAAGGGGAAATGCGTCAGATTTAGATGTCGCAAAAGCCTCAAACGCGGGCGGCCTACGGCGGTATCATATAAGGCTCGACTTCACTGAGCCGGCTCTCCCGCATCCTTCCTGCATCCTTTCCTGCCTAATCTAGCACTGGGGTGCGCCAGCTAGGGGCGTGAGTCGTATCGTGGCCGTGTTCCAGGCAGCGAATTGGAGAATCCTTCGTCAAGTCTTGCCGCGGTGTCGTGAAGTTCTGACGGTCGACCGCTCCGCGGTCCTGGCGCGGCATATCTCTCATTAAACTCAAGTGCTAAGCTCTTTGAGCCCCCTGTTTCAACTTGGCGCTCTGCCTGAGATGGGATGGCGTGGCGCAAGGGGCGTGTTTGGGGCGTTGTGAGTGGTGGAAGCGACCCGCCATCGCGACGTCTGAAGCGTGCACGGATGGCGGCCTGCATCTCGTCATATTCCCGAGTGGCCGGAAATATAGAAGAAACGGAAGGTCTGCTGTTGGCTGAGACGCAGCGACTCGGCTTGCCGTGTGAGGATTCGGCTCGTGTTTCGCATCGGGCTGGTAGTCGGGAAATGCATTCTCTACCTACATTCCCCATTTTCGCCCCCAGATTATCATATTGTGCTTTGGGCTTCAACCCTCTTTGCTGAATATCACTATATGGAGTGGTCCGACGGGCAGGCAGCCCACCAGTCAAAGGGAAGTCTACTTTTTACTGCCTGAACTTTTGCATCGTAATTAGTACGACCTAGACAGGAGTGGTAAATCAAACGTCCTCATGGCCCCAATACGCCACACCGCCAGGCTCGGAAATCTGGTATTAATTTCTTAGCAAATTGCCGTTCCTTCTCATAGGAGGGAGTTACGAGGCCTCAGCGACTATCTCTTAGCGGACACTGCTCGATATTCAGATCATTTCATTACTTTATTTCAAAACCAGGGTATTTCAACTCGGAGGGAAACACTGTGTATTCACCTAGGGAGTATATCTACACAGGCACCTTTCGCATTATCGCCGCAAAACTCTCATTCATATAGCCCGCCCCTCCAGACGCAATTTGAACTACCACCCCAGAAGATAGCCTTCCGCATATGGCGGTTTCCACGGATACCGATAGGAGCATTCGCCTGCGTAGTGTGGCCGGCTTGACTGGTTCATCAGCAATCTCGTCTGAGTATATTGTGCTATCGGACTTGAAAGAAGATTTGGAGAGGGGGGTCGGATAATGGACGCTGATGCTGGGCCATGGAGGTCGTACAATGAGTGTCAGGAGAGCATAGAAGGCAGGGAGCAGGATAGTGTTGGTGTTTCATAATCCTCACTCTGCCTTCTTAGCTTGGTCGCGCAGGTTGGGGGCTGTGGACTTTGAATCCTCCAGATCAGCCGCCCAGAGCGCTGCACCGACGGTGTTTGTGAAGGCGAAAAAGATGCCGGCGAGTGGGATCATTTCAAGGAGGAGAGCGACGACGCCGAATCTGAAGTGAGGTTAATATTTCTCTTTTTGAAACGGCCTTGTAGTTGGACTGACGCGGTATATGCCGCCTTCTTCTCCTCGATATATCTGCTCTGCTCGCTTTTGCTCATCTCCTTCAGCTGGAAGTATCGCGCGTGGGCGGCGGGACCAGTCTTGCGTCCCTGCAGTGCCACGAAGATTACGGTTCCCACAACAGGGATGAAGTTGAGTGGGAGGTAGAGGAAATAGCGGATGACGGCAGTCGGGGTGAAGCGTTGAAAGGGCTTCTTGATGAGTTTGCCAAGCTTGGAGATGGGATCGGATCCATTTCCAGCCTCGATTTGGCGCCCATCGGAGACTAGGACAGTCTTGTTGCGTGCGATGAGAGTCTACAATTTATGTTAAAATGGTATAAGCCGCAAGGGTGGCGCTACACATGGGGAGATTCCGAGATCGGGACGTACGCCGTCGAAGGTGTCAATAAGCACTTCATCGATTAGGAAGTTCTTGCTCAAGACTGAGATCAGGGTTGAGGATTCACTCAGGACGAGGAGAATGGTTGTCAGGGCGGCAAGAGGACCGTTGAACAGAGCGAGGACTGCTGCTTGTGGGACATAAGTGACGAGGAACATGGCGGTCGTAATCCCCAGTCCAAGCGTCATGGTCGGCACGATCTTGGAACCTAGAGGCTTCCATAGGTCGCGATGAGTGAGGAAGTAGGGTACGCCCTTGGAACTGTCAGAGAGCACACGGTATTGTGGAGAGTCGGACAGAATATACTCTGAGCGGATAGAAGTAGGCGCGGGACTGCACAGCTTCTGTAGCCAGGACTCTAACGCGCTGGGCCTCCTCTAAGGCGGTTTGTTTGACTTTCTCCGACATGATGGAATATAGCAATAGTTGCTGGGTGAAGGGTTCGTAGGGAGGGGTTGAAGGGGTTGGTGATGGTGTTTACACGCATTCACATTTCTGGACGTTTGCGCCAGACGGACGTCATCGAAGTGGCACCGTCACGAGCAGCACCCCACCCACCACCTGCACCTTCCCCCACTGAGTTCAGCCTTACACAGCAGAACTCGTCTAGTTCTGGACTCTCTCACCGCCCGCGGCAACGGGAGCATCGTCCAGGAACTCCCGATCTACCGACATCCGAATTGATGTGACACGTGACACTGCCCGGCCAGCGCATCTCGCACACACGCATATTGAATCGGCATACGTCAGGTGCCCAAAGCGGGCGCGTCATGATGGAATTTGCAGATGGGCACATGGGAATGCGGCCAGACTGCAACTTCCCGGTTGCGTGTGGCTGGAGGATGCCCCGCTTGAATCGGAATCCGTGGAATGCGGGCGATGACCGTTCTGTCTCGTAGGGCGCCCAAACCGGCGCCCTAACGGAAGGGATGGCCCTTGGTCACCCCGCAATGACGCAGGAGCTGTGGCGCCCGCACCGCCACATGTATATCTTGTGCCGCTTTCGGACGAGACCCCGTTCTATTCCAACTACACCGGTGGCGCTCGCCCAACTGCTTCCCTGAAACGCCTCGTGTCGTGATTATTCCAGACAAAGAAACAATTTAGCGGCGCCTGATTTTACGTCAATGCAACTCATCGCGGCCCCGCACTTGGTGGTGTCCAGTAAGAGCGGGCGAGCACCGGGTGCGTACCTGCTGCCCAGCGCCCTTTCCTGCCCCAAGGGTTAGCATCACACCATTTGGGTCGAAAAGTTCCACAGCGGCGTGGCGGCTTCCGCAGGCTGCTTTGGGTTTCGGTCGGCTGTTTCTAGCCTGACGTCACAATTGCGCTCAAATCTTTCGGCGTCTATATAACATCACCGGCTCTGCTCTTCAACCCTTCTTCAACATCCACAAACAATTCTGCCACTCTACAACCCCCAATTCGAATCACACAATCAACTTCCTCAATCAACTCACCCCCAGCAACCGCAATCATGCCCGTGGTTGAACAGATCAAGAACAAGGTCGAGAACATCCTGCACAAGGACTCCAACACCACCGGCACCACTGGCACGACGGGCACGACGGGTACGCATACAGGCGTTACCGGCTCGCATACCAACACTGGCCTCGGCCATTCTGCCAACAATGAGCACGCCAGCCTGCTAGACCCCGCTGGCCGCACTGGAGAGACGACATATGGCAACACTGGCCATGCCACTACTGGAACTCACACTGGCGCTCACACCGGCACCCACACCGGTGCTCATACCCACTCTGCCAACAATGGACCGCACGACTCTGCTATTGCGAACAAGGTCGACCCACGCGTTGACTCGACGACCGGCACGACTGGAGGCTATGGCAACCAAGGCCTGACGGCTCACTCTACCGCCACAGGGGCTCCTCACTACAGCCATGCCGCGAACACCGTCGACCCTACGGTGAATACCGGCCAGTCGACTACCCACTCCGGAGGCCTGACCGGAAACACCCACTCCGGCGGCCTCACTGGCAACAGCGCCACGCACACCTCTCACACTGCCAACAACGGCCCCCACGATACCGCTATAGCGAACAAGCTCGATCCCCGTGTCGATTCCACGGCTGGGACCTATTCGTCAAACACTCACACCGGCACCGCCACGGGAGGCTACGACGGCACCCACGCTGGCGGCCTGACCGGCGGCAACACCACGCACACTCGCACCGCCAACAACGGCCCGCACGACTCTGCTGTTGGCAACAAGCTCGACCCGTGCGTTGACTCTACGACTGGCGGCTACGGCAACACCCACACAGGTACGACCGACGGTCTTACCGGCAACTCAGGCACCACCGGCGGCCTTACCGGTCACTCAGGTACCACTGGCCGCTACGGCGACACCCACACAGGTGGTCTTGCCGGTCACTCAGGCACCACGGGTGGTCTTACCGGCCATTCAGGCACCACTGGCGGTCTCACCGGTCACTCTACCACCGCCCACGGTGTCCCAACCCACAGCCACACTGCCGGCGCGCCGCAGTACAGCAACGAGCTTCCCGGCCCTGCATTCAACACTGCCGGCCCGCACAAGTCGGACTTGCTCAACAAGGCCGACCCCCGCGTTGACTCTGACCTGGATGGCTCGAAGACTACTGGCGGCAACAAGACCTACGCCTCTGGTCAGTCTGGCCAAACTGGCCAGTACTAGACTGCTGGTCTAGCTTTGGTTCATGACTTCTCCTTTGTTTCTTTCATGACGGCGATGACATCGGGATGGGAATGGATGCTCCCTGCTACGGCAGAAGATGCGGATAAGGCATTGTATTAGTAGTACCAATCAGAACGATTCTGAAAACACCTCTCATGCCTTCTAATTCGTGCTGTGTTTCATGATTTTCAAATGTTCTCTGAGTGTAGACACCTTACGGCTTACGTCTAACGTTGTAGGTCCATCGAGTTTCCTCATTTTTCACTCACCTACCTCCTGTAAATACTCGAAACTTGCCTAGCTGGTACCCCAAGCAGCACACACCTTCCACTTACGCTACGTCAGGCGGCTGATGCTCTCAATCGCAATCTTGATAATCTGCTCCCTCACATTTCCTTTGTAGGGAATAACTTGAGAACTGTCACGTGATATCAGCGCAGCAAGAAGCTGTTTCTGACAACAAAGGAGGGTTCCCTCTAACCTCTCCGCCTCCCAATCTACCCCCCTGCGCCAACTTCCCAGCCCCCTTTCCAGCCATCCCCCCGCCGCCCCTCCCCCCCTTCCATCGCGGCGGCCCCCATCGGAACTCGAGTCTTTATCCCGCCTCCGTAAGCTCGGCGCGGTATCGACTATCCTCCCCATCCCCTCCACACTCCTTCACGCCCCACTCGCTTCCTCCTCCGCACGAGCATGGGGGGCCGGCTGGACAAAATCGTCCCGACATCGATGCAGTACCGCCATTGATCGTAAACGGTGTTGGAGGAGCCGCTTACGGATGCCGTTGATGCGTGGGCGTTTCTGCGCCCCCGCCGTGTCTGTGCCATGTCCAAGTGTCTGGGGCCTGGAGCCTGGAGGTAGTGGAGAAGGAGGGGAGGGGGGGGGGGAGCAGCGATGTTGAACAGAAATCGTGATTGTTGGACGTTTGCGTTTGCTGAGGTTGAGGTGGGGTTGCGGGTGCCGTAGGAGGCCCGTGGCTGAGTTGGCAGATGTAGGGGGCGGAGTGCGTGTGGGATGGGAGTAGGACTTGGAGGATGGGTGAGGCATGCTGGGTGGTTGCGAGGAGCGAGGGGAGGAGGGTGGAACTTTGAGATGGGAAGAGATTGAGGCTTTTTGTGTGCTTAAAGGGTCGTTTGAGGATTGATTTTTTTTGGGGTGGGAACTGGGTGGAGTTTTTGTAGATGTGGGTGGTGAGGGGGTGTGTGAGTTGTTGAAGGAAATATGTTTGAAGGTGGGCGAGCTGGCGCCTTTGGGTATTGTTTCCCCCGATGGGGAGAAGCGGGGATGATCGCGTAGCTTGAAGAGGGGAGGAGGATACGATGGTTGCGCTGGAGCTGTGGAGATTGCTGCGAGGTTATGAGACTGCGTTAGCCTGGAAACGGGGAGAGGTCTGTCTGGATGAGAGCAGAAATCGTGCTAGGCCTGAAACTCGGCGCATCTAAGTTGATTTCGAGATGATGGAATTGTAGGATAGCAGAGGAAGCGGTTAGAGAGATGACTAGTATCCTAATTAGCAGCGAGTTTTGAACCAGAGAACCGCACAGCTCGATTCCGCGGACGGCGTTATCGAAACAAAAACAGAAAGTGATGGTTAGTAGAAAGAATCGCAGGTAGATGACGTATACTCACTAATAAAAAGCCCTCTGAATCCGCAAGCTTCAATACAAGACGGAGAGAAGCCTCCGCGCCGTATGTTACCGTCACCTTGCCCATCCATCGCACACTCATCACCTAGATCCACAGTCAAAAGTGGGATATGCACGAGGTGTTGTCCGGATATAAATCCAAGTCCAAGCCCTACTGCTTAGGTAGGATGACTACCCATGTCCACTTCTCCATGGTCGACGGCTCTCGTTACCAAGACACATGACTAGCCATGCAGGTGGATATATTTCAGGAAGTACGGACTGCAATTGGTGGAAATAAAACTTAAAAAGTAAGTTTCTGCGGCCGGCGCGCCAGACGGGACGAGTTGCAGCTGCATATGCGGTTGTAGCGCTATTGTCGCAATCTTGAAGACGAAGACGTGGCAGGAGTTTGCGGGTGGGGTGCTGCTCTTCACAGGCATGGACTTGCATATTTCCTGTGGAAGCGAGTAGAGAGTTGTGCATGTAATGATATAACTCTGCTAGGTGGGCTATCCGTCGCAAGGAGGCTTGATTCCACTGACCGGATAACGGCACCTAAAGAAGGACCCATGCGAGATTAGAGTGAGATAGTGGGATCAATTCAGGCGAGTTGAAGTTTTAAATTTGTCTGCTTGGATGGGAAGTGGATAAAGGCCTACTGGAATGGGAAGCTTAGCTAAGGCTCACCGCTATGCACCGCCACGTCCAGGTGACAGGTCTATGGGTGATACGCGTCGCATTACCCGGGTCAGATTGAGATCTTAGTCAGACTGCAGCTGCCGTGACCATGGAACGGCGGAAATGCTTCCAGAAGCATTCAGGCACTTGCATGCACCTTGGTTCTGGGTTGAACTTCCGAAATAGTGGCTGTGTGATATACATAGTAGATACCTCTGCGGTGCACGGTTCTAGAATAGAAGAGAGCACCTCAGGCAGCTTATTTTTGGCGGCTCGGACATACAAGAACGCCATGCTGCACTGAGAGGCGCGCACATTTTCCGCATGGAGACGGGCTGAAGATGTTAAATTTGGTGGTTTCTTTTAGGCCGGCGATTGAGCAAAGCGAAGTCCAAATAAAGTTCTTCTACAGGTCGTCGTGCTTGCGTTGAAGGCTTGTCGCGGGCATGACTGTCGATTGGCTCTCTGACACGGGGTCCTACCCTGCCAAGACGATATTTGGGTCGCGATAGACTATACATAGAAAATTATCAAGCACCCGTTTGGGAATGGCGCGAAAAGCTTCAAATGACAGCGTGAAAGCTCGGCTAGGATCGGCGAGCCTAGACGCGCCCTATGCAGCGTGAGGCTCGCTGTCCGTCGTCCTGTCCATGTGCTGAAGTGACAAGGGCCCAAGGGTCTTTATCTGATCCATTTAGGCATGCGATAGAATTGGTTCGGGTCCGGGGTAGCTGAAATAGAGAATGTTAGGGTACCAATAGCTAGGAATAGTCCACCCGTGCCCTGACACCAGGAGGTGACTGTGGAACCGGTGAGGGGTAGTGGCTGCTCCACAGTCCATACAACTACGATGTTTGCTCCGCGGCGAGAGTTGATAGTAGAGGATAGTTATTGTAAGTTGCTCCGATGGGATAGGTGCCCGATGGCATCTCTGTCTCTGGGTGAACGTTGAAACTGCCTTTCCTGGGGTTCGCACCGAACACAACCATCTCTCAGTGGACAGGTCTTGGTCCGCGGACATGGAAAGCAAGTTAGCCCTCGAAGCAGCTAGCGCTGACTGCTTCAGATGAGGGCCTTACCCCTTGTAGAGCGGGCATCAACTTTCGAAGGCGGTCTCTATATTCAGGGGCCTATGTCGAGCACGGACTTGCGGTTGCTGGTGATGATGGTCGTGTCGGCCATTGGTGTTCATGCTCTTGCAAGATGAGATTGCTTTTTTGTCCTCCTTGGTTCGTGCTTGGACAAGAAGATGTTGATTTGGAATCCTACCTGCTTGACTGTTCTGACCTGTTGTTCACCAGCGTAGAGAAAGACATTCAGTTCGAAGGCCGCTCCGAGGTGATATATGCCGACTTCGACCGAGTCTTCATCAAAGCAGGTAGTCTCTACGAGATGTGCTTCAAAGATCATATCGCCTAGGAAATCCTATGTCAGGCGCATGTTGAATCCGTCTTTGCCCATAACAACGGCGCATGAAGAGAGCCAGGTGCACCAACTGCAGACGACTGCTTTGAGCAGGCGTGAACTACCAAGAAGTCGGCTCATTTGTGCATCAAGCTATTGTGGGGGGCGGTTGATACTGGGGAGCGGCAGTCAGCATCGCACAGCAAACGGGGTCGGAAGCACCCAAGGAAGCACGGCAGCAGCCAGACGATGGCGATGGAGTCTGATGTCGATGCCGTGGAATGCCATAAGCACCAGGGAGCACCCGACAGGTGGAGATGAGGAGCATTAAAGACCCTGTATGTCGGAGGGAGTGAATTGCTAGGTAACACCAACGGGAGGCTGTCCGGCCAACGCCACAGGCTCCAGTCTCACCCTAGCAGACCAGCCTAGCGTGCACCCATCGTCAGCCCTCATGTCTTGCAGAGGCCCGGGGTCGCAAGGGATTGGGTGGGCTTGGTGAAGGATGGCACGGTTGGGTTCAGGCAAGTTCCCAGCCTGATGCCACGCCGTTTCATCCCCAGACGCAGCAGCAGGACCGTCCAACGACGGCGGAGGGTCGCCGAGGGCGCGCTGTCTGCAGTCTCTCCAGCGGCCCCTCCAGCGGTCCCATGCAGCAGATATGCACCTCCACGCCACGCACGAACACTCGACGGCGCGGGCAGACCGGCCCCGGCAAGGAAACAGTCTGGGACAGACAAAGACAGCGTTGAAGCCCTGCTAACCAGGGGGGCACGGTGGGCGGGTGCTGGGGCGTGAGGAGGAGGAAAGCCGTGCAGCCCGTGCCACGGCCTGCGGTGAAGGCGCATCGATCTCGAGCGGCAGCAAAGGCGTCCCCGGCCCGCTAGGATATAAGGACCCAGCGACATCTCAGCTGTACTTAGTATACATATCAGGCTGGCCGCGTACCTTCGTACATAAGCAAATCAGCCCGTCTTCTTGGCCATTTGCATCTTGCCACCGCAAAGAGCACACTGCACCTCATCCTCCGTCCCAGATCGTCGTCCCAGTGCCTGGGATACGGAAATCCTGTGTCGTCACCATGGATTACGCCTATTTCAACACCGCTCCACCACAGCACCCCTACCAGTTCATCGGACTGCCCCCAACGCCCACCTATTCACAGCCCATCGACCACGACACGATCCGGAGCATCGTAAGGAACCCTCTCCGAGCTTCTTAGGCTGGAGTCAGCATCAGTGCTCTTCCTCTAAGAAAGCTGCGGCATAACCCCGCTTTCTCACCTCACCACTTGACTAACACAAGCTAGGAACCCCTCGACACAGCTTTCCTGCCCTCTTACGATGCCTTCCAATACTCCCAGAACGCCCTCCCGGCAACTTCCGGCTCGCCAGACCCAGTAAGCGGCCATACTCCAATGCCTGCCGGCAGCCTAGACAGTGGACTTGGGGGAGACCTGGACGCGCGGGACAGCCGAACTCGGAGCAGCAGCGAGGAGAAAGAGACGGGCTTGACGCCAGCACAGAGTCGGCGGAAAGCGCAGAACCGGGCAGCGTGAGTACTGTGCCTCTCCTTACTTAGAGGCTGAAGGGGACATGTGCACAATCCCGTCGCCATGCCTCACGCATGAGCCGTCAGCACCCTTCAACCTCACACATTACCCTACAGCCGTCACCATCCAGGCGTACACTGCATTTGCACGATTACAGAGCATCGCAGCTAACATACCCCAGCCAACGCGCCTTCCGCGAGCGCAAAGAACGCCACGTCCGCGACCTCGAAGCCAAGCTCTCCGCCCTCGAATCGTCCACCAACAGCCTGCAATCCGACAACGAGCGCCTCAAGCTCGCCCTGCAACGTGTCCGCACCGAGAACGAACTCCTGCGCGCGACCTCAGCACACTCCCCGACCTCGTCCCGCCCAGTCTCCGGCTCCTACTCGCCCACCGCCAACGGCGACTCGGCTGACGACGCAGACTACAACGTCCACTCGCTCACGCACAGCACCGTAGTCACTGAAATGTCGTTCCGGGACTCGGAGAAATCGAAGCGGTTTAGCGGCAGCAAGGAGCTCCCCGCCCAGCAGACGTGGGACCTGATACAGAGCCACCCGCTGGTGAAGCAGGGGCTTGTGGACATTGCGGATGTGTGTGAGCGGCTGCGGGGGCTGGCGCGGTGTGATGGGCACGGGCCGGTGTTTGAGGAGCGGGCGGTGTGGAAGGTGGTGGAGGAGAGCAGGAGAGGGGGTGGGGACGAGCTGATTTGAGCTGATTCTCATCTTTTGTAATCACAGTCGCTTCATCTTTTTCTACGTCAAAAGGGCTGGACGAGCAGTTCACGGCAGTCAGGCGTTTTTTCTGGTTGGGGGGCTTGGAAACCCTGCACGAGGTGTGCAGCATGCAAATGTTGCTGGTTGCTGCGCACTCGAACAACGACCAGCTGTTGTGGCGTGGGATCGACTGCTAGTCGCAGCATCCTGCCACTACAGCATTTCCCCCCTCAAAACGCCTTCGTTTTTTGTTTATACCCTTTTTGTTGCAACGACGGTCTGCATTTGACGGTCTGCATTTGGAAGCTAGCTATCGGAAGGAGGTGGTGTGGTTGGTGTAGTCTAGAACCATAGCCCGCGAGGCTCACCAAAGCAGGGAATGATGCTTTTGGATATAGAGAGTTGACTCGATCTTGAATGGACTTCACAATCACCAGAGGGTTTGGATCCAATCATGCACGTGCGATGCTTGTATGACGGAGGCCCTATCCCGCTCGCCAGCTTCACGCTTTGGAGTGATTTATGAAGCTCAGGTTGATACTTCACAAGGCAATTCAATATCTTATCAGAGTAGCATCTATAGAAGATTGGACACGAAAGGTGGGTATATCGCGGATGGTTCCTGTTATGGCGACTACACCATCACTGGGTCAGTAGCCCTAAACGATTCACTGTCCTTTCAGTCCTTCGTTCACGGAGAGTCGGCGATGCTTTGACACCTCACCTCGCGGACAGCTATCCACACTTCTTGCATACCAAAGCTAGCTGTGTTTTAGCTCTCGACTCGAAAATGCACATCTCCTTCCCGTAGCAGACGCCAAATCCGAGCCCAGAACTGGAGGCAACAATTTGCGATGCAAGATTAACCAGGAGAGGTAAAATAATAATTCTCTGCGGAATACACCGAGATCTTGCACAGTTAGTTATCCCTCACCTTCACACAACGTGGCACGTCTATCATACGCCTATACAGTTCGGCCCCCCGCCCTCGTGTATTCCCACGTCTTATCCCGCCATGTACAATAACAACCATTGCACATCCCAGTCCTCAAGCCTCGCGCTCCTTGGAGTCTTGTCGTCGCACACCCCTCGCACTTCAATCGACAACCCATCACGGCAGGCTCCTCAGTCAACACATGCTCTGCTCCCCCCCTCTTTCCCCTCCCCTTCCTGCCTTGCCGTTCAAAATCCTGTTGTCCCCATCCCGTGCATAATCAGCTCACTCGCATTCCAACACGTCCTTCGCTGCACCCCGAATTCCAGCTCCGCCGATCCCGATCCCTGCCCTCCTCCACGCACGGCCCCAGAAAGCCAACATGTCAGCGCTGCAAAGCCGCCATACAACGCGTTATGTCAGCGCGCGCGGTGGGGCGGAGGACTGATAAGTCATGCAAGCGGGGCACATGCGGGCGAAGGGTGGGGGGTTCGGATACCAGGATGCTTTAGTGTGTGTCTGGTGGTATGCATGATGCTCGCCGAGGTGGAGCTGCAGGCTGGTTGTATGCATGTAACGAGCTGTCATCATTTGATGGGTAAGGGTGACAGGGTGATGGGGAGGCGCGTCTGGCGTGCAGACGGCGTGCGTCGGGCGTGAGGTCGGTTTTGGTGGGAGTGGAGGTGCGCTGGGAAGGTGGTTTCCTCATGCGGCCGTTGCTAGTTGCTCCCGAGAGGATTAGTCTGTGGTGGAAGTTGTTTCTATTCCACAGGCACTGTACTGTAATGTTCCTGTCCGTTGTGAGAGATCGCGGACGACGCTTGTCGGGTTGGAACGTGTAGGTTCCTGCTCGCCTGCGTTAGGCTAATGGTGTCGGTCCGTTCACGGCCTTTTCGGTTCTCTCGCACTGAGATGGCGTGAAGGATGCCGGGGACTGGGTACTGGGTACTGGGTCGATGTGAGCCTACTTGGCTGAATTGCCAAGTAGGAAAGGAAGACGCCGCCCGCTAAAGTTGGTGGAAGGTGGAAGTGGTAGAAGCCTGCTCCCTGCACCAAGCACCCACGTGTCAACAGGAATGAGACATGCATACGTTTGGGCCGGTGTGGACACGCTAATATGCTATGTAGATAGATAGATGGCATAGCAAATGTCAAGCCCTGATATCGGCACGCTTCAAGAGTATTTCGGTACCGTCGCCATTTTAGGCACTGTGTAATGCCCGTATCTCTGAATATGGTACCCCGCTGCGGGACACGCCCCGGCCTGGGCGGAATGATGGCTAGGCAGGAGGCTTGAATGGCGTTGGATGTCTCATTCGCTCAGTCCCAATCGCTGTCGTCGTCGTCTTGCGTGGTACTAGTCTTGCCCTGCTTTATCGTCTTGTGGCTAGCTTCTGCGTCTTCGGAGCGCTCGTTCCGCTTCTGTATTCGGTGGTCGCCGTGACTTACTGCGCCAACTTCGACAAGGACTTTTTCGACATCTGCAGTTCATGGGTTGTCAGCATCGCGAGTGTTACGAGGTTCCGACTAGAAGGCTACGGGTGGGAGTATCCGTGTTCCCGTCCACTGATCATGGGGAATAAAGCTTGTACAGGAGCGACTTTGGACCAAAAGAATGCGCAATATACCCGGGAATACCACAACTGGAATAATGTTTCGCAAGCAAACAGCCTAACATACCTCGTGCCTTTGTACGTGGACCCTGAAGCTCCCGCAGCGTCACAAGCTGCCGTTTGATATCTCCATCCTTGTAGACCAACACTGTTGGCGTGTTTTTGTCAGGGTATCCTTCTACGCACAAATCGGCGCGAATCTGGCAGAACTTGATGTCACCGAATCTGCGCGCCAGGTCGCGCCATATTTCGATCAAGACGCGCGACTCGGTATTGGTTCCTTGTGAGGATGTGAGGAGGACGAACACGTAGGCTGCATTGGAGGCTTCGGTGACGTCTTTGGCGTAATCGGGCTTCTGTACGTGGTAGACTTGGTTGTATACGGAGGCAGTGTCGATGGTGGAGAGTTCTGCTAATCGCTTTTTCCTGCGCAGCATGAGCATCGTCTCACTTGGACTTTTCGAACCCTATGTTGTAGCTGGGTACTCACCTGTATTCCTCCAGGAAATCCTCGTCCTCTTCGTCTTCGAGTGCTGCTAGCTCGTCCAAGTCCTTGCCCTCTAGCCTATTCTCGTGTGCCAACTGGCGAGCCTGCTCCAGCGCTTCTTGTATCATTGGAGTGGGCGACGGTGGCTTCTCTGGTATAACACCATGCTTCCGCAGGATGTCGTTCCATTCCGTATCTGCATTTGGATCGTCCACCGGTACATTGACTGGCATGTCCATGGTGACGGTTGAGGTGAGGTGATGTTGTGTTCAGCTTGCCGCAGCTGTATACGAGTCGGACAATTCTCGACTTTGTAGAACTGATCCAGGCTATCATGGAGCACTCAATTGCTAGTCCTCTGAAGTAGTGCAGTGCAGTATATATGGTGGTCGCTGCCTTGTGAAGCTGACGACGAAGGTACAAATCTTTAACGCGGGCGCAAAGCACTGACAGCCCCCAGCCTGACAACCGCCACTTTTTGCGGGGCCGCTGCCCTGACCATGAGAAGCTCGCCGCCACACCATCATCACGTACAACTCCAGCTTCATTCCTCCTGCACTGCACGTCGATCCATCCACCACTCTCCTCCACGGCTTCAGTGACCACTCTGAAGTCCTTTCATACACTTCCACCACCCAAGACCTACCACACAGGCTCGCAATACACGCACGATGGCTCAGGCTCAGCGAAACAACCCCACCATCTCCACGAAGCTGCCGGAAGAAGTCGAGACCTGCCTGCTGAAGACCCGGTTCGTAAGTGTGTCCCGTCCGTCCTTGCCCCCGAATGCCCTAGTTGATCCATGACTCCTAGGTCAACCTCGCCACGAGCAACGAGAATGTGCCGCACATTAGTCTCATGAACTATACCTACATCGCCAACTCCCCCTTCGACGCCGGCCCCATCATCGCCATGACGTCCCCCCCTCAGTCGCGCAAGATCCACAACTTACAGAAGAACCCACACGTTGCACTATCCGCCCACGACTGGGTCAGCCCGCGTCCGCTTAGCTACGGTACTACTACTCCCATCCTCAACTTTGTTCTCAACTTTTTCAGCAAGCTTTCGTCGACTTTCCGGTTTTTTAGTGCTGGACTGTTCGTATCAGCTCCCCCCCCCCCACTAATACCAGCATTTCCATTCTTTTCCTTACCACCGCCCTCTTGTAAACATCACTAATGTCAATAGGACGTGAGAATTCTCCAGAACCGTCCGCGCTGACCGCCCTCCTCCTCGGAATCAACAGCGCTTCGCTTTCCAAGATCTGTGTCACAATCAACGGCACCGCGTCCCTCGTCCCTGCCGGCTCCGAGCAGGAGAAATGGTACAAGAAGCGCCACATTGAGAACAACACCTTCGCCGCCGAGCAGGCCGCCAACGGGCTTGCTTCAGAAGACGCCCACGCCGCGTCCCCCGATGGTGGCAAGGAGGCCTACATCAAGGCGGAAGGAGTGCGTGTTCTTGTGGTTAAGATCACCGGAGGAAGCACCGTCGACTGGCAGGGAGCCGAGCAGAAGTGGGAGGTCCGCCAACTTTCAAACGGCGTCTGAGATTCAGGCAGGTCCGGTTCATAGGGCGGAGTTTATGGGCTAGCTAATGGGAGTTCATATTGGGTTGAGCGAGTTAGGGAGATGACTTCGGGGGTATATCCCGGGAGAACTTCAATCCAGTGGCCAAGGGCCCAAAGGAATGGAAAAGCGAGTATGATTTAATGATCAATGGAAATGACATCTCCCTCATCGCCCCAAGCATGATGTGAGGGTTCCTTCAAGGTACTTCAAAAAGTCCCAGCTATCCAGAAGTAGGTGTCTGATTCACGATGGTCTAACAAAATCAGCAGTCCAGACAACGCTTTACTGCTAGCTACTATATCAGCTCACTCAAATTACTACCAAGCCGCAAGTCTGTGCACGCTCGTCTGCCACTGCTAAGGGTGCCCCCACGAGGGTTACAGCACCTAGGCGCGATGTCAAAGTTCATAGAGCGAGATTTAAGTTGGCTCTTAACTGAATGGCTCTCTAGCAATGGGGTTGCTCCTGACAGTGGTGCTTGGCTTCCAAAAACACTTGCTGCTAGCTGCTATGTACGAGGCAATGTAAATTACGACCGGGCTATTAGTCTATGCACACTCCTATGCCACTGCCAGGGGTGCCCCCACGAGGTTTACAAAACCTGGGCGAGATGTCACGTTCTATGCAGTAAAAGCTGAGACGCCTCTTGATGGAACGGCTTTGTAGCCATGGGGCTACTCCCTACATTGGTATTTAGCTTCCAAAGTGGTATTTACTATAGGTGAATATAAGGGCCATGCACGAACCCGCGGCCTGGCTCGCGGGAAAGCTTGTCTCTAGCCATTTATGACTAAAAGTGGGGACAAAAAAGCAAAATCCATCGCGTGAACTACATAATCTGTCCCACCCCCCACCTGCTCCAGTTGCTCTCGAAATCTCGGCCAACGGGACAGCGAAGGAGTCCTTTCATTCTACCCCGAGTCCTCCTCCAAAGCTTGCGCAATGGGTGTCCCATCGACACAGGCGTCTAACGCTATCATCTACCTAACTTACGGCGCATTCTTGTCAGTATCCTAGTTGACAGACACTGCACCACTCCTATAGCCAGCTAACGCGCTCAATTGTAGGATTACGGGTGTCTATATCGCATTTAAGCTCCGCCATCAGTCAAAGGGCGAATACTTGTCCAGCAATGGGACGCAGAAGGGTTAGGCGCAATCGCAGGCTTCTAGTCAAGAGAGCGACATCCCCAGCCGCTTCTCTTGCGAGCCTCAACAATCTATCAGCACCTAGAGAATACCTGCTAACATATTTCAGGCATCCCGCTTGCTCTGAACTTTATCGCATCGGGTGAGTGCATGGGTGTAACATCCTGAGCACTGGAAAGGAGCAGCGGCAGCATCCGTACATTACACGACGCACGACACGCACAATCACAAGTACACAATGGGTGTACATTAGACTTGGAGACTGGGAGATGTGATACCAGGTTCGTATTTGAGATCTCTCGCGGACACCTGCTCTACAGAGAGAGCATTTGCGACCTCATCTTCGGCTTTATGCTAAAGGTGGGGCTATGTGAACTACCTGCAGAGCAGATCTGCGCGGCTTACACTGCGGGCGCGGACTCAAAGCTTGGCCCCGGATGCTCTCTCTACCGCATTGGAGAGAGCGCATCTGGTCTTGCTAAGATGAAGCTGAGAAGTACCGTAAGAACTCGATCAAGATAATACTTGCGTGAGGAACGTGCTGCCGCTCTTTTCCATACTCAACACCCCCACTCCCCTCATACCATTGTGGAAGCTGACTTAGGCATTTTACTATCACAGCTCTCGGCTCTGGAATTCTCTTTTCCTACCCTGAGATCGCGACTATTTGCGGAGTGCAGGGCTTGGTGGTCTATTCACTTTCGTCCTCACTCCCGCTTTTGGTCTTTGGTTGGCTGGGCCCTGTCCTCCGACGGAAATGCCCCGAGGGCTTTGTGCTTACGGAATGGACGAGACAACGATACGGGACGGTGACAGCCTTGTTTCTTAGTCTTTGCACGTAAGTGACAGAACTTGAATGCAAGAATCTCCAATGCTCATAATAGAATCTAGCCTCATTACCCTATTCCTCTACATGGTGTCCGAACTCTCCGCTATGCAGCAAATCGTCAACGTCTTGACAGGACTGGACGGACTGCCAGCTATCATCGTCGAAGCCGCGGTTACAACCATATACACTTGTAAGAACCACTCACTACCCCCTTTCACCCTCTTTACTGACCCCTCCAGCCATTGGCGGTTTCCGCGTGTCTTTCATAACCGACAATATCCAAGGCGCCATGGTCGTTGGGCTCATCATTCTAGGCGTCATATCAGTCGGAGCTACTACCAACATCGACCGCAGCCTGATCAAAGAATCCGGGTTCTTAAATTCCAGCCTCCTGGGTTGGCAGCTCGTCTACATCCTCCCAGTTGCAGTGCTCACGAACGACTTCTTCGTATCTGTTAGTCTTTCCTCTCCACTCGCACTGCCTCCCTTTTCTCTTCTAACGTTCACACAGGGCTTCTGGCTTCGCACCTTTGCCTCCAAGACCGACAAAGATCTTTGGATTGGTGTTATTATAGCTACGGTAGCTGTGACCATCATCCTTACCTTCGTTGGCAGTGCGGGCCTCCTCGCCGCCTGGTCTGGTGCCTGGCCCCTTGGCTCTTCAGACTCTGGGTACCTCTCGCTCTTCCTCCTGCTCGGCCAGCTCCCGGCCTGGGTCGTCGGCGTCGTCCTTGTCATGGTCGTCTCCCTGTCCACCGCCGCCTTCGACTCCTTCCAGAGCGCCATGGTGAGCACAGGCTCCAACGACATCTTCCGCAACCGGCTCAACCTGTGGTTCATTCGCGCTTGTGTCGTAGTGATCATCGTGCCTGTTGTCGTGGTTGCGTTGAAGAGCCCGGACATCTTGCAGATCTACTTGATCAGCGACCTCGTCAGCGCCGCGCTCGTCCCCGTTCTCATCCTCGGGCTCTCCGACTGGTTCTATTGGTGGCGCGGCTTTGACGTCGTCGTCGGCGGCCTCGGTGGCATCATGACCGTGTTTTTCTTCGGCCTGGTCTTCTACAAGGGCGATGCTCAGTTGGCTGGGAACCTGCTCCTCCTCGAAGGCGGCCTCTATGGGAACGACTGGAGCGCGTTTGGTGCCTTCATGGCCGCTCCCATAGGCGGTCTTCTCTGGGGTTTCGGCGCTTGCGGACTCCGTCTCTTGACGTTGTATATCATAGCCAAGGTTAAGGGACATAGGTTCGATGCTTTAGATCGGCCGGTGCCACAGTTTCATCCTACTGATGCTGCTACGGACAGCGAGCAGGAGGCAGTCACTGAGCATCGGGCGGATACGAAGACGGATGGGAAGTTCTTCTAGGGCACTGTGGCTCGAAGTACGAGATTTCAGGAGAGTCGTTTGGGTGGGCGGCAGCTGAGAGAGAAGTGTATGGGATGGGATGGCATGGGATGGCATGGGATGGCATGGGATGGGAGTGGGGAAGTGTCTTTTGACTTCTGGCATGAGTTGGATGAAGGCAGAGAGTTGGTAGTTGTTACAAATTGTAATGCTTACGAGGGGAGAGTTGAGATCAAATCGATGACACTGCTTGTCTGTCAATTAGTATATTTGCATAATATGGAAGCAACAGAACTTGAACTTGATACCACAAGGGAAATACGTGAGATTATACTCGCGCGAATAGTTTGGTGTAATGGGTCCGTCTATGTGAACGTTATAAAGGAACTAAACGGTATATATTACTCTACCTCTAATTCATTCCACAACTAAGTTTACCACTTCAAACGGTGTTGAACGCGAGGTGCCTCCAGTGTGGTAGGTATAAAATTGAGGCATCTCTCGCTGTTTTCGGAGGAGTAGGTCGGCCCGAAGTGCCACCACAGGCCCGAAAACTTTTCCAGCACCACCGAACTTTCTAATACGTCCATTGGCCATTTGTCAGAGATCTCCGCAAGCTTCACTGCGGAGTTCCACCGACGCCGGCTAACCCCTGCCCCAACGCTCATATCTCGAAAAGCATCTGGCTTCGCGTCTTCAACCTGTATGCCTATCTCGACTATAGACTACAATCACAGTGTGACTCCACCAGAAAGCCCTGCACCGCCCTTTTCACAAGACCCTAGTTCCTGGAGCAGCATGACTTCGTGTCATCGACGCGTAAAGCTACTTGGCCTAATCCTGCATCTGGTGGTATGATCGCCGGGACTCGGGACAATTCCATGTGTCGGAATGCTTGCAGTGTAGCCTCTGTGCATAGCCGGCGGTTTTTCTACCCGTGAATCCCCAGTTATTCCTCGTTCCGCCTACTTAGCGTCACCACTTTATCTCACGACGCCTCGGCAGATCAGTACTCTATCTCACTTCTTCAGCAACTTGTTCACCAACCAGCGTAGAGAACAGCATACGCACCAAATACCGCGGACGTTGTGGCCTCGTATGAATCATTGACGGCGGAAAAAGGGCGGAGCTTCTGCTAGGGGCAGTCAATGAGGGGCAGTCGATGATTTGGCATTTGCATTATTAATACAGCAGGATACATAGCTAGAGAGCACTACTATATCTATACCTTCGTACCCCCAAGTAACAACATCAAGCAGCATTTTCTGTCCGAGCTCATCCTCTCCGAGCTCAGTTTCTTTCTCAAACGCTTCACTGTCTATCAACCTCAACACTCTACCACAATACTTCATCATGGCTCCTATTCGCTTCACGTCAACCCCAACCTCAGCCGCCCCTCTGGCGCAGCCCCTGAAGTATTCCTTCTCTGGCCGCACGGCGCCCAATCGGCTCCTCAAAGCCGCCATGTCCGAATCTATGTCTTCCTACACCCCGGAGAACCACAGCACCCATGGCATTCCCTCGAACGAGTTGGTCAAGCTCTACGAGGCTTGGGGAGAGGGCGGGTTCGGGCAGATATTAACTGGCAACGTAATGCTATTTGACGATCAGCTCGAGGGGCCGAAAAACGCGATTATTCCGCAAGATGCCGAGTTTGAAGGGGAGAGGTTTGAGAAGTTCAAGGCGATAGCTACGGGTGCGAAGAAACACGGAAGTTTGATAGTGGCACAAGTGAGCCACCCGGGACGCCAAGTGGAGGCGAAAGTCAATCCGCATCCCATTAGCGCAAGCGATGTAGCTATAGCAAGTAGGTTTTCATTCCCTTTCAAACCCTTAATATACAATCATCACGTTTGCCTGGATACGGAGCATGCCAGAGTAATCTCACCAAGCTAACATCACCTAGACAAGAAATTGGGTCGTGTCTTCGCCAAACCCCGCCCAGCCACAGAATCCGAGCTCGCAGAAATCGCCTCCGCCTTCGGCCACGCCGCTGAGTTCCTCGATAAAGCCGGCTTCGACGGCATAGAGCTACATGGCGCACACGGCTACCTCATCGCCCAGTTCCTCTCTCTTACAACCAACAGGCGCACCGACAAGTACGGCGGATCTCTGGCGAATCGCATGCGCTTCCTGCTCGAAATCGCCGCCGCGATCAAGAAACGCGTCTCGTCCAGCTTCATCCTCGGTGTCAAGATCAACAGCGTCGAGTTCCAGGACCACGGCTTCACGCCCGACGAAGCAACCCTCCTCGTCACTGAACTCGAGAAAGCAGAGTTCGATTACGTCGAGCTGAGCGGCGGGACCTACGAAAGCATCCTGGATACGTTCAGGCATAAGCGCGAAAGCACCCGCATCCGCGAGGGCTTCTTCGTCGACTTCGCCGAGCAGATCTGCAAGCCGCTGACCAAGACGAAGGCGTATCTCACCGGCGGTTTCAGGACGACGGGCGCGATGGTGAAGGCGCTCGACACGGGCGTGGATGGGATTGGGTTGGGGCGGCCGACCTGTCATGAACCGTTGACGTTTGGAAAGGATTTGCTAGAGGGGAGGATTAGTGGCGCCATTAAGGTGCAATTGGATGATGGGGACTTCGCGTCGACGGCAGCGGCGGGGGCGACTAATATGAAGTTGGTGAGTGAGGGGAAGGAGGTGTTGGACTTTAGTAATGAGGACTTTGTGAAGTCGTGGAGGGGGGAGTTTGCAAAACTGATGGAGGCGGCAGGGGTCGCGCCTCAGAAGGGAGAGGAAGAGGTGGTGAAAGCATGATTGGAGTGGAGCAGAAGTTATTGGGAAGGATGATTGAGAGGGATGCTGCGGTGGAAGTATGATTGGAGTGGGGCGGAGATGAACGGGAGGGTGCTAGGCAATTCAAGTCGGGTGTGCAGAAGAAAGGCGGAAGCTCTGATGCTGCGGGGCTTGGATCTGATATGGATGCCCTCCTTGGTTCATTAGTCATATCCAGCCTTCTATGTTGCAAAAACCATGAGACCTCGATTCCGCCCAATCATTGGAAGAGTAATGGTAGATCTTAGAATTGAAGATGACGAAAATGTGCACACTTTTGAGCTCTACAATATGACCTGTATCCCGATGTGCGCACGATGTTTAATATGAGTACTTTATGAGCTGACTTTCATGAAAGTCTGGATTTATATATATATAAGATAAACCACTTGGATGGTTTAGTATCGGGTTCTCTATTTTTAGACTACATGTTCAACTGTGGTACACTTACGTCTCGACCTGGGAGAATCAGAGTACCACACCTCAAATCATGGTTCACCACTCGCGTACGTGGCACAATACCACAAATGAAATGAGCGGCCTCCCATAAAAGCCCACAGCTTCCCCAGGAAACTGTCTTATCTTACCTTTCTTCACACGCACCCAAGTCACCCTCTGTCATGCACCACTGCTGACAGAGCTTCGAGAACACCCTAAAACTACTGACCCAACAACGAGCACACCACTACCACCCTCTTACTACCCACTACTCCACAAAGAACCACAAAGAACCACGGCCTGTTACAATAAGCCACCTGTCATCACTATGGCTACCAACGAGACCGAGAGAGATAAAGCCTCTGCGTCTGCCGAGCTGCACGAAGTAACTCCCTCATCCTCCCCACCCACCACCATCCGTCCCGTCAACTCTCCAACACTCCCCGTCAGCACCGTCACCCCTCTCTCTACTCCATCCACCAACCCCAACACCTTCAGAGCCACTGTCCTCAGAGAAGAAGACTGCTACCAATGCCTCGCCTACGCCTACCCCAAGAGCAAGAAATGGATCATTCTCACTATCATGGGCATGGTCCAAATCAGCATGAACTACAACGCCGCGGTCTTCTCCAACGCCGTGCAACCAATCGCAAAAGACTTCAACGTGTCTGAAGACTATGTCCGGAAAGGCCAAATGATCTTTCTCCTCTCCTACGCCTTCGGCTGCGAGCTGTGGGCGCCGTGGAGCGAGGAACTGGGACGGAAGAATGTGCTTCAGACCTCGCTCGGGCTTGTCAACATCTGGCAAATCATGTGCGCGACGTCGAAAGGCGTACCGCAGATTCTCGCTGGCCGTTTCCTCGGGGGCTTGTCCAGCGCCGGGGGTAGTGTAACGCTGGGGATCGTGGCCGACATGTTCGAGCCGGACCGCCAGCAGTATGCCGTTGCGTTCGTCGTGCTCACCAGCTGTGGCGGCAGCGTTGTCGGGCCTGTCGTCGGCGGCTTCATCCAGCAGTATCTCAACTGGCGCTGGAACTTCTGGATCCAGCTGATCCTCGGGGCCGCTGTGCAACTTATCCACCTCATCTGGGTCCCCGAGACCCGCAGCAGCGTCCTCCTCGACCGCGAGGCGAAGAAGCTCCGAAAGACCGGCATCAAAAAGGTATACGGCCCCAACGAAGGCCGCAGCTGGCGCGAGCGCTTCACTGTCCGCGAAGTCGGCAAGATCTGGGCGCGGCCCTTCGTCATGTTCTGCAGAGAGCCCATCGTCTTGTGCCTCTCGCTCCTGTCTGGTTTCAGCGACGCCCTCATCTTCACGTTCCTCGAGTCGTACGGCTACACCTTCTCGCAGTGGCATTTCTCCCCGATCCAACTCGGCCTCGCCTTCATCCCGTTGCTCATAGGCTACGTGATCGCGTACTTCATGTTCTTCCCCTTCTTCAAGAAGCAGCAGGCCCTCATGATGCGCAGTGGCACCGACGCCCTCGTCCCCGAACAGCGCCTCAAGCTCCTCCTCTTCCTGGCGCCGCTCCTCTTCATCGGCATGTTCGGCTTCGCCTGGACAGCCACGGGTCCGCCAATCCCCTGGGCTGCGCCTTTGCTCATCTCCGTCCTCATCGGCATGGCAAACCTCGCCGTCTACATGGCCACCATCGACTACATGGTCGCTGCATACGGACCATATGCCTCCTCCGCAACTGGTGGTAACGGATTCGCCAGGGATCTCCTCGCCGGTCTCAGCGCGCTGTATGCGAAGCCGCTGTATCACAACATCGGGCCGAAGGGGCTGCGTCTGCAGGCGGCGAGCACGCTACTAGGCGGCCTGGCGGTAGCCGTCGTGATACCGATTTACATTTTCTACTGGTATGGGCCCTGGATCCGGAGCAAGAGCCACTTTGCCAAGAAGGTAGAGGCGGACCGACGTGCGAGGATGGGCGGGCCAGGATCGCTGCCAGTAGTGGAATCGTTAGGAGCAAAGGTGTCGCAGACCTAACTTACAACACGCTCTTGAGATCCGCTGGAAGGGTTCTGGACTTCTACAAGGGAGACTTACGGATCGCACTTTTTATCATCACTATTCCTCCAGTTTCAACACCACCTCGATCAACAACACCATTACATCAAACGCACGAACCCACACCACCAGCTGGGCGAGGACGGCACCCCTCTCCTCTCGAGAGGACTGCCCAGCCCGGCTGGCCCCCGTGCGACTCCTGCGATTTCTTGCATTCTCTCCCCTAGTTCCCCTTCCCATCTCTTTCCCAATTCCCCTTTCCACCCTCCCCCACCCCCTCCACCTCTCCTTCTCTCCCTCAACCAAAAAAAAAGGAAAGGGAGAGAGAGAGAGGAGGAGAAGAAGTGGGATTTTGTGATAGCTAGCCCAGGCGATCGCGTTCGCGAGGTTTCATTTTCCTTTCAGGATTTCGTTTTTCGCCGATTGGCGACATCTGGATTTATGTCTCGCGTTGGGCAACAGCCCTGTCCTCGGGCCCCTTTTTTTTTTTTTTTTTTTTTTTTTTTGGATGGATTTGGGCGGTTATGTGCTGCGAAAAGCACCACGCAACCTCTCCCACTTCCCCTTCGGACTACCCCGTCCCCAGAAACCTCTCCGATAGGCGCCTCTCGCGCGCCCGCCACCGGGTTCAAATCACGGATGTAGCATCCATCCGCCGGATCCGGGAGGAAAGAAGCCAACAGACATTCCGATTTCCCCTCGCCTCGCCTCGCCTTGCCGAGTCGAGTCGAGTCGAGGGCGTTTTTCGGTGACAGACCTTCCCCCACGAAGGTCCCTGGCATGTTTTATCTTAGCGGCACTTCTGGGGACGCATACTGAAACAGTAGTACGTACGAAAACCGTACGTACTCATTCGACCACGGCGTTGGCGCGTTGATTGATTTTGTCGTCTTGGTCACGTACAGATTTGGATTTGGACTTTTTGTGTTCCTCAAGCAACGTGAAGATTTGGATTGGAACTTTGTGTTCTCGCACAATCGGGTCCGGAAGATTCGGATTCGGACGGGCGGTGATGTCTTGCTTCTTGTTTTGGTGGAATTCGGCCGCGAATTTTGTCTTTGTTACGCCTGCTCTGGGAGAGTTTACGGTTCGAACCTCATTTGCAAGCAAGTACCGGCAATTTGTCTTTCTTGTGCCTGTAAGAACGGCATGGCCTTTTTTTTTTCTTCTTTTTTTGGGAAAGGATCGGGCGGGTACGCAATACGCGATTCGGGTTTCTGTTATTTCTGCCCTTTTAGAGAAAGAAGGCCCGCGAGCTTGTTTTAGAGAGGGGATACTAGGTGTTCAGCCCCTCGGCGTCTCGGCGTCTAGCCTTAGTGCCCGGTGTTTTTAAGCCTAGGAGTTGGGGATACGGTTGCTTCGTGGGTATTGTTGTTTGCGATTTAGGCGAGTCAATTTTGCTTGCGCGGAAGGGAACGTGAAGAAGAAGGGGAGTTTGTGGGGATATTTGTAATAAAGCGCGGGGTCGCGCGCTTGCCAGCCATCTTTTCGTTTTGATGATGCTGTGAATGTGACGAGACTTGCGAACGCATATGAAGTGCAGGCTGATAGTTGGAAGCTGGTGGTTATATCGCTAGACCTATTCATCAGCTGGAGGACTGATCCTGTTTCAAGAAGATGTGTGGAAAACTCAACCCTGAAGTCTATTCCTTCATTAAATTGCTGATGACTGGCAGGTCGATTGTCAATGGCGCGAATGAATTGCTGACAGGTCTAGGCCGTGACGTATATGAATAATATCTTAAAAAGTTCCATTGTGTTCAGAAAGATGATGTTGAAATATCGGTGAATACCTCCCAGAGGTCTGTGATGACTCGAGACCCATCTATGCCTACCTAACCAACGCCAAGCAATGCAGTTGAAGTCGAATTATGGATAATAGGAGCCAGTTCAGCACAATTACACTGTCTTCTCTGCTCCTAGCGCACCAGCCATATCCGCTAGCGCCGTCTCACTCTTCCGAGCCCTCTTCTTAAGGACATTCTCAATAAACGCTTCGCCGGCTTTGTAGCTACTCCTGACCAGCGGACCACTGGCGCAGTACAGAAATCCGAGATCGAGGGCTCGCTGTCGCCAAAGCTCGAAAGTAGCTGGTGTGATGTATTCCTCGACTTTCATGTGGCGTTTCGTAGGGCGCATGTATTGTCCGAATGTCACAACGTCGACGTCAATTTTGCGGAGCTCTGTGGGAAATTTAGTATTTTCATCACTCAAACCCATGAGATGAAGCAAGAGTAGAAAATTCTGACCTCTCAACGCATCCCAAAGCTGATCCTCCCTCTCTCCCAGACCCAGCATAATACTCGTCTTAGTGATCAAACTCGGCTTCTCCTCTTTCGCCGCCTTCAACACCCTCAAACTTTGCCTGAAATCTGCCCGTCGGTCCCTGACCATCGGACTCAGCGCCTCCACTGTCTCAATGTTGTGCGCATACACATCCAACCCACTCCGCGCGACCAGCGCGACCATCTCCAAATCCCCCGCATAATCCCCCGTCAACGCCTCCACCAACATCGCCGGCGCCTTCTGCTTGATCTTCATAATCGTCTCCGCGAAATGCCGCGCGCCCCCGTCCGCCAGATCATCCCGGTCCACGCTCGTCAGCACCACATACCCCAGCCCCCACCGCTTCAGCGCCTCGGCCGTGTTCTCAGGCTCGTGCGGGTCCAGCGGCGCCGGCGCTTTATCCGTCTTGACGCTACAGAAGCGGCACCCGCGCGTGCAGGTGTCCCCCATCAGCATGATTGTTGCTGTGGCGGCGGCTTTGTCGCTCCCGCCCCAGCAGTCCGAGATGTTCGGACACCGCGCTTCCTCGCATACAGTGTGCAGCCCCAGCCCGCGCAGGTCGTGCTTTATTTTCTTGAAGTTCTCGCCAACGGGCACGGGGGTTTTGAGCCATTCGGGGAGCCGTGTGATTTGGCGTTTCTTTCCGGCGGGCCCGACCATGGCGGTGCGGAGTTCTAGCGATTCGGAGATGCCCAGGACTTCATTCTTGCCGCCGACAAAGTCGTCGAAGGAGGGGACTTTGGAGTTTTTGAAGTAGGAGGGCCGAGCGGGCTTAGAGGCGGAGGTATGAGGTGTAGTTGCGGAGTCGTCTCTTGTGGTGGCGAAGGATCGCGAGGAGGTGGTGAGGCCGCGAGAAGAGATGAGGAGACGGGGAGAGGCGGCGAGGCGGGCGCAGCGGCAGAGGGAGGTTACCATTGTGAGGTGGGTGGATCGAGAGGATGGGAGTCGGAGACGGAAACTTTGAGATGATGTTGCGATTGTCATCGACTTTCGCATATTTACGGCCCGAGCGTTCGGGTTAAGCCACAGTCACGTGATGGACAGCCTGCTACAGCCAATGGAAGTGCTGCTATTGTAAGGGACGGAATTTGGAAAGGAAACGTCAACGACTTCTTCTGTGATCGTGTCGGGGTAATCATGAATTGGTATGTCTGATCTTTGAAGCGCATATAATCATTCAGTCGAAGACGATAATTAACAATAGTAAAGACTGGTATCATGTCCTAGATATCGTACATCTTCCCTACCCGAGATGCATAACTCATATATACAATGCCCACAATTCTTCTTACCACCCAAAACTCCTTTGTAGTAAGACGACAATCCCTTAACACACAGTCTTATAGATCTTCTTCCACCTAGGCCACTGGGCTTGGATCGCCCTCTCCTCCGCCAGAATAGCCGCAAGATCCAACTCCCGTCTACCAGATGTAATATCCATATCCTTTACACTCTTGAACTTCGTCCTGAAGATGAGCTTGTAGACGATGTACATGAGCACCACAATTGGAAACGCGAGATACGCCATGAAGAAGTTCTCGACGCGCTCTCCCGCTGTCATATCAGCGTACCCAACTGGCGCAAATCCAGTCCAGAACTGCGCGATGAGGATGATGATGTTGAAGATAAACCCCACCCACGAGCCCCACACCGTGGCTTGGGATTTGAACGCGAGCTCGTCGAGGGTGTGTCCGTGGTACTTCCACGCAGCGCGGAAGCGGATGTGGCAGAGACATATGGACGCCCAGTTGAAAACGGCAGCAAGACCAGAGATGGCCAGCATCCAGTTGAACGCTTGCGTGCGGGTGTCAGTGCCTGCGGCGACGATGTAGCAGATAAAGCCGAACGCTGAAGAAAACAGAATAGCCATGAGAGGGCGCCCGGAGCGATCGATGTAGCCAAGGAACTTAGGAGCTTGCCCGCGGTCGGCGAGAGCCGCGAGGGTACGCGAGGAACCGTAGATAGAGGAATTGCCGACGGAGAGAACTGCAATCAGGATGACTACGTTCATGATGGAGGGTACGACTTTGATGCCGGCTCTTTTAACGGCGATGACGAAGGGTGATGCATTGGCGTCAGATGAAGAGGAACCGATCAGATGCGGGTCGTTGTATGGAACGAGGCAGCCGACGATGGTGAGGGAGACCATGTAGAACTGGGGTTTTTTTGTTTAGACGAGGATTGGTTCGAAGTGAGTGAGACTGCTTACGAGGCAAATACGCCAGAAGACCTGCTTCACTGCGGTGGGGAGCGTCTTGCGTGGGTTTTCGGTTTCAGCAGCACACAGACCAACCAGCTCAGTACCAGCAAAAGAGAAGGCAGCCGTGACGAACACGGAGCAGAGGCCCTTAAATCCGTTGTGGAAAGCGCCGGGATTGTACCAATATTGGGCTCCCATATACGGCTGGCCAGAAACACCACCGCAGTCGATGATGATACCGAGGATGCTAACTGAGGTCAGAAATGGTCCAGTATGGTAGAAAGGGAGGGTCTTACATAAAGCCAATCACGGCAGTCACCTTGATAATGGAGAAGACGAATTCGGCTTCACCATATCCTCTTACACCGAAAAGATTGATAGAAATGATGACGACGAGGAAGATGGTGACCCAAGCAGCTCCATTGACGCCTGCGGCACCAGGCCAGTATGAGACGGTGATGGAAGCAGCTACAATTTCGAGAGGTAGGGTGACCAGCCAGGAAAGAGCATAACTGAAGGCATGTTAGCTGCAATTCTGTGACTCTACTCCCTTGACTCCAGCTTGGAAGTATCTTGCCAATCTCCCAGCTAGACAGACGGAATCAGACGGCTAACTTACTTCCAGGCCATAGCAAATCCCCAAGCGGGGTCAATGAAGCGACTGGCATATATTGCGAACGAGCCGGCAACCGGGAACGCCACGGCAAGCTCACCAAGCGCGTGAACAGTGCAGTACAACATTATTCCAATGAGGCCGTACGCAAGCACCAATGAGGCTGGCCCACCTGCCTGCAGAGCGGAGCCAGAACCAACGAACAGTCCCGTGCCTGCTGCAGATCAGCATTTTGTTACGTACGGGACGCTAAGGCGTGGTAATAAAGAAGGTTTCGCACCAATAGAGCCACCAATGGCAATCATCTGCAAATGTCGGTCCTTCAGGGCCATCGAGAGCGCAGGCTCCGCGGGCGGCTGGTCGGGGAGGGGTTTCCCCTCCTCGTCAGTGGCCTCGGTGACCATGCGTGCATTGGGATTCTTCTTGAAGCTGTCGGCGAAACGACTGAAGCGGGTACCCGTCTTGGTTTCCTCAGTGTAGCCAGCATCGTATGCGGGGGCGGCAGGGCTGCCGCTGCTGCCGGTCTTCTCAAGGTCCTTCTCCATAACTACTGAAGAGTATGGGAGGTGGACAATTGGGATGTGTAGGAGTGAAAGGGAGGGAAGTGATGGGCCACGAGTGTCCTGCTCGCAGCAGAGCACACGACACGAGCTCTTGATATAGCGGCCGCTGGTGGAGAAAGGTCCACCCGAAAGCACGCTCGGATAGCCTGCTGCAACGTCCCCAGGTTACTGCACGCTGCATAGCCGGCGCAGGGTGGCTTCACGCTTGATAAGGGGCGAGGCCGGTGATGGGTTGGGAAAACCGTCAGTCTCCTCCCCCACACTTCACGATGCGGCTGGCAGAGCCCTACGGGCGTGAGCACCAATCGCAGCGGCTGGCAGCTCTCGGTAGTACCGAGATGCTTATCAGTTCCCGTATGGATCTTCGATTCGCGGCGCCACCGCTGCCAGGGCGCGTCAGGCATGCCTTGTGGCATCGTGCATGGCGGCAGCCACGGGACGAAGCCATGATGTCGGGCGCCATTTCTAGTGCAGCCAAGCTCCGACAGGCTCTGCCCTGGCAAGTGTCGTGAGCACTGATCGCTCCCGCGGGCTGCAGTGATGAAAAATGGGGATGGAAAAGTCTGCGGCGAGCGCTAGAAGCTTTTACGAAGCCCTCACCCCCGTCAGCTTACGAGCTCAATGCGTGAATTGATCAGCGGCCCATAGAAATTCCCACGAAGCTGCCACGACGCTCGCACGGATTCTTCTCGTCGGCATCAGACTCCGGCAGGACGCAGGATTCACAGTCCAGTACGCCGTACGCTGTACGCCCAAGGAATCGAATGATGGCCTGGGCAGTCGCTAAAGTCTGGCTTCTTCTGCACCGTGACGTCAACGGCGGAGCCGCTCTCCTAGGGCGGTGTGCTTATCTTCATTCAGTGTAGTCGGGTGCGCGATGGAGCCGCTGGCCGGGATCGAAACGGGGATCGTGATGGGCATCGGGCCTAGGGCGCCAAGACGAGGCACCGCTGCAGCATCTTCGCGCTTAAATGACAGAAGTCATCGCGTACAGCGGCGCTGCCAACAGTACTCTTCGCAAGGGTTCAACATCTTGAAACTTGTAAACACCACGCCGCAAGCACCTCCATCGCCAGGGTGCCGTGAGACTGGCAGGGAAACGACTTGGCTGCGCAAACCTCTCATGCCTCACCCCCACCGTCTCACACCACGAACTGCAGGGCTGCTTCAGGAGACCGCGTCGAGTGTCTGTACCTCCCCGAAGCAGAAAATACTCTCGCCTCTGGGTTTCAATTCTCCGTCGGCTGCTTCCATGGGGCGGCTCCGGCTCACCTGTGCTGGCAACGCCACTCCACTCAGACCCTGCCCTGCGACAGGTTTTGCTTCTTGCCTCTGAATTCCGCAGGTGCTTTTTGCGCGGCTCCTTGCGGCCTGCTTCGGGAAGGCATGTAAAGATCAAGACGGTTGGGTGCTGCTGGGCTGCATCCTTCATTCTGCATGCTATCTTTGCGTGGACCCTAGCGGGAACCCTTCTGGCGTGCATGCCAATAATGGTGGCGAGTCCGGTTGGCTCTCAGCAAGTCTGGGCGTGGATAAGAGCTGGCAAACTTTTTCAAGATTGCGGGGCTGCTGAGCTGAGATGAGGTCCGAACAGAGGTTGCTGATCCAGACGGAACTGAAAGGTATTCTACTCAACTCGTTGGCAAGCTAATATCATCAGAAGATCTTGCTGTTTGAAAACTCCGATCGGAATATGTACAGTACTCCCGAATATGTTGCCGAGTCGAACTCATCATCTCTCTTTTGCATTTCATCCGTCTGAACGTCATGCCACCGGCTTCTCTATGATGGAGTCTACGCGCAGTCAGTCTCAACACCTCTCGACGTCCATAACTCGTAACCACCCTCATGCTCCCTGGAAGCCACTATTAACTCAGCATGACGACCTACGTACGCTATCTCAACGACGCCACATAAGCCCATCGCGACATCTGGATGCGGTCTCCCTGTTCAAAGAACTCAGGGGCGTCTTCGACTTGCGGCCAGAGCAATTCTTATCTCGGCGATCACGGAGGGTTTGTCGGAATGATATGATTCTTCAAGTCCTATGGAGAAGGAAAGAAAATATCACGTCACCACTGCGAGACGTGGATAGGAGGTTCTAGACGCGAGCTGCGACAGCACGTGGTAATCTAGAACGCATGCTCAAACTCATTATCTAGTCTCTGGCAACAATGCTTCGTATCCTCTTTGGCTAGAAATACACGGAACGAAACGCCAGGTACCTACTTAAGTGCGTCACATTCTAAATGCTGAGTTGTCAATCGGCCCATGCAAGGTATCTTCAAACCACGAAACGAATCAAGATCCCCGAATCAAACTCCGTTTTCACCTGCAACACTACGAGGCGAAAAGCATAATCACAGTACTACGCCATACGTCTGGGCACATCGATGCTGCCGCTTGACGGCCACCTTTAGAAACTAGACCACACGACCGTCAAGAGGTAAATCAGGTTCCGCTGCGCAAAATTTGACATCGCGTCTACGCTATAAAATCCCCATTGGTGCACTCTAACGGTATCAGAGTAGTGTGCATAGACTTATGGGCTGTCACTGTACAGCTTCTATGTCACGTGCGTCCCACGTGATCTGTCATCCAGCTACCATGTCCTCTATTTTATTGATGTTTTTATTTTTCGCTGCGTCGAATCGATCGCGTCTTTAGGAGTTCATAGGACCTGATAGATTACTGTCAAGTGGTGTCATCAATCTTGACATACCCAGGATTGCGGAACTCCTTCGACAACACTCTCGTGCTTGAGGTCGAAATCTCTTCACCCTGGCGCCAATATCATCCCTAACCGAGCCTGAGATAGATTGAGAGCGCTTAAGGAGATTTTAGGAGTTGGATGGTGTGCCAAGCAGCAGTAGCGGTGGAGATGTTTCACGCAGGGGATGTTCCGACTCGTTGCCTCATAACTCCACCTCTCATTTTCACAACCGAGTCATCGTCAGCGACGCCCAGCACATCGAACCAAACCCCTCAAGATAACGAATCCACTACTCCAGAAACACTTTCACACACTACACATTTTGTTGAATGAGTTGCTGATGCCGTCCTTCGAAACCCTGCGTAGTCGAGCACCTCGAATAGTCGCATTGCTCAGACGGCATCGTTGCACTGATTTCCGAAGTGATAGTATCTTGAAAATAGGCGGAAATTTGTTTGGCCGTTTTCTGCTATTTCGTTCGGCATGAGACCCGGTCGTCGATCAAACCATCCGGCGCGGCCACCGCAATTGGTCGAACCCGACAACTTCCTCACCATCCGATTGCTAGAAGGTTTTGAATTGAATAGAGCGGAGTAGGCGTCGTAGTCGTTGTTGTGCGATGCTAGAATGGCCATGACTAGTGAGGAGATTAGGTATTGTATAAAGCCTGCTACTATGCTCTCATCTCTCTCGATCAGCACTTTGCCTTTGCATCTACATTCGTTCTCTCCGATTCTTCGTCTTTCATTTTTTTTCCGCTTAACTTCATTGATTGAAGCTGGAATACGTTCTCTTCTTCCTATACCACTGAATCTTTACATTCACATTCTTTCGCTTCAACTACCACGCTCTCACCATGTCGCTCCTCCAACTAGCCACGCTCTTGAGCACCCTCGTCACCTCCACCGTCGCTCACGGCCACGTCTCCGGCATCGTAGCAGACGGCACCTACTACCAAGGCTATGACCCCAGCTTCCAATACCAATCTACTCCTCCTGCCGTGGTCGGCTGGTCCTGCCCCGACTGTCTCGATAACGGCTTCGTTGCCCCAGACGCATACGGTACCTCCAATATCACCTGCCACAAAGACGCGACCCCCGGCCAGGCCCACGCCACCGTCGCTGCAGGGGGAACTGTGGAATTACAGTGGACGACTTGGCCGTCGTCTCACCACGGCCCTGTCCTCAGTTACCTGGCGAAGTGTAGTGGGAAGTGCGAGAGCGTGGATAAGGACGACCTTTCCTTCTTCAAGATCGATGAGGCTGGGTTGATTGATGACACAACGGTGCCGGGGTACTGGGCAACGGATGAATTGATTGCCAACAACAACAGCTGGACCCTCAAAATTCCTTCTGGTATCACAACGGGAAACTACGTGCTGAGGCACGAAATCATTGCCCTCCACTCTGCAGGCACCGAAGACGGGGCGCAGAATTACCCAGCTGTAAGTCCCCTCATCAAATAATTGTAGTTCCGTGGAATTGAATCTGACAGCAACAGTGCATCAACCTCGCCATTACAGGATCTGGTACCGACGCGCCCGCCGGAGTAGCTGGGACTAGACTCTACAAAGAAGACGATGCGGGCATCCTCGTCAACATCTACCAGACGCTCGCGTCTTACGCTCTCCCCGGACCTACGCTGTACAGCGGTGCCGAGAGCATCTCGCAGACAGCTGCTGCATCCTCTCTAACCTCCAGCGCTGTCGCTACGCCATCCACTGCTGGTACCCCGTCTGTGTCCACGTCCGCCACCGCTGCGGCCGCAGAAGCAACCACTAGTGCTTCCAGCTCCATCAGCACGGCAACTACTTCCACTCTTGTACTCTCGAGCGCAGCTGCGGCCACACCAACACCGACCCCGACATCCACATCTGCGCCATCCTCCCTATCTCCCAGTAGCCCGCCCAGCACCTCCCTTCCTAGCATTCCCATCCCAACAGGGCTCCCTGCGTTCACTGGCATCGGAAGCTTCACAGCTTTGCCCTCTGGCCTTTTGACTAGCGTCCTCCCCACCGCTGTCCCGACTGGCACGGATAACTCTAGCGGCGAACTGCCGAGCACGCCGCTTCCGGCGGGGATGACGCTGAAGGAGTTTTTGAAGTGGTTTAATTATATTATGCGCACTTATTTCAGGAAGGGGCCGGAACAGGGGGAGAGGAAGCATCCGCGTGATATCGCATACTAAGAGACTTGGTGGGGTATGCTATGAGGGCGAGTGAGGCACGGAGACGAGAGGTGGAGTAGGTGTGGGAGGGTAGGTTGGTGGAAGGAGTGTTGGAATGGAAGATGAGTTTTTCTCTTGTACATATATTGGAGCTTTGAGGTGATGGTTTGGAGAGGTGAGGTGTGGGTGCTTGTGTATATATCAAGGCTAAAAAGAGTTTAGAGCGGATTTTTCAAGAAGTGTTTAGTCTGCGTATTTTATTAGCAACTGAGGTGATGCTCCACAGTTGTTGTAAGAGGAGACAAAAGTCCAGACGTTCAACCATTCTAAGTCACTGTCAGCTGAGTAACATGAAATGTTTGATGCGGTCTGGAAGTCGGTAGGATGAGAAGTCAATTTCCACGTTTTAGGGTTAAGAAATTCCATCGTAGTGAACCACTGATCAAGTGGAGACTCTGCGATGTACGAATATAACATTGTACGAGTGCAGGTAAGGGGCCGCGTGGCAGAGGAGCTAAACTTAAGCGACGCGTGCTGACTTATCAGTCACGTGATCCATTCATCAGGCAGCCATTTAGTACATACTCTACGGCTCCAAGACCCTCAAGCTTCGTCCCTATATATCCCCGTGGCCCTCGCCGAATCCTCTTCACCGCCCCTCTCTTCCCCTCGCTATGCCTACCCTCTCTACCCTTACCACCCTCGGCCCCTACCACTTCTTCACGTACGCCACCCTCCTCGGCACCTCCCTCTACCAGACCTTCGTCATGACCAAAGTCTGCTACAACGCGTTACCACGAAGCGCCTTCACCACTCTCAACAAACGCGTATTTCCCGTTTATTTCCAGGGCCAAACCCTCCTCCTCGCTCTCACCGCCGCGACGTTCCCGCCGTACGGGCCGCTGAGCTTGAGGCGATCAATGGGGGATCTGCTCCCGCTGGCACTTGCGGGGGGAATGGCCGTGCTGAATCTGGTGAAGTTCGGGCCGGCGACGCAGAAGGCGATGGTGGAGAGAGGGTGGCAGGGTATGTGGCAACGCTTCCTTCCCTTTCTCTTTCTTCGATAACCAAGGCCGTCCGAGTTCGTGGGCTTGACAGTATATATATCGATTAAATTGCGGTTTTAGGAGGACGAGAGGGTGAAGTGTAGCTAATTTGAGGCATAGAAACCCGCGACGGGAAGAAAGCCAGCGATCCCGACGTCAGTGACGAGATGCGGGCGCGGAAGAAGGCGTTTTCGCATTATCATGCGATGAGCATTCATTTGAATCTGGTGGCAATTGGGGGGATGGTGTGGTATGGGTTGAGGTTGGCGGCGAGGCTGGATTTTGGGTAGGGGGGTGGAGGGGAGGGATGTTGTGCGCTTGACACGAGGTTGGATATGAAGATATGGCGAGATTGGGAGGGCTACTGTACATGTCGTCGTTAAATATGTCGTAACCCAGAGTACTAGGGAAATAATGTGGGGCCTATCTTCGTATTCGATAGAAGAGGGGAGTCTTCAGAGGGGAGCAGATGCGTCGAGTTGGAAGTGCTGTAGGTGGACAAGGATCTTACATGATCGGGCCACCTTGAGGTTCTATGTGCAGCCTGAATATAGCGTCTAGAGAGCTCATAGAGTAGGCAGTAACTCAGCGGGCAGAGTTTGAGAGCATTGATTAGATTGGGTTTGAATAGGTGCACGTTAAATCGCGGAGCCGATTGATAGATCGTGGTTTACACGGACTACTGCCCACGGTGAACTATGGGCATCTATTTCGAGTGTTCTGGCGTTAACACCTGTGATTAATGGTAGTCGTTTCTATAATAACTAGCGTGCTTCTCAGCGAATCGTGAATATATGGTGCAAACTTTGTACATACTCTCCCTTCTTCCGTGAACGAAATACAGAAAGCACGCGTCTATGCAACGCTGATAACTCTTTTTCTTCCTTCCGGCACGTACTCCCATCCCCTCATTATATCAAAACTCCCAGCTCGCCGCAAACAGCTCTGTAAACCATGGATCATTCACAAAGCCCATGTCCACCTCCACCTCCTCCCTCTCCTCCAAACCTCCCATAGGCCCCATCTCTGCCGCAAAATTCGCTCTCATCCCCCTAATTAACCGCTCCGCCTTAAACCACACCCCGCTCTCCCCCGTAGCCACCGCGTCAACAAGCCCATGCAGCTTGGGAAGCTCATCCATCCCCCGAGTCTGCCTGTCGAGAACATCAAGCAAGTTTACGTGCTTCTGCTCTTCACTCCTATCCCACCCGACCTCGTCGAGTACGGAAAGTTTGAAGAGCAGGATGGTGCAGTGGGAGCGCTAGGCGCACACTGCGAAGGTCATGCCGATCCACTCCCGGACGGGGATGGAGTGTCTGAGTTCGGTCCAGTGCTCGATGGCGGTTAGTAGGGCAGTGAGGGAGGAGATGCGGTGGGGATCTCGATCTGAGGACTTCAATCTGAGGACTCGGGGTGGTTGGGGCGGTGGAGGGCAGCTTCGCGGATGATGACAGAAGTGTTGTAGATGTGGAGGAGGGCGGTTTCTAGGAGTAGTTAGTTAATGTGAGCGTGTTAAAGAGGGAGGGGGGCGGGGGGTTGACTGTTTGACTGTAATACGGGAGGTAGGTTTTGCTGCATTTTTTGCAGCTTGTGGAGCATTGTGTTGACAAAGCGGATTCTTGGGTCTTTGGGATTTCCACTTTCGGCGGTTGAATTGACAGAGAAATGAGTGACCTTGTCCATGATCTTATGACACCTCGCTTGATGGATAAGCAAGAAATCCAGCTCGGTTTCCTTTTCTTCGATGAGTATGTCGATGCATTCATTCAAGTATACTGTCCATCGAAGTGGTTCCATCTGCTGGGGACCTGTCCAGACCCTTTTTCGGCAAGTATCAGAAAGACCGCTGGCAAGAGTAGAGCGTTGGTACAGAAGTAAAGGAGACCTACATCGGAGTCAGGAAGTACACGATGGCAATAGCTCGACGCTTCTCTGTAGGTTGCACCTTCGGCGCCATCAAGATGGGTGGAAACCCGGAAAGTTTGGATGAGAATTATCCGACATCTTCTTCGCTTCGCGCCCCTTTATGGATTCCAAGCTCATATACAAGCCCTACGACTAGCTAAGTCCATATAGTCAGGTAAACTCTGTCCTTTTTGTGGATTTGAAACCTTGATCTCGAGTTAGCAGGTCAATTACTCTTAAAGTGTAACAGCTGGCTGATGGGGGCAAACATACTAGCCAAGATAGCGTAATGTACCCAAGAGGATATCTAAGCTCTTCTCGTGTCCTGCAATGACTTTCTGGGCAAAAGTCCGACGAATCGTCTCACCTTTCGCTAGCTGCTCCGTGGCCGACTTAGTAGTTAACGATATGATAACCAGCCAGAGGAAAGGTTTCTGTAGGCGGAGATCCGAGGCGTGCATAGAGGAGGGTATGTAAAGGAAAGGAAACATTGGGAGAAAGAAGCGACGATAGTCGCTCAGCTATTCTTCAGCCGTTGGTTCCGGAATATCGTAAGAAGGCGTAAAGTTAGCAATTGAGGATGGCAGCGTATCGACGCTCAAGGTAGCAGCGGTTGTAGTAAGGGAAGAATGGGTGGCCGGCGATATCGAGGCGGAGTCCCGTGCGTAGTTAGAAGGGTCGTTGTTGACATAGGATGATGAGAGACCACTAATGGTAGGTTGCTCAACTTTATGAGCTGGCGTTATAAGAGCTTGAGACGGTACAAAAGACCCGAAATTGCCATCATTTTCCTCAATCTGGGCAGTCCCTGCGCTGGCTGCCCTTTTACGTTTACGAAGCGAGACAATGGGCTGGCAAACTTTCTGCAGACGATAGCATCTATGAATCCCAAAGTAACTTAGCACTTACACATATTACACATAAATCAAAGCGAGCGAAACCAAGTTCTATGGAGCCAAAAGCTCTTGAAGGGATGTATCTTACCGTTGGCAGCAAGCATGGTCCGATAGGTGCATTTGTACTTTGCACGTGAGCAATTTTGGCACGTCTTCCCGTAGCCACTTCGAGGCTCTCCAGCTGAGTAATTTAAGGCAGACTCCATTTCGGGGGCAAAGTGTTGTCCTTTGAATCGAGAATCCCCCGGGGGGGGGGTCAGGCCTTTTGAAGCCCACCGGGGTTCATCTACAAAGGGATAGCTTGAGCATAGACGGTGGGGTCAGGGGGACCTTAAGATATCATCTTTAGATAGGGAATAGTAATTTACATACTTGTCCACAGGAAAGATTGAACATCTTTCGAGCCACGGTCTCTTACAAAACGTCCAGGTAGACTCGATTTACAATTATTTGGGGCATGGGCTTTCGAAAATCTAAATACAACGCGATAGTTGCTGAAGCGGGATCAGACTCCTACTTGACTGATCAGCTACCAGCTAGCTGACAGCTCGGAGAAGGATAGGCAAAGTCCGGCTGTTCATTATACCAAAAGCCAAGATGCTAAATCCCCGTGGCGTTCTAGGACATAAAAATATGAACTTATTGCATCTGCTCTACCATTTTCTACAGACGAGGCCGTCACCTCCGCCTCAACGTCCTCTTCAACAAAGCCAGCGTCCACGGACCGCTCGAGAGCTTGAAATTCACCCAAGGCCATGAGCTCCAACTTAGCGTGAACTGTCTCGACGCTTCCCTCTCCACTAGTTGTTGCTGTATCCGGCAGTGCTCGGGGCATATACGGGGTGTTATGCTGGGTTGAGGAAAAACATGTGGATGATAGAGGAGAGTGGAGCTTCGGTTATTCCTTGGGGCAGATTAGCGAAATTTTCTCGAGAGTTTGGCGGAGGAGTTGAAGGCGGAGGAGGGTGACTAAATTAGCGAAGAGGGATTAGAAGCGAAATGAGAAGCAAGTTGAGCTCTTTCTTCAAGAGCCTAGAGGGGTGTTTCAAAGTGATAGGCTGGTGGTCAGAATGTTGTTGGAAGGGTTAAGATTCTTACTATACTATTCACCGTTGTTTTTTGAAATTTTTTAGGGTCCGCGAGAGCGCTGGACTTCCACCTGAAGCCTTTCCATCGAGTCTAGGACCTTGATATCTCGTGTATGTGTCCAGGTTATCACCTTTCCAGTTCAGCCCTGTGCCGCTCTTCAAGCTATTTACCATCCGTCCCATCGGCCCCATTAACTTTTAGTCTCTGCTTTCTAGCCGCCTGTCTGATGCTCGCTTTAATTTTTACGGGGAGTCTGACTACATCTGCTCAGCTCTACTTAGAGTACCCCTATGGGCTTCCTGAAATCTGAACGCGATGTAAAGGTTGACACAGTAACCATCAGACTGCCTCTTGACCAACTGGCTACAGGCTGGCTGGGCCACCACTCCTTCACCGATATGGCGCGAACAAGAGTAAAGCCCGTGTATTGATATAGCGGTGTGCCTAAACTTGTGGCTCAGTGCTCAAACGGAGCTACTGGTAGTGGTAGCTGGGTCGGTGGTTCGTATTCACAGAGGTCGCGAATCGGAGCTTTCAACGAAAGCGATATGATGGTTCGAGCGAAGGGGGTAGAAGGCGCCATTCTTGCTGTCATTTTGTCCCGCAGGGACTATCAATTGGCACAGAGACGACAGGTTGGGTACATGTCGAGCAGTCTTGCTGGGAGTGCTACTGTCAGTGACTGGCTACTAACGAGCTTGAACCACGCCGCGAGGGTAGGCTTATAGTGAACAATGTAGATACGAGGGGCGAAACGCTTTAAAACTGTGCCTCCGAGGTGCCATTCTGAGAATCTGTGTATATTGATCAATCTGTAGAGCGTTGAAATCTGGCAGATGCGGCGTGGCTGCTGGCACTCGATGAACCCACCTTTCTGTGCACCCTCCAAATAGATGAAAAGATGAATTGGACTGTCAAAAGAAGTACTGTAGCGCTTCCCGTTCCCTTCATTCTCCCCGCCGCACCACTGTGTGCACATTTGCATGGTGAGCTTGCGGTGCAGCCCGCTCCTCGCTCGAAAAGCGTTAGTGTCTCCCTGTGTTTGGGGAACTGATATTGGACACCCAACACACAGCAAGCCATGCTACAGACTCTTTTACAGCTCAGAGCCACTTTCAATCGCTGTCTTGCGCTGCTCCAATTGCTGTGACCTTGGCCCTGATCGCTGCCGGCTTGTCTAGGCCTCTTCACCTCCTCAGGCAGCTTGCCTAGAGTCTACCCAGTGGCAGCGAAGTTCTTATAGTGCCCCGGCGTTTCCACGCGTTCCCCTCGATGTCAGGGGACTGCCGCCAAGGCTCGCACACGGAGCGGCCTTTAAATTTTCGATTTTGTTGTGAGTCGTCCACCTTCCCACAACAACAACCCTTCATCCCTCTTCCTACAACACGTTTCCCCACTTCACCCCTTCGCAGGCTCTTCCTCAGTCACGCTTCGGGCTTCCTAGCTCCCAGCAAGCCTTCCTATCAGCTGCGAGCGAGGATGAGCAGCCGCTTCGCGTTTGAGGCTGGCGGAGAGCCACCTCACGAAGCGGCTGTCCGCCAGCCTCCAGCCCTTCCTCGTCTACATTCAGGTAAGCAGCTTTACACTCAACCACACGCAGCTAGGGTTGCCCGGAGCTCCCGACTAACCTCCTTGCGCAGGCCAGTGGCTGTCGGCTCCTTAGGATGTCGCGTTCTGGGCCTCGGCCTCGGACGCGTCAACACCAAGGACAGTTGGAGGAGACCTTCCACGGCAGCAATGTCGAAGAAGTCCATGTAAGTCCCCCGTCATCTTCCACCTCTTCTTCCTCCGGTATGATGAACACACAATCGTCGTCGTGCAGAAGCTACTGGCTCATGCTGAATGACTTTGTCTGGCCTTCCCCTCCCGTCTCCAAATATCTCTTGCCTGGGCACGGCAGCTTCTGATGTCTTCTGTAGGGAGTGCCCGCATTGGGCCACCGGACGACGCCCACGTCGACGTCGACCTCTATTCCGCGTAAGTCTTCGTTGGCACGAATCTCCTCCCTCTCGAACCATACCACGATGAGCGACAGGTCCACACAGCAACAGAGCCCACTCGCCACCGTGGATGGGAGCGACGACAATATAACGTGCGTAAGTTCCGTCTCTTCTTATCTCTCGATACCCCGTCTCCCTTTGTGACAATCGACCAACGTTTCGTTCGGCTGATGGCCATGAAGAAAATTGTGTCCAAAACTTTCTGAATCGAACTCAGCGTCACTCGACTTCTATTGTTAACTCGAAGACCATTGCTAACTCAAACTGTTGCAGTTCCAAAGAGTAGCCGACGTGGCAAATACGCTTATGGCATCGTCGAGAGATTCAATTCGACTTCCAGGTCCGGTCCTCCTTTGCGGGTCGATCGTATATGGGAGGCATTTCGAAGACGTGTAAGTTTCTTCTGTTTCTCTTTCCTCGCATCATCGAATGCGTTATTGTAATGAGACTCGGGTGTGCCACTACCCAAAAATCAAAGAGCACACCCTATCCAAAGAACAGCCTGTGGAGAGGGTGCTTCCTCAACACATGGTTGTTCATGAGAACTACTTTGAAAGGAAAATCTGATATTACTTCGCACCAACGCACATTTTTTCTTATCAGCTTTCGAAACCCGAGCTGACCTGTCGCATCCAGTCTTCTAGGCCAACTCGTATTTCTCCCAGTGCGGACTTCTAATCGCTGACCTAGAATTGGTGAGTCGGAACATTTCCTTGCGAACTTTCTTCCAAGCAAATGATGAAATTCCATGATACTTCAAATTACTCTGTCTTCTCAATCCGGGTGTCTTGAACAATGGCACTCGCTGTTGATGAAGGCTGAAGACAAAACTGGAGAAGAACTCTGATGCACTCAACTCCATCCATTTTCCGAACTTGATTCTTCGAAGCTATCGCTGATTCGTCCGTCGACATATAGATCCAGGAGGTTCCCTCTCTTCTCGTACCGGTCTCGGCCTCCTCTTCTCAAAGAAAGATGTACGTTCAACCCATTCTCCTTCTTTCCTGGTTCGGATGATGATACATTTCATTTACTACGATGAATTTCTTCGAGCATTCCGCTCGTTCGTGGACCTGGCCCCCTGCCGGGGGTTATGTTCGTCGAACACTACCCCGAGAGGGTATCAGGACCCGGCGTTCGCATGCCGAAGGAACATGTTGCTTGAGCTTTTCTGACACCCCTTTTACAATCACAACCCCATCACAACCCCATCGCAAGCACTCGTTCTAGAGGCTAAGCTAATTTCTTGCGCAGACTGACTCCATTTGAAAGAACACGTCTCCAGATCTTGTGCCAACTTGCTGTGCTGGCTTCACGACCGAGTATCGGATTCGGCTGGCGCAAACGGTTTCGGCCTCCACTTCCCAGAGAGACGTAAGTTCACCCCATTCTCTTTCTTTCCTGGCACCGATGATGAGAAACCATTCTTGATATTGAATCCTCTTCGTGCATCCCATTCGTGGACCTGGTTCTGTCGGGGGATTTGTTCGTCGAACACTCCCCCGGGAGGGCATCAGGACCTGGTGTTCAGATGTCGAAGGGATCATGCAAAGACCGAGAGCGTACTGAGGGCCCCCTCTTACCCGAACAACTTGATCGCAAGCGATAGTTTTAGAGGTTGGGCTGATATCATAAGCAGGTTGATTCCGTTTGAAACGACAGCACTCCAGATCTTGAGCCCGCCTACAGTGCAGATTTACGACCGAGCATCGGCTGTCGCAAATGTCTCAGTCTCCGCTTCCCAGAAAGACGTAAGTTCACCCCATTCTCCTACTTTTCTGGTAACGATGATGATACCCTTTCCTATACTTGATATTGAATCATCTTCGGCATCCCGCTCATCATGGACCTGCCTCTGCCGGGGGTTTTGTTCGTCGAACACTACTCCGGGAGGGCGTCAGGACCCAGTGTTCGGATATCGAAGGGATTATGCAAACAGCGAAGCTTCTGAGGCCCCCTCTTACCAGAACAGCTTAATCGCAACCGATAAGCTAAGAGGTTGGGCTAATATCATAAGCAGGTTGATTCCGTTGGAAACCACAACACCCTAGATCTTGACCCTATCTGCTTTCCCGATCCTTCGGCCCAGCGTCGGTTGCCGTAGATGGGCGGCCTGCAACGGCGGTAGTGAAAACGCTGAGTAAGTTTTCTCCTCTTTTCATACTTCCCTAATCGCTAGGATGAAGTTTTGGTTGAACATTCGATCCCCTCATATTCTGGGCCTATTCCTCTGCTGCTGGTTCAGGCATGACCGGAGCCGCCGGAGGGTAGGTTGAGTAGCTTGCTATGGGAGGTGACAATATTCAAATTACTACACTGAGCATTTTCTATAACTTTTCATTTTTCTGACACCGCTACTCAACCCCGTGTATTCGACGCATTGGTTTCTGGATCTTTAGCTGATTTGACATGTAGAGCCTTTGGTTGAGCATGATCTCTTGAGCTCATCGGGCGGCGGCGGTGATGCGATTCCTGTGTAAGTCATTCTTGTTTTCTTTCGTTTCTTCCCAGGTGTTGTGATGACGACAAATTAGAGCTACTCGAAGTTCTTCTGCGGCGGGACTTGTCTGGAGCATATCGTTGAAACGCCCGCCTATTCGAGCGAAGCCGCAGTACAATGCGAGAGACTCGAGGCTGAGCCTCAGCTCAAGATACTATTCTGATACACCGCTTCTTTTCCTATTTCATTCGAAGGCGCCTTTCCAGATCCGAGGCTAACATCGCGTCATCTTCAGATCCACGTTCCAGATTAATCGGCAAGACCACGGGCTCCTCGATTCCTCTTCTTCTCAAGCCCAGCGAGTGTCCGGTGCCGTCAACACCGAGAGCGTACCCGGGTTCAGGCTGTACATTGCGTCTTCTATACGCTTTGGCACTACTGTATCCCGGGAAGATCAAGATCCGCATGCTTCAGAACAGTCTCAACGTCAGAGGTCCTTGGCTAGAGTACTACTTCATTGCGGTGACATGCCTCTCCATATTCCGTCTTGCGAGCCTCAACGACGTCGATCTGTCAGGTAAGGTTCCTTCTCCTTTTTCTCCTCTTCCCACGCCCTGCAATCAGCCCCCGCGACTTGCTAGCAAGCGCTTTCAAACCCCCGGGCTCCGTATGTGCTTGTAGCATTTCCCATATGCCTCGAGTCAGTGAGCCTCTGGGAAGATCAATGTTCGTTTTGTGTTATCCTTCGGGAAAACCTGGCGACTCAGCCGATCGCTGTTTGAGAGCTAAATTCTACTATTGCCCGTTGACGCTCGAGTTCAATGGCCAGGGGGTTCTACTTTCGTGCTGACATTTTCCCAGAAGTCCATTACGCAATGCTCAGCATCTCTCATCAAGGAAGGTTTCGATCGGTCGGGTAAGCACCCTTTTTCTCCTCTTCCCACGCCCAGTTAGCCTCCGTCTCTCCCCAGCAAGACCTCCAAGTACCCGCGCTCCGTGTGTACTTTTAGCATCTTTCATGTGCTTCGAGTCAGTGAGCTGCGGGAAGATTGATATTCGTCGTGTGTTATCCTTCGGGACAAACCTGGCGACTCAGCCGATCGCAAAGAAAGCCCAAACACACATTTGCCCATTGACGCTCGAGTTCAATGGCCAATGGGTTGCACTTTCGAGCTGACATTTCTTTAAAGATTTATTACGCGATGCTCAGCATTTCGCGTCAATCTAGATTTCGTGGCTGATTCGGGTTGGAAGTTTCGTTGGGGTCGTATCAGATTGCGAATGGTGGTCATGAGGTCCAGGAGGCATCGCTGGCATGCTGTCGCAAATGGTTTGATCCGTTCTTCAAGATGTCGTCTTGCGCTAACTGTTCGCAGTCGCAGGAGTACCAGTCCCATGCCTTTATGAATACAGCTGCTCAATCGAGAAGATGTTCTTGCAAGCCGAATCCTCAAAAGTCGACCTCCTCATCCTCATCCTCCGCCGAACACTCCCTCTTCTGTCCCAAACGATCTCGACTCTTGCAAGAATAATGGCATCATGGAAACTTGGCGGGAACGGCATATCGGATAACACGGAGGACAATTGCGGATACAAGCTGAGTAGTCTCTTCTTCATCACTCCGTTGATGATTGACCAGCTTCATAGGGCCAATAATAACGGCTTTTCTCGTCGGGAGTCGTCCCGAGACGCAACCCGAAACTAGGTTGCGGGATGGTTGCGGGATGGGTGGAGGCCAGAAACCAGGTATGTTGAAACTTGCTCTCTTTGAAACTTCCTTTCCGAGTTCGAGTCAGCCTTCGTCCGGGGTCGGGCCTGTAGATAGTCTGATCAAATGGATACGAAGAGCCCTCAGCTTTGACTGAGAGTACGAGTCCAGCTTGCTCAATCCATGACAATTCTGCAAAGTCCGGGCAGTGATTCGTCGCTTGCCCTAGTACCCCAAGAGTAAAACTCGCGTCTTAAACGGATAGCCTCCAAGGTTCTTGAGGCCGAATCCATCTTCTCTGCGAGACATGCTATAGCGATCCATGGTTGATGTGTCATCAGGCTTCAGTTAATCGTTTCTAACGCATGACAGGTAGCGCGGAAATATGAGACGAAACAGGTTAGAGGCCAACTTGTGGTTTGCTGACTTTCATACTCGAAAGAGTTTTTGAAACCACTTCTAGTTCATTTCCGGGGTCGGACCCGCAGACATTCTGATCAAGTGGATACGAAGAGCCCTCAGCTTTGACTGGAGGTTCGAGTCCAGCTTGCTCAATCCATGACAGTTCTGCAGAAATCGGGTAGCGTTTCGTCGCATGCCTTAATACCCCAAGAGCAAATCGACGGGATCATGATGGGAGGTCATGAATTCAGGGATAGCTACAAAGGCTTGTAGTACATCCGTTTAGCCGGTCGTACATCTTTAATATCGAGCTCTGCATTTCGTAGATATTCCGATCGCAATGTTAGTCTTGTCGAAAAAGCTCCTCTCTGCTATTGCCGCGGTGACAATGAAACGTATTCTCCTGTGAATACTGCAGAGGCAATTACGTTTACATTCTCGAAACAGAGTGTGATACGAAACCGTTTTGACACATTTGAGTCCCAGTGGAGGGTTGAGACGTCTTCGTCCCCAGGATGTGCTGGTCTCTGCTCACGACCTTCCGGGATCCATGAAGATAAGTTCCGTGTACGTCGTGATAGACACGGCTAAAGATGACTGTTTACCGGAATCGAAAATATGGCGGGGGCTCTGGCTCGCGGAAATGGAATAGACATGAGACCGAGGACAAGAGCGGCTACAACCATTGAGAGGCATAGAAGAAACTCGACTACCTCAAATTCGACAGTGTACAGTCTTAGGAAAGCGTTGTAAGACACGCAAAAGGTTCCCCTTTCAACGACTAGAACAAGCGGTGAGGGAAAGCTGGAGTCTTCATGGGATATGCTTGGGCGGCCGACTGAACCG